ACGGCGGCATTCTGGGATGCATCAGCGGCTCCGTCTACGCGGTGTGGTACCTCCGCGCTCTGGGCGCGAAGGTCGGCCGCGACTGCGCCATCTTCGCCGGCGGCTGGGTCGGACTCATGACGGAGCCCGACTCGTCGAACTCGGGGACCGCGTCGCGCTCGACAACTGCTCCGTCGTCGCGCACATCAACTCCCGCGGGAAGTTCTCCCTGAACAGGCTCACCATCGGATCATCGTGCGTGTCCTCCATTTGTCACGCACCACGCTAGCTGACATCGCCCCGCTTCGCGTGCGCAGCGCCGCGCTGCGGTCCGGCTCGCGCCTCCTCTCCGGCGCGAACATGGAGGAAGGGTCGATGCTTCTCGAGCACACCCTTCTCACGTCGGGCGAGATCGCGGAGTCCGGCGGCGTTTACGCAGGCTGGCCCGCGCGGCTTCTCGAAGGAGAGAAGGGCTCCCACCGGCAGTCGTCGTACCAGCTCATGTCGGCCCTGCACCTCAGCTCGCGCTACCGCAAGCTCCAGCGCGCGACCCGCGACATGCGGGACGAGAAGCGGAGGCTGGACGAGAAGCTCGAGCTCGGCCAGCGCCAGCTGCGCGAGGCCAGGCGGCAGCTCGAGGGCATGCTCCCGGTCAGGTCGCACAGTTCTTCGGAGGCCTCAGAGGCCTGATTTTCTCCGCTGCGTTTCTCTTTTCTTTCTCTCACATAGACTTCCGCTCCCTCTCATATGCATCGTCGCGCTCCTCGATTGTCTGCTAGCATGTATCCTGCTCTGCCCCGTGTTCTCTGACGTTACCGCATCTCCGGACCTGCCGCTCCTTGTCCGTCTTAGTTCTTTACTCTCGTTCCACTGCCAGCTAATTGGCTTAACTCACACTCCTTAGTTCACACCGCGCTCTGTTCCCTCTCTCCTTGAGTCCAGTGTTCTCGTACTCCCGGAAAAAGTCCACCCTTGTTATAAGAGTAGTATCGGGCCCTCCTGTGTTGACCTCGTGTTGCATCTGTATATATTCATGCATGCATCGAACCATCGTCAGAGATCATCGAGCGAGTGCCCATTAATTACTATAGGAAGCCTCTAGTCTGCCTCGTTACCAGCAGAGTCGTATGCTACATACCAATGGAACGGTTTCTAATGTTCCAGGCACGACGCTTGAGAGATGTAGGGGTCTGCGTGTGCCAGGATATATCTGTGCGGTATGTTGCTTGCAGCGTCAAGGGACTTCCGTGGGGTTACGCTACAGCCTTTGCATAAAAGTGCGGAATCATCACGAAAGCAATTTCGGGTAGACGCTCAGGCACAATGCGCAGATGTGACCCGGTCGTCACACCCCCCGCGAGCTGGATCCCGCGGTCGGACACGACTTGCATGAAGTCGGGTGCTCCCCATTGCCTTCCCGCACCAAGTATATGAAGAGTGATCATAGTATTGGGGAAAGAACCTATTAAACTACATGAAACTATGTACATGATTCAATTCTTGCCAACGCCTGCTTGCGCGTGATCACATGTAAGGCGTGACGAATCAACCATGGGCTTCGACGAGGGCGATGATACCATCCATGGAAAAGGCAGAAAGGATAGAGTAGTGTTGGCCACGAATAACCGTACCACGACGTACGCACGCGAGCCCAAGTGGTGCCCATCCCATCCTCCGTTAATTCGTCCGACCATCCGCTGCTGACTCGTCCGACCAGACCATATTCCATGCGGATTTCCCCCCACTCCTCTACCCACGCGCCGCGGAGGAGCTCGTTGCGCTCAAGCGAAACCTTCGAGACCCTCTCGCGAGTGGACGCTAGCTTGCGCAAGATTTGAGAAGGGGTCAACGAGACTGTACCAGCAGTGACTTGGGCCGAAGTGTGTATGCAGTTCGTCGAGATGGACCGCTGGGTTTCTCTCGATGGCTGTTATGATAAATTGTATGTCGACGGCTGAAAGGGAGCGTGAACGTCGAGGCCTGGGGAGGATACCTGCTTTGCCAGACTCCCGGAAGTGTTTCACGCTGCGCACTGCTGAAGCGGTGACCTGTGGCAGGTGGCGAGTTCGCAGATCTCGGAGACCGGCCTGTTGTCGACGACGTGCCAGTGGATCACGTATCTCGAGACTGAGGAGCCATGGCTGGACGCGGGAGACAAGAGTAGCTAGCAATCTCCGAGACGCGTCGAGCATAAGTAGGGAGTCGCGCGAGGCGCGAGGACCGCGCGCGCTACTCACAGAGGGCGTGACGCCCAGGTCACATCTGCGCATTGTGCCTGGGCGTCTACCCGAAATTGCTTTCGTGATGATTCCGCACTTTTATGCAAAGGGCTGTAACTGCGATCTTTGCAAATTGAAGAGGGAGGAGGGCGCGTGAACTTCAAAATTCAAATGAAATCGCGCCTCGCGTGTTGCCCCAGTCACGTGGTGTATTCGTGCAGGCGCGTCGTGCTTGCTGTAGCAGTCATTGTTCGACGTTCACCCTTCCCTCCCGACACCGATGCTTTCTGCTCGCTAGCTCTCCACGACCTCATAATCATTCAACACACCTATACAACGCCCTTTGTCGCCCACTCTCGGACGCGCTCGACCCTACCGGACGGCAGGACGCCGCTATGTCCTCTTCCAAGCCTGCTCTCACCAGCGCGACACCACCACCACCAGACTTTCAGCCACGGATACCGGAGAGGTACATCGAGGTACCGGACCAGCGGAGATACATCTTGAGCCTAGGCGTAGCATGCCAGGTGAGTGGCACCTGAGTTACGCGCGTTGTAGCGGACACGACCAGTTCAAGGAAAGGCGCGATGTTTGGAGCCACGAGCGTGTTTGTCCAGAAAAGAAGGGCTTGTGGTGGAGATACGCCGGCGCGAGTTCCTCCATGGGCTGTACCATGCTTCTAACGCGAAGTTATACTTGTGGCCGCCAACATATACAGTCAGACACTCCTCCTACATGAGCGATGCGACACGCCCTTCTCTAGCTCTCGGCGTGACTTGAAGCTATTTCTAAAGTGCAACGGCTGAAATTCTCTGCAGGCCATCAAAATCTTTGACCTCATAAGGTATTGGTTTCTATCAAGTGATGGTCCTCAATCCTATGCAAGAAAGTGGATGTTTGTGGACTTCCTTTTCTGCGTCACCCTCTCCTGGCTACGAATACCTCGTCTGAGGTATGGCGCGGCCGTGGTCGCGCTCCAAATCATCTCGCTCTGGATCTTCAACGGGGTCGCATTTGGTGGCCTCTCCGTGAATGTGGGTGGTGGTCCGTGGGCTGGCGCAGCTCGGTCTTCAGGTGCGTCTGGCATTCTCTAGAAATCAACCCTCGAAGGCTGATCACGTTGTGATGCACGTAGCAGGAGGATCCGCTATTTGGGACTACCTCCCGGGTTTCGGGTCAACGGGCGGAAAGGATGCGCACCTACTTGGTCAGCATACGGTCCGAATGTCTCCCATCAGCACCGCCCAACTCAACCCCTACTCGGAGACTTTCTGCCTTCCTTCGACGACCTCGCACGTCCTCATACCTGTGCTATTGAACAACACCAGCCCAGCAAGCGTCCGGTACACGCTGACGCCGCTTGCGTATTCGGCAAGTTCGAAGAGCTCAGGCAAGATCGAGTATTTCGACCTCTCTTCGAAGGACCTCCGAGCGATCGAACAGAGTCGCGTGGACCACTTGCAGCTCGTCCGCGCAGCCGCCAAGAAGGAAGTGGAAGAGTTTGACGAGTATGACGACGAGGATGAAGACGACGCGACACGCTCGGCGCATGGGTCGCTTCAGAAGACTCAGCACCTCACATACATCCGACTAAACAAGGCCGGAACACTGCGCCTCGACCGGGTCGTCGACCAGTCCAACGTGGATGCTCGTTTGGTTTTCCCCAACGAGATCACCGTCGTGCCATGTCCAAGCGTGGCGTTTACTCTTACCAGCGAGACACTCGTCAAGGACATCCGTTGTGCGACCCCTGGGCTCGTGGGAGGCGCAGGAGAGGAGCTGCAGCTAGAGATCGACATCACCGGTGTTCCTCCTCTCAGCTTGCGCTGGCACCGCGACGTCGATTACAGGCGGGAACCTTTCATGGTCGAAGGCATCGAAGGTCCGGAGCACGAAGAGGTCTCACAAGGCGAACGACGTATGGCCGGGGACGGCCACCGCGCGCCCGTGCAAGTGCGCGTGCCGCTGACCGTGGTTCTCGACTCTCTTGGCGAGCACTCGTACGTACTCGAATCCATCACCGATGGGCTAGGCAACCTTGCGCACGCCGGCTTCCCTGCTCCAATGCGCGCCGGCGTGTCTGCGCGCCAAGTACCGGAGGAGCAGATGCACACATTGGCTACGACCCGCTCCGTCTCAGTGCTCCGCCGCCCCTCCGTCTCGTTCAAGTCGTGCGGCCCTGGCAAGCCCGCCTCCTTGCTCATTGGCTCCGAGGCTCAAATCCCCGTCTCGGTCGTCAATGCGGACTCTGAAGACGAGCCTTGGGAAGTCGCGGTCCGCTACGACCCGCCGCTGGGTGATGATGGGAAACCGAGCAAGCGGTACAAGGCCTGGACGAAGGCACTGAAGACGCAGGAGAACAAGCGCGACCTCACGCTCCGTGCCACCGCGCCGGGCGAGTACACGATCACTGGCGTCAAGGGACAACACTGCGAAGGCGATGTCCTCAGCCCCGACACCTGCAGGGTTGTGGAGCGACCTCAGCCCTCCGCGGAGATTGAATGGAAGAAGATCCATGAGTGGTGCGTTTCGCACCCTTGTGAACCTGTTTTACGTCCGCTAACGCGCCTTGCTCCCCCACGTGTGTCCGTGTCCACAGTTCTGGCGACATCGGTGTCGCTGCCTCTCTCATCCTTCATGGGACACCGCCGTTCCAGGTCTACTACCAATCACAGCGAGACTCTGAAGCGCCAAGGGACTCCGCGAAGACGTTCCCGACCTCTCGCGGGGAGCTCACTGTGCAACCGGATCGCAGCGGACACTACACGTTCAAGATTTACCAGATCAGCGACGCGAACTACAAGCGGATTGACCTGAAGGGCTCTTCGATCGAGCTCGACGTGCACCCGCCTCCGTCTGCGGACTTCTCTGGTACGCCTCATGGTAATCGCGGCAAGAAGAGCATCAGCAGCTGCTCGGGAAGCAATGTCGATGTGGACGTCGATCTACGGGTGAGTCTGCTTCACTCTGGGTGGGGGATCAAATTCCTTTCTGACACGTCTCCTCTAGGGGACACCACCATGGAACATCGAGGTTCAGATCGTTGGTCCCAAGGGCTCGGAGACGATGACCTTCCGTGATATCACGACCGCCAAGCAGAAGCTATCTGTGCCCATCCCCAAGGCCATCGACAGAGACGGTGGTTCGTTCGAGGTGGAATTGCGTGAGTGCATAAGACGTCGATCCAGCACCCAGTTTCTCATGATCCATAACAGTCAGCGTTGAGGACGCGTACAAATGCAAGCGTTCCTTGTCGGTTCCCGGCATTGCAGTCAACGTTCGCCGCGTGCTGGTACGTCGACTGTTGGTATCGGAGCCTAGTCGCTCTAACATCAAAGCCATCAGCCTACGGTCAAGTTTTACGGCAAGCCCAGTCAACGCCGCATCACGGTTCTCGATCACGAGCAGCCATGCTTCCTCTCCGTCTAACAGGCGAAGCGGTATGCATTGTCTATTAGTTCAAACTCGGTTGTATACTCATGTGTTGTCTTTGCGCAGCCTTGGCAAGTCAGGTATCGTGTCCAAGATACAGGACGTACACAGTCTATCACTCTGAAGTCACCCAATGACGAGCTTTGCGCAAATGCCAAAGGAACGTACGAGCTTTTGGAGGTGAGTAGAACGGCCTCATCAGGAAATTACCTTTTCGCTGAACACGCTTCAGGTTTCCGATTCCCAATGTCCAGGCACGGTGGTTCAGGGCGACGAGACTTATGTTGTGGATCACGTACCGCGTCCCTCTGCGAAGTTGTCGTCGGATGTTGAGGCTGCATATGAGAGCTTCAACGGTCACATATACTCTCGCCCATCTGTGAAGGCGTGAGCGATCACGTCGACCTTGATCTGACTGGTGGGTTTCCTCTTCACTTCATCAATCATCATCGTTGATTGTCGTATGTAGGTCGTCCGCCTTTCCAGATCATGTACAACATCGCCGAAGATAACGGGTTCAGTGCCACCAAGCTCCTCGACCAGCCCACCTTCAGCAGCATTCAGCCACGCACGCGCTTCCAGCTTCGTACCTCCGAACCCTCTCGCATCTATTACGAAGTCAAGCAGATCGGCGACGCAGCCTACCCACTCGCGAAGAACCGCGACGCCATTATTCCGCGTTCCGGGCGCCTCCTCTTCGAGCAGCAAGTCCTCATGCGTCCTTCGGCCCGATTCAAGTCCAACAACCGCCTGACCTTCTGTCTCAACGACGCACTGTCCGCCACAGATGCTCCCAACGGCGACGGCGTGGTTGTTCTTGAAGGCACCCCGCCCTTCCAACTCACGATCTCCATCCGCAACCTGGCTGCGTCGAAGTGCACACCGAGACCCTTGAGCTCTGGGACACGACTTGGCGCGTACACCTGCCGAGTTACAGCTTCAACTCCGTCGGCCCACACCAGATAACGCTGGACTCGGTCCGCGACGCGTCCCGCTGCGAACAGGTCGCCCCCGAAGACCCCGCACCCGCGCGGTCTGGGCGGACGTGGCAGAGACGGCGGCGATCGTGCCATTCAGCAGGCGGGAGGACTACTGCGTCGGAGACTCGATCCCGTTCCAGCTCGAGGGCACGCCGCCGTGGTCGGTCGGGCTCCGGGTGAACGGGCGGGTGCAGACGGCGGACGCGCCGCGCTCGCCGTGGTCGGCGGCGCTCACCACCCCAGGCGAGTTCGCGGTGACGAGCGTCGCGCACCGGACGAAGCGGTGCCGGACGGCGGTCGCGGACCTGCGGTACCAGGTGCACGCGCTCCCTGCGGCGCAGGTCGGGCACGGGAAGCGGATCGTGCAGGACATCCACGAGGGCGACCAGGCGGAGATCCTGTTCACGCTCGTCGGCGAGCCGCCGTTCACGTTCACGTACCAGCGCGCGGAGCTGACGCCGCGCAAGGGGGCGCAGGGCAAGGTGCTGGAGACGCACACGGTCTCGGGCGTGACGACGAAGGAGTACTCGATCTTCTCGGCCATGGAAGGTGCGCTGCGTTCTTCGTGCCTGAGCAGCGCGGTTCGATGCTGACGGGGTTCGTTGTGCAGGAACATGGACGATCACGTCCATTTCGGACAGGTACTGCCGGTACCCTCCGGTGCAGCAGGAAGACGCGGACAAGGTGCGGTGAAGAAGCCGCGGACCATTCTCCCAAAAATGCTAGTTGCTACGCCCGCTATGACTTTGCATCCCTACATATCTGTAGCACGTAATTCTATTCTTGATGACATTCATGAACATTCGCATTGGATCGTCGTCCGCGTCTGACGCAGCACAGCTGCCGCGCGCTCAATGGCGCGCCGCGGAGTTGCGAGAGCAGGACAACGAACTATACGTTTAGCGCAGCGGCGACAGCTGTAGTGCTGTGACGACAGCTTGACGTGGGGGCCAAATAGTTGGGAAGGCTCGCTGGGGTTGGATTGCAGACTGGTGGCTGTTCGTATGCTGTGGGTGTATGATAGCTGTCGTCGCGAGTGAAATGGATGCTGAGAGAGAACGGTCATGTGACCTGGGAGGCGAATGTCGCGGCGGTGAGTGGACGAGGCGAGAGGAAAGACTGAGGCTTGGTCAGGCGCATCGCGACGGGCAGCGCGCAATGGCAGGCAGCAGCGGGGCGCGGGCGAAATGGCGGGTGCTGGATAGGGCCCGATTATCTAGCCGATGGCGATAATCGACCGCAACACCGCGCGAGCGTGCCACGAGCAGGGGCTCCGCATAGTATATACGTCCGCCAGCCCAGTCGGGATGCTGCGAGCATCTGCCCTCCGCCGCGTCTCTCAGCAGCTCCGCTTTCTCTCCGCTACTTCTCCAATGGCCCGTGAGTGCCCCCACGCCAGCCTCCTTCTCTCCTCCCCCGCTCATCTCCCCCCATGGCAGAGTACGGCACCCGCCTCATCGGCGCACCCAACACCCTCGGTCAGTCTGCCTTCGTGCATGCATCGCCCCCCGCCCATGCACAGATATCGTGATCGTCTGCCCGTCCGTCCCCCGCGTCCCCGTCGCGCCCCCGTCGCGCCAGCGCACACATGCTGATCGGCGCGCTCACACAGAGCACCGCGTGTTCATCGAGCAGAACGGCCAGGTCGTCTCGCCCTTCCACGACATCCCCCTCTTCGCCGACCAGAACAATGGCATCCTCAACATGGTCGTAGAGGTCCCCCGCTGGACCAACGCCAAGATGGAGGTCTGCAAGGAGGAGCCCTTCAACCCCATCAAGCAGGACGTCAAGAAAGGCCGCCTGCGGTTCGTCCGCAACTGCTTCCCCCACCACGGTTACATCTGGAACTACGGCGCGTTCCCCCAAGTGCGTGTGCCCCCTTTACAGTGCTCGTCGCGCGGTAGAACTCATGGCGCGCCTGCCCTTGCTTCCCGTGCCTCCCTCCTACCGCACCGTCTTCGCGATGGCGCGATCGTCTCCTCCAATTCACCCTCCGGTCCGCGCTTGCTTTCGCGTGCACGTTCCCCACTCGTCACGCACCCATCGTCGCTTGCGCTCGGTCCCACAGACATGGGAGGACCCTAACCAGATGCACCCCGAGACGAAGGCGAAGGGCGACAACGACCCTCTCGATGTGTGCGAGATCGGCGAGCAGGTCGGCTACGTCGGCCAGGTGAAGCAGGTCAAGGTGCTCGGCATCATGGCTCTCCTCGACGAGGGCGAGACGGACTGGAAGGTGATCGTCATCGATGTCCGCGACCCGCTCGCGAGCCGGATGAACGACATCGAGGACGTCGAGCGTCAGCTGCCCGGCCTCATCCGCGCGACCAACGAGTGGTTCCGCATCTACAAGATCCCCGACGGGAAGCCGGAGAACAACTTCGCGTTCTCGGGCGAGGCCAAGAACAAGAAGTACGCGACCGAGATCATCCACGAGTGCCACGAAGCCTGGCGCCGCCTTGCGTCGGGCGAGACCCCGGCCTCGACGGCCTCGTACGACCTCTCGATGTGCGTCCCGTTCTTTCTCAAAGTCGTCATGTGCGTGCGGGGATGCTCACGTCCTTGCGTCTCCCGTAGCCGCAACATCACTGTCCCCAACTCTCCTGGATACACGAGCAAGTCGGACCCTGCGTACACCGGCCTCCCCACCGATTCGCGCAAGCCCCCCGCAGCCATTGACCCGTCCAGTACGAGATCGACATTTCTCGATGTGCTCGTGTATTGACTGATGACGTCTCTTCTGTAGTCTCGAAGTGGTTCTACATTGCCTCCGCCCAGGTATAGCGTCCTTCGTAGTTGCGTCGAGTTGTATAGTACCCGAAGAAGTAACCAACTTTTCGCTTTCACGCCTAGTCGGATGGAGCTCCTCTGTCTCGTTTCTGAGTGGCGAGGACTCGTTGCGAGAACGAGGGCGTCCATTTCAACTTCGAAAAGGAGACTGCTCCGCTCATGGCGTTTCACCGTCCCGCATTTTGGCCGCCATCCATTGGCCGCATCTGGGGCATATTTTGGCAACCCAGTCACAGAACTCGAGGTGGCCAATTTAATCCTATGTCGAGCTCCGACTCATCAGTACCCCGACGACTCCTCCGCCTCGCAGGCTACGAAGACTGCACAAGATCGCTATGTACTCCGCACGCCCTGAATATATACATGTAACTTATAATATGGCATCGACAATGAGCTCTTCAAGCTCAGTGTACCAAGCCCCTCATCTCAGATTCCATAGCCCCTTCTGCATCAATAGCTGGCGAACTCGCGTTCGAAACCTCCACTATGGTACCCAGCAGATTTCAGTCTTCGTTTTTATGTAGCTAGTAAATTGAGACCTTCGTCAAACAGACTGGAGTCCCAGTCCGTCAGGCCAAGCTCGGACGTGACTGCATCCTGCAAATGGTTGCAGTGCAGGGGCCTCAAGTTGGACCATAGCCGATAGCGGTCCCTCTCGCACCCTTCTGAGAGACGATTGCCCCTCTTACAGTAATATTACATCCGCTGACTATCGCATACGGTTCTTCGTTATTATGTGCAAGGGGCTTCTTCTGAACTGACCCTTGCGGCGGCCCGCTTGGCGCGAATGCGAGCCTCCAACTCCCTATTGAACTTGCGTCCTCCACGACCGTCCGACCCTTCTCGCAAAAGCACCCAGTCCCCGCGACGTGCTCGCTCGCGTATGTCCCGCTCGTGTGCGATGGTGTCAGGGTGCGGCATGTTCAGCTCGCCCTTGATCCAGTCGACGTGCCACTGGCGGAGCTCGGGGTCGATGCTCTCGAGCGAGGCGGGAGAGGAAAGCAGAGAAAGTTGGGCGGCATAGAGATAATGCAGCTGCATTCGGAGGTAGCGAATGAAGCTCTCAGACGAGGTGTCCAGGATGCGGTGCACCAACGCGCAGTAGAAGCGTGACAGGGACGGATAATGGTCGGAGCCTTTCGGGGAAGTCGAGAGCTCCTTGGACATGCCTGTCCACACGCCGGCGTCGAAGAGAATGGTGAGGTCGTCGTAGGGGGGGTCGGACGGCGTGGGGGATACGAGCACCACGGGAGATCCATCGACGGCGGGGTCCCAGAGCTCCACGTGCGACGGGGGGTGCACCGTATGAGTCCAGCCCGCGGAAAGGAGAGCTGCCTCCGCGTCAGACACAGAGTGGACGAGGAGGTAGTATTGCAAGGCGACGGTGTCTGAGCCGTGGAATTGCAGCGCTCGCTCAAACCAATGGCAAAAGGGGACGTTGTGCTTGATGAGGATCGGGCTGGGGTTCGGGTGGCCGTTCGTGGAGAACAGCGGCGAGTGGGATATCAGGATCTTGACCATCACACCGGAGTTTACCTCCACGGCCTCCGTCTGACCCTTCTCGTCCATCTCCGATGTCTTCTCCTGCTGCCTCTCCTGAACGTTTGACAACGGCGATGGGCTGCGGGCTGGCGAGCGCGAATGGGGGCACGGCTGGTTGGAGTCCGACATGGTGGACGACGCCTAACGCGTTGCACAGTGTGCGAGATGATAAGTGCGTAGTGGGCGGCAGGCAGCGGGCGGGAGCAAGGCGGGGCGGAGGGGTGGGCGAGGCACGGAGTGGGACTCGGAGACAGTGCACCGCATCCTCAGGGACTCCGAGTCGTCCAGCTCTGCATCCTGCCTCCAACCGCCGCTTCATTGTATGCACGCCGCGCAGCGTTGAACATGGGGCGCCCTGTCACCATCGCACCCGAGCGGGCGAGCTGGTCATTCGCGAGCGAGCACGTCGTGAGGATCGGGTGCTTATAATGCAGAACGGGTCGTGGGGACGGCACCGGGTGTTTTTGCAAGACGGGTCGGTCGATGGTGGGGACGCAAGCATAGCAGGGCAGTTGGAACTCGCGTTCGCGCCAGGTGACCGATTTGAATGCAGGAATAAGTAGAAGCTCCTTCCATGATCCGCAGCGAATGCAATATCATTACTAGGGCAGATGTTCCGATCAGCCCGGTCCGGTCCGGCCGGCACTCATTGACATTACTCAGGCGCCGGACGTCCTCTGTTCTCGACCGTCACATCACTAAACGTGCATTGCTTTGACCGTCGCCGACTCACCGTGTGGACCTTATTCCCTTAGGATGCAGCCACACGAACGCCGTGCGCAGCCCAGACGATGCCCGTGACGCTGGGCGTAAGTCTGTCTGTATTGTGCGATGCCTTTCTTTTTCCCATTTTTCAGCCGCGCTCACGACACTTACTACCTGGCTTCTCTGTGAACGGGTCCAGCGTTCTGGAATATGAAAAACAGGCCCTCGCCTACTTAACTGCGGCATCCCAGCTTGTCGGACTTCCTGGGTCCCATGCCACCTCCCTGGAAGCGCACCCGTGGATGCGGCACCTATATCCAGGTCACACGCAGCATTCCCCGCCTTTATACCCCCCTACGTCTTGCAGCGTCGATACCACGTCCCTCCCCAGCTGTGCCTCGTCCGAGATGGCAAGACTACTGATCCTGCTCTCTTCCTCCTTGCGTCGCTCCAGCTCATCCTGGCTGCTTCGCAGTCACCTTTGGTGGTCAGTACTACCTCCGGTACCTTTAGCGGAATGTCGGTCAGCAGCACGTTCGACCGATGGCTGGGCATACCGTTCGCGCAACCACCCGTAGGCTCTCTGCGCTTCAAAGCCCCCCTCCCTATCACCACCCCAGCGCCGGGAGTCAAGAATGCATCTACTTTCGGAAATGCATGCCCACAGGTCCCCGCGGCCAGGTTCGGGGTTCCCTTATCAGAGGATTGCTTGAATCTCAACGTAGGTATCGTCCTGTTCGCCCTATCCGAGATGATTCACGACCTCCCGCCCAGGTTTTTCGCCCCACTGGAATCAGCATGGACGAGAAACTGCCGGTTCTAGTGTGGTTCTACGTGAGTTCCGCGTCTACGTCACCATTTTACCGCACTCCTCAATCTCGTTTGTTCTTTTCCCAGGGTGGCGGTTATATGAATGGGTGAGCGTTCTCGTGCCTGTCTACGTCTCTGCGCATGCTAATCCCTCCGAACCATGTAGCGCGGCTTCCGACCCGCAGTTCGACCCCACGCGTGAGTAGAGCCAAGCCAACACCCCATGTACAATTTCTCATCCTCCACCGGCAGTTTTCATGCAACGGAGCGTGGCAATCGGAAAGCCGATGATGTTTGTTACAGTGTAAGGACGCCTCCGAGTCGACGGCATTCCGATCCAGCGAGACTGATGCTATGTGCAGGAACTATCGTGTCAACACGTTTGGCTTCGTATGTTCTTGCCAGACTTGTCGCGATTGGGGCACTCACCTGCATATACACAGCTTGCAAGTCGGTTCGTGCCCCCGGAAGACCTGAATGCGGGTCTTCAAGATCAAGTTGGCGCTCTGAAATTTCTCAAGCAAAATCTGGCTGCATTTGGTGGAGACGCTTCCAAAGTGAGGCGCTCTCCTCCAATCGATCTCTTTGCGCATAACAGGTACTAATGTCATCGATAGGTAACCATTTGGGGCCAGGTATGCGCCCGTTTCCCCCTAGTATGTATTTGATGCATACAACTTATCATCACTCAGTCTGCAGGGGCCGGCAGTGTCGAGACTCACATTCTATTCCCCCCTTCGGAGCCACTGTTCCGTGCAGCTATCATGGATTCATCCACGGGGCCGTTGTGAGTATTCACACGACCCACTTGCACGGGCACTGAAACACAGCTGTCTTCTCCCGCCAGCAAGAACGATCCACCCGCAAGCCGTTACGATGACCCGGGTTCCCTTTCGCGAGACTGGTCTCAGCGACTGGATGTCCGTCTGGCCCGGCTTCATTCGCGTGCCTGCAGAAAGTCCCACTCGAGGTCGGTCACCATTCGATCAACTTCAGATTTCCCGCGCTCACGAAAACGGAAACACAGACTCTTATGAATATCACTAACGTTTTTACGAGCGAGACTCTGAACGGGCAATTTTGGCAGCCAGCACCCGGACCTCCAGGCAGTCTCATCACGGAGCGTCCTTCTCAACGTGTTCTCAGCGGCAACTTCCTTCGCGTGCCTATCCTCGCCGGGACGAACGTACGTGTTCGGGCCTTCGCACGTGGGCAGAATTCTGACTGTAACTTTCCTGAAGCTGAACGAGGGCGCCGGATTCAGCACGTCTGTCGCGAATTTGACCATCCCGTCCGACCAGGAAGATGCCCGTTTCGACCAATTCATCAAGGACCTCATGATCGACCCCACGCCCATCACTCAGGACCTGCTGGACGGCATTCACCAATTCTACGCTGCAAACGACTCCAGCCTTGGGGTGCGTTCAACACCGGCGACTCCCTGTTTGACCGCGCCGAGGCTTGGTACACGGACAACATGTACCTCGCACCGCGTCGCCTCCTGTTCTCCAAAGCCGCCGCCACCCAGCCTATCTTCGCGTACTTCTTCAAGGAGTTCATCCCAGGAGAGGACCCGTTCTTTGGAGGTGCGCAGCTATACCGAGTTCTCTGTAACCACCCAGCTGAGCGCCACGGCGCAGTCCCCCACGGCTCGGAGCTTGCCTTGCTGTTCAACGCGTTCCCTGAGGTCGAGAGGGACTTTGCCAACCAGATGGTCGACTTCTACGTCAGCTTCGTCGCCGACCTGAACCCAGGCGGTGAGCACGCTGCCCCGTTCGCCGTGCCCAGCTCAGCTCACTGACGCTCTCACAGCGCCATGGCCGCAGTACACGACGGAAACAAACAGGTCCTGCAGCTGATGCGCGACAACATCACCGCCATCCCCGACGGTAAGCAGGCAGACACGGTGCGAAACGAGCGCTGCGCACGTACTCACCCATGAGCGCAGACTTCCTGATCGAGAAGACGAACTTCCTCAGCTCTGCACGGGTCTTGGCCGAGTTCCAGAAGTGAATGAGCAGTCCACGTCGTATGTTTGGGTCGCGCTTGGCGTGGTAGTCAGATTGTATGCCCGTCGTGCAATACCGATATTTCGCCCATCTTTCGGACGTGGGTGGTTGAGACGGTTTTAACACGGCCGGGATGTTTTGCCAAGCCGTTGTGCGCGGGAGAGAGATGCATAAATCGTCTACGCTAATGCAAATTAGCTTCGGTTAGTTTGGGCGTGTATGTCAGATTCGACCCGGGTGCGCGCGGGCCGCGGAAATGATCGGGGCGGAGCGCGCATGCCATCAGCGGCGTGTGCTGCTCTCCGCACCTCTGTCGACTCTCATCGTCCTCACCCCACGGTGTACTACCCCCACAATGTCTGAGACCCGCTTACGACTGCTCACGTTCAACTGCTGGTATGTTGGCACCACGCATACGCCCTGTTCTCCTCATGGATTCCCTGCAGGGGCCTGAAGTATGTCTCAAAGTTCCGAGAAGAGCGAGTCGCAGCCATCGCAGAGGCTCTCGCGACCGCGGACTACGACATCATCACCCTCCAGGAGCTTTGGGTCTTTGCCGACTTCGAGTTCGTGCGGTCTGCACTCTCCAAGAAGCTGCCATACTCCAAGTTCTTCTACAGGTGCGTCGCCCTCCGTCCGTGCACACCGCGCAGGGAGGGACCGAAACGAAGCATTGCCCCGGCAGCGGTGCGCTTGGTGCGGGACTCGTCATCTTCTCTCGCTTCCCCATAGTCGCGGCGACGATGCACCCGTACTCGCTCAACGGGTCACCGATCGACGTCGTCGCCGGCGACTGGTTTGTCGGCAAGGGCGCCGCGAGCGCGGTCATCCTCCACCCCGTGCTCGGCGAGGTGCAGCTGTTCAACACACATGTGCGTCCTCCTGTTCAGTTCTCCCTCCCTGCTTCTCCCGCCTGGCCTCGCTCCCCCACTGGCCATGTGCCCACCAACACGAAGCTCATGCGTGCCCCCCACCCGCCCCGCAGCTGTACGCCAAAGGCGGCGACGAAGGCACCGAGGCGCAAAAAGCCCACCGCCTCGTCAACGCCTGGGAGTTCGCGAAGCTCGCCCGCGCCGCCGCCGCCGCCGGCCGCCACGTCCTCGCCGCCGGCGACTTCAACTCCGTCCCCGCGACGCTCCCCATGGCCCTCCTCCGCGCGCACGCGCAGCTCGCCGACGCCTGGGACGCCACCCACCGCGACGTGCCGCCCGCGGACCCCGCGCGCCCGCCCTCCGCGCAGGACGCGGTGCGCCTCCATGGCGTCACCGCCGACTCGCCCTTGAACTCGCACTCCGCCGGCAAGCGGCTCGAGCCCGCCGCGCGGCTCTTGCAGGGCAAGCGGCTCGACTACGTCTTCTTCCGCCCCCCGCGCGGCCCCGCGGACGCGCCGGTGCTCACCCCGGTGGAGACGCGGGTGGTGCTCGCCGAGCGCGTGCCCCGGCAGCCATACTCGTACTCGGACCACTTCGGGCTCGAGGCGACGTTCGAGATCCACGCTGCGCCCCCGCCCGCGGACGGCGACGGCGACACGACCCCGGCGGACCTCACGCTCGCGCTCTCCTCGCTCACCGCGCGGTACCGGTTCGCGCAGCGGCAGGCGCGCCTCCACCTCGCCGTCTTCCTCGCCTGCCTCCTCCTCCTCCTCGTCATCGTCGTCGCCGCCGCGTGGTTCCCGGCGGGCGTGAGCGCGCTCTTCGTGCTGCTCACGATCGCGCTCGCGTGGCTCGCGACGACGATGCTCTACGTCGGCTTCCTGTGGGGCAACTGGGAGGTGCGCGCGCTGACGAACGTCATCGAGGAGCTCGAGCTCTACCGCGGCGCGCTCGAGGCCAAGGCCCGCGGCGGGCGACGGTCGTCCGGCTCCGGCTCGCCGTAGGGGACGTGGTGTTGGATGCGGGCAGAGCGCGGCGGTGGCGGCGACGGCGATGGCATATGACGCTCCGTGCGGGGTACATTACGACTACAGCACCGCTGTTTCTGCACGCGCCGTGCGCGGTAGATTACATACACTATGTCTTCGGGGAGGCCGACCTCCCAGAGGCACTGCGGACTAATGAAACATTACGGGTTTGGATTTGACCGGGCTGGAGACGACGAGTGCGGGTAACGGACGAGTAAGTTGACGGAAAGACATCGAGCGAGAGGTAGATGCTGCCGGAGATGTAACAAAGATGGTGAGGACATGACAGTGAGTTATATGAGGGTCCTTATATGCGCAGAGATGTGTGCGGAGCAAGGTGAGGAGATGCGGAAGCGAGTATGGAGCACGCAAGTGATACAAAAGCATTGGGTGGCAGCACGGAATGAAAGGAGAGGGAGCCGATGTCACAGGGAACCGGGGCCGGGTCATGTAAGGGTATATGGGGTCGTGACTTGTCGACGGGGGCTTCGGGTTTGTACTTCGTCGTCTCGTTCGCGGGGCCCTGCGCCGCCCACTGCTTGCACAGCGAGGAGATGTCGGGGTGGCTCAGTTGTGACCGACGGATGGCGGGCTCGGGGGCGGCGCCGGAGGAGGACGTCATGCTGATAGAGGAGATGCGTTGTCGCCTGCGCATGGGGGACGACGGTGCGGAGGGGTGCGAGGGACATGGCGTGGGGAGGTTCAGCGTCGTAGACGCGGAGGCGTTGGCGGCGCCGGTGATGACGTTGAAGGTCGCTCGCAGCCGGGAGAAGGAGGACACCCTCATGAGCAGCGGCGGTTGCGACTCAGAAGGGGATGTCGGCGACGGCGGTGTGTACTCCTTAGGCTGAACCCGGATGACACGTTCGCCAAAGTCGCGTTCTTCCTCGCTGTCGGAGGAGAGGTACATGGAGCCCCAGCTGGGTTCTTCCCCAGGGGTGGGCGAACGTGATTCGGGCTGCCGCAGCCGGCGATAAGACCGTCCACGCCGCGGATCGCGGTCTTGGGTAATAACTTCTGGGCTCGCATCAGTTTCGGTGCCGTCGCCCCGGACAACACGGGTGGCATTCGAGTCGATCTCGTCCTCCAGTTGTTTCTCGGCGCTCGGCTCGAAGTACTGCGGGGTATGACTCTGGTGTTGGGGCAGGAAGTTCCAAACGAAGTCATGGCACGAGCTGAAGGCGTGGCGTGCAGCTTGGAGGAATGGAAAAGACTGGAAGACGTGGACCTGTAGCATGATTAGACGACGATGAAGATGTTAAACGTGACACACTGACCATATCCTCGTACAGCTCATGTCGCACCTCCACACCGGCCCGTGATGCTTTGTGTGCTAAAAGGGTAATCTCATCGCGCAGTACTTCAACTTCTCCGGCTTGGATAAGCAAGGGTGGAAGGCCCTTAAAATCGCCAAATAACGGACTCGCATACGGGTGGGTGAGATACTTTTCGACGTGTTCTCCAAGGTAGCACATTATCGGGTTCATGTGATCTCCAGGTTGGGGCATGGGCACAATGTCGAACTGTGCGTTGCCTTCCCATGATTCGCAGCTCATTGTGAGGTCTGAAACAGGATTGTGAGCCTCAAGAATGGAGAGACCGGCACTGAAACACAATGCGGCTAAACTCACCAACCCACGGAGACATGAGTATCGCGCCAGACGGGAGAGGGTACTTGTTGTCGCGGAGATACATTAACAGAGCGAGAGTGAGGCCACCGCCAGCGCTGTCGCCGGCGATGACAATGTTCTCCGGGGGAACGTGAAGGTCATTGACCAGTCTGAAATATGCCGAGACAGCGTCGTGCAGCGGGCCGGGGAAGCGGGTCTCGGGCGCCAAGCGGTAGTCGAGGGCTGAAACACATGTCAGAACCGGAAGAATGGCGGAAACGGGAGGAGACCCACAAAAAACTCGCGCATCAAGGTGTTTCGCGAGGGGGATGGTGATCAGGCGGTGCGTCGCGGCGCTGAACATGTAGTACGCTCCTGTGTGGGCGCATACATTCGGCGGATGGAGGAGGAAAGCGGGCAGAACGGACACATACCGCCGTGCAAGAACAACACGACCCGCTCCTTCTTCTTGCCCTTTCCGGGGACGGTGCCCGGCGGCTTGCCCTCCTTGCGAGCGCGCCACTCGGCCTGCAGCCTGCGCCAAGTGTGCCGGCCGACGACCCATTCCCCTGAGAGCTCCCGTTTTCCATTCTCGGCAGCATCGAAGTCGGCGAGGATCCCGCGCAACGCACGTGTGCGCACTGGAAAGGAGACGGGGGTGACGAGCGCATCTGAGGGGACAGGGACAAGGCCGCCGATGCTCATGAGCATGCGGATGGTGACCTGCGGGCGCAGAGAGAGCGCAGGTGAGTGGGGCAGAGGGTCTCGCGTGCGCAGGAGGAACTCACAATGTCGGTCAAGTGGGAGTACCGGCTGACGTCGCGCATCATGCTCGTGAGCAGCGTCATCTCGAGCCCCCAGGACTTTCGGCGGGGCCCCATATGTGGTGGGAGACGACATCGGCCGCTAGTGTGGTCGCTGGAGAAGAGAGGGAGCACGGTGAGCGTCGCCGTTGCCGTCGGGGTGGGTCGCGGTGCAGGGTCTGGCGCCCGGTATCGACGTCACAGGCTGGAGCCCCGCCCGATAGAGAAGGCCTTCCCCACACTACCCCGCACCTGGAAGGGTCGGCATTGCGGGGTAGCCATCACTCGGACGGGGCTGGGCGTCGCGTGCGCGAGGAGAGGACAGACGTACCCTTGACTGCCGCGAAGGTTCCGTACTTCCAGAGGTGCCAGAGCCTGATGGGCTCGTTCTCCCGCTGCTTGGCTTTGGGATCTCCGACGCGGGCAGAGGGAGGAAGGGGGATGCCGGGGTATTCGAAGTGTCGGAGGGCGTCGACCGGGCTGAAGTCGCCCGAGTGCCTCGTATGGACGGACGGTCTGGGACTCCCCTCGGGCTCGGTGTCTTCAGAGTTGCTGCGGTCGAGGGAGAAGCAGGGCATGGTGGACCCGGGGGTGGCGGTGAATGCGGGGGTGGGGAGCCAGCGGACGGAAAACACGCGGAGGGGGGACGGTAAAGAAGGCGAGCCGGGTGCGGGGGAGGAGAGAGCGACAAAGGGAGCGCACTCGGCGGACGATCCAGCACCAGACGCAGGCCACAGCGGCCAGGGCCATGATCCGTCGCACACAGATCGGGCAAATCACATGTGCCCGCACACACGTGTCCGTCATCGGTCGTGCGGGGCCACCAGGCGCCCATCGTTATGTCTACAACCGTACATGTCTCCTGACCCCGCACCCCGCATCCTCGGGCCTCCACGCCCCCGCCGCCCCCTACGAGCGCGGTCAGTAGTCGTCGCCCCGGCTTACTACTTCCTTCCTCGTCGGGCGGAGGAGGATCGTGTGTTCCTGTGTGCATATGAGCCGCTGGCCGAGACCGAATCGTGGGTGGCGCTCACAAATTGGGCCGTCATGGCCCCACGGACATCGCACAGCGGGGGGTAGTCCTGCACGATGCCCTGGGACACGAGATGGTTCAGCTGCGAGCGGGGCCATCAGCGACCCTCGAGAAACATCCGAATCGCGTCATCGCTTACCGCGAGCAGGTACCTGCTCTCCCCCGCCGCTCGAGGTACCGTCGCACCAGGGAAGCGTCCCGAAGTTTTTGTTGATCGACTTTAGCAGGTTCTGGGCCGAGGTCAGCCTACAGAGAGCCATCGATGAGCACCCGCCTCGACCACATGAGCATCCCCTACCGTAACGGCACATGCGGCGCGTCAGCCCGGCGAGCGTAGTGCGACACCTCGCCCTGTTCGACGACCTTGCCTCTCCCTGTCGAGCCGAAGGTTTCGATCGCAAAGTACTCCCCTTCTTCCATCTTCGTTTGATCCTCATTCTTGTATAGCAGCACAGACTTTTTCCCGTGAATCTGGTAGGGGTGGATCGTGTGCCCGCTCAGGTGCTCTATGGGCCGCACTGTTTAGGAGATATTGTCAGTCCAGGCCGCCGACTCAAGACGCCCACCCATACCTGGAAGCACCTTCCCGTTAACCTCCACCTCGTATGATTCCATCGTCTCTTGTATGTAACCTGCGAGTTCTCCCAGTCGCACGTCAATCCCCGCTTCCTACAACATCTCATCAGCAACGACGTTTTCCAGACGAATGAGTCGACACCAACCCGGACACCAGTGTCGGTAGCGGCCCTAACGGCCTCAAGCAGGGGGTCGTATGTAGGGTCGAAAGAGAGCGTGAAAGCAGAGTCGCAAATACGCCCCCTCACATGGACACCAATGTCGATCTTGAGCACATCCTTCTCGCCGAGGACTTCGTTGGGCCGTCAGCATCACACGCTTCTCAAGGACATCTTAAATCGTCTGCGGAGACTCACCGAGTGTATCTCCGGGATTTGGGGAATAGTGCGCTGCGCAATGGTTGAGGCTAAGCCCGGTGGGGAAGGCGATACCCGCCTCGAGCCCGTTCGCCTCGACCGTCGTTCGCACAGCGTCCTCGATCCCATCTGCGATGTCCAGCATGCGCATGCCCGGCCGGATGAACTTGCGCGCCCACTTGCGGGCGTGCCGGTGCGCCTCGGCCGCCTTGCGGATGTTGTTGTATGTCTCGTCGATGTCCTCCATCATTCTCCGCTCGTCGTAGCGCTTTTCCTCCGACGTAGTGCGGTAGGAGTTGCTGTTTAGGTGGAACACGTTTCATTCAGCATATGTCCTCGAGTATTTCCGACCCGTCCGGCACGGTGAAAGAGAGATCGGTGCACTCACTCGTCCTTGTAATCTTGGATCTCGCCTTCCGGGTAATTCCCATCGGAAAACAGCCTGGACAGTCCGATAGACGGAGGCTCCGTCTGCTCCAGCTTCTTCTTCTTGGGCTTCTTCTTTTTCTTCTTTTTCTTGCCCTCACCTAACAGACCAGCCGCGCGGTGCGCACACGCGTTCAGCTTGCACGCCTAGAGATCATGTAGTACACTCACCTCCAGCACCCTGCGTCTCAGGAGCCCCATCCTCGCCGTCCTCAGCCTCTTCCTCGTCGACCACGGCGGGTGGGACGTCCTCTGGCTTATTCTCCACCGGCGCGATCATGTCTGCTCTTCAAGGATTTGTGGGGTTTGCGAAGCCCGAGGTACGGACCGTACGGCTGAGATGCAAGCAGTCTTGGCGGCACGAGTATGAGTGAACGAGAAGCAAGCGAGACTTGGCACCAGGCTGGTGGTGAGCACAAGGCAACTGTCAGAATTCTTGTCGCCCGCTGCAATCGCGCAGACGCCACAAAAGGTATGCGTGCCGAAGTTCTAGGCTGGCGGGCCGCGCCACGTGACGGTATGTCTGCTGCAATCGATCCGCGTCCCAACTTGCTCATTGCATTTTCTTGGACTTCCATCTATTATTCAAGACCTAGAACGCCCGCGGTGTAAAACGGAGCCTCGGATTATCGTCATGGAACATGTGGACCTTCCTCAAGCCCCGATATTCTCTTGGACTTGTATGAATTACACTCAACGCCAGACACACACACCTCTATATTCTATGCAGACCGCGAGTGTTCTGCCTTGCCCACTCCAATATCGCAAGCCACAGACAGACCGTATGTCACGCTCACCTTCGCACAATCGCTAGATGCGAAGATCGCTGGAGCCGGAGGACAGCAGCTCATTTTGAGCGGGAAAGAGAGCATGATCATGACCCATTGGTATGTCGCGTTCTTCGTACCCCTACAGTGCGATTCGACAAGGTGCAGCACGAGCTCGCACCCCAGGCCACGAACCTCTCCGAACCAGCACCCAGCTGCTTATAAGCGGTCGCTCTTCGCCCGGCAGGATGCGCACCCTCCACGACGCGATCCTTGTCGGGATTGGGACGGCGCTCAACGACGACCCCCAGCTGAACAGTGAGTCTTCCGGCCCAATTGGTTCGCCGCTGGCCCTCATCGTGGACGTTTGCTCGCCCCACCACATCTCCATCGGACGGGCCCGCCGCGCCGTGAATTCCATGCACCTACCACACCTTTCGGTCCCCAACACTGTCCTTCCTGTCGCGCTCGCGAACCACCCCCATACCCCGAGCAGCCCGCCATCTCCCCGCACTCCCCACAACTTCCCGCGCAAGTATCGCCTTCCCCGTCCCGTCATCCTCGACACCCGCGCGCGCACTTCGCCGGACTGCAAGCTCCTCAAGAACTACCGGGCCGGAACGGGCCGGCGTCCATGGATCGTCTGCGCGCGGGGTCGAACTGTCGGAAAAAGACACGGAGGCGCACGCGGAGCGAAAAGCCGCGTTGGACAGGGCAGGCGCATGCCTCGTCGAGGTCCCCGCCGACCGCGAGTCCGGTGAGGCACCGCACCCGCTCCCCCCCTTTCCGGCGTGCTCACCACCGTCTGCCTCTGCCTCGCAGGGACGATCGGCGTCCCCGTGCTGCTCGAGGCGCTCGGGAAGCTCGGAGTGCGTTCCGTCATGGTCGAGGGCGGCGCGCGGGTCATCCGCTCGTTCGTGCGCGCCGCGCGCGGGGGCCCCGGCGCGGTCGACGCGCTCGTCGTCACCGTCGCGCCGCGGATCGTGGGGGACGCGGGCGTGGGCTACGGCGGCGGCCTGCGCGCGGACGACGTGGGTCTTCGTCCTGCCCGCCTCCCCGTGTCCTGCCCGTGCTCACGACGCGCTCTTCCCCCGTGTGTGGCAGCTGCCGACGCTCGAGCCCGTGCGGACGGCGGTGTTCGGGCCTGACGCCGTGGTCGCCATGCGCGCGCGCTGAATGGACCGCAGCGGGACGGAAGACGGCGCGCACCGGCACAGAGGTCGGAGGCGGATGGGCCGGCAGGAAGCGACGCGGGGGGAGGCTGATATGCCGGTAAACACCCGCTGCGTGGCGAGTTCTAGTTCTCTTCGAGGAGGATCCGTCAAGTGCAGCCTCCGGGCCCGTGGTTCCTATCGCAATACATAGAGAGTCGGCCTTCGACCGGCACGGCTGCGGCACAGTCGGCGTGCGTCCAAGACTGCAGTGAGTACAGATCCATTCCCGCGTCCAGGCTCGTCCTCGCAGGGCACGGCGGACCTGCGTGCCCCTTAACGCCGTCCCCCCAGCACTTCTCGTTCCCGTCGCAAGCTCGAAGATTCATACGGCCGTCAAACCTGCCCGATCGTGTCCCTGCTGCATGATTCGCCTGGAACAAGTAGGCACAGTATCGGAGCGGGACCGAGCTTGATGTTGAACGTTGAAATGTTGAGCGCCGAGCGTCGAGGACCAGGGTCCAGGAAAACCGAGTCCACAAGACAATCACCGAACATACTCCGTCGCCCGTGCTTCCTGTCTTACTTATGTGCGTTCTGCCAACTGTCTCCCGCACAACCGACACACCCTCCGGTGCTTCGACGCCCCCGGCCAGGCGACATCAAACGTCACAAAGTTACACATTCCTTCCCCCTCGGTGCACTCGCTTTGGGTTGAATCGCCCATGATGCATCCCAAGACCGGCCGGCGGGCGCACCAGCTGTCGAGCACGACAGGTGATGCGGCCGCCTGTCCGGCCGTTGGCCTTCCGTGGCACTCAAAGGGGCGCTCTCGGCGATGCCGGTTGTCAGTGCGAGACGTCGGGATCGCAACTTTGTTGAGCCGCATCGATGCCCGTTGAGCTCCAGCGCACGTACGGATGGTGCAATACGTTCGACACTCCTCACTAACCACATCTGCAAGCAAAGTCTTTCCTGCCACCTGCGGGAAGGACACTGACGCCGCGATCGGCGCTACATCGGCGAGTTGTTCGAGCTCTGAGTCTGAGTCTGGGGATCCGAGTTGCGTCCGGTCGAGATATGTTCCTGCACCGTAGGTGACTTTCCCCATCTACCTGCATCACCGTGTGGCGCGGAGTTCCTGGGCCTGAATAGGCCTTGGCTTTGACATGATGATTGAGTGTGAGGCCACCCTCCCGCCTCACTGGGAAGGCGGGGCTCACCCCTGTGTTGTTTGGAGCGCGAGCGAGAGGGATCGCCCACGTTGTTTGTTTCTGTCCGCGGCAATTCAATCGTCAGCGGAGATGCGTCAGGGAATGGGCGGAGGAACCGGGCCGGACGACGCATCTGCACATGTGTGGCGGAAGAACGCGATGCGGAATGAGGATGCTGTGCAGCCGATCTTCGAGCAATGCGGGGCGGTATACCAACCCACGGCAAGCATGGGCGTTGTGTTAGGAGAGCAGAGGAGGAGGCGGCGGATATATTCGATGCTGACGGAGATGAGAACTGGTGGCCTCGCGCGATCCGTGCGTCGAGCGGTCGAGCCCGGACTATCGACAGCGTGCGCGCGAAGTTCTAGTGTGAAGGCGAGGGAGAATGATCGCGGACGGACCTCCATGCACATGGCACGCGTGTGGCAGGTTCCGAAGCACACGCCTCGCGGAGAGGTGCGAGCCGTCAAGCGAAAGCGTTGCGGTGGGAGTGCGAACATAGAGGGGCAGTCTGCTGTGGTAGCTGGAGGCGCTCAGTGGACAGGGACGGGAGATCGCTGGGCGGAATGGCGGGAGGGGCGAGCAGCTGTGTCGGAGATCAGAACGGGCAGGGGCGACTGACGTCAGTCTGCAGGGACGGGTGTCATGCTAAATTGTCGCCGCCTGCGTTCTGCGACGCCTCGCGCGACGGCCCGCCCGCGACACGACGAGCACATAGCCCTCGCTGGCCACCACCCTCCCTCCGCCCTCCCCTCCTCCTCCCCGGCCCTCGTCGCACCCCGTCCCCCGCGTCGTCCCCCTCCCCTCCTCCTCGCCGCACACGGCCTGCTCAGCCTCGCGCCCCCGACGTCGATGGCGGTTGTGCAACGGCTCACGGTGCCCACACCAGCAACGTTCAAGCCCCTCCCGCCAATTGTGCCCGAGTCTCCCGCACGCAGTCCATGGCCGCGCACTGAAATTCGGGCCCAGCCCGCGCGCGACGACCGCGCTCTCGCCTCCCGCCCCCGACGTCCCTCCCGGCGGTGCGGCGCGCGACTCCGGCCGAGCCACACAGTGCGTCGTCCGTCCGCTTATCAGAGTTTTTACTCTAACCCACCGCCCCCGCGCGCCCTCTGCCGCGCAGGAACGGGCTCAATCAACCCGCCGCGCGAACACAAGTCGAGCACGTTTCCCTCGACGCACGACCTCGACGTCACCTCTGATGCCCATCCGCCCGCATCACGCGCGCCTGCGCGCAGCGATAGAAGCTCGCCCGCCGCCATGCCCACGCCTGCTCGCACCCCCGCCGACACCCCGCCCCCGCTGCCGCCAAAAAACCCGGCGTACTACCGTCTGAAGACGATGCGCGCGAGCGGGGCCCCTGACGCCCGTCCAGAGGGAGGTGCAGGCCCAGCCGACGATGTGTTCGTTCGCTGGCGCCATTCGCATCCCCACTCTCGCCCCGACTCGGGCCACTCGTATCTGCCCTCGACGCATGCGCCGTTCCAGCCGGAAGACGCGCCGGCCCAGCCGACGCTATTAACTTCCCAGCGACTGCCTCACCGCGCCGGCTCTCGCACCCTCACCTTCTCCTCGGATGCCCCCCGCCTCCGTTCAGGCAGCCCAGGCATGGAATCCGTCGCCGTCCATCGCCCGCCCATGCCCCCGCCGCGTCCCAACAGGCTGCAAAAACGACGGGCTCCGGAGAGTACTCTGAACGCCGCCCCCGCCTCCGTCTTTGCCGTCCTGCGCCCCCGCAGCCCCGTCCCCAGCGACCAGTCGTCAGCCCTCCTCTCACCCGGCGCGTCCTCGCCGATGCAACACCCCTCCTCACACAGACCGGCGCGGAGTCTCAGCGATGGCTCCTGCCTCCGCCCGAACACCGGTCTCCGGGGCGCGCGGACAGACAGTACATACACCTCCACCTCCTCGAGCACCAGTACGTCCCAAGCCTCTACCTCCACCAACATCACCACCCCCGACTCCTCCGACTCCCCCGGTCTGTCCCCGAGCAATAGTCTCGTCGCGCGCAAGCTTCAGAAGAGGCGGCCCCCCGTCGCGCCCTCTGCATACCCTTTCCCGCCTGGCGCGCAGGTCTCGTTGGCCCTAGGCCGGTCTAAATCCACCCCCAACGGGTTAGGCCAGCGTACACCGAAGAGCCGGATCTGGTCCAGTGCCTCAGAAGCAGCTGCGGGAGGTAGATCTCATCCAGGTCAGGAGCATCCCATGTGGCAAGCCTCCGTAAGTCCTCTGAACTCTCCTGCTGCGCGCCGAGACCCGACGCTGACGACTGTGGTGCGTATTTCGTCGTCGTCCCCCGCGTCATCCCCTCGCCCCCGTACAGCCGTCGGACGGCCTTCCTGCCGGTCTACGGCCCATTCTCGAAGTCCGGAGAAAGCCGTCGTCACAAACTCTGGCCGAGTTGGCATGCACAGGGCTTTCCTCGACCTCAATAGCACGGCACACATCGCTGTATGCGGATAGTGCGCAGACAGAGCAGAGCTTCCAAGAACTCCAGGACCAGTGGCAACACTCCGAGTCTTTCAATCCTTACACCGAATGCGTCTCGCCCGAATACGCCTCTGCTGAGAACCCCTACGGCAGCGTCTACGACGCATATACCTCCCTTCCGCCCTCCGTTTCCCATCGGGATTTCCAGGCCAACGGAGAGGAGCCGACGTCAGGCTTCTCCGTCGTCGGGGGCTATCTCGACCGCAGCGAAGACGCCATGCGACGGTGGACCACGGCGATGGCCGACGTGCCCGATGACGTGCTCTCCTTCCACCTCGAACGACTGCGCAAAGAAAGCACGGCTCTCGCGCGAGGCAAGCTCTCCGGGCGCCGCAGCGCTGCGCCCAGCCAAGTAGGCCACACCGACGACGACGTCACGATGGACACCCTGGACAGGCGGTCATCGTTTGTCTTCGGCGGCCCGCGCGAGATGGGCGTCGCCGCCACCTCGCCATCCTCGTCGCGCGCATGCTTCAGTGTGGGCCACTACGAGCAATCCTTCGCCGACTGCGACGGTGAAGACTCGGACGAGGGGACACTTTCGGAGGAGGAGTGTGGGGAGGAAGATTGGAAGGCGGCTCGGCACGTCCTCTTCTCGTGCCGCGAGATCGTCCAGACGGAGCGCAACTACCAAGAGCGCCTCCGCGAGCTCGCCTGCACCGAGCTCGCGCCCCGCTTCGCCTCGCTCGTCGCGAAGCACGTCCCTGCGCTCCTTCGCGTCTCGGAGCGTTTCCTCTCGCACATCCAGGACGACCCGAGCGCATGGGGCGTGAGCGCCGCGTTCATCGGCTGCGAGGAGGAGCTCGAGCCCGCGTTCGTCGCCTGGTCCGCCATCGTGGGGGAGTTCTTCGCCGAGGGCGCGAACCTCCGCCCCTCGCGGAAGCTCGCCAAGCGGTCCTCCACCTCGGACGACCTCTTCGCGCTCCCCACGATGCGCACACGCAGCTTCACGAGCCTCGCGGGCGCGATCGGCGGGGGCCGCCGCGCGTCCTACGCGATGTCGGACATCGGACACGGGAGCGGTGGAGGGACCAGCTCCCCGGCTTTCTCACGGCGCAACAGCGGCGTGGGCCTATTCACCGCCGCGCTCGGTGCGGGGCTCGGGTTCGGCCTCTCGTCGGCCTCATCGCCGCCCTCGCCGCTGCACTCGCCGACGGCTGATGCGCCGCTCTCGCGCGTGTCGTCGAGCACCGCCCTCTCGCGCGCGGTGAGCTCCGCCTGGAAGCGCGTGAGCGTGCCGTCCACGCCCAACCTGAACGTCACGCCGTCGTCGCCGTTCGCGGCGAGCTTCTCCGTCGCGCCGTCGTCGCCCCCGCCGGCGTCGTCCGCGTCGGCGCTCGGGCACGGGTCCTCGTACACGCCGGCGTCGGGCGTGCCGCGGGGCGCGAGCAGCGCGCACGGGCACGGCGGGCCCGCGGCGGGGATGGGGCCGCGGAAGACGTCGGACCAGGAGATGAAGAGCGTCGTCCGCGACCTCGCGATCCAGCCGATCCAGCGGGTGATGCGATACGTGCTCAAGTACCGCGGTGCGTCCTCCCTCTGCTGCCCCAAGACGCGTTTCGTCTGACGTCGGTGTGTGTGCGCCCCCAGGTCTGCTTGACCACATGCCGGCGACGAGTCCGTCGCGCGCGCTGGTGGAGCGGGCGCACGAGAGTGCGCTGCGCATCGCGCGGAACGCGGACCGCGCGCAGGCGCACGCCGCGTTTGCGCGCCAGCTCACCCCGAGCACCAAAAGCGAGAAGGGTTCGCCGCGGCCTCAAAAGACGTGACGACACTCACGAACAATGACCAACGACCGACCATTCCCGAGACGCCACCCGTCCGTCCATCGACGATGAAGCATTCATTTTAAGACCATCCATCATGCCCGCGTCCATGTCCCCTCCCATGTCCCGCACGCACGATCAGCTATCTACCCCGCATTCCATCCCATCGCATGATCGCTCCCCACACCCACACGCATTCCGTTCACTGTACATGTACGCCAACGCCCCATCAACATTACATCTGTACGATTAACCCACCACGCCACGTTCTCCCCTGCTTTCCGCGCGCCCCTTGTCCGCACATTCTACTCCTCATATGTCTTGATCTCCCGCACATCCCCTCCCCACCGTCCGCCGCACACGACGGACCTCAATGGCCCCCTCCACCCCTCTCCGCCGCCCTTCTTGATACCGACTCCGGTTGGGTTCCCTCGCAGATTAACGGCTGGGGGCGCGCTCATGCAGCCGCCGCCGCCTAGCCGCCTTTGTTGGTATTTATCCGCTTCACACGTTCGATCGCTGTGTGCCCCACGTAGACCGGTGCGTCGCGCGTGAACGTGCATGTTTTTGTGTCGTTTATGTGGTGCGCTCGTGCAATGCGATGCGTCGCACACTTTCCGTCGGAATCGGGTCTGCGTTGGGATGCTAGGGAGACTAGGTCTGCGTGCCGCAACTCCGTGCCCTTTTGAAGTCCGTGCGTTTCGAGAGCTTTTGGCTTGGCAAGCTAGTGCGCTCGCGAAGGGTTTGAGATGACGGGACAACGTCGCGCGCCGTGGGCACATTCGGACTTGGTCTTGCCGCATACACGTGTTATTAGATGTCTTAGCTGTCGCAGACTACAGAGTACAAGACGCCGTGGGATAGACTGGAAATCCGGGGGAAAGACCGCCAATCATCGACAACACAGTGCACTGCGTACCAATGAAAGAGACCGCCCTCCGGAACACGCCAACTCGCACCGGGCATCGATCCGGTCACTCTCCCCTCTTCCTCCCAGCGGCAGGACCGTTGTTGAGCATCTTCAGCTTCTTGTGCGGCGGCTGTCCGGGCTCGGCCCCCTCATCGTTGTCCACCTCGGCCGTGTCCGCCGTCACGACCGGCGAGCAGAGGTCGAGCATCTTGCTCAACTTCTCGACGGGCAGCCGCTCCTCGCCCAACGAATCGAGGGCGTCGCGCATGAGTTGGCCGAACGACGTGTAGAGGTCGCCGGTGACCGTGGTCGAGACAGGCAGGCGCCAGGTTTCATCGGGAGCTTGCACCAGGTCTGCCTTTTGGATAGTCATGTAGGCCTCTTGTAGTTTCATGAAGAACCCAATGGGAGCCAGGAGGGGAGGATGGGATGGGTAAAGCGGGCGAAGCAATCCAAGCAACTTCTTGACCCCAGGCCAGGGTCGGGTGATGAGGGCGCTTCGCGGCCCATTTCCGTTCACGCCACAGAAGAAGTATTCCCTCGAGCTCCGGTCGATGTTGTTGTGGAGATCCTTCACAATGTCAACGCCCGTTTCCTGAAGCTTGACGATTGACTGGTGAGGGATGCGGAAGTGGAAGAACCAGACGTAGACCCAACAGAGCGACTCGAGATCGTGGAGGTGGTGTACAATGAACGGAGGATGGGGTGTGCGTCCAGTGAGGGTGGGGTCCGAAGGGACGTCCCACTCGTAAAATAACCAGTCCTTGAGTTGATACTCCACGGCCATGAAATCCGGAGTTCCCTAGGAATCGATCAACGACACGTTCCAAGTGGCCGCTGTTGTGATACTCACCGTCTTGGGTTCCGAAGCCGACATGGCGTTGTGTGGCTTAGCATACTCCAGGTCTGCCAACCTGCCTACGTTCTTGACTGGATCGTAGAGACAGTTTCCTGCGCTGACGTCGCGATGGACGAAGCCTGCTTTTTGCATAAATTCCAGGGCTGAAGTGATTTTCGTCATTGAAAATGGTATTCCAGAAGCCTGAAATGAAAGACGTACCTTTTGCGCAACCGGTGACGCATCGGAGGAAGTTGGAGACGTCGCTCAGCTCATACACACTCTTGCAGCACCCTTCAAAGACAGTTCGAACGTGCTTGCGGCAGAGGCTACTTTTCAGTGCGTTGCCCTCGGGATTTGCAGGCTTCTGGCCAGACATCGTGTCTGAACAAGCTTGCATGGACGATCTGGAGCGAGAAAGGAATGGAGAGTCAGATCGTGTCCACTCCACCATTTTCCCTCCTGGGCACATGGGGGTGATGTCCCGCTCCCCGTTGCTTAGCAAGACGACGTGGTCGACGAGAATAGTGAGAAAGTACTGTTGTGCCTCCTCCGCGCCGTCGCGTAGCTCCTTGAAGATCTTGGCCTGGATTTCGCCCTCCAAGAGAGCGTTTCTGTACGACCAGACGTCCTTCAGTACCTTCTCGCCAGGGAGGAACTCCAAGGGCTCGAATATCTGTCCGTTGTTTGTGCGAATTTCCTTCACCTTCCAGACCCGAGTCGCGCGGGACACGATCTTGTGTGCTCTTTCCTCCGATATGGGATCACCGTCTGTCTGGAACATGCGGCCCTCGGTTGAATAACGGAAGTCATACCTGGCCCTGGCTGTGCCGTCGTCAGCCTCGGAGGGGATGCGTTCAACCGAGAGGTCATAACCGAGGGCCTCCATAGAACCATACATCGCAAAAAGGAAAAACCACGCTAGTTGTCGTGGTTCCTGTGCACGAATGTCAGTCACAGTCGGGGCGGCAGTCTCCGAAAAGGGGATGCACCTTGTGGAAGTTGAAGCCAGTCGAGCACTGGACATGGGAGCGCAAAAACTTAAAGAAACGGAGGCTGCTGCCTTCAATGGTGATGCCGCTGACACAGCGTCTACAGGGATCGTTGAACAAGATTTCGGTCGCTGCCTGGACCAGCTTCCTTTCGTTCTATGAGACGATGAGCAACAGGTCGTGGTGCGATTGGATATGACTCCACTCACATCCATCCTGTCGTCGGTAGACTTGCCTAGTCTGAACTCTGCGATCGTCGCGGTGGCTGTGATCTCGTCTGAAGCATACCTGCATGCTGCTTCATCGTTCGGTGTGCGCATCTGTTTGAGGCGGTCGGAAGACCTCGTATCTGAAGGAGTGTTCTTCCCAAGGAAACTGCACGGAAGGGGGTTTTGTCATCGCGAAGTCTAAGGATGGTGCGATAGTCAGGGTGGGACTGATAGCCCTTGACGGCAGGGGTGGAGTTCATATATGGTCGGGCGACCAAGGCAGCGGTGGGGTGTATCTCCTTCACGGCCTGCACGATCACGCTGGCGATTTGCTCGAAGTGCGAAAATGTTGTCATCTCGTCATCTTCGGCGGCTCTGGAGGCGTTGATGTCAACCCAACCGTTGTCGTCGAGAACGGCTTGCCCATCGTCATGAGGTTGCTTGAGAAAGGTAATAACGCTGTCGACGGTGTTGTCGGGCCAGTCCTTGTTGAGAACACCATGGGTCACCAGCCAATCACTCGGGGGGCAACAGAAGAGTGTCTCATTCATGTTATAAACGTTGGAGTGGGAGCGTGTCCTGCGGTGGTTGGGAGGAGGAGAGGCCGAGAGGCAGCGCTCGCTGCGTGCGTTCGCCCTCAGGCGCCCAATATCGGACCCAGGTCACACGCGTCATAGCAGGTCATAGCGCCTTTGACGTCTCGCCACCATTTCCTCTGCTCCCTCCCAATGGCGGACAACATGCATCAACATGACCCAGGCGGCTCGGATTCGGAGAGTTCTTCCTATCCTTCTCTCTGCCACACAGCGAGCGTCATCCGACGCTCTACTACGACGACGGCAACGTCGTCCTCTCCGGCTCACCCAAGACGGCCAACGCCAACATTTCCGGTCCACAAGTCCGTTCTCGCTCGACATTCCCCCGTGCTCGCCGATCTCTTTGCCCTCCCCCACTCCTCTCCAATGGGTCCGCGACGGAGATTGCAGAGGTGTACGACGCGTCGTGCACGTGCAGATGCAGGACAGCATCGACGACCTCGTCAGCTTCCTCACCATGTTCTACGATCCACTGTGAGCCCGCCCTCGCCCTTCATCTCCTTCTCCCATCTCCCAACTCTCCATCCTCACCCTCAGAGGGACCGCATACAAGCGCTTCAACCCAACACACCCGTGCTCGTCCAAGGTGCTCTCAAGCTCGCCGCCAAGTACGAGTGCGAGGCTCTCCGCCACCAGCTCATCGCCTCCCTCGAGGCCGACTGGCCACAGACCCTCGCCCAGTGGGACGCCCGCCGCGCCGAGGCCGTCCTCCTCCGCTCTGAGCACGCGCTGCAGGTGCACGGCCGCGTCGCCGGCCTCTACCTCGACGACCGCCTGCCCGAGCCCGCGTCCGCGATCCGCACCGGCGTCCGACCACGGCGTGCCCTCGATCCTCCCTGCCGCCTTCTACACCCTCGCGCTGCTCTCCCCCGACGCGGACTGGGACGCCGTGCGGGCGGGCGACCCGGGCAAGCGCCTCCGCTTCGGCGCGCGCACCGCGCGCTGGCGCCTGCTCGACACCCGCGACCTGATGCGCCTCGTCCGCGGCCAGAAGCTGCTCGCCGCGCACACGCGCGCGATCGGGACGGACGTGTTCGGGACGCGGTGCCCGCGCGGCTCGCGCGGGTGCACCAAGGCGCGGGGGGACTGCTGGAGGTACTTCCAGGAGAACGCGCCGAACTCGCTCGAGGACCCGCTCGACATCCTGCACGACTGCATGCGGCTCGACAGCCTCTTCAGCGAGCTCCCGTGCGCCTCGTGCACGCGTGAGATCGTCGTCATGGCGGAGAAAAAGAGGAGGGAGCTCTGGCGGAGCCTGCCTGCGGTGTTCAACCTCCAGTGATGTCCGTGCTTTCGTTCCGCCGATACTGCTCTTCTTCCTGTACTATAGTGCATCGGGCATCTTTCGTTAGCTACATCTTGTCCTCTGTCGGTATCGCCTCATGTTTAACTGTGTTGTAGTGACGCTTCACTTTGTTGTAATACATGCATGTGTGTATTTGTACCATCGTCACACCGGATGAACATAATGAGCTTTGAGATGGACCATCACGATTGTGGTCGAGAAAAATACTAAGCACAAGGTCATACTAAGATCCAAGGGCATAGCTCAAGAAGTGTATATGACAGGGAGACCAACTTTGTGTACTCAGCAGTCAACAACGTGTCGGATCCATGGCTTTACAAGAGCCGAGCAGGCGATGTCAGATGAAGAACAGGCGAAGAAAGAAAATAACGGGACTAGATACAGTGCAATGCTCTAATACATAAATATGATAAGTTATGACACAAGGCGGCACGGCGTGTCAAGCCAGCTATGACTCGCGGGGCCATACTGATGCCCAAAGAGGTGCAGGATACGGACGCTGAGGAACCAAAATGTCAACGCGTTGTTAACAAGCATTGAAGTCGTGAACATACCAGGGATTCTCGAGGACATATGGTCGGTGGACCTTTTCTGAACACGTACACGGTTGGCAGCCGCGGAGCCTAGAATGGCAATGAATTGGTGCCTGCGGTGCTCGAACCATGTACTCACCACATAGGGAATCAATCGGTTGGTGTTCTCGCTATCGTAAGCCAGCGGATAAAGTTGGGATAATGGAATGCGCTATGCAGTTCTTCTCAATCTCAGTTGACGTCTCCGAGCACTTGTTTGTCTAAGGTGGAGATTCGTGAGCAGACCATCAAAGGAGGAGCAGTTGACGACATACATTCAAGATGTCGAGGTAGACAAAGCTGAACGTACTGAACGTCCTGGAACTCTTCAAGCCTCGGAGAGCGGGAGGGTACCAGAAGTTGGCAAAGGCATTGGTGGCAGAGTCAAGGGCAAGGTCTGGCCTCTCCATGCCTGGTGACACGATGGCGAGTCGGCATGATAAGATATACCGTTTCGTATCGCCGACGTAGTGTCGGGTGAGTTGAAGTGGAAGGGTATGAAGTCGGGATCTTCCAGAGAGTACAGACTGGTTATATAGTTCCTGATACTGGCGAGGATCGCGTCTTCGTAGTCCAGGAGATGTTCATCCATGCCGTAAGCCTTCATACACAAGTGCATCAAGGACTTGTGGGTGAATACGAAACCTCCAATCCATGCGTCTGCTGAATGCGCTAACTATGACCATGATGCAGGAGAGGCGAGTGGGTGGATAGGGCAAGTGGCGTAGAGGTGATGGTTGGTTTCTGCAATGTGGGCGCCTTCGAAAGTTCGCTGACATTTCGGTTAATCACGTGTTTAAATGCACGTGCAGCAGATAGCACAGCCACGAAGACCACATTTCAGCCAGCCGGGGCGCGGGCCGCAATTCTGAACTGACCACTTCCCTTACGAGCACACAATGGTGTGCCGTTCCCATTGTTCTATGTGGGCACATATAAGGCGCCGCTACGTGCCTCCCCATTCTATGCCCGTTTTTTTTCTAACTTCTACCACCCGACTTCCCACACCAATCCCACACCCGACTCCGACCCACCTCTGGCGGCTCTCCAACTCCCGACGTCGTCATCGCCTTGCTTCGTCGCCTTCCATGGGTAAGAAACGAAAAGCCCCAGGCGAAAACACCGGACCACCCTTCAAGAGGGGCGCCTCAGGAAGGCAAGCCATTTCATTTGATATCCCAATCCATCGCTCACCAATCCTGTAGGGAGCCCGAGCCGACTGAGACTCCTCACCACGCTGGCGTGACCGCTGAGGGCCCGGTCTTCGAGTTCAACCATGAATTCGAGTGCAAGGTTGAAAAAATTGCCAGTGTGGTCCGTTTTTGCAAGAAGCGAATTGTATGTTTGTTTACTACCTCCTTGCCAATTCACGGCTGCCAGTTCTTCACTCAACCATCTGATCGTTGGCATTTATTGCTAGCCCCTACGGTACGTGTGCTTAATATTGATTTGTATTATTCCTCTGTATTAATCATACTTCTTAGAAACTCGAAGAAACGCCCCACGTTCCCTGATGCACATGTAGTTACCGGGAAGCTCAACTCCCTGATCATTGAACTCAACAACTTGAAAAATGATATGAGGGTGAGAGGTCTTTCGTTTGCATCCCCCCAAATGTATCTTGACCACTTCGAATCGTGAATTGTGAAGCGCGAGGTATTCAAGCTAGCCGTCTCGATCAAGGAGACGTACGACCACTCCCTCGTACAGCCGGGACTCCAGCATAACGTCGGTTCTCAGGTGAGTCACAGATAACTTGGTCATTTATATACGTTTCTCGCTCACACTGCAACTAAGCATCAAGCTCTCGTTCGATCGGCCAGGCCGCGACAGTCCGAGTGGGTTATGACAAGAGGGTCAACCATCAAACGCGCTGATACGCCCAACGAATCTACTGTCGATGGTATAGTCAGTTCCAGGCTCAGCCCCCACTTCCGTCCCGATAAGTCGTTCTTGTTCATGGGTCAACCTAAATGTCGCGATCTCTTGGACATCAGGCCGAGCATGTTCAAAGATGGTCTCTTTCAAAGCGATGAACACTTCCAGAGGTGGCTCCACATCCAGCAGGTCGGAGCGGCGAATTTCTATCTCGACGCTCCTCCAGATCTTCCGAACGGGATCCAGGTCGACTCCACGACCTCTGCTGGTGAGCATGCCACTGAGACATCGAACGATGACCATCAAGTTGCTGTGGAATCTGCTTCAGTTCGTACCACTCGCCCCCAGCCAGAGCCGACGACCGACCTTTCGGACGACGCTCACATTTCTGGTGGCTCTGGCCCAGACCGGGACCCGACGCCTTCCGCCAACAGCGAGGAGCCTTCCCGGGGCCCAAGCGCTGTGTCTGCAACCCAGCCCTGCTCACACAACTCCAGCGGGAAACTTGTCGGGAGAAATGACGATGGACGCCAGATACTCTGCATCCCTGACTTCGTTCTTCGGACCGTCGACAGGCTTGGTATGCCTAACAAGACTCTTGTGATCGTTGAGGACAAATTGGACGCTGACCCCACAGGCGATCTCATTTACTACATGAACAAGCATCACGATACGGAGAAGATCTTCGGCATTGGCTTCCGGATCAACCCGAGAACAGGTAGGGGGATCGAGTACATAATTCTTCAAAGAGACCCGAAGGGAAAGCGTGACAGGGATCACCGAATCCGGATCGTGCGCGTGTATGCCGCCGGTGACAACCAGGAGACCCATAGCGGCTGGTACAAGTGGACTCACCCTCTCCTTGACGACATCATTGGCATGATCTGCGACGAGCACGCGGTAGACGTCGCATGGTACTCTCATCCGCCAGAAGACTCCAACCCTTGCCACGCTCAGGTGTGTCTCCCCAACCAGTCTGCTCACTGCGCAGGGCACTAACAGCGTTGAGTGTAGTCCACGATCTCCTCCGCGAGCTCTCAAGAGGTCTCAGCACTACTCGCTGCACCGCGGTCCCCTTCTCCTTCTCCCGGCATTGCCAATCCCTCCGCCGTCGCTGAGCCCGTCGCCACTGCCGTCGCCGCCGCCGCCAAAGCTCGCGCGATGTGCCAGATCCAGTGAACGATCTTACCGTGCCCGTCTCGTGACTCAATCTCGTCTACACTCGCAAGTTTTCGCTGTTCATAACTGATCCACGCTCCTACTACACCCACCGACACCCACGCTCGCGCACCCGCATCGACTTCCACACTCCCTTGTCCTCATCTCTCACGCTCGTTTCCTCTTATTTCCTCTCGCACATCCTGCCACACTCGTTTGTACTCGCATCTCCTCACGCTCGTTTGCACTCACACTGTAGCATACTCATTGTATCATACTCCGTACTCCGTACGCAATCCACTCGGATGTATTCCGAGACAAATGTTTTTCTGTCCGTGCCCTACCGCGCTGTCTCGCGGAAAATGCCAGAAATACAGGTTGCGACTCACTTTCGAACCCCTACGTACAAACTCGCAAAGATTACGACCTCGCGACGACCGAGTGCCGATGATCCCCGCGTCCCATCACCCACTCCCGCACCCAATGCGCCTGCACGTCCTCCCGCTCCGAGCCCGCCACGAGCAGCGCACCGTCGGACGAGAGCGCGCACGTGGTCACCAGCCCCTCGAAATCGACGCAGCGCGCGACGCACTCCCACTGCGTGCCGTCCGCCCGGTCGCAGTGTAAGTTCGCCACAGCCGCGTCACGTCGTCCCGCGCAGACGCGGTCGTGACGAGCGCGCCGTCGACATGGCGAGCCATTGAGCATCACTGCCACGCAGAAGTGCAGTTTTGATGTTAGAAACTGAGCTCAGAGTGCACGTCATGAATCATATATAACGTGTATGGTTACGCACCCGCACAAGCCTGGCTGAAACGCTGATGATCGCGTCCACGATGAATAGATAGGGGCGAATGAGCTTTGTAGCCGACGCGTTAGCGGATGGCATGCCTTCCAACTATGAGAAAACTTACACAATGCGCATCGTAATCCGGCGGTTCGTCATAGAGATCTCGAAGTGATCCGACCAATCCGCACCCCTCCATTCCATTGAACGCAAGTACATATTCGCCAGCGCCGATGTCATCAATTTTCAATGGCTCAGCATCCCCGCTTCAACTATGCGGCCTGTTCGATGAGCCAGCGACGTGCTACCCCCGCGAGACAGCCCGTGGAGGAAGCTGGAGTGGTCCAACGAGGGGGAGACCCACGCACAAATGCGATATTTCGTATGGACGTTTCCGTGACGCTGCCTTCTTCGTTGAACAGCAGGACGTCCAACACCGAGTCTGATGGCAACGCAGGGAGACTGAACCTGTCCCGAGCGGCCGTGTAATGGGGCGGTGAGTGGTCTTTGTGCGTGTAAAAAGACTTGATAGCGTCGGAGCAGAATCAGGACATATCTCGAGCATTTTCTGGCCGAACAGTGGGGGATCTTGTGCATCGACATAGGGTAGCCAGAGCGATGCGGCCAATGGATCCGGATAGGAGAGAGACAAGGCGGGGGCCGCAGTAACAGCGAGGGCGCCGGAGTGGTCGAGGAGAACACGAACCTAAGTCCGCCATCAGCACCGACAACGAGAAAAAGTCGCACGTGTTACCCGGTACGCTGCCTCAGGTGACACACCACCCGCATCCGATACAGCATTGTCACAATGCGCTTTCATGCTGTCCTCAGACAGCGCCTGAGGGACGGGCCATTTGTGCAGCCGGGAGGCCTCCAAAAGTCTTTCTAGTTGATAAGACAGGAAGAGATACGGCGATGCGTCTGTGTTCCATGAAGCGTTGAGGAGCTGGGGGTCGTATCTAAGTGTAGCAAGAAGATGATAGTCTGCAGGAGCGGCCATGAAGTCGGCTGAGAGGGAGAGCGGGACCGGGCAGTGCCGCAGCAGTCGAGTCGAGACGACGGAGCATGTGACTGAGACGCGTCATCTCCGTCACGACCCTAATACGACGGGCGTCTGCAGCGGTATATAGTGGTGCGTGCAGACGCGCCGGGGCTGCCCCGCCCTCCATCCTTCCCTTTGCAGTCATGGCGGCCTTCACCGTAAAGGCCACCTACCGCAACGAAACCCGCAAATTCTCCTTCCCTGAAGCCCATTTCCCCACTTACGACCAGCTGTTCAGCCAGGTAGGCTCCATCTCCAGTCCGTCGTGCTCCTCCAGGCCGCATACTTACCGCAGCATTGCAGCTGTATCGTGTTTTCCCCTCCTCCCACTCCTTTTATCTTTCAAGAGTTCTCTTCTCCCCCAACCCCTCTTCCTCCGCTCGTATCCTCCTTGGCAAAGAGGTCCACTCCGCGGAAGACTATGGTCGCTGTGTCACCCATTATCAAGGACGTTCATGGCCAGCTGCACTCCTTCGCTTCTCCGTCTTCGACGAGACACCCCACAAGACACCCAGCATGGTCAGGAATCTCGAACCATACAGCGAAGACCCAGTGTCTGCCTACTTCACCCGACGCTCAGGACTCAGACGCTTCTGCCCCACCTGCTGCTCCAGCTAGGGAGCTCCGCAGCCATCTCCGGGAAGGTCGCCGGTTTTGCTAGAGCGCATCAGGGAGGGTACGAACCACCGCTCCTCCATCCACATCATGCCCCCTACGCCCCCCGCATCTTCGCGTCCAACGTCGATGGTGGAGTCGTCGCGTCCTACGTCCCTGGTTTCGGAACCGGCTGGATGGCGACCCCTTCCTGTGCGGCCGATGTCGACCAGTTCATCTGTCGCCAGTGCCGTAAGCAGTCGCACTGTCCGCCCATCACTCTTCGATCTCCTGGCCAACTCCCAGTCGAGTCCGCAGGCTGCTGCGGAGCCTTCGCAGGTCGCAGCAGGCGTTGAGCCAGTGTCTACCGGAGACCTCTCCCCGCACAGCGACGCTTCCTCGCAGATGTCCTTCGACTCTCTGTTCAGCAAATTCAATGCCATCCCCAACCCCCTCGTCGATATGAAATCCAGATCTGGCGAGCACTTGCCTCCCATTCCACCCGTTTTCGTGGCACCCCCACCCCCCATCCTGTTCTCGGGACCGGTGTCTCGTGCTCCTACGCAGCCTAGCCCTCCCGATGAAGACTGCGAAGAGCTGCTGTGCGGCGCCCGCCCGCGGCGTAACCGCAGCTTCTGGTCCCCTTTGTCTCGAACAGTGTCGACAGCGGATATGTCACCCTTTGCGCAGCAAGGCCGGCCAGACTCCTTGAGGGCGTCGTCCATCATCCTCGATGATCCGTCTTCGCTTCTCCCCACAGGCAACGTGGACAGTTGCTGCTCAGTCTCTGAGGGCAAAGTGGAGGTCGAAAGACTGGTCGGCGAGTTCAACCGCGACTTCCGTTCAGTCATGGCCAAGACCTTTGGAGAGGAATGGGATGTCCTACCATCGGGGGTCCTCGTATGCCTCATTTGCCATCGCCTCCCACACATCTGCCGTCCCTCTACCCTCAAGGGCCTCAGTCGCATAGCTGGTGGGTGCCGTCACCACCCCCTCCACCTCCACCCCCAGTTCCTAGCAACTTGACACTGCCTCCGCTTCCTGCTCGCCCGTTGCCTCCCCCTCCGGGTCTTATGCTTCCTCCCCCGCCGCCCCCGTGCATCGTCCCCGCCGCCGCCGCCACCTCTCCCTCCGTTCCCAGCAGGAGTCTGGCGCGAACAACGCCCGTTCTCACCATCCTCAGAGGCCACGTCTTCCCGTGCCAGCACTCCCCCTTTGCCTCCACTGCCACCTCCGCCTGGTTGGATCCCGCCGTAGCATTAACCCCACTCAGGCAACTGCGAAGATGTCTCCTTCCAAGGAAGTGGTCCACAAGGGCATACGATGCGACTTTTGTGGCGAGCGGGATATCACCGGTACTAGGTTTAAATGTTTGCAGTGTGATGGTATGTCTCAGAGCCTTGTCATGAGCAGTGCTCATTTCTCACTGCACTGCAGATCTTGATTGGTGCAGCGACTGCGCGACATCTCCGACCGCTTGGGCAACACACGACGAGGGACACGCCTTCTTCCCAGTGGTATCTGACATCGACCTCATGCGATACCTATCGTCAAGAATCGTATTGCTTTGATGCTCCAGCGCCCCGTCCATAAGGGTATCACATGTGATGGCTGCAACCAGCGGAATGTTACGGGCACGAGGCACAAGTGCTTGCAGTGTGCAGGTGAGTATATTACGACATCCGCCGCGATACTTGGCTGATCTCGGGTTAGACTTCGACTTCTGCGACGCGTGCGTAGCCAGCCCTGAAACGCGCCAAATGCACGAGTGTCCCACGTTTTCTTCCCGATCAAGGTTCCTCGGGTGTTGACCGCGTACTATAAGGCTCGCGACAAGGCGCAGCGGCCTCCAGTTGTTCCCCCACGGCCCAGAGAAGTGGAACACCTCGGGGTCCATTGTGACGGGTGTGAGCAGTATCCCATTCGAGGTGTGAGGCACAAGTGCCTTGATTGTGCTGGTGAGTATCCCTGTACATTCAGTTGCAGGCATGGCCTAACTGAGTGCTCTCGTAGATTACGACTTTTGCTCGTCCTGCATGTCGGACCCTAGCCGACGTCTGAGCCACCTCAGCGCCACGCATTCGTCCCCATGCCCGTCCCCGGGACTACAGCGAGTACGACAGAATTCGTGCCAACCATCGACGCAGCCATGAAGCTCCGCACAACTCCTGTCCGAACGCGGATCAGTCGCAGCCTATCACTCGTCTGGTCCACAAGAACGTCATCTGCGACGTGTGCGACCGCGAAGTCGTCGGTGTCCGGCACAAGTGTCTCGACTGCCCGGACTACGACATGTGCGAGAACTGCATTTCCAAGCCGTCTCTGCGCTCCCAGCACCACCTCGAGCACCAGTTCTTCGCCATCGAGAAGCCTGGAGAAGTCATCGTGCACACCGTGTTCAGCGGCGATGATGAGCACATGCCGACCGCGACTAGGAGTGTCCCACCTCCCCCGGTCACCACTCCTCCTGTGAACGTCGAGCCTGTCGAGCCTGTCATCCACAATGCTATGTGCAACATGTGCGACTCGCGTATCCGTGGAGATCGTTACGTGCGTACTGTCCATCTATTCCTATCGCTTGGTGACTTACAAGTGCTACAGAAGTGCCTCAACTGCCCAGACTACGACGTTTGCCAGCTGTGCTACACGTATGTTTTCAGGAGCATGCTCCTGTAGATTGTTGTTGACCTTGCTTTTAGGATCACCCCTGAACAGCACCCTGAGCATGGGTTCGTCAAAATTATGACCCCGCAATGCTGATGGTATGTGTGATCAACCATTTGATGTCTCACCCCCGTGCTTACATGGTTATCGGTGCCTTCAGGTTCGAGACACGGCGAATGACCCCATTCACTTCGCTTCTTGTAACTCGTGCGGAGAGAGGATTTGCGGCATTCGTTACAAGGTATTTCGTCAATGACATTGTCATCGTTCACTTGCTCACTCCTTTGTAGTGTATGCACGAGTCATGTGCGGACTACGATCTTTGCGAGAACTGCGAGGCCGTGCCCATCCCTACTCACCCTATCCATCACCCCATGCTCAAGGTCAAGGTTCCTAGCGCTATCATCCCGACGGTCAAGCGGACGAGTGACGTGCCTGTGCTCATCGCGAGCCTTTGACGACGCCCCGGCCCATGGAGGATCCTATCCCAGAAGTTTCGGCTCCTGCCTACCCAGAGCCGACTTTCGAAGCCTCCACACCGTACCATCCACCCAGCTTCGTCCCTCTACCATCATTCTCCCACACAGGTCCCCTACACCCGACACGCCCTACGCCCAGTCGCCGCTGGACCCCTTTCACTGGACCAGTCATTTCGGACCTGTCATGTCGCCGCCCACCCAGTCCATGACGCCCATCCGCGTCATCACCGATATGCTGTCTCCCGAGCCGACTCGTATGCCACCTTCGCCTCTTCTCACCCCTGCCTCCGCTTTCACTCCGAACCTTGGGTCGCCGCGTTCTACGCCCATTGCCTGCCATTTCCCGCTGGTTCCGTACAGCATTCCCGGCTCGCCCCCTCTCCCGGTTGCATCCTTCACACAGCGCGAAGAGTTTGGGCTCGCTTCGTCGGTTGAGTCCATCCCTCGCCTCGTCGAGTTGAGCGAGTGCTACCCGGTTGCTCCTCCCTTGGTGCCGTCACCCATCCTGGAGCCCGAGAACACTCTTGGGGGCGCGTGTACCCCTTCGGAGCTCCCAGCGTCTTCTGAGTCCTCATCGAAGTCTGTCCCCAAGCTTAGCCCAGTCGGTACCGAATGGCAAGAACTGTGGCCGGAGTTCACGTCTGTGTTCAAGCACCTCCTGCAACCGCCTCCCTCTCATCTGACTTCTCTCGGTCCCTCGACCATGCCTGGGGAGATGCTCAACGAGGAGGTGAAGGTCGAAGACGAAGCCTTCAAGACGATGGACCCCGTCCCGGCGATGGAGCAGTCCCCGCTAGTTGGCGAGCCTCTTCTGTGCAGGCCGCTCATGCGGAGAAGCCGTTCGTTGAGCGCTGCCTGAGCGACTTGATTGGCAGCGTTTCTCCCATCCACCTGGACACTGAGGATCAGGCCAAGCCGCTCCTTGCGACATTCGTCTCAGACAGCAACATCCCGGACGGCCAGATCTTCCCTCCCGGCGCCGAGTTCGTCAAATCATGGCGCATGCGCAACGACGGCGAGGTGGACTGGCCTGCGACCACGGAACTTGTGTTCGTCGCTGGTGACCGAATGGCTCCTCGCCTTGTGGCCCCCGCCAAGGTGATGATTGGCGTCGTCAAGGCTGGTGAGGAAGTTGAGCTGTTCTCTGGCGAGATGAAGGTATGTGCGCAGTGTTTGTTGCCCCTGGTCGTATTCTTACCTGTTTTCTTTAGGCGCCAGAGGTTCCGGCAAGTACGTTAGCTCTTGGCGTCTCAGCGATGGCAAGAACAATCTCTTCGGGAACAGCATCTGGGTCGAGTAAGTAGTCTTGCATACTCAGTGATTAAACAGATCGCTCATGCATACGTGCAGTATCACTGTGGCCGAGATGAACGAGTCGTCGGACGAGTCTCTTGCGGCTTCGTCCATCATCATGCCCCGCAACCTCGCCGAGACTACGTCCTCTCGCTCGACGGTGGAGCAGCTCCCTTCGCCAACCTCTATCTATGTTCCATCTGCGCCGCGCTCGGAAGGTGGCTCCTCTATCTTCTCCTCGACGCTCCGTCCATCCTCTCGATTTCTTCTTCTTCTTCTTCCGACGACGCTGTCTACGAAGACAGCCGTTCGCGTGTGCTCCCCTCTCCAATGGTCGCGCCGCAGGACGCCGAGTACGTCATGCTCTTCGACAGCTCGTCTGAGACGAGTAAACGGATTCCTGCTCTCTTGACTCGCCTCGCCTCCCACCTTATTATATGGCTTCGTTTATTTCTTGTACGATAGTTTCCATCATCGTTGTGCATGATTCTGTCTGCCCACGCTCTGTGATATATGATTGTCGCTCGTTCCTCCCTGTACAGTAGCCCCCACTATCGAGAAAACCCATTATATGAATGGACGTTGTGCCTGATCGCTGTCATGGGCAGTGTGTGAATTGATATGTTGGAGAATCGCGCTGTCTACGTATGTGTACACCTCTAGATCACCACTCTTATGAAGTCATTGCTTTAAAGACCCCTTTCTTCCTAAGCTCGTTCACAACCTCGTCTACGTCATCGTCCATGTTGTGGTACCACACAGGGGCGTACATGTCCTTCAGGTTGTTCCGCACGTCATCGTACGTGTTCCCGTCGGGATGGCTGAGATCGTAAATCCGCCCAGACCGTCGGCTCCCCTCCCACACCATCTGGGCGCGAGGCTGTCTGATGCGGGAGTATTCCTGGAGGACCTCCTAGGCACGATGGAGAGAGGGGATGAGTCAGGAATGAGATACCGGTGTATCTGGCAGGTCGAAGCTCACCTCAACGTTATCCACGTCGGTTTCAGGGTCACTGAGAAGGCGCACGAGCAGGTACGCATCCTCGAGGCCCTGTCCCGCCCCGGCGCCCCAGTGGGGCAGCATCGCGTGTGCCTGCAACTAATCAGTGGAAGCCCGGTGCGCGTGCTGAGAGACACTGACCGCGTCACCGAGCAGCGCGACCCTACCCTTGGCGTAGCTCTCGAGCGGCGGGGCGAGGACGTGGACGGACCACTTGCTCGGGGTTTCGGGCATGCACTCGAGGAGGGCCATGATGCTCGAGTTCATGCCCTTGTAGGCTGCCTTCATCTCGTTCTTGGTCACGCTCTCGACCCAGGGCGCGCCTTCGGGAAGGCTCTGGTCGCCGATCTCGATGTCGTAGCGAGCGTCGAATGCGACGACGTTGATCTGTGGCAACGCATCCGGTCAGCCCAGTCCTTTCCGCCGCACGACGACGCTTACGATGGAAGCGTTCTTGATCGCAAAGAGGATGAAGTGCTAGAAACCGAGAACGTCAGCACGGCTCGAGGTTTCCCCGCGACCGTGCACGGGCGCACCTTGCTGTTCCCGGACACGGACGCGGGGTACTCCGAGATGTCGTACTTGAAGCCCGCCGCCTTGAGCTTCTCCCACGGGATGAGCCCCGGTACGCGACCGTGTTCGCGAACTTGACCCGGTCGTCCTTGTGCCCGAGCACGTACGGCCGCACCGTGCTCTTGATCCCGTCCGCGCCCAGCACGACGTCGGCCTCGTGCGTCGTCCCGTCCTGGAAGTGGATCACGAGCCGCTTCGGGTTCGTGGGCGACTCCGTGACCGCGGTGGCGCGCTTGTTGAAGTGCGCGCTGCTGGCGTCGAGCGCGCCGATGATGCGTCGAGGAAGACGGCTCTGCGATAGCGGGTAAGAGGTGGGGAGGTACGGAAGTGAGGAGTGGAGTTTAACCTGTGGAGGGCAAGTCCTTGGTCTTTCTCTTCGGGCACAGTCGGATACTGGATTTGGCATGAGAAACAGAAGGCTGTGAGTGGTGAGACGAGTGAGGCTTACGGCGAGGATGGGTTCGACCGACTCAGAGAACCCATCGTAGAACCTGAAGCCGCGATCCCTGAGCTCGGAGGGGTCTATCAGCTTCATGAGATGCTCGAGGATGCCGAGCTTCTTGAGGACGCTGATTGCATTGGGTCCTGTAAGAACACACGAGGTCAGCGTCGTCCACGTCGCGAGAGCGACAGAGATACGTACCGCATCCGATACCGGCACCTATTTCACTGAATGCGGGCTCAAGTACGAGATCAGCCGAGCCCTTCGTGATTGCGAAAGTTTATTGTGCTCACCGCGGCTTCGAAGAGGTTCATTGGAACACCTGCGCGTTGCAGGCCGACTGCCGCCACGAGACCGCAAACTCCACCTCCGACAATCGCGACCTCCAATGGCTGTGCGAAGTCCCGTTAGACATGGAGATCGATATAGGGAATGTAAAGATGATAGCAAGAGCCGTCTGTGGCTTCTTCGATACTTCGAAGAGCGCAGGGTCCTTTAAGTAGCATGCCCTCGGGCGCCTGTGAATCTGTGATACAAAAGAAGAGAGGCTTTAGTCATGCGCTCACGGTCAGGTTATTTCCAGACCTTGAATCAAACCGGCCCACGAGAAGCGCATCCTCTTTAGATCGACTTGCAGCATTGCCTCGCGGCCCGACAATCGATATGCCAGCTAGGTCCTCAGAGTTACTGCTGTGCCGCGAGAGCTCGGGTTCCGGCTCCAAAGACACGCGACGCTCGGCATAGGACACGGCACGTATCGTCTCGGCGGGAGATGTCACTTTTGAGGTGTTCGTTTTGATGTTTCTGATCGTTCTGCGGAGGTTCCAGTCCCTAGGACTAGCACCCGTGACGTCCCGGCGCCAGTAGCCACGTCTGCGCTACTGCCATAAACCTTCGAAAAAAGCTCAAAGATGATGTCATTGCATTCTCAACAGTCTAAGATATGACCTAGTACAATGAATATGAGCGGACTTCACAGCTGGAACAGAAACGGCTTACCACATAGCCCGCTTTCCCGCCATCTGGTGCATTTTTGTGACCCGGATATCTTGGAAGTCGAGGCGCGGGGCGGACGTGAGGTCTCCTGCGGGACGGTATGTCCTGTATGCAGGTGGAAGAGCGACAGTGTGGACGCTTGCCCTGTCACTGCTCTTCAGATACACACTGGTATGAATGCTTCCGGCATCCAATTCGCGGCCTGTGACATGCAGGTTACTATCCATGTGATATCAAAGCACCAGCTTCGTTGGACAACGTACGAATAGGAATGCTTTGCGCGGAAGTCCCGTTGGGTAATCTTCGATACCATGTCTGCAGCAGCGAATTCGAGGCCGATGATATTGACGGCTCTCTTGTCGATGAGATCATGCCTGTGAAGTGTGAATTTGAGCCTACTCCTTACATTACACATAGATGACTCACTGGTGTTCGCGGCTCGATCCTTCTTTCTCGTAAAAGTGGTGGGAATGGAGTCAAAGTTGGCACCCTCGTGCGGAGACGGCGGTAGCAAACCAGTAATCCCGACAGCAGTGCGATACCGACAAGTGTGCACACTACGGCTAGCCCTATGATAACACCTGTTGGCAATCCTGTTGAATTAGAGCTAGGCGCCATGGCAACCTAGGATATCACAACGTAAGAATTAGAACTCCGACCCACACTTAGTACTGACCTGACTTGTTGAAGTGACGCCGCCGACGAAGGAAGTAACAGTCACGGTGAACGAACTGAAGATGCTGGTCTGAGAGATAGTAGAGCTCGAAAAGAGGGTCGAAGTGGGTGTGCTTGAAAGGGTACTGGAAACGATGCCTTGACTCTGTGATGTGATTGATGTAGCACTGGATTGATCTATTGTAGAGGTCCGCACGGCGTCTGTAGTTGAGGTAGTAGAGAAGGGATCGGAGGTCGAAGTGGCGGGAACAGTTTCACTGTCTCCAGCGATTGTGGTGGTGGACATGGTGCTTGCGAAGGCTCTGGAGCTTAAGCCGTGGGCCCCGAGCATAAAAGGAGGAGAGCAAGGAGATCAGAGCGCATAAAAGGTCGTATCCACGGACCTGGGTTGGAGGTCCCACGCGGGATATCCAGGCCGGTGTCCAAGCGCCGTCGACATGAAACCGCATCTTGGACGCTCTCGAACCCAATCTATATACATCTTCAAGCACTTTGACTAGATGTTTATGTCAGCTATTGGGTTGCTGATGTAGTACTAGAACATCTTACGGGAGGTCTCTCCGCGCGCTTGACACGTCAAGTGCTCATCTTGTATAGATTCCTGAGATGTGCCATGAACAAACGAGTGATCTACTTTGTGGTATGTATGGTATTGGGACATCGGAACATCAGAGGAGCTATGTCTGAGGCGGTTGGACGAGTGCCACTGGGAGAATCGACGGGTGCCAGGCTTCCGCGGCCTGTCCCTGGTCGCTATGCAACTCATTCCCACGCCGGCGCCTCGGCAGTCTGCTCCCCGTTGGCTGCGTTCTGCTCACACCGCATGTCCGTCAGACGGAGCACCAGTGTGTGGATGTCAAAGTCTGGTGGCTTGTATTGATTATTTGCGGATAAATCAACAATTGATTGGTTCAATTTCCTCTAGTCCCTTGGGCAGAACTCCCCCCTGGAGTCCTCTGGCCACTGCCGTGTCCATGTACACGACGACAGTCAGCAATCTACCTTCTCTTGGGGCTTCATGTTTTATTAGTAAATCTTGTACAAGGTGCACGATTTGCTAAGTACCAAGCACGGACATCCGCTCCGTGCGAGCACCCGCCGTTCGGCGCGTCGGTGTCGCCCCCACCTCTTCCGGATGAAGTGTGTGTCCTCGGCGAGCATGGCGTCCCAACACACTTGATCATCTCACGAACCTCTGACGGTACGCACATTGGTCGACTGTCCCCGTTTAGCGCTTCGGCGTAACAATCCACTTTCCCTCGACGTCCTCGGGCCGCGGAACCCTGCACTTCCGACCTCTCTGGGCGGATTTGACCCGCGAACTCCTTTCACACCTTTACAATCCCCGTCTTGAGCTCCCACAAACTCGTAAGCGTCCATGTCCAAATTAAGGGCAGCGAAGGAGTATATATGCCCCTGGCCACCGCTCATAGTATCCAGCACTCATCCGAGTCTCCTGGCATCGACACCTTCTACACTCTAGCCACCCACTCCCTCTCCAATACTTCCCTGAAGATGCTCTCCAAGGCCCTCATCGCTCTTGCGGCTTTTGCGGTCGCCGTCCGCGCTGCTCCCAGCGCTGCTGCTGGTTCTTGCGCGGTCTGGTTCGAGGTCTTGGACGACATTCAGGCGAACTTGTAAGCTACAGCTCCTCTGACATGAGTTCCTTGCTAAATTCTTTCTAGGTTTGACGGTGGCGAGTGCGGCGAGGAAGTTCACGAGTCCCTCCGTGTATGTCCACCCCTCCATATAAGCCTTCCACCGACGTAGCTCACTTCTCCTAGCTCACTTTCCACGACGCCATCGGCTTCTCCCCCAAGCTTTTCGCCGAGGGCAAGTTTGGCGGCGGAGGCGCTGGTTAGCATTTGGCTTGTCGATCCATCATGCTGGGTCTCTAATCAGCTGCTGTCCGTAGATGGCTCCATCATGGCATTCGCGGAGATCGAGACCAACTTCCGTGAGTATATGCCACGCGTCCTAGGCCATTCAAATGCCGGAACTGATCTCTGTCTCCAGACGCCAACGGCGGCATCGACGACATCGTCGAGACGCAGCGCCCCTTCGCGCTCAAGCACAACGTCTCCTTCGGCGACTTCATCCAGTTCGCCGGCGCCGTCGGCGTCTCCAACTGCGCCGGCGGCCCCCGCCTCCAGTTCCTCGCCGGCCGGTCCAACTTCTCCTCGCCGTCCCCGGACCTGCTCGTCCCCGAGCCGTCCGACTCGAACGACAAGATCTTCGCGCGCATGGCCGACGCCGGCTTCTCCCCCGCGGAGCTCGTCGCGCTCCTCGCCTCGCACTCCGTCGCCGCCCAGGACCACGTGGACCCGACGATCCCGGGCACGCCCTTCGACTCGACGCCGAGCGCGTTCGACTCCCAGTTCTTCGTCGAGACCCTCCTCAAGGGCACCCTCTTCCCCGGCAACGGCTCCAACGTCGGCGAGTCCAAGTCCGCGCTCGAGGGCGAGTTCCGGCTCTTCTCGGACAACAACATCGCGCGCGACTCGCGCTCCGCGTGCCACTGGCAGGCGTTCATCACGGACCACGACCTGATGGTGTCCTCGTTCACGAACGTGATGGCGAAGCTCGCGACGCTCGGCCAGGAGCCCTCGGCGCTCACCGACTGCTCGAACGTCATCCCGGTCCCCGCCCCCGCGAAGCTCCCGCCCGCGACGCTCCCCGCGGGCAAGACCCTCGCGGACATCCACCACGCGTGCGACTCGGTGCCGTTCCCGGCCCTCGACACCGACGCGGGCCCGGCGACCTCGGTCGCGCCTGTGTACGTCATTCCCTTCCGCCTGTCCCTCTGTTGCCGTGCGAGCTGACGCTGCGCCTTCTGCAGCCCGCCGTCCTGAACGGTTCGACAACACGTCGCTAAAGAACGGCCCAAAGTCGGCCGGTGCCTTCTGTCTGTCTGTCACTATCTATGGAGAGGAGTTGCGTGGCGCGAAGGGGTAAGGAGCGGGAGGAGATGAGATGATGGGTTTGCATAAGTTATGCGGGGTGATCGGGAGAGCGGCACTAGTACGCGAGCGAAAGGTCCTGCTAGTTCGTATAGACGCTGCTATATTGGAGGGTTTATGGTGTGTGTACCAAGATCGTGTCCGTATGCGCAGTCCCGCCGCGCCACGCCGTCAAGTCAGAACCTATAGACAAGAGCGGTCAATCGACGAGCGAACGACGAAAGAAGCGTCGGACTTACTGTCCCCCGTCTCTTCTCGAGCTCGACAAACTCATGGAACGAGATGTTTTCCACCGATGCGGAGGGGTCCCGGTGCGCCGGCCAGTCTGCGGGGGGGTTGGGGAGGGGACGAGGGCTGCCAGGCGCCGGACCGGAACGTATGTCCTCGTACGCGGGTGGCAGACCATCGACGATGACGAGGACGCTTCCGTCGCTGTTGTCGTACGTAGACGCGTAAACGCTGCCGGCGTCGACTTCGCGGCCTGGTGGATCGCGTCAGATGGGACCCACAAGAATGCGTCGGTGCGCACACGTACCGTAACGCGGAAACCTCAGGGTGCCGTCTTGGTCGTGATAGAAACGAGCGTGTGGGTGCGAACGTCGTCGCATTGAAACGAGGGCCATGTCGGAGTCATCTGGGAGTCTCTGGACGTCTGGCACGAAGAATGGGGAACGTCAGATGGGTTCACGAGCAGGCGATGCGCGGCCACCCACCGCCGAGTCCTTGGCTGCTCGGAAGCAACGCTGCCTCCCGGTGCGCCTTCGCCCCCGTGGATGGGTCGTCGTTGGGTGGAGGAAGCTGCGTCGCCGCGTCGCTTCGCGCCCTCTTGCGCTTTGAGCGGCGGCGGCATGCCACAAACGTGGCACCCAGCAAGAGAAGGATAACAACTGCCCCACCGGCGGCGCCGAGCCCCGCTGCGGCTGCCGTGGATAGGCCTTTCTTTCCGTGAACCGGAATTGCCCCATCGGTAATCTGAGAGGAGGTGGACGTGAGCTCGCTTGCCAGCCTACACCATGAGAGGTGACATACCTGGCTCGTTGTAGCAACGCTTGCGGCGACCGCAGTAGGAGCGTCTGAAGTGGTCGCGATGGAAGTGCTGCTGTTGCTACTACTGACCGTTGAGGACATCTGGCTGTCGGAGATTGCAGGAACCGAGAGGACAGTGGTCATGGAGGGCCCGGCTTGCTCCTCATTGAATTCGGAAGTGGATTTCGGCGTGATGACAGCAGAAGTCTCCGTGCTCACCGAAGAGCTGTCCGGGAACCAGGTGGTGCTAGTGGACTGGCCAGAGTCAACCACAGAGCCGGCGGTGGTTGACGCGGCGGCGGCGCTGCTGCCAGTGGAAAGGAGAGAGGTAGCCAAGACACTTGTAGTAGGGACCATAGTCGCGTCAGGGATTGCTTTGGGAGTGGAGGTCGGCCTTGCAGCACTGACGGCCTTGCGAGTCAATCGTGGGCGAGCAGCGACTAGTACAGGAGGGAGGAGAGACATGGGTGGATGACGGGGGAGTCAGAGGGGGTGGAATGATTCGCCGCCGCTCGCCTGTGTTTGAGAATATGAGGCACTAGTCAGATGTCAATTCATGGTAGTGTTCGGAAATTACTCGATCAAGTCGCACGTTGAGGAACGGAAGGGACTGTTGATGATCGCCACCAGGTGTCCCGCGGGAGATGTCCAGCTGAATCTGCAGAGCATAGATGCTGAAGCTGATGGAAAGAGCCAGCATACTCTTCTCTAATAAAAATACACAACGTCAGCGTCGACGAAGGTGGAGAGCTAGCGGAGATCTGCCAGACATGGACCGCAAGCACGGAGGCGGTGAGCCGTCCATTCATGGAAGCCAAAATGGCCTTCGGCCTTCTGCCGGGAATAGCAAGTTGTTATAGGCACATTGGACATTGACAGATGAATATCCGGGCTGCGGATTGCTCCGAGGCTAGAATGTGGATCATGTACGCAGATTTTGCGTTCAGAAAGAGGGAAAGAGTGATTGAGTTGTCGTATCGCATGGCAAAGCTCTGTGGGCCGTCACGATGAGCCCAGTCCTGACATTAAAGTCGCCTGATAGATCGAAGGATAGCAATGATGCTGAATGTTGAACCATTGTGGGAAGCAAAGAGAGGGCCTGAATGGTATGGGGCGAGCCTCCAAAAACTCACGCGCCCGACCTCCACGTGGAGCGACCAAAGACCGGGCGCTTGGCGACATACGGCGTCAACGGACCCTGCTTCCAGCGGTGACCACAACTTCGTCGCTCAAGCATTCTCAACGCACATGTACTCATGCAACTCCCCTCCCTTTGAGATGACGTCGGGTTGCAGCACCTCCCACGATTCCACAGCGTCCGGAGCCCTCAAGGCCTCTTGGGCACTAGCCGCGTTGGTCTGACGTGATGGAATCTGTGAGTTGATGATGCCCACTATACCCCATAGAAGAACTCACCAAATGATAACCGGAAACGCCGCAAGTCTGTGCAGGCGAGAATATCCTTGCTTTCCGGCGCGGCACGTCCTCGTACGCGGGCGGCAGAGGAGATTGCCCCGATGCCAGCTGCACCAGGCCAGGCTCCTCCACACGCCCGCCATCGCCGAACGGCTGCAGCACGTAAACCGAGGCGTGTACGCTCCCTCCGTCGATCTCACGATACGTCGTCATCGCCGAGGTCGCCGGCGAGGTTGCTGTTGCGCTCTCTTCAGGACATCCAGCCAGTCAGCCTTGCAGTACAAGCTCGTAGGGTATGGTACTCACCATGAACAGGGATTAGGTTGGCACTGCTCCTGCTCGACATCGATGATCCGAGGACTACCCAGGACTGCTCGTTCCCTGGCAATTCCGACAGTGAGTGACTCGATCCCGTAGCGGAGTACATGCAACGCTTACGGTTCTCCTCGACCGTTTCCTCCGTCCTGCCGCCCTCCTTGGACGCCTTCAACCCACGCTTCCGCCCGCTGGCTATTTGTCGTCTGCGTCTTCTCCAGAGCGCGTACATCCCGGCCAGGACTGTCACGAAGGCAAGCCCCGCCGCGACCAACAGCCCAGCGGTGACCGGAAGGTGAGCGTTCCCCCCGGATTGCGCAGTCGCCTCCGTCGTCTCCGTCGTTCGTACCGACGCCGTTTGAGTTAGGGTCGCGGTGACGTCCACGAAGGCGGTCGTAGACGCCAGAGAGGTGTTCGACTCCAGAGCCGGCGATGCCTCGGGGGAAGCGCTAGGTGTCTCCGACTCGGTGGCACTGGGCAGACTGCTGGCGCTGAATGTCAGCGGTGTCGGCGATGTCGGCGAGGCGACTGAACTCGGCGGTGGACGGGAGGGCGTGGTTGTGCTCGACGACTGAGAGCCCGGCGAGTGGACTTCCGTCGTCGATTCTTGAGTGGCCCGTGTTGAGGTTTTGTCGTTACCCAACGGCCCTAATCCCTTCAGTCCGTCGAGGGCGGACGACACCTTCTGACCGAACCCGAAGGGATCGTCTAGCGTAGTGTGCCGTAGACTCGTCGAGGCGGACATGGGGCTGGGGTTGGGGTCGGGGATTCTAATCTTGTAAGGACAAGGACGTGCGTATATGTAGGTGGTCGAACCTCCCTTCTTCCTGGCCTCCCGTCTTCCTGGATGGCATCTGTCTCGATGTTTCCAGCGAGATGCCGGCTCCGATTCGGCTCGAAGACCGCTACAGCCGAGGGAGTTATTCTCTAGAGGGTGCACGTTGTACTGATGACTCTGGCTTGGATATATCAATCAGAGAAGACCCTGCCACATCCTTAACGAAGCGCGACACGGGAGTGAGAAGACGACGGTCAATGTACGTGATTATCCTCTGTGGCGGCTTTGAAAGGGTGCTAACTGCGGCTGTTTCTCTGGTGCTGTTTCCACACAGGCCAGACAACCCCTCCAAATGAGCCAGGCCTTGATTGTGACAAGGCCTGCACTACATCCCTGTGGATAGATGCACCTCCGGCAGCTGTCCCGCGTCTTCCCGGGCGATGTATGTCCAACTCGGATGCGGTCGGGGCGTTGATGGCAACCAAACACGCAGGCCATCCCGGTTGTTCACCAGCCACACCGCCCAGCAAACCTGCGGCGAGTTGGAACACTCGCGCTCCTCCTCGCATCGGCACGGGCTTCGCGTCCGCTCGGAGCCTTCCATGGTTGGGAAGAAGTGCGGTGCACGCCGCAAGGGTCCCCGGGTGCGTTCCAGAGAAAGGGCGACATGTGAAAAAGCAAGCCCGCTCGCGCACCTCACGCACGCGTTCTGTGCGTACTTTTCAGGATAGGATCGTCCGCGCGTCGATGGGGAACCTCGGTTCACCTTTAGCCTTTTTGGCGGAGAAACGTGGGAGATAAGGGGGAGCACAGGTGGAGGATCGTCCGCGCACTCATACAGGTACGTCTTGCTATAATGCCTGCATGTTACGGGATCTATGGGTCCACACGGGCGGGCCGTTACGATCAAGTGCGCAGGTGGCCGCGATTCGCCGCGCGCTCGTTGCATGACGGCGAGCTCGACTCCGTGTCCGCCGTCATCCTCGGCGTCTGCGAACGCGCACGCAGTCTCGCGCACACCGCAACCGTCCACCCCGCCCCAGATGCTCCAACCAGGCGCACTCTCGAGACGCCGCGCCCGTAGGAGGCGCACGCCCAGAACGTCAGTCCCCGGAGTCCCGCCCACCTCCCGTGTCGCTCTTGTTCGCTTCTTCTACAGTGCTAACTGCCGATTAAGTACTCGTCAGGGAACCATGGGGCGTGTTGGTGGGCAGGCAGATGTGGATGAGACTCAGAATGACGACGCAGCGTTGGGCGTGGGATGGAAAGGATGGATGGATTGCTGGCGCTTCATCGATGGTGGATGTGCCCGTTCGAAATGGCAGCCGTGGGCAAGAATGAGTGATGTCACCCCACTCTTCTGCCCAAGGATGAAGTCACTCGCCCATCCGTCCCGCGCATGCGATCGCAGTGAAGGCGATCGCACCGCCAACGCTGGCGCGGGCGCGCGTTTGCGTCACTGGCACGCGTCGCGCGGCGGGGAAAGAACCCCGGGCGCGGGGCATGTGAGCGTGCCCGAACGCGCGAAGGGTGGAGCGGGCGAGGAGTAATGTCCCAGCTTTGGGTCGCCGAGGCGCGAAAGAGGCGGGACGATGCGGAAATTCGGGCTGTTTTCCCAATCCGGCAGTCGACGGTGTGGGCGCGCGCCGCGCCGTTCGAATGGGGGACTGATAATACGCGAGATAAGCCATGCCGCCGCCGTTGCCGGTCAGCTCTTTGGGGCGTCGGCGACGGCGAAACACGCTCCTGTGGGAGCGGCGATGTGGGTGCCGAGGGGTGCCGCACCCCGCCCGCACATCCTCCCTCGTCGGCGCGAGGGGTGGACGCGGCGAGCGGAGGGGCGCACGCAGGATGGACGATGACGAAGGGCTGGCGGTCGACGATGGGAACTCTGACGCCAGCACGCGTGACGTCATCGCTCGCGACGGACCCTCCACGTTTCGGCGCACACTCAAAAGCAACGATCGGTCCTTGGCGAATGCCCATCCCCCCGCCCTTGTTTTATAAAGCTGTCCAGTGAGCATCTGCCCCATCATATTTTCCTCCCCCCCTCCACCACTTCATTCCCATGCTCCGCGGCAACGGCTACTTCCCCCCGACCCCACCCGTCGACGGTGCTCACCCCGACCCGCAGCCCAAAATGGCCACCCTCGCCCCTCCCAAGCGCAACACTGCCGCACCGCCCGCCGGACAGCCCACCGGCACAAAGGATGCACCCAACCGCATGTCACTCAAGCTCTCACATCTGCCCAGTCGTCAGAAGATCAAGCCAGTCTACCCTCGCTCTCCTTCCACGGTACGCGCTCTTTCGGTCCCTATATGCGCGTATCCTAAGGCGCCTCTTGCTCCCGCAGATTGACCCCAACAACCCGCCATGGCCCGCGTACCGTGGTTACCACGAGTATTCGTTCGCCTATGCGACCATGGGTCAGCGTCTGCCTACCATTCTCGGCAAGGCCATCGACGACGTCGTCACCACTCTCAACCAAGAGTTTGACGAAGAGCGTGTCGTCGACCTCGTCCAGTGCATTGAACGCATGGACGCACTCAAGATGGAGCTTCAGGAGCAGGCCAAGCTCCGTCCCATCATTGACGACGGCGAGGCAGATGTTGCTCTTTGGAACAAGCTGATTGCGAAGTATTTCCAAGGTATGTTCGGAAGTCCTTTATACACCTGTATTAACTCATGCTTGCGTGCGTAGGCAAGACCTTCATGAATGCGCCCTGGTTGTTCGCCGAGGCGTACAAGTACCGTCGTCTCCGGGAATGCTTCAGCGTAAGCAAGTTCTGGAAGCCGTATGACGTCTTTTTCCGGCAGAAGGTACGTAGCAATTAAGCGTTCGCCACGTGTCTGTGCCTGACATGCATCGATGCAGTGCGATACTTTTTCCCGCTCACATGACGCAGTGTTCGAGCTCTCGATGCGTTTTGCAGAGCCTTTCTCACTGAAGGAAGGCATCTCGGCGGAAGAGAAGCTTGAGTCTGAGCGTCTGATGTTCATGGAGCTTACGCAGAGTACGTGATACTATGCCTTTCTTCCGACGCACATGTGGATCTGATAATGTTGCGCAGTCTGTCTCTGGGGCAACTCAACGGATCTGTCCCTTCTGATCAACATGACGGAGGAGCAGATCAAGTCTCTCCAGTCGACTGGCGGCGAAAACTTGGCCGCCACGGAGAAGAACATCCTCGGAAACCATATGAAGCGCCTCTGGGAGACCGCTGTGAACCTTCGCCAAAACACTGGTGGTCGCATCGACTTCGTACTCGACAATGCTGGCTTTGAGCTTTACTGCGATTGCGTGTACGGTATGTCATTGGTTTCACATCGAACTCTGCGACATCCGTTCAGTCAATATCCACACAGCCGACTTCCTCATCCAGAGCGGCCTCGCCAAAGAGGTTCGCTTCCACGGCAAGCGTTATCCATGGTTCGTTTCCGACGTCACCAAGCAAGACTGGGCCTGGCTGCTCAACTCGATGGTTTATGGTCATCTCTTCCCCAAGGCGACCGACGAGGAGATGGACTCGCTCCGCCGGCTCGGCATGCGCTGGAAGGAGTATGAGAAGCAGGGCAAGTGGGTGTACGAGGCCCACCCCTTCTGGTGCACCGGCTTCACTTTCTGGGAGCTCCACAACGAGGCTCCTGACCTCTTCCTCCACCTCTCCCGCTCCGACCTCGTCATCTTCAAGGGTGACCTCAACCACCGCAAGCTCACATACGACTGCGCCGCGCCGCCCTCGACGGAATTCGAGATTGCAATCGGGCCTATGGCGTCCGCGGCGGGAGCGCCCCGGGTTTGCAGCATGCGCACCATTAAGTCGGACGTCGTCGTCGGTCTCGGGTCAGACGGCGACGAGCTCGCCGAGCGCTTGGACAAGGAGGAGGAGGGCTGGAAGATCAGTGGCAAATACGTACGTTGTCTGCCCCTCGATGTCGGCCAGCGTTGGAACTTACATTGCCTAACCCCACAGGCCGTTATTCTGCTGTCTGAGGGTCGCCCAGGCGAGAAAGTTATCTTCACCTAGATCGTCTCTGAAAGATCCCTCTCGGAGATGAGTGCACGATATGTTCTCTGTGCTGCACCGCTCCCAGCGACCTCCCCAGGCTGGAGCTTCAGCTGTATTGCCTACTGGTACCACGTACTTCTCCTTCGCACGCACTGTATCCTATTTCATCGACTCCTCTCCATCATGTTGTAACACACTGTGTACGCGCAATAGACTTGGATTCTCTCTCTCCTGGACAAGCAGTTGAAACAAACGTCCGGCCGACTATTACACAGATCCTCGTAAACTACTTTTCAGCACTACCGAACACATCACGCAGACACAGCGACGGTCCTCTCCACATCCATCCGGTCGACGTCGTTCTCGTCCTCAAGGTCATCCGCGAGCTCCCCGAACATGCCGTCGTCCATCTCGGACAGCAGGTGCTCGACGACGTAGCTGTCCTGCAACAGCTTGTCCATCCGCGCGAGGTGCCGCTCCGTATACGGGATGAGCGCGTCGACGAGCTCCTTAAGCGCCGTCGCGCCCCGGCCTTCCTCCTGCCGCACCGCGGCGGGTGCGTCGCCATCGCCGAAGGACACCGAGGAGGAGGACGTGGCCACGGCGAGGGACGCCTCGGCGTCGAACGCGCGCGCGACGTCCGCGGCGGGTCGGAGGCGCACGACGGCGTGGAGGACGCGCTGGGCGACGGGCGCGGTGCGCGCGCGCGCGTTCCAGGTGCGCACGGTGCGGAGCAGGCGCGCGAGGTCGGGCAGCGGCAGCGTGGCGAGCGCGGTGTCGACGGCGGGGTGGCCCGTGATCGAGTCCTGCTTGCTGGCGGAGACGGAGGGGAGGGAGGCGAAGAGGGCGTGCAGGCGGCCGGGCTGGTCCATGCTGAGCGCGAGGAGGATCGCGCTGCGGTAGTCGTGGAGCTCGAGGTAGTTCGCAAAGTCTTGCTCCCTGGAGAAGTCGTCAGCGCGTTATACCTAGCGACGAGAACGAACGCACTTTTGCACCTCCTCCTCGCGCTTCTCGTCCCGCGCGACCTCTTCCTCCTCAGTGCAGTCCCGCCAAAACGTGACGGCCGAGTCCGCGGCGGCGGACACGATGGTTTGCTCATCACCGCTCACCGCGAGCGCCCACACCTTGTCCTCGTGCGCGTCGAGCGTGGCGACGCACGTTTCGTCGCGCACGGTCCACAGCTTCACGAGCCCGTCGCCGGCGGCGCTCACGAGCTGCATCCCCGCGCTGAGGAAGTCGACGCGGAGGACCGAGTTCGTGTGGCCCTCGAACGTCCGCACGCACGTGAAGTCGTCCAGGCTCCACAGGCGCACAGTTCGGTCCCCGCTGCCCGTCGCGAGGACACGCTCCGCGCGCCCGAAACGCACGCACCACACCCCGCGTTTGTGCCCGGTACACGTCCCGAGCAGCTTGAGTTCTCCGCGCGCAGGACGCGCACCGGCACCGGGGACGTGCTCGATCGCCCAGACTTTGGCGGTGCGGTCCTGTGAGCCGGAGACGAGGAGGCGATCGTTCGGGGCGACGTCGAGCGCGTTGATGTCCTTGTCGTGCGCCTTGTGCGTCGCCAAGCTCTTGCACTTCACCGGCTCGTCCCCATCCTCGTCGTCCGCCGCGAGCGAGACCGCGGAAAGGTCCCACATCTTGATCGTCCGGTCTTGGCTCCCGGTGAACATGAAGCCGAGGTTGTCCGTCGGTGCGTCCGGCTCGCCTGAATATGCCCGCCGCGACATCGCAACGGCACCCACGCTTTCCGCATGGCCCTCGCACACCGCAATGCAACGGTATTCCGGCACTGCGGGAGCGTCCCCTTCGCCGGAAGGTACGGCCGCCCATACGCGCGCGGAACGGTCTTTGCTGCCGCTCGCGAACACGCGGCCTTGCGCGCCCCGATCAAGACAGAGGACGATCTCCGCGTGACCAGCGACTAGACGGGCGTCGAGCGCCGTGGTCGAGTAGACGCGGATGAGCGACGAGTTGGTCGCAAGCGCTACGTGTGTATCGGAGAGCGTGGGCGCAGGCGCAGCTTGTAGGGGTAGGGCGGGCGAAAGGAAAACGGCGTCGATGATCTCGTCATTGAAGCCGATCAATTGGCGACTAAGCGCCCGGCTTGAGAGGGAGTGGAAGAGAATGTTCTGGTCCGCGTGAACGGAGACGATGGTGGAGGATGATGGGAGGTAGCTGGAGACGCGCGCGCTGTGAGCGACGGGCACAAAGTGCGGCTCTAGAAGAAGCTGGGGAGGGAGAGTACGTACATGGCGTCAACGATCTGTCGCTGTTCCTCCTGGTCGTCGCCTGCGTCGTCGTGTTCTTGCCCGAGCGTGAACAAAACTTTGCCCTCGCGCGCATCCCAAATCTTGATCAAGCCCTTCTCCCCCCCGGTGTAGAATCGGAGCTTCCCAGCTCCAGATGGCGCGCCGGCGAGGTCTTCGTCAGGGTGCAGGAGTCCAACGGCCTCGACGCGCTCGAGCACCGGGATCGTTTTCTGCAGCACGGGCGTGTACGCAGTCTCCCGTCCCTTGCCCTTGCTGCCCTTCTTCGTCTCCGCAGGCGCGCCGGTTGGGGCCGATATGTCCCAAATGAGCACAACAGAGTCGCGTCCGCCGCTGACGAGCCATTTGCCATCCGGCGAGACGTCCAGACCACGAGGGACAGAGACATGCCCTTCGAGCACTGCTTCAGGCTTGGAACCGCCGCTCGCGCGCGCGGCGGCGGCGGAGAGGTCAAAGATGCGAATGCGGGTGTCGACGGAGGCAGTGATGAGCTGCATCTTCTGCTCGCGGACGACGGAGGCGGGGTCGAAGGGGTAGTTGAACGCGAGGGCACTGACGACGCCGCCATGGCCCTTGAAGAGATGCGTGACGTACCCGCGAGCGATGTCCCATACCTTTACGACCCCGTCGGCGGCGCCGGAGGCGAGGTAGGTCGAGGTGGGGTCCGCTTTGCACACATGAACGGGTGCGTCGTGCGCGCGCGCGATCACGCGGATTGGTTTGATGGGTTTTGACTGCGGGGCGAGAGAAGCCGGTATCTCATAGATGCGGAGGGAGAGAGAAGACGTGAAGAGCACGAGGTGGGACGCAGAGGGAGTAACGCAGAGGGCGGTGATGGATTCTGTGTCCTGCACAAGGAAGATTTCCAAAGGACGTGTCCCATCAGCGACTATGCAGCCGGAAGAAGTTTTGCGACGCACCCCGGAAAAGCGACAAATCTCCACACCAGCCTTGACGTCCGTCAACAAAGCCTCCTCGCCCAAGCAGGTGATCAATCTCGAGCCATCCGGAGTGAGAGCGACGGGCCCCGCGGTGTGCAGAGGTGCAATGACCCGGTCCTTCTTGAAGCTAGGCGCATTTGAGCGAGGTCAGAGCCAGAATGATGCGTATATACCCACACTTACGCGGTCCTGAGCTTGGGTCTTGAAGCAGAAGACTCCATGGTAGGAGCAAAAGCGCAACGGTCCGGTGCGGCAATCGGACGCCCGGGCGCTTGTGCCAAAAATCCGTGGGATTGTTTGGCTCTGTTGTGCGACGCCTTCACCACACTCCACTCGGCGTCTATCCAGGCGTTCTGATCGCACGCCACTGACTTCCAGTGGCGTACGAGCGCGCGGCCAGTGCGCATGTCTCATATGTTGTGTGCGACACGCGATCGCGCGCGGACCGTGGGTGCCCTCGCGACCCTTCTGCTTCCGCCCGCCCTCGTCTTCTGCTTTTTCCGAACATCCGCGCGCTTCTGCTTCCCTTGCGTGATGCGAACACACACCGCGCGAGAAGGTCCAGCTCGCGGGGGCGGGAGGAGCCCACACTGACTCGGCCCGCGTACCCGCGCCCGCCCCACATGTGGACGCACATCCTTTCCACGCCGGGCTGCGCGACTGGGTGCGGCGGAGATTGCCCGCGCGCGCCGTGCAGCAGCCCACACCCATCTGTGTCCCTCTGCGCCCTTCGATCGCCCCCCGTGCTCAGGCCTCAACGCCACAGGCCTCAAGGCCTCAGGCCTCAGGGCCCAAGTGCGCCCGGGATCAAGCCTCCGGCCTCAGGCTCGCTTCGCCCCGCCCGCGGGCGGGTCTGATGCACCCTTCGCGAGCGCAGCCGTCGGCTCGCGTCGCCGCGCCTCGTGCCCGCGGTGGGGGTCAGCGGGTGCGTGTTGGCGGGTGGGCCGTGTAGGTGTCTATTGTCCGCCGCGGGGGTGCAAACAAACGCACGCCCCGATCGGGCGAGTGCATACCACGCGGGCCTTTTATCACGCTCGCTGCGACCAGATCACGATGGCAGCCCGCAGAAGAGAACGAGAAGCTCGCCTTGCGAGACACAAGACAATGCATGGTCACCGTTTGCGCAGCGCGCTTCGGACTGGAACCCGCTTCCACCCCTGACGGTCTTGTCTCGAGCAGTGGGGCACTCGGTATCTGTACCTCCGGTGCGAGACCGGGACGCGCGCGCGTATCAGTTGAAGCTATCGCAGGGCCGTGGTGAATGAATTGGAGGGCATCGGCCCAGTGAGTGTATTATGTACAGTCGCCGAGCTGCAGAACGCCGAGGCCAAATATTAGACTAATCCTGGAGGAAATTAGGGCATAAGTCAATGATGGACGAGAGTAGGTAGATCATCAGTACAGAATCCGTGCACGATCCGCGGGACCAGTAGGACTGGGAACTAGTGGTGATGTAGTAGAGCGAGAGCCTAATGAGCATGTGAGAAGCGGCGCTGGCGGAAGCAAACGTCCGGGGCGAATAACACCAACGACGATACACGTGGTGGAAGAAAGAACGGTAACTCAGGACCGTGTGCTACAGTCAAAAAGTGCCGATAAGCGAACAAAGTAGAGAAGAAAAGAAGGGAGTGGGACGCGCGTGAAACGCACTACTATGGGCCGTACTTGCGTTGCTGCTGGTTCTGCACACGCAGCGCGCGGAGCTGGTCTTCCGCCTGCCGGCGCCGTTTGACCTCATCGTCCGCGACCTTCTCGGCCTGAACACGCCGCCGAGTTTCCTCCTCGAGCATCTTTTCCGCGGCCCTCATTTGTTGGCTCGTCTGCGCGTGTTCGAGCTGGTGGCCTTGAGCTGCTCGGATAACCGCGTGTACGCATTTACCGCGTCCTGAGACTGTCTCCGCAGCCCGGCCATTTCCATCTTAAGCCGCTCGATGGTATCCTGGTGATCAAGAGCCGAGTAGCTGGAAAATGCCCCGTGGAGACCGGGTCCTCCTCTGCCTGGCTGAGATTGAGGCGTAGAGTGCGTTCGGTGCCCCGCGCCGGGGAAGGAGTTCGGGCCGCGGTTGTGGGACCGAGGGTCATACTGGTACGGCATGTCTTCCGAGCTGGAATACTCCTCGTCGGTGAACCGGGGCACGTCCGCCTCATCTTCCCATTCCATCTCGTCGTCTTCTTCGTCATCGTCGTCGTCGTAATAGTTGCGTTCAGCGGGCGACTTGAACGAGTGGCTGTCCACTGGACGCAGTTTTGGCATGGAAGGAACGGACTGCTGGTGCGCGTGGGGGTTGGCACTCGGATGTAAATGAGAGTTCTGTATAGCGTGGTGTTGCGGAGGAGGTGGAGGAGGTTGGGAAGCCGTCGGAGGGGGGACGTGCGAACGCGGGGGTGGCTGTGAGTGATTGGTGGGGTGTCCATAAGGTGGAGGCGCGTGCGGATGTGCAGGGGCCGTGTGTGGATGCACAGGAGGATGAGACAGGGAATGAGGGGAAGGATGAGAGACCGGGGAGCGTTGCGAATGGACATGCGGTGGAGCTGTGAGTGGAGGCATGTGGTGAGGTGGGTGCGGGCTGGGCTGCATATGAGTATGTGGTGGGGGAGGCGGCGCTTGTGAATGTGGTGATTGCACAAGGTGGTGAGGATGCTGGAGGGGGTGAGAGAGCGGAGGGGCCTGGGCATGTTGCAGATGAGACTGTGCGGACAAATGTTGAGGGGATGCTTGTTGCGGGCTTTGATGCAAGGACATAAGATCGGCAGGGGAAGGTGGCTGAGAGAAATGAGGCAGTTGTCGCATAGATGGGGAAGCAGACCCTGACGAAGCGGATGCAGGATTGGGTGATAATGAAACAACCGTCGACGATACCGATGGCGTTGCCGAAGGTGGTGGTTGTGAAGGGTGCGAGAGAAGGGGTACTGGGAGGGTGGACAACGGTGGAGGATGTACGCGCATGGGAAGCATACCGCCCGCAAGCCCGTCTCCCGAGGTATCCGTTTTGTTGTTCCTTCCTCTTTTCCTCGGACGCTTTGTCCCTGGTGGGGCGTCAAGGTTGACAGTCCAGTACGAACCGAAGCCCGGATCGGACGGAGGGCGGGGTTGGCGCTCGAAGAGGCGATTGAGAGAGAGGTGGTGCCGCACGGATTGCTGAAGAACGCGTTCAGCACCCTTGCGCACACAGGACACGAGGTGGGGATGAACGCAGGACAAATCAGATCACGTACCTTCCAAGCCGGGCCTGCAGTCTTATAGTACGGGTACTTCCTCTCCATCGCGGCATATATCTCCCGGATCGTCAGGCGTTTTCGCGGGCTCCCGAGAATGGTGCATCTGAGAATGACAGGAAGCGTGTGCTGTGGGCGACCCTCGGTGTCAGGGAGGCAGGCCAGGGTGTCGGGGCAGTCGGGATGTGGCTCATGGGCGCGGATGACACCTCGGGGCGCTGAGGCGGGGGGCGTATCTCTGCGCTCATGGGGCTATCGGCCTCGGAGGTCTTTTCTGTGGGGGATGGGGCTGCGCTACTGGGGGAGCGGGCGGACTGGAGTCTGGAGGGAGGACGCGCGACGCGTGAGAGCGTCAGACGGAGAGGGGGCGGGGACGATCGTGGGGGTACCTGACGGAAGTCTCATAGGCGGACTCGGGGTTGAGGAGGCTGTTGAGACTGGCCATGGAGGCGGGGGGAAGGAGTGGCAGGGCGGGTGGCAGTAGGAGGGAAGAGGAGGACGGGGAGGTGTGTGGGTGTGACGGGGGAGAGGAAAAGGCAAGAGTAGGCGCACACGTTGAGCTTGTGGGTCCATGACCCCCACTCACCGTTGTTCTCTATTAGATCCAACCCCCGATCCTAGACAAACGCACAGCCCTATCCTCTCGCCTAGCCGCGTTCCCTCGCAACACGCGCATGGCCATCGCCGCCGCGACAGGCTGCCCAGCAGGTCCTGGCGTATTTTTGTTGCAAATGACGGCGGATACACAATAGATGCGAGGGCCTCCAATCCAAAACAGCGGCCAATGTGGTTCGTGGTCACATATGTCAAAGCAGCCGGCGGCGCGTGGCTGATCGACCACGATAGTGGCCAGGGCAAGCGCGGCGTGCATGTGTCTCCGCTTGGGCGTGCACGGCGGCGGGGGCGTCGTCTGCAGACGAGGGCTGCAGACTGTGGAGAGCACGCCCCGCGGTTTATTGGTCCCCTGCCTGGGCGAGCGACGGACGGGGACGTGTACGTATGCCGTACGTACAGACCCTATCGCATTTATAAGAGCCCTCGAAGACGCAATTTGCTATCTTTGGGAGGTCCCGGCGGGATCACTCCGCGCCGAGCCCGCTGATAGGCCGCCGAGGGGCTGATGACCCTGCACTGGGGTGCCGGCTAGCCGCTAAACCCAATCGAGCTGTATGCGCATACACATCCACGTCCATCCTCCGATCCCCCGCCGCCCGCCGTCGGGGTCCCAATGCTTCCGAGCGATAGTCCATCCGCATGAGAGCCTCCCCCTCACTTGAGCGGGCTGAAGGGCAACGGTTCCAGGATCATTGCGTCCATGAGCGCCGAGTACTCTGCGGTCTGCGCAGCAGGTTGCAAAGAACTCTAAGCGACTGATCATCCGTCCGCCCACATTGACTCACCTTCGAGACCGTCTCCGACCAGCCATCTATCTTCCACGCCTTCTCCCGCATGTCTTTGCGACTCTGCAGATCCCTGTTCAGCCCGCCACCGAGCCAACACACTCGGTCAGTGATCCGGCTGGCACCAAACTAACGATCCACGTACGGGTACTGCCACATGTGGTGCACTTGGTGCAGCCGGCCCACTTGCGAGAACCAGGCTCCAACAGGCTCGACAAACTTCCGGCGTGCCTCGATGCCCTTACGCCTGCCATCAAACTGTCACAAACATCCCATGCTTCCCGACAACCGCAAATGCTTACCAGGTATGCTCCCATTGCAACAGCGTGCCTGGGTGAAGCTGATACGTTCGCAGCTCGAAGATGCCGCCCTCGATGCGAGGAGGCGTCGTCGGGAAGAACGCAAACTCCTGACAAAGCTGTTGCGAACGCGAGGTCAGGTGTGGGATCAGTTTCCCGTACGTGTCGGCGTGCTGTCAAGGCACGTAATCAACACATGTACACGACTCATTGCGGAGAGATGCAGGGTACAAACCTCCGAAGTTCTGATCTTCTGGGTCGTCTTATCGTACCCGCAGTAATTCTCATACTCCAAGATGTGGACTGGTTAAGGTCACGGCCGCTTCAGCGCAATGTCGCGTCGGTTGAAGTAAACCACGTACAAAACACGTCTTGTTCGCCCACAACTGACTCCCAACTTCCGGTCAACTTCACATGGAGTTCCGGGTCATCCTTGATCCCGGTGTAGTACGCCTCTCTAACGCCGATCGTGAGTGGGGTAACGACAGACGCTCGTGAATAAACCAACGTACGCAGCCTTCTTGTACTCCTTCACGGCGTCGGGCTTGACCTTGTGGACTGCGTGAAACGTTCGTTTGTATGCAGAGTATCCAAGCAAGATTATGTGCTCACTTTCAAGACCGTGCACGTACTTGCCACGGGCGACAAGACGCGAGTGCTGTTGGATCGAGACGTCGCCCTCTTCCTGGGCCTCGGGGGACCCATGCAGCAAAGACTACAAGCTCAAGCTAAAACACTGGCACAGATGGAATGAATGCGCATCACTCACCTGGACTGAGATCCCCCTCCTGGCCTGAACGGCCGAGCGCGAGGCCGTCTGCCTGAGCGCGTGCGCGGTGTACCTAGAGAGCATTGTGCGAACCTTGCGGGCGCGAGAGTGAACGACAGAAACTGCTTAGAGCGTAGAAGGCACTGTAAAGTGAAGCAAAGCGAGGACGGCGATGGTGAGCGCAGATGAGAGCGAGAAAGTGGCGGTTGAGGTCTTGTCCGCACGAGCCCGCCCCGCGTCATATGCCCCAGTTGTACCCACGTGGCCCGGCGCGTAGAGAGAGGCGCCCTTGACCCGCACGCGACGCGGGTGCGCTTCTGGGCCCTTCGTCCGACGCCCTCCTCGGCCGCAATGCCCTTCCCATGGATCACCCGCGAGCACCTCCGCCAGGCATGGAGGCTCCTCACCACCCTCGCCGTCCCCCTTATCCTTGGACTTCTTTCGCGCAAGATCTTTGGTGAACCCAAGGAAGAGGTCCCTGTATCCCTGTATCTGCCTCTGCTCACGGACATTGGATACGCCCCGAGGGGTCTCCTGGCCACATACACGGACGGCATCTCCGACTTTGACGGCTTGGAACGCATATCGTTCTCCATAATGCAACCGCCGACGCGAAACCGGAGGTCACGGCCGTCATCCTCAACTGGTCGCGATTCCCGAACGTTATGCTTATCGCCTCGCTAATGTGCGCGCCGTGGATGGAAAACACGATTGCCCAGGTCTTCATATGGAACAACAGTCCTGCGAAGCTGAGATATGAAGTGTGCATATGATTTTCCTTTCATGCAGGCGTGCATATCATGACTGACTGCGTCTCCAGGAATTCAAGAACTCTGGATGTACGCGGTCTAAATTGACCGTCTACAATGCTCCGAAGAACATGCTGTTCCAAGCACGGCACCTGGCTTGTGCCCAAGTGGAGACACCGTACTGCTTTGTGCAAGTGAGTGGTGTTCGCCTAATCCCCCATGTGCATATGCCCATTCGTTGCTTCGTAGGATGATGACTATCTTGTTCCCTACGAGATCATTGAGTCCCTCCATGTGCGAATCAGTGATCTCGGTGCCGCGAACACCATTCACCTTCTGCCCCCACACGAACATCTATCCACAAAACTGCGGGAGATTCATGTGCCGGCGCCGGACGACACCCATCTCTCCGACATCCACACTTCTTTCGCCTGGTTGGGACATGGAACGATGATGCACAGGTCAGAAGCCAGGAAGTTCGTTACTCTTCTTCGTTCCATCAGCGCAACATCGGATGAGATGAAGATGGCGGACAACTTCTTCACGCTCTTGAGCAATCGGGTACCTGAAGTTTGGCTAGATCAGATGTTCGAGCTGGGTGGAGGTGAACCTTTCACGGTGGGACCCGAAGGCGACGAGCGCAACAGAAACTTTACTGTGAGCTCGCCTTTTGTTTCTTCATGTGTTTTACTTAGCGCAACGGCAACCCTGTTTAGCTTCGTGCGGCCAACTACTTGGCTTCCCTGGCCCACTGTGGACGAACGGCATGCGAAGAGCCTATGGATCTTGCTCAGGGAAAGGGACCGCAGTTGCCATATATCGCATTGGACCGTTCGTACGAACCGACCTCATGGACGTCTGCTGCGTGTCGGGGCGCGTCCTGCGTCCTTGACACCAATATCCGCACTCTGCCGGCACAAATCTCGCGTGAAGCGAACAGCATCACGGACATATTTGCCTTGGAGGAGAAGAATCTCGAGGTTCTTGGGGAAGCCGGGAAAGATAACTACCTGCAGTACGCGCCGTCAAATGCTGTTGATATGAAGTCTGGAACCGTCTTCCGATCTCTCACACGTAAGTGAAGAGTACCTTCACAGCGTCCCCGGTGCTGAACGTTCTATCACGCTCTACAGATGCTGCCCAAGGCGACACGATTGTGATTGACGTTCTTACAGATATCAGCGAGGCACGAGAGTGGACCGCGATCGAGCTCGCCTGGCTTGTAGATTCTGCCACGGAAGAAATCCTCAAAGCGAGCGTCTTCGAATGGTCAACTGACAAGGAAGCTTGGGTGCGCACCTCTCCCCTCCCACCTGGCGACCATCGGGCTAATCATTGGGTTTCCATCCACTCAGCACGCCGCTACACATGCGCCCCTCTGTTACGATACGGGCCACATGGCGACGATTGGAGAAGAGCAAATTGGATTACGGGAATGCAGCGTGCAGATGATCCTGGGTTCTAGCGCATTGCACCTGCGCGCGACTGGCCGGTATTTCCGAGCGAGGCTGGAGGATGACAGGGCGGACCGCTGGACAATTTCAGAGGTGTGGCTGCGGGGGTTCTGAATACATTGTCTTCGTCCTGTGGCCAACTACGGAGGTGAATCCAAGTGTGAAACTGCTGCGGAACTTAGACGTCCGATGAGTCACTTTCTTGCACCGTGCACTGGGACCTGCGAGGATTGGCTCCCCGGCGAAGGACGGTCTGACTCGGGTTTCCTGCAACCAATGGTGACTGAGGGCCAGCCCTGAAGCAAGTCATCTCCGTGTATGGCAGGAGGCGCTCGGCTCATTGCAGTTCTGATAGAATTGAACCGGCGCAATTGGATATGCCGCTCCGTCTACCGCTTAGACTTAGTACACCTCTTCTCCGCACACGCTACCATGCACCAACTCTGTCTGCTACTCCCTCCATCATGTTCCGACCTGTCGGGAGCCGCTCCCGCCCCCTCACCGTGCGCGTCGCGCGCGCCCTGAACACATCTGCAATCCCGAGGCCGCCGACCAGGACCTCCAAGGACGCCCAGCCCCCGTCTCCCATCCAAACGCCGTGGAGTACCAGCACGAGTACAGGCGCGAGCGTGCAGCGTCGGGCGCAGGTGTGTAAATCGGTGCTATATACGTGCGCGACCTATCCTAATTCCGGCCGTCGTACTGCGCTGTGGGATTAGGACAGGATTGAGTCTATCGAGGCACGGCGCGGGGTCTCACCCTTCCTCGTCGACGGCTTCCAGAGAGAGCACAACTATCTCCGCATCTCGCTCACCGAGCGGTGTAATCTCCGATGTGAGTGTCTATTACTATGTCCTTGGCGTGTCCCTTTGCATCCCTTGGTTGGGGTAACGTCCAAGATGGCTGTGTTTTTGGGAAGGTCAATCCAGTACGGAAGGGCTGGTCCTTCGGACGGGCCCATGAAAACACCCCACTACACCCGGCCCTTCCGTTACAGTGAGCTGCAATGATCGACCTTCTACGTGCATTGCCTTGTTCTTATCTTCACCTTACCAACCCGATAGAGCCGTTAATGTTCCGATGCTTTGTAGGCTTCTACTGTATGCCGAGCGAGGGCATAGAGTTATCTCCGCCCGAACATCTGCTCTCGGATGACGAAATCATCAGGCTCGCAACACTGTTCGTCACAAGCGGTGTGACCAAGATACGGCTCACCGGTGGCGAGCCAACGGTGAGGAAGGGAATCGTTGAAATAGTCGGTATGTAACTTAGGATGCGCCATCGGACCCTGCTAGCATCCCCTTACGTTGTTCCGCTCAGGCCGACTAAACCTCCTGCACGAGCATGGGCTGCAATCGATCGGCATGACTTCGAACGGGATCGCGCTGCACAGGAAGCTGCCCGCGTTGGTGCGGAACGGGTTGACGCATCTGAACATAAGGTTCGCACCGCACCCGTCGCGTTTCGCCCACATTGAAGATTTACGGTCATCCGTCCCAGTTTGGACACCCTCGACCCTTTCAAATTTGAGATCATGACGCGCCGCCGGGGACACGATGCTGTCCTACGGTCATTAACCGAGGCGCTGGCCACACCCGAACTGCAGTCGGTGAAACTCAACGTTGTGGTCGTGAAAGGATTGAACGATCACGAGGTGCCGGAGTTCATCGAGATGACGAGGGACAGCCGGCTGTCGGTCCGTTTCATCGAGTTCATGCCGTTCACAGGTATGAGGTCGACATCGCCTCACCCGGTCTATATTCTGACTGTCCTGCGACGGTAGGCAATCGTTGGGACAAGGCGAAGATGGTGCCCTCGGCAGACTTACTGGCAAGGGTCCGGGAACGTTATCCTACTCTCCGCAAAGGGTCGGACGAGCTAAACGACACCGCCCGATCTTACATCATACCTGGATACCAGGGGAGTTTCGGATTCATCAGCAGCATGTCTGACCACTTCTGTGGGTCGTGCAATAGACTGAGGTTGACTGCGGACGGGCAAATCAAAGTGAGCAACTATAGCACGTCCGAAAGTATAGGCTGACATCTCAATCGCTCTCTACTACTAGGTTTGCCTCTTCGACGCAAAAGAAATCTCACTCCGGGACCAGATGCGCGCCGGTGTAGATGACGAGGGGCTTCTCACAACGATCGGCCGAGCAGTGCTGGGCAAGAAGGCGAAACACGCGGGGATGGAGGACATCGACGTCGTCACGAACAGGCCCATGATTCTCATCGGCGGTTGAGTACATCTCCAGTATGTCGGTCATGGAACGCCTCAGTCCTGATTCCCCAACCCTGAACCCGCGTCGCTCGTTTTCCAGGATCGCACCGCCCCGTCGTCCGCCGGTCGACGACGCCGCTGTCACCGAAAGCCAGATCCGCTCTTCAGCTTCCGCCGTCGGCGCACCGCCCCACTCGCACCAACAGTGGCACGGCGGCGCGGTGTTTCAGCACCTCCTCTCGCTCCCTCGCTCCCAAGAACGTGGCACCGGATCCGTCCCATTTGCGCCTCACGCACATCGACGCCACGGGCCGGCCGTCGATGGTCGACGTCGCGCACAAGGCGCCCACGAGCCGGACCGCCACCGCGTCGGGGCGGATCGTCGTCCCGCGCGCCGCGTACGCGCTGGTCGTCGAGCGCGGGCCACGACGCGCACACGAACGAGTCGGCGGCGGCGCGCAAGGCGCGCGGGAAGGGCGACGTGCTCACCGTCGCGCAGCTCGCCGCGATCATGGGCTGCAAGCGCACCGCGGAGCTGATCCCGCTCTGCCACCCGCTCGCGCTCTCGCACGTCGCCGTCGGCCTGCACGCCGAGGTGCGTCGGCGCGTCGGCGGCGGCGGTTGCGGAGACCGGGCCGAGGGGGCGGGCACGAGGTCCGAGGTCGGAGCGGAGGTGGAGGAGGCGAGGAGGCGGAGTACAGCATCGTGTGCCGCGCGACGGTGTCGTGCGAGGGCAAGACGGGCGTCGAGATGGAGGCGCTCACCGCGGTCTCGGTCGGGCTCCTGACCGTCTGGGACATGCTCAAGGCGGTCGCGGGGAGGGAGATGGTGATCCGGGACGTGCTCGTCGAGCGCAAGGCGGGCGGGAAGAGCGGGGACTTCGTGCGCGGGGACGGGGAGAGGGCCAGTAGCTGGGCTGGTGCGCGCGCGCGGTGTGGTGTGGCTGGCGGTGGGTGTAGAACGAGGTGTCGTAGAACCTAATCTCAGCCTCAGACCTCAGCGCTCGGCCTTGGGTGTGTTCTCCCCTTCGATCGTCGGTCACGGTGAGCGCGACGAACGCAGTGCAGGCACTCGCGTCGTGGCAAATTCCTGGCGAACGCACCCATTTTGCAAACATTGTGTCTAATTTTTTCGTCCCAGCCGCGCAGCCTCCGAGAGTCCGGGTGCGCCGGAAACGCCACGTCTTGTGTGTTCGCACGGAGTATGAATCGTGAGTTTGCGCTTTACGTGACATTCGTCGTCCCTGGCCACGGAGATTGGTTCTCCGCGCATCCAGCGGAGCAAGCGAGAGCTAGGCTTCTCGCCTCTCGCCTCAGTGCTCGCCCTCGGGCATCAAACTTTGACATTCTACGCCGCAGACGGTCCCAAGCCGGACAGGCCGGCTGCTCAGAGGAATGGCCCATTCTCGCCCCGTTGCATCATGCCTGGTGTGTTATTCCGTCGTCCTAATTCCGCCCATTTCCAACTCCGGAGTTGACGTCTCCCGATCCGGCCTGGGTCGGCCGTTGGGAGGTACCCCAACCCCCGCTGTCCAGCGGCGGGCCAATGCTTGCGGCTTACACATCCCATGACAGCGTACCGCCCCGGCTGCGCGCGCGGTCCCATGCACCCACCGAAAGCTCCGCGAAGCCGAGGAGTTAATATTTTAGCTATCCGCAAACCCCGCCAGTCATGCCGGCCAGGACGGAGTCACGCCCTCGCTCCCAATCGCAAGGTGCACCCCCAGCGGCGGCAGCCGTACGTTCGCTCACGTCACTCCCTCGCCTGACTCGAGCGCCGATGCCTAATTTGCGGCGCATGACGCATGGCGCGACGCGCTCCGACCTTGGGCGTGCGCGCTCAGCGCTCGCTCTCGACTCTCCAGACTTTGATCAGGGACCAGGACGGTTCGAGGCGGGCCGGGTGACGCAACTATTGGCACGACGGAAGGGGAGCGCGGTGACTCGCGCGCGCGCGCGTCCGTAATGTCCGACCCGTGCGCTGCTGCGCATCTTTTCCCCCTTCCCCCGCACCAGCCCCGGTGGATGGGGGCCTGCGTCCGCGGCGTGCGTCTCAGATCTATCATCTCACGGACAAGACGTCCTCGGCAGTGAGACGTTGAGGGGCGTGACGGTGACCGGCGACGGCCTCGGTCCGGGGACTCGGTCGGGAACGGGCGGACCGTGCAGGGGCACTGGCCGCATGGCGACGAACTCAACCATTTTGCAGATTGGTCTTGCCCGTCCCTCCGTCCGTCCCCGTCGCGGTGTCGCAGCGGTCGCGTGACTACACCCGCTCCGGCGGGTTGCATCATCGCGCGGTTCGAAGTCTGCAGTGTGCACTGGGGTACTCACTACATCCAAGGCACACGCTTTACCCTCCCTTCAGCTCGGCGGCCTCGCCGGGGATTCATGGGACCTCGACCCTGCGAGGTTTTCTCCGGCAGAACAGTGCGGTTCGTTCGGACACGCCGCTGCCGCCCGGCGTCTGGTGCGCATCGCGAAGCAGCGCGAGCTCCCCGGGCGCGCAGGCGCTCCGAATTCGAATGCGCCAGCTTGCGCCCGGGCGCCCTTCGCACTTGACCTTCGGTGTCCCCCTGGCGCCTATGTACGAAGCCCGGACCGACGAGGGCGCGGGGCGAGGAGGGCGAAGTGGCCGGTGCGCGTCGATCGCCTCCATTGGCCCCGAGGGCGCGAGCGCGGGCGAACGGCGCACGCAGCACGGGCCTTCGCGCCGGCATTAGCAGCCACGGCCTGCCCCCGCGCGCACGGGCCCCGTCCTGTGGGTGGCGAGCCTGTGAGTGTGAGGGCGAGAGGCCGGACCTTGGTGCGATCCGCATCATGCCTCCCAGTCGCAGGTCACGTCGCGGCGGCGGCGGGGGCGCAGCACACGTTCGGTGCGGATCCGTCGTCGAGCCTGAACGCGTGCTGATGCGGGCGCGGGCGCAGCGCCGTCCTGCGCGGCCCCCCCGCCTCCCGTTCTCGTCCTGGGCGGAGGGCTCGCGCAGGGTCCGTCGACGGTGGGCGCGGTCGCTGCCCCAGTGCTTCGCTTGGTGCTCGAGCGACCCGTGCTTTCCCAGCACCTCGCGCGCCACCATCCAGATTCGCGCAGACACCTTGACATCCGCGCAGGGCGGGGCGAACGGGTAACGTTATGGACGACGAGCATTTAGTTTGCCGGGGGAGGCGGGCAGCCTTGGCGCAAAGAGGGCACCGAGTGCCGTAAGCGTCCGCCCGCGGACGGGTCTTGGCCATCCGTCCATCATACGACATATGGGCGGAGGCCGCACGAGCATCAGGCGCGTGAACGCTTTTTGAAGTGGTACGGCGGCGACGGCGGCCGACGTTGAGCTGGGGCTGGAGCTGGACGCAACGGAATGGGGCGGTCGTGCAGCCTATCGGTTCGTCCTCGAGAATTAATCTCAGCCAAAACGCTTCAAGGCAGCGGTGAACATTCAAGCCTCCAGCCCTGCACAGTGCACCCGCACCCGCACCCGCACCCGCACCCGCACCCGCACCCGCACCCGCACCCGCACGCCGCGCGGACCGGTCAGACAAGCCTCACGAGACGTTTGTTGCGCCCGCGCGGCCCCACCGCCCTCGGCAAACGCCCCGTCTCGGGCGAGCTTATGCCACGCGAGACGCACCGCGCGTGCCTGCCCCGCCCTCCGAGCGGCAGCCTCCGCTCCTCGCACGGCTCCGTGCCGCTTCCCCGCCTCCCCGCTTCCCAGCTGTGGCCGGGCGATGGACGGTGAGTCGCACGTCGCGCACATCCTCGCGCGGAGGCTCACTGCACGCTCACTGCACGCACCCGGCTGCGGCTTCGCCCCCGAGCGACCGACTCACGTCGACGCGCTCCTCGGATTCCGGCCCGTGGGAGGGTACGGAGCCCGAACGCGACGCCCGTCGCGCTAGTAACTCCCGTGCCCTCAGCCCTGGCCGTGAGCGGCGGGGCGTGCACGATCTGCGCTCGTTCTAGCTTTCGCAACGATATATCGGTGAGCGCCGGCGTTTCGAGTGCCGCTCTGGCGCCCGCGGACCGAGCAGCTCACCGCACGCCGCGGAGTCCAGTCGGAGTCTGCGCGGACACGCGCCGCCCGGACGCGAAGACGGGAAGGGCCGAACGCGGGCGCGCGGACTGGACGTTCGCGTTCAGCTTCCAGCTCCCGCGGCTCCGCGCGCCGCCACACACGCCGCACTACTGCGACCGCGCCCAGGGTCCGACGAAACGTTCGACTCTCCGGATCCGCCTCGCGCGCCGCCAAGCAGTCCTTCGCGACCGGGAAGGAGGAGCTGGCTCACGTCGTCGTCCGTCCATGTCGCGTGTGTCGTGTCTCGTGTCTGATCATGTCTCGCCACGGTGCAAAAAAGTTCTGACATACCCGCCCTGGGCACGCGGCCGCGGTCAATGCCAATCACGGCGCACAATCAAACAAAACAAGCCACGGAGCCACGATGGCCCTGACCAACGCGACTGACACCGGGCAGGCAGGGCAGCGCGACGTCGCATCACACGTGGCGAATGGAGTCTGGACGAACGACAAGTTACAACGCAAATGCCCCTCGAGGTCCGCCGGGGGACCTCCGCGGTCCCAGATCATTTTGTCTTTTCGGCCTGGACATCGGACGGGACGGGCGTCGGGGTCGTCGCCCGCTCAGGTGGGCTCACCACCCAGGGCGGATCCCAGTGACCGAGCAAGCGACGCACGCACGATGATGAGATCTCGACCGAGGAACGTACCTAAGTCGGAGTCCCTCCGTCCCGCCCACCGTCATTATTCGCGTGCAGCCCGGAGCGACCCGTGGGCATGACGCACCCACGCCAGCGCGACTGCGATCAGTGCACCAAGACCGACCGACCGCGATGTCGGGATATCTCGCGCGGATGCAGTAGATGCTGCGCGGATATCCGGATGCAAACAAAGGCTGGGCGCACGCGAGGTGGGAAGGTCGAACGGGTCACGATTATGTGGACATTAGAACACTATGTAAGTACTGTGTGAGCAACGAAGAGCGGACCGGGGGGCGTCCGAATCCACGATTAAAGGTAACAGAGAGCGCTGAGCAACGGGGACTAGTGCGGCAGGTGATAAATAACAATCCAGGAAAGTTGAGTCAGGGGGGAAAGGACAGAGGGGAAGGGGGTGGCTATAGGACAGGGAGTCGAAAGCGAAGTGCAAGACAAAAGCAGGACTAGCGATACAGTGGGGGAGGACAGGGATAGCACATCGGACACATTGCGTTCGGTAGAGAGCGGCAAGGCGAGGCGAGGCAGGGGAGAGCATTAGAGGAGCGCGTCAACGAGCCGAGAATCGTAGTTAGGGAACAATAATGGATAATAAACGTAGGCCGGGCATTATACTTGAGGTTCTGTGTTCGTGCTCGAGACCATCGTCCGAGAAGGGATGCCAGTCGGAGGAGGCGAGAGTGAAGCTTTTACCAGTGTCCCCGGTCCGCGCCGACGAAGCCGAGCTCGAGGGAGTCCTCGATGGCGTCAGGCTTTGGCTTTCCGCAAAGTCCGGCGAAGCCAACACGGTCGTACACGCGCTGCGCGCTGTTTTCGTGGCCGACGTAAAGCACGACCATGTCCTTGCGGAAGTCCAGCAGAAGCCTAGCGAGAACCGGGTCAGCCAACCGTCACGTCACGGCGGCAGCCCGGAAACCTGAGAAGGACGGAAGCAAACACTCACTGGGCGGTCACGTCGCGGACGAGGAACTCGGCGCAGCCACGACGACGCCACCTAGGGGTGGTGTACACCTTGGTGATCGCGGACACGCGGTGGCTGTTTCGCGTTACGGCGCAGATGGTGGTGATGTCACCGTCGGCGTCGTACACCCAGAGGAGACCCTTGGCGATGAGCTCGCGTGCCTCTATCCGGGCGCGTTCGATGGTCAGAGGGAAGTAGATCTGAGATCGAAACAAGCGGTGTGGCGAATCGGGAGTCGAGGGATCGGGCGGAGAAGAAGCACGGACAAGACCGTCACGGAGCGATGCGGAAAAGAAGACGGTCAGCACGACTGATGCAGCAGACGGCGCTGGCGCCTGGGCGCGCGCGGGGCCACTCACCGAATCGTCCGCGAACTCCTTGCACAGCCGTGCGACGGGCTCGAGATCCGCCATCGCCGCCTTGCGAAGCCGGTGTCCTTCGGGCAAGGGGGTGTCGCCGCCCCGGAGCGTCTCGGACGTGCAGTACGAGAAGAGCGCCGCGTAGAACGGCTCTGGCTCGATCGCGAAGCCAGTCATCTGGGACCAGACTTGCGAGAACTTTTTGACAAGGGTGGTGAGGCCGAAAACGGAGAATACGCGCTCTGGAGGCACAATGGCGTTCAAATGGTCCGTAAGGGCGTGGATACGGGGCTCGAGCCAGTGGGTGGAGGACGCAGAGGTACGGTCGGGTGTCCAGAGAAAGATCGGGTACTCGCCGAGCGTCCAGTCGATAGACGCGAGGATGAGGTCGAGGGAAGGCGCCGACGACGAAGACGAGACGCTCCAAACGGTGAGCCAAAAGGCACCCGACGTGGGTTGGGGGGCGAACGCGTCGGACGCCACTGAGGGGAACCGCGCGCTCACTTCGTCTTGAGAGAGGAAATGACCGCTGAGCGCGGTCTCGGAACCGACGCGCTTGAGGGCGTGCGCCAGAATGATGTTGGACGAGGCTTCGTGGCGACGAAGGACAGGGTAGGCGAAAGAGAAGAAGTCGTCTGCGGAGTTGTGTTGCATGACAAAGAGACGGGGGCTGTTGGGGGACGCGGTGAGACCGGGCATGGTGGAAGAATGGATCGACGGGATGTGCGGGAGAAGAAGAGTCGAGAGGAAACGGAGGCCTCGAGGGGCTTGGAGGGACCGGAGGAAGGGAGAAGAGGGCCTGGTCGGTAGGATGGATGAGAATGGCGGGACCGGGGGAGAGGACTTATATGTCTGCACGGGAGGACAGCCATGTCACGGCCAGCGACTATGGACGTCGAGGATATGAACTCGTGGAGGGACCCGACGGAGAGGCGCCAGGGTAGCGGAGGATCGGGATGCGTCCCTAAGGGTATCGGACATGATGTCCCCGCCGGATGTGTGACAAGGGCCGGGCGCAGTTGCGCAAGGGCGGGCGAGAAAATGAATTCAAGAGAGTTTTGTGAGTAATCTCACCTTGATGCCTGCTCCGACCCGGCGGGGGGCAGACGCGAAGGCGCGCGCCAGGATGAGCGGGGGAAACGGCATCAATTGGATGAGGCCGTGCCCGGAGGAAGGCCCCGCATATGCTTGCACTTGGTCCACGCACGGACCGCTCGCGTTTTCGGAGGTCTGTGCGAGGAGTCCGAGGACGATGCGCATATAGTCGCGGCGGAGAAGGGCGAGCGTGGCATTCGGGCATTCGGGGTGATAGCGGAGGTCGAAACGCGATGCTGGCCAGATCGCGGCGGAGAAAAGGAGCCGCCACCAGACACGATGGACGAGAGATGGCCAGGCAGCGGCGACGAAGCTGGGGCAGTGTGGACGAGAAACAGGACGTCGACGGTGCGCACGACGTCTGCCAAGGGCCAGTCCTTCCACGCGCCATGGGCGTCTCCCGGACTGTCGGCCACGTGGCCTTGGCGACTGCGTCCGTCGCCCTCCGTCGCCTCGACTTTCGCCTCTCGAGTCTCGCCCGGACGTCGTTGCCAACTTGGGAGGGTGAATGTTTGAACGATGACCTGCTCCCGCTGGCCGAGATCTCCAGCTCGCCTTACCTCATCGCGCCTCGCCACCATCGTCTCGCCCAGATCTCGGCCATCTTGTCAGATCCACTTTTTTCCCCCAGCCTAATGCCTTCGCCACTCGCCACGTTGTTCACAGGACATTTGCCGCCATCCAGGGCCGTTGCTTCATGTGCGTGCTATTCTCCGCAGGCCACCTCCATTTGCCTGTCCAGCCCCATGTCCCGAGCCCGATGCCTTCTCGTATATCCGCCCCATTCATCCCTCCCAAGCCTCCCGCCATTGTCCTGGACCACTTCCGCATCACACTCTCCGTATGTAAATACTAAATCTCCTTGCAGAGCCCTCCCAAAAAGTGTCCTTGCCGTAAGCTCGGCTTCAGTCGCCTGATCTTGGCCACTTAAGACTCCACTGTAAACTTTCATCTTGCGCCCAGCCATCCATACTTGCCATTCATTCGCCGGATCCCACTCCTGGTTTAACATTCCCGTCGTTACGTGCCATACCCATATGCCCATGCCGTCGTGCGAGCCGGCCCTTCATCTTATTTTCATGATCCCTCGCTTATCCTCAAGATGGACCTTCGCGTTTGCTCCAACTGCCACCGTGGCCGTGTCGTCACCGCTCACGTACAGGCTCAAAAGCGGCCCGCGCGCTGATAGGCCTAACGATGCTTGGCGTCACTACAGAGCACTGGGCAACACCTCGCACCACGGACCGAGCCTGGGCTGTGCACGATGAACAGAGTGCAGGGGCCCGCCCGGATCACGGTCTCGCACGATTCCCCGTATGTCGGGCGATGGCGTACACGCCGCGGAGACAAAACGTCCGTCACAGGCAGGGTCAAATGCCCAAGAACTATTGGCCAAGCCGTCAAGTTGTCATGGACGTCAGGCCCTCGTCCTGTTCATCGCGTGCGCACGCAGGCCATGCCCGCTTTTTCCCATGGTCCATGAGAGACGATCCGGTGTGAAAGCCGACATTGTTATCCTCTTGGTTGGGCACACAGCTTCTGTTCCACCGTCTGTGCCTTGGGCCTAAGAAACATTACGTAACACGAGCTCGGGACGAACCCGTGGTTCATGAGCAGTTCAACTCGAATCAAACCGCGGTTCGGAACCGTGACCGCGTGGCGCCCACGCTGCCCGTTTCTGGCCACCCCGACCGTCCCGCTCGCACCTCGCACTCGTTCTCCGCCCCGCCCACCACCTTTTCCGAGCCCGCAGTGGTCCGTCTGCACTCTCGATCTATGACCGCGCACCGCCCCACTCAGCCATGTGCGATGGACCACAACAAACGATCCATTTATGATATTGTTCATTTGCGCGGCCGGCGCACGCAGTATCCGATGGCCCGACCCCCAGGCCCGCCCTCCCCACTCGGTGACGTCCAATCTCGTTCCAACATGCGTCGCCCGGTGGGCGGTGATGAAACGTCGCGCACCACCACGCGTCCAGCCCCGACTTTTCTCCGCGACGGCATGTATTCACGGATCCAGAGACAAGGCGCATCTGGCAGTTAATAAGGGTCCGTCCAAATTTCATCCCCGAGCTCACGTTGCGCGGCGGACGGAGAGCCCCGCCCACAATGCACGCCATCGCTCGCGTAATCAGGCTCGGCGCGACGCCGGCTCGCCTTCGCGCACTGCAGCGTGTCGGGCGGGCGAGTGTGATCATCGTGCGAGTATGCGGATGGTCGTCGCCTCAGGGTTCGGTGCTTCTCGTGCAGATTTTCTTCGTCGCCTCCATCTCCATGCACATTGGACTGAGTCCGCATACCTTCATCCAGGCGAATCTGCCTCCGCGGTAACCGGCTGCGTGCACGATCCTTCATCCGCAGGGCAATGCGCGCCGCACCCCCACGTCTCCGCGTCGCACACGTCAATACAGGCCACGCGGGCGAGACGGAAATCGCGCGGACGGTGCGGTCCGAAAGCGGCCCACGGATACCGCAACCTCGGCCCCTCCAAGACACGCAAGCCGACTGGGACAGAACGAAGGCTCCGTGGATGAAACCACCTCCGCGGGCCCCCACAATCACAATGCGCTCATTGCTGCGCGATCTCCCCGACAAACGCGAGCGTGCGTTGGTGCGTGCGAGTCGAGGTACGGCGTGCTGCTGATGTTCTCAGGGAACCCGTCCCGGAGTCTCCGAAGAGCACGGCGTGACGCCTCGCTGGTGCTCTCGTCGCCCACGCTCGTCGCTCTAGGCCATATCGATCCACCTGCGACCACCGACTGCACGCCATCGTGGCCTCGATTTGATAGGATCGCACAGCTGCAGCCCGGGTGACAGCCAAGATCAACGCCGCCGTCGACGGCGAGAGTGGAATGCGCGCAGCGGGGGGTCGGAGTGACAGTCCAGGTCCAGGAGCCGTCGGACGAGAGTGCTCGTGACCGGACTTCGCCCGCGCTCGCTACGCATTTGTTGTTTCCGCGTTCCGGAGATGTTTACTTTCATGGCGGCCACAGCGGTACATGTGGTGTGCCTGCGTGGCTCGTGTTCATAGTGGACGTAGATGGATATGCCGAGCTCTACCTCCTCGCACCGCCCGCGCCCGCCCGCTGCGCCCCAACCAACTTCCGCGCAATTTCTGTGGGGGGAGCCTGGAGATGCTTAATCCCCGGTGTTTCGCCCCTGTACTTACCACATACCGTCAAGCACCACTCTGATCCGTTCTTGGTTTGCGGTTTGCGGCCCACAGCAGTGACCCAAATCACACGTACGGCAGCGCTCCGTCACGGCCATCTAGGCTTCCAGCCCTCCTTCGCTCGCTGGGTTCGGAGCGTCCACCACCGAGTACCGCCGTACCAGTGCTACTCTTCATGTCGTTCAGGATGAAGAAGAATATTATATTAGGATGGTCGACGCCCCTCGCGGTGCGGCTGGGGTGCCATTTGTGTGTCGTCGAATATTCTCTATCTGCGCACGCCGCAGTCAGTGAAAAATATCGTTTCCCATGATGATACAGATCGGTGGCAGCAGTACAAAATACAAAATGAACCCATGCACGTATATCACGACCATCGGACAATCGAAATCTATGTTTGAGGTGCCAGCGTTGCGATTCCTCTTTCGCCCGTCTGCGCTGAGGATCGAGTTTTGTCCCGACCCTGAAGACTCGTCCGCCGGGGAGCTGTCCCCGCACCGCTGTACCAGTGTTGCCCTTCACGTCCTCGCGCCGCGCCTACACCGACAGGTTCGAGATCCGGGGCCCCGCGCGAGACCGAGATCTTGTGTGCTGGCAGAGTCCACAACCCTAGCGGACGTAAGGGAAGGACGCAGGCCGGGGGTCCGGAGTTTCCATCTGTTCCTACCGCACAGTGCCGGGTCGCGGCGAATGGATGCCTGTGCATGACGACGTGGTGAGCTCAAGGCCTGACGGCTGGCAAGCAGACCGAAAGAAACACCCACACCGCCTCACCTGTACGCGCGCAGCGGACCCTGGTCGCCCTGAACGTGAACACTGAACTGAAGCCCGCGTCCGCCCGCACTCGCGCCTCGTCCACCCCACACGCAACGTCCAACGTCCATCGTCCAACCCTGTCCATCCATTCCCTCCTCCCCGCCACGCGAACCCTCTCCGCCCGGCCTCTCCGGGCCCAGCCTCTGCCCCTCGTCCTTCTCCGCCCGCACTCGCACCCGCCCCCGTGCCCGCACTCACGCCGACGCCGACGCGGCGTCGTGAGCCCGAATCGCACCCTCGACCCTGCCCAGCACGCCCAGCAGCCGCTCCTCCCCGAGCCGCCGCCCGACGAGCTGCAGGCCCACCGCGGCGCCGTCGAACGCTAGCGGGTCCCACTGCGCGCGGACCTCTCGCTCCGTCTCGTTCCGCGGCGCGGCGCCCTCGTAGCGCCTCTCCTCCTGGCCAGCTAGGCCTCCTCCTCCCCTCGAGTCCGCGACCCACTCCGCCGCGCGGAACCGCGGCCCGGCGGGAAACGCGACCGCCGGATAGTCCGCGAGGTTCCAGTGGGCGCTGTACCCCCACCAGCGCGTGCCGTCGTGGCGCGGGCGAGCGTCGCCGCCGCGGGCGCGAGCACGGCGTCGACCGCGCGCCCGTCGCGCGTGCGCGCCGCGGTGCCGTTCCAGTGCGCGGCGAGCGCGGCGCGGAACGCCTCGCGCTGGCGGTTGAGCGCGAACGCCTCCGCGGCGGAGTACCCACGAGCCGGCGCCTGGTCGAGGATCCACGCCGTCTGCGGCACCGCGGGGTCGACCGCGGGCGCGGTCAGCGCGCGGTACTCCGCGCCGCCGTCGAGCAGGTAGAGCTTCACCTGAACGTGTGTAGGGATGAGAGGACGTCGGGTTTGGTGGGCGATGGGTTGGGGTGGTGCGGTGCGGTGCGGCCAGACGCAGTCCAGAGCGGAAGTCGGTCCGACCACGGCGGAGAGGACGGAGAGGATGCCGAGAGCGTCGACGGCGAGGCGTACAGCCCGTGGTGCGTGGCCGTCCGCGTGAGCAGCGACGCAGCGGGCGCGCGCGGACGGAGAGCGCGCAGGGGGGAACGAGGGACGTCACGGCGGTCAGCACGCACAGTAGATCCGTGTTCGAGCGGAAGGCACGCACGATGAGCTCCCACGCGTCCCGGTGCGCGAGCGGCTCCCAGACGAGCACGTCGTGGCCGGCGGCGAGCAGCGCGTCGCGCACGCGCGCGAGCGCGGCCGTGATCGGCGGGTGCGGCGCGACGACGCCGTCGTCCCAGAGGATGGCGATGGCGAGCTTCTCGGGGAGCCCCGCGCCGTCCGCGAGGTCCTGCCGCCACGGGAGCGGGAGCAGCGGGGGCTCGACCAGCCACGGTTCGTCCTGGAGCATCGTGCGGCAGAAGAGCGCGAGGTCGCGCGCGGACGTCGCGAGCGGGCCTAGCGCGCCGATGATGGCGTCCATACCGTCGTGGGAGCCGAGCAGCCCGCCGTGTGGCATGCGCCCGACGGATCCCTTGAGACCGTACAGGCCCATGTACGCGGCCGGCGCGCGCTGCGGACGGGGCGGGAGGCGGTGGGCGGTGGCGGTGGCGGTGGGCGGTGGCGGGCAGATTAGCGTTACTATTGAGTTCGGCGCGTCGCGATCTGGGCCACAGCGGCGGGATCTCGCACGAGGAGACGGAAGCACGGGCAGGCACTCACAATCGAACCACCTATGTCTGTGCCGACTCCGAGGGGACTGCCGTGCATCGCAATCAGGGCACTCTCTCCTCCGCTGCTGCCTCCGGGTGTGAGGCTGTGAGGTCCGAGTCAGCAGGAGGTTCCAACACGCGGGTAGACGGTCGGCCTGCCCGCCGCGCTGTGGATGGCGCAGCGGCGGACCCCGGGGGAGGGAACACTGACTGCGGTTGTGAGGGTTCAATGTCCTGCCGTAAATGTTGTTGTTTGTCTCGAGAGCCTGTGACAGAAAAGCGTGTGAGCGACCGACAGAAGAGCACCGTCGGAATGTTGCACGTACTAACAAAGTCTGAGGGTTCGCTGTCTTCACATAGATCACAGCACCAGCCCGTCGGAGGATGTCGACCGCAAGCGCGTCCTTCTCCGCCACAGTTCTCCCGGCCCACGCAATGTAGCCGGTCGCGGTGTCGTGCCCCTTGACGAGGATGTGGTCCTTGATGGACACTGGGACGCCGTGGAGCGGTCCGACGACCTGCCCGGTCTCCTCGAGGTGCCGGTCGAGTTCGCGTGCCCTGCGGAGCCCCTCGTCGAAAAAGACCTCCGTCAGGCAATTCGTCAGATCTTGCGCGACCGTCGCCGCGTGACAGAACGCCTCCAGCGCCTCGACCGCGCTGAACCGCCGCGCCCCGATGCTCTCGGCAAGCGCGGTCGCGTCCATCTGCACGATCTCCCGCTCGCGCGGCGAAAGCGGAGAGAGCGCGAAGTCCGACACGTCCGCTCGCTCGGGGGCGGCGCGCTCGCCGGCCGAAGGCGCCACTCGGGCCGCGCCGCGAGCCGCCGCTCCCGCTCCGCCTGCTTTGCGCGAGCGACGTCCTGCCAGACACGGGGGGCGGCCTGGGCTGGGTGGGGCGGGAGCGTGGCTGGGCCAGCGACGGCGTCGGTGTGCGCAGTACCGTTTGGGGGCATTATTGCGGATGCGCACGTCGCGCGAATTAGAGCGATTTATGTAGGACGGCGGTAGCCCCGCCCGGCGTCCAAGACCTCACCTTACTTCCACGACCCTCGCCTGATGCTCGCTTTCGCAGCTCGCACATCCTTTGGAGCGCCCGGGGGATGCGCTTGTAGACCTGTCAGCCGCCCATTGGCCATCCTCAACGGGCTACTCGAGCACCACGAGGAGGTCCCTGGCGAATGGGGATACGTGAGCCGCACGGCAAGGTGGGTCGCTGTGGGGAAAGCAGGTCTTGGACGCTCACGCTAGAGTCCGCGAGCGCATCGTGGCGTGGATCGCGAGCGCTAAAGAACGGCGAGGCGACTTGACGGCGGTCATGCTCATGGGGTGCGTTTCCCAGAGAGCGTTTCCATTGAGGCAACAGGCGGTCGAACTATGCGCGGCAGGCTATATATGGCGTCCCGCAGTCTTGGTCTGCAGCGCATTTCTTCAACGAAAGGACCCAGGAAATCTGGAGACTTGGGGCTGGATAAGAGACACTTACGTCTTATTTCTCGATAATGGCCGGGATCGATTGGTCGCCTCACGGCAGCGCTGACTTGCGAATCAATGGAGGATGCCTTCTCCCCGTGGCCGCGTTCCCAGCGTCCGCTTCGGGGGCACGTCGAAATCAATGGCGACGATGGACGGAGCGGTCTTGAACGGCTCGCCCACAACCGGCCGTGACCGTCCGCCTTGCTCGCATGCCTCTTGTGAGTCTGTGGACGTCCTGATCATCAGATGGGATGGAGCAAGCAACAAAAGGCCGGCACTTGCTGTGAGCTGCAGCAGGCCGATCCCTTCCCGAGAGGATGAGAAGATGAGGTAATCGGCGGCGGCATCTCGCACCCAGGAGGGTCGGGTGACTCCACCGCAGGAACGGTCTGCCCGCTCGCAAGATACAGTCAGGACCCGAGGTGAGATAGGCCGTTCCAGAGGCCGGAAGACCCGGAAAGAAACGTCAAAGTCCACTGGGGTCGGTGCTTGCGTCCTCCGCAGACAAGCTGTTCCTCGCATGTCTAAGCATAACCGCCCGAACGACGGCGTCCGGTGTTTCGTGAGGCTGGATAGAAGGAGTCGGAGGAGTGAGCGTCGAGAGCTCCGTAGAGTAGAAGGCAGACGTACAGAATGGTGGTTTGACGGCGTCTCCAGTGGGACTAGGTCGGGGTGAAAGGGGCAGGAGAGGCAGCCAGTGTAGGGGGATGCGGAGAAGCGGCCATCCGGAAACAGAGCGCTTGGTGTCAAGGGCAGTTGACACCTCGAACGGAGGAACGCCAACAAGCGGGTGCCCTCATGGGGCGACACTTCGCGGCATGAGTGTTACACGTGCATAGAGACGAAAGCAGCAAGTACGTACCTACACACCCGGTATAGCTGCGATACAGATTTTCGGGAATGTGTACGCCGGTCGAGGTGGATGACTTGCGAACGACTGCGCATGAGCCCCGCAGCCAACCCATGGCACATAAATCAGGGACCCGGCCTTGGATGGGGCACGTGGCAATACCTTAGAAAGCAGTACGCCCGGGATACTGATGCATATGCGTGATACAACAGCAGCATAATGGGGGTAGAGAGAGCTCTAGTCGCGCTGAGTTGAAGAAGGATAAGACAGGGAAGCGCCCAGGTAACAGGAAGAAGGTAAGCCTTACGTCATCATTTCTTACGCTCCAAGTTGGGCACTAGTGCACACCCTCATTCTTTCATCAGTGCCAGAGTTTGAACTCGAGTCTTGGTCTCTCCTCTAAAAACCGATTCTCGCTGGTCCGAGAAGCATACGAAGATTGGGGGTGAGATGTTGAGGATCATTGGACCGACTCGCTGACTCCTGCCGCATTATCATCCAGTCTTTCTCATCATAGATCTGGCTCTTCCGTTACCCTCTTTTCGCACGTATGCTCAAACTACCTATGCGGTAGGGAAGGAACGGAGAAGCACTGTCATCTCGAGAAGTACTCGGGTTTGACTCTTTACGCCAGACTCTGTGGATGACAGAACCAGCACAGCTCGAAGGTCGTCCGCCCGAGCCACTTTGTCCCGACGGAGCTGCGTCCTCCTCGATCGCGATCGCGGATCGGCGACGTCGCACACATCTCGGCGTAAAAATAGAGCTGCGGCCAATTCCCGCTGAAAGCCATCGTGGATTCGTGGTCTTTCGATCCCGAAGAGATCGCGACCGAAAGCGGCCGTCGTCGCGACGAGTCCCAGGCCTCGGAAGCTCCCAACGTCCGCGGCGGGACAACCGTTCGGCCACGCGGGAAAACCCTCGTCCACTGGGTGTCTCGGGATTGCGCAAATCGGCGCGCCACGCTAGAAGGTCATCAACACTCATGCTAGAACGTGGGCGACAAGCGGCGCGTATGCAATGTGCACGGTCTCACACCGGACTCATCGATCCTCCTTGACGGACCTCCGAAGCAGGCTGGGGACTGCACGACAGCAGAGCTCTCGACGTTGACGGCTGGAGCAACGAGCGGCACCGCACAAATGGCTCGTGACCTCACACTCTCGGGGCGATCGAGCGACGGTCGAGGCCGCATTTCCAGGAACCCGCGGCAGACCCCACACGACGCGCAGCGTGCCTCGACTTTATCACCGGCACAAACAACCTTCCGGCTTCTAGCGTCCTCTTGGCACTCCTCCCGCAACCGCTACGCCCAGCCATATGCATAAACAATCAAGGACGGTCGCGGTCGCGGGCCGCTCGCGCCGTCGAGAGGCCCTCGGGGACGTCGGGACGTCGCCACCCAATTAACGAACACCACCACCTAACCTACTGGCAACCGCACAACCACACGCACACCTGCGCGATCGGTTCAACGTCGGCGGACGCGGACGCGCGCCGATCCCGGACACACTATGTACACGGGCGACAGACGGCGCCGGGACACAGACACGGGAACGGCGTGCGTGAACGCTTGAACAGGTACCGCCCCCGTCCTCGAAGGAAGCCATCGTGTGTGTGCACGACCGCGACATCCTCGCGTCTCCCCAATGGCATTCCCTTGACGTCCAACAAGCAACAAGACACAATGGCACCGCACCGCGCGAGTGAGCACCGTCACTGTCGGCCTGTGCCGACCTCGCACTGCCCCCTGCTCCCCGACCCGTGCGCAACGTGCGCGCCCGTCGCGTCCTCGTCTCTCGGAAAGGCAACTTACGGCCCACCGCGCTCTCACGCGCACGCCGGGCCAGGCCGCCGCCCGACCCCCCAGGCCAGGAACACCGAACACCCCGCGCAGGACGTGCAATAGTCCTGTTGCCCGTCGTTAGGGTGTGCATGAGGAGCGACTCCCAGCTCGCCTTCGAAGTCGGCCGCGGAAGCCGTAATTACGCGCATGATAGAGTAGAGTGCGACGCCGACCGTCGACAGCTCGCAGTGATACCGGCGCGCAGACGAGCCCACCGTCTCGAAGCTGTCACTCACGCACACCACGGGGTTTTGCTTCGCGAGAGCCCGTTCTAATTTATAGCTTCAGCAATGATAGAATATATATGCGCATGTGGAGGATGATGAACGAAGCAAAAAAAAAGTGCTGAAGCTGGGGATGGGGGATATGCAAACAACGTAAACTGCCATCCTACTTAACTGTCCGCGTCGGGCGCCCTCTCTAAGCAAGGTATCATAGAGTGCGTATGTACGGGAAGAGGACCTGCTTGGAAACTAACGAAGGCGATTAGACGAAGGTACCAAACTGTCCGTCAGCAGTTCGACTGAGTCCATGACACCACATCACTGTGTGCGCAAGCGAAATGTCCCTTTTAACACGACCCAGAGTCACAGCCCGAGGAAGACGAAGAACTGCTCTTGCAGTCAGAGCCACTGCAACCCGACGACGAGGACGAGCCGCAGCTAGAGCCGCTGCAGCCCGTCGTTGACGAGGTCATGCCGAGGTCATCGTCGACGAGGCACCACCACAGTCGCCGCTGTTGCAGCCGCCCATGGAGGTGGAGGTGGACATCGCCTCGAAGTGTTGTCGCACTTGCCGCTGTTGCAGCCCATGCTCGACGTCGACATGACCGACGACGTGTTGCAGTTGTCGCCGTAGCAGTTGGAGCCCTGGGTGATCATCGACGACATGGCGGTCTGCGTCGAGCTGTAGGTGTAAGACATGCTGTTACCCTGGGTCAGGTAGTAGCTGGTCTTGCACTGCCGGGGACGCGTCAGTAGGAAGCACGGGATGGCAGAAGAGTAAAATACGCACGCCCTGGAGGCAGCTGACGAGCGAAGTGTCCGTGACGGTGGCGGTGGAGACGGACGTCGTGGTCGCGGTCGCAGTGATCGTCGACTCGTACGTGAGCGTGGAGACGATGGTCTGGTCCATGGTCTTGGTCTGGACGATGGTGTTCTCGACAGTCTTGGTCTTGTCGATGATCTCGGTGCTCACGGAAGTCTCAAGCATCGTCGTGGGCTTGACGATGGTCGAGAGCATGGTGACAGTCTTCGTCATGAAGTCCGTCTCCGTGGCCGTCTTCGTCTGGACCTCCGTCTGGGTCTGGGTCTTGAGGACAGTCATCTGGTCCGTGACGGTCGACGTGAGCGTGTTCTCGACCGTCTTGGTCTGATGATCGCGCAATCAGTCACCACCCATCAAGCCTCGCATGGTGCGGACACTCACCTTGTCGATGACCTCGGTGCTGACCCAGGTCTTGACGTACGTGGTGGGGACGAGCTGCGTGCTGACGTCCGTCTTGGTGACCGTCATGAAGTCGGTCTCCGTCGCGGTCTTCGACACGGTCTGCGTGTTCGTCTTGACGTCCGTCTGGGTCTTGGTGTAGACGTTCACCTGGGTCGAGGTCTCAGTCGCGGTCAGGGTGTGGTCGATGGTCTTCGTCTTGTCAATGATCTCCGTCGACACCCAGACGCGAGTGGTGGGCACCAGCATGGTGGAAGTCTCGATCTTCGTCTGCGTGATCAGGTCGGTCTCAATCTTGGTCTGAGTCTGCGTGGCCGTCTCGTGCATGGTGACAGTGGAGGTCTTGACCTGCAACGCGCGCACACTGGTGAGCAGCCAGACCGCACACGAAAAACGCCGCGACTCACATCCGTCATGGTCTTCGTGACTGTGCTCTCCATGGTCTTGGTAACGGTCTTCTCCATGGTGCTGGTGACTGTCATGGTCTTGGTGTCGGTCATGGTCTTGGTAACCTCCATGGTCTTGGTGGAAGTGTTCTCCATGGTCTTGGTGACGGTCATGGTGTCAGTCATCGTCTTGGTGTCGGTCATCGTCTTGGTCGACGTGACGGTCGACATCCCACCACAGTTGTTGTTGTAACTGTTATAGCCGTTGTTGTAGCCACTGCCGCAGTTGCTGCCGCTGCAGCCGCCACCACTGCAGAAGACACGACGCGTGAGCGCCGCGCGAGACGAATAGACACAGAAAGGGGGGGACACAGGGGGGAACGCGTGATCGAAAGCGGTGCACTCACTGGTTGATGATGATCGTCTCGTAGCACCCGAAGTCCGTGGTGTACTGCACGACGCGTCCCGCGTCAGCTCCTCCGCACGGACGCGTCGAAAAGCGCGCGGACTCACCCAGTTCATCTTCGAGCACTTTCCGGAGTTGTCCTTGGAGTAACCGTAGCCGCAGTTCATGCTGCTGTACCCGCCGTTCGTGAAGGACGAGTAGGGCATCATCGAGGTGCCGCCGTCGGTGGCCGGGGGCTGGGTGTACATCGAGTCCGAGGCCATCGAGGTGGAGGAACCCATCATGGACGACGACATGGCCATGTCGGTGGTCTGCGCCTGGTTGTTGCCCGCGGTGGGGGACGAGAGGAGGGAGGAGGGGACCATGGAGACCGGACCGGCGACGATCTGCGCGGCGGCCGCGGCCGCGAGGGAGAGGGCGATGAGGATGGAGCTCATGACGGATTAGGACAGAGGGTAGTCGTGACTTGAACCGGATGAATACGTTAGTTGCAAAGGAGTGATAGCGGTCTACGCTGGCGGGACTGTCTAGCAGTGGCGGGCGGAAGAAAAGGGCGGGAGGCTTTGCGGGGGACGCAGAGCTCTGTGGAAGGGGCGCGCCGTTAGCGGAGGGAAGACGGAGGAACGGAGGCGACCGACCGCGGATGAAAGAAAGGAGGGAGGAGGCCCGGAACGAAGACGGGGGGACGATGGCGAACGGCCACGCCGGGCGGGCTATATGAGCCCTCGCACACGCGCTCACACACCCAACAGATCATCACTGATCGGGTAGCTAGGGACCCAGCGCGCCCCATTGGCTGCCCTGGCCCGGCGCCCCCGTCCCTCCGCTGGCAGGCTGCCAATGCCATCGCCCATCCGCCAACTGTGCGCTGCAATCCAAGATGATGCTCCCATTGCGGTGCGGTAGATACAGACAACCCCGGGCTGCATTCGCGACACATGCCGCCGCCCGCCCGCACGTCCACCGCGCACCCCGCCCGCCCGGCCTGTCCCGCCCGCTACGCCCGCCGCCCGAAATCGCCGTGAACGTCGAGCAGAATGCGCAGGGCATTGCGCGCCCGGACCTGAGCCATATCTTCGCGTTGCGAGGTGAGCGTCGTCTCCACCTCTCTCGATGGCCCTGCGAACGGATACTGCCCGCGCCCATCCAATCAGCGTCCGGCCACAGCCCGATGAGGTAAGCGAGCCGACTCACTGGGAGGAACTGCAGCCAATCCCCGCCCGCGCACGCCCCGATCCATCAGCCCCGGCCCCGGTGCGCTGCTGCAATACCCACGCACCTTATGCAGATACTCGTACGCGACGAGCGTGAACCGAACTGCGGGCTGCTTCGGATGATGCGCGCAGGCCCGCCCTTGAAGAACGCCTTGAAGCCCTCCTCGCGGTCTGATCCCCGTCCACCGCGTCAGCCGTTGTCCCGTGACCGCGTCTCGCCGGCAGATCGAAGCACTCACAGATCTTCGCGAACGCGTCCACGAGCCCCTTGTAGTGCGTCTGCCCGCTACGCGCCTCGACCTGCAGCCGTGTCTTCACCACATCTGTCCGTGCATGCTCCATCGTCAGCCAATGCTCTCGGCGCGTCTACTGCAGCCCAGACTCACCGGCCGGAGTCGTGAAATACGCTGCCGGCATTCCCCTGCGTCAGAAGAGCGTCAGTCCACCATCAAATCGTCCGGGGCCCATCACCGGGACCCGATGCGCCCGAAGGAGCTGCACTTACGCTGCGGCCGCCGCGGTGAGTGTTTCGAGGAACGACAGCTGCTTGCCGTTGTAACCCTCGTTGAACACGTCCTTCTTCAGGTGGTTGTACGCCGGGAAGTAGATCGCCGAGAACGGGATGTCACGAAGCAGGCAGGCGCTCGCGCCCTTGTACAGGCCGAGAAGGCCAAGCTGACGGATGATGTGGACAGCGCCTTTGGGCGCAGCTCCTTCCACCTTAGCCGCCTCGCCCTGCACTTGGAGACGGATTTTCCTACAACCTCGCGATCAGTGCTCCGGTCCCCACGTGCCCGATGCGTTCCCATGATGGGCACGTACACAATCTCGAGCGGGTTCGTGAACACCTGGGAATCGTCAGTGATGCAGTGCATTCGCGCGTGGCGAAAAGCACTTACCACTTGGCAACCTCCGGCCGAACCACCGGCGAAGAGCTCCCAGGGCAAGGTAATCCGTCCCGTCTCCGGGTCCATGGCACGGGACCGCACGAAGTCATTGACAGTGAGCTTGATCGCCTTCTCCGGCGCGACACCCTACCGTTCCCGTCTCAGTATCCCGTGTCTTCACACATCAAGCCACAGGCACATCTTACTCACAATCAGCTGCGGTCCGAGACCACGGTAGAAGCCGACGAGGCCCTCATTTCTGAACACCTTCCGGACGCAGTCCAGGCTATTCTTGTAGAGCAGCTGCCCGACCACCGTACTCCGCTGGTTCTGCATCCTGCGAACAGACGGACACATCAGCGTTCGCGTTCCAGCGCGCATAAAAATACGTCAATCAGGCAGATGTGACGCACCGAGTCTACAAGCCCAGGCGGTGCAGCGCTCGCCATCAGTCCCGCAGCAAACGAGCGAATCCTCTGGGCGCAATCTCACCTTAACTGTCCCATCAGCGGCGTCAGTCAAACGTCCGTATTCAAATCAAGTCACAGCGCACAACGTACCGAGATCAATGGGGTACACCATCGACGCCCCGACACCGCCGGCGATACCTGTGGCGCAGTCAAAACGATATAACTCGGCGGCGTGGAAACCCGCGCACCTCCGAGACCGAAGTTGTACGCCGAGTGCGCGAACTGGTGCAGGAACGACGTGAATCCGTCCTCAGGCTTGACGTCGACCGTCTCGGATGGGGCCTTCCAGCGAGGGTCAAGGAGCTGGGCAAGTCGAGCAGCGAGAGACGCTGCGCGCTATTTCCGCGGCCCGCGAAGTGGAAGATGATGGAGGCCTCCATCGGCGTGAAAAGCGAGTAGCGCGAGCTGGACACGCAGTAGTTGAGGAAGTCAGACTGGTCGATGCGTCTGTCCTTGGTCTTGGCCGAAGCTTCGCGGATGATCCTGGTCCACACACAAATCCAAATCAGGACGCCGTGAACGCATCGTGACAACCACGCACCGCTCGACCATGTCCATCTCGCGGATGACGTTGTAGAACGCGATGACTTCGGAATACGAGATGCGCCCACCCGGCGTGAGGGTCGTCAGAGTCGGAAGCCTCTCGATCACCGCATCGGACAACTTGTGTCCGGCGATGTCCTGGAAATGGTGTGACGGTTGGTCGGGGAAGCCCGAGAAAGGCAGAGCGGCGCACCAAGATGATCTTCTTGAACTGCTCAGGGCGGATGTACCCGTCCTGGTCCTTGTCGAGGTACTTGAACGCTTGGCGGAGCCGCTCGCCCTGGAGACCCTTCATCAACTGCGTGAACTCATTGTCTGCGTTGCGAATCCCGGTCAGTGGCTGCGTCCTGATACGCGGCGCAGACGGACGTACAGCCAAGGACGTGCGCGCCGTTCTTCTTGCCGAGATACAGCTTCACCCAGTCGCTGTGAAGCGGAGCGGCACGTCAACACAACGGCGACACGCGGCCCCAGCGCGTACACTCACCAGTCAAAGTCGAACGGGATGGCGTCCGGGCCGATGTTCGCGTTGAACACGTTCTTGAACTCATCATAGTCTATGGTACCCGACTCGTCTCTGCCGTCCACAACACGCGTTCACGCGCGTAGCGGAGGGAGAGCAGCGGAGGGGAGAAGAGGGGTGACGTTTGCATGGCATTCGCGCGAGTAGAGAGGACAGGAGGGTATGCGTACACGTCAAAATATTGGAACGCTATCCAGTAGTCCGCATCCGGCCGCTTCAGGATGGTCTCAAACACCACAAAGTCATCCCAGGAGACGAGCCCGCGCTTGTTCCCGTCCGCGACTCGGAAAAGCGTCGCGAACGACGAGCGGCCGATCTTGCTAAGGTCACCCTTCGGGGCGATGGCCTCCACGAACTGCTCGCGGTTCATGTACCTGTGCGTGCACGACGAGGCGCATCGTACGAGTGCGGCGGCGATAGAGGGAGGAAGGGGAGGGGAGGAGGGCGAAGTCAGGCCGCGGACGCAGGTTAAGTCCGCACTCGGGAGATACGCACTTTTGTCCATCCGCCATGGTCTTTGCGTTCGCGTCGAACGTCCGCCTCCAACGCTTGAGCTCGCTCTCGGGGACCGCGACCGCATTTTTGACGGAGCTGAAGGCCGACGCGGCGCGCGACTTGGGGGCTTCGTCACAGTAGACGGTGTCGAAGATGCGCGGGAGGTTGAAAGGAAACATGTTGTTTGGCGGTGTCCGGGTTGTCTATAGTCCGTCCGAGGTTGATAATTAGGGAATCCGGGAGGGTATAGCAGGTCTAGGCGAGACAGGCTCTAAGGAACGAGAGTGTAGAGTAGTCTAGGAGAGAAAGCTGCCAGTGCCACGAGCGAGAGTCGAGACGGAACAAGGCGGGGTAATTGATGAGTTGGCGAGCGCGCGCCTCCGCTTTTCTCCTCCTCCGGTCAAACACGGCTGACTAAGCCTCCCACCCCTTTCCCCGCTCTCCGCGGCAGCTGGACCAGGTGCCGGCTCCTGCACACCCCCGCACCTCCGCCCAACCTACTCCGCAAAGGCAACCGCGTGCGGAAGCTTGAAGCTGACGCAGTACATGTCCTTTTGCGGGGCCACCGTTCGCACGCAGTGGAACGTCGCGTCTTCTCCTATACTTGCCCCAAGCTTCTCTTCCGCGCGCTGTGAATAGAGCGAGCCAAAAACTTAGTATAGCTCCAGACAAGCACGGCGCCGCCCAAAACGCACCTGGCGGATGTCCACGACTGCTGCCGCACGCTCCCGCTCACGTGTGAAACAGTGGCAGTGGACGATGGGCATGCGCTCTTCCGTATAAACGCCGCTCAAGTTCCGGTCCCCACGGTTTTCTGCGCTCAGCACCCCGCGGAATGCGTCCAGGAACAAGATCGCCGTGTCCGGCAGGTTCATGACAAAGTGGTCGATGTGCGACCGTACGGGTCCAGCGGAGGGCAGCGGGAGGTTCTCTGCGCGCAACCTGTGCATCTCGGTGCGGCTCAGCTTCGGCCAGGGAGCGGGGCTAGCGGCTCGTCGAAAGCGCGGTTGAATGCCTGTCTGATGAACTCCCGTCCGTCCTCGCAGAAAGCCCTGATCCGTGCGTCGACCTGAGTAATAAGACGACGATTAGCTTGGCCCCGCATGATCTCCGCACATTCGAAGCCCACCTTGTTATCGGTGATGTTTTGCGTGAGATATTTGAAGCTAGCCGGGTTGAGGTCATTGGCCAGCACCGCGCATCCTTTCTTCGCAGCAGGCACAGCGAACGGTCCGACTCCCGCGAAGACGTCAGCTACCAAGTCGTTGCGGTCGAATTGGTCAATGAGTCGCTCGTGCTCCGTGTGCAGGCGCGTGTTCCAGTACACTTCTCGGAAATCAAAGGTGAAGCGGCACTCGTTCTCCATCTGTGCGCTTGTCAACCCTGTCAAATCGGGAGGTAATATGACACGCACCTGAGTCACCATGAACTCTGGGTCTCCTGCCAGCAACTCCATGTCAAACACGCGAAACTCGGCGCTGATGCTATCCAGTTTGTTCACAACCGTGCGGATTTTTGGGTTTTTCTGCTATGCAATGAGCGTCTGTGGAACGGTAAGATCAAAGCGCACGTACGTCGATGATGATCTGGCCGATCAGATACTTGTAAGGCAAGTACTCCGGCCGCATGTTGAGATGGGCTACCCATGGAAGACTTAGACGCGCTGTTGACCTGAGATTCGACTACCACACGCACCTATATGCCCCACAGCAGCAAACCCAGAAGGGGCACCCTCCAGCAGCTCTTGAGGAAGAATTGCTTGGACCACATCGTCTGCACAAGCACCTTGAGAACATGGACGTTTAGGCGTGAACAAACTGGAACCACGGACCAGTACTCCAGTAATCATAGCCAAAGGTCAATTCATGGGTGACAAGGTCGACTGCTCGCTCCTGCAGGAAGTCAAGGGCGACTGGGGGTAGATCAGCTGGCTTGGCGAGCGGTCAGTCGAAAGGGCCGAGAAGTGAAGGATAGCAATGCACCTCGGTCCGAGTATCTGAGCAGAACTAAACGCTCTCCGATGGGGTTCTGCACGACGCTCTTCACCTTCGGGACATTGATGAGGGTTCTGGGGAACGATTTTGCAGGTTGGTGCGCATACAACGAAACACGAGACGTACCCTCTGAGCGCGGGAGCTTTGAGCAACGTTCCTGCGGTCTCCGGAGCCGTTTTTGCTGCGAGCACGGGGATAACCTTGCGGAATGCAGACTTGTCGAGCGCGCCATCCTTGAGACCAAGTCCAGCACCTGCAGGAAGCGTAAGGAGCTCGCCGATTCCCTTGGGCATGGTTGAGGCAGTGGTTGAGATAAAACGGCGTGCGCCTGAGAGGCAGCCGATCATGCGCGAAGGGCGAACACAAGGTGGAGCAGGGGACTTGGAGGAAATGCGATGTGGCGGGACAGCAACGCTAGACGCCAGATCTCGCCCGTTCGGTCGTCCGTGTAGGCGCCCCCTGACGGGTCCGCCGGAGTTGATGGGATCTAGATCTCGTCCTCGTCCTGCGCCTTCAGGGGCCGCTCACCCCAGATGGGGACGAAACGGGAGCCGGGCGCCGGGTCGACTCTCGAGCCAGGGCCGATGAAACTGCCTTTGATCAGCTCGAGGCAGCACTAATAGCAGTATTGTATTTTTGGGTTGGAAGAGGCAGCGGCCAAAGAGAGGCGTCGTGACGTCATTGGCGACCGCCACTACTACTTCTACTACGTCGACGTCATAGCGCTTTGGGTGCGAGGTGCGTCATGCCTCCACAAGAACGAGGAAGGATGCATGACCGACCACAGATATAAGAGTACGGCGTCGTATTCCAGCTTCGACCAGCAAACCCCAGTCTCACCCTACACACTCTTCCTATCCTGAACTCCGCGTTTCAATATGGCCAGTGGCGCATCACCTGCACAGTCCCCCGCCGAGTCCCGGTCCACCGACAACAATGTTGGTGGCAACGACTCATACCCGCCCCAGAGGCACGCCGGTGCAGTTGGTCTCGGGCCTGAATATGCCAAGGGCGCGGTAAGCCATCAGCTGTGCTCTTCGATCAATAGAAACCTGCTTACATACATGTCGCAGAGCACCGGAGAAAAGGTCGACGGCTGGAAAGAGGAGATGAAAGGAAAAATCCTGCGCAAACCCGAAGTCGTTCAGCACGGTCACGATCTTCGTACAGGTGCAGTGAAGAAGCAGCAAATGGAGGATGATGTAAGTATGATCTCAAATCCAAGTCCTATCACTCATGTCGCGCTTCAGTCCAACCCGTTCCAGAATGCAGATGAGGAGAGAGCGGCCACTACGGCCCCGGAGGGCACAGAGAAAGCCGACAGGCAGCAGGAGCGGCGCAAGAGTAATCTTCATGTCCTTGGAGTTCGCAGTGCCACGGCTGTAGCGGGCTAGTCACTTGTGTCTGTACTACACTCTGTACCATTATACACCTGTATTCCACGATAAACGCTTCTCGACTTCAGCGGAGTTTTGAGGGTTGAATTCTCATCGCGCGTCGGCAAAACGTCTTCCGAGACTCCGACACAGTACACCCGAAAAATCTACGGTCGGACATTTGATGTAATTCTGCAAACCGAAGCGTCGTGTTCGGTCACGAACGCCTACACTCATGAGGAGTTGTCGGAGCGCCCAAAGCCTCTTGCCTCGGAATCGCCTGCGTCAGCTCGGCTTCCCAAGGTCCTCGTTTGCTGTATATGCCGTCTTCTAAGGCCTCGGTCATCCACCACCATGGTGCGTGGATTAGCTACTCTTCGTTTCGGTTTTTTGTCCGCTCGCCCCGGCCATGTTGTCCCGGCACCGGACAAATGACATGATGGGGATATCGGAAGACCTCCGTTGTGCTGCTGTCGCCTCGGCGACCGCACGGAGCCCGGGCTTGTTCCTCGCAGCCTTTTCGTCTGGGGAGGGGCAGCGCCCAGCGTCCGAGCGCCAAAAGAGCGTCTATGTGTAGATAACAGCAGATAGTCTAATCTCATCAGTTATCTTGTTTGCTATCCTTTGGCGAGGTGGCGTGAGTGACGTGGCCTTTTCGCCCGAGGTGGCCGATTAGTTGCCGCCATCCGTTGCAATTGATGGGGCATGTTAGCGAGTTGTTAGCGAGCGTCCAAGCGCCGCGACTATTCCTGCTGACTGTGCGGTCGACGACGTCGCGTGACGTCGCGCCTCGCTTCTCTGGCGCTTATTTCAACTTGTCAGCCATACTCTCCGAGAGCATCACGCAATGTGCAGCCACTTTGACACCTGGGTTGTCTCCGAAAAGTTGTAGCTATTGAGAGTGGGGGAAAGGTCTTGAGAATAGTTTTTTTAATGTCCATTTATTTTCCTTACTGCTCCATTTTTGCCCAATCGCTCCTCAAGACGATTTATGGGAATGTGTATTCTTGCATATCAGCTACATTCCAGGACCCGTCTGGGGGAGCCTTCGTCGAGGATCTTGTATGCAATTGGCTTCACGGCCGTTTTAGGCAATGCACCAGACCGGGAAATGATGGGTGTCTGACGCTGTCCGTAAATGTGAAGGCCGACAACCAAGGGTCTCTCCTGGTCGAGACCTTTTGATGCTCGCTAGCGCGAGCTGTGCAGCCCCTTCGAAGCGAAGGGCGGGTCTGGCCTCCGGGGGACTTGGGCCGACTCCCGCCGAGCTCTGTAGGCGCCTTGGAACAGATCACCTGACATTCTCTCCCTATCTGCGCCACAGATAACAGAGACGCACGCCAGAAACGCCCGGACGCGCGCTAGCTCGGCTATGCGGGCGCTGCCCCTCCCCATTTCGTCTATCCGCTTCTGAGTCGCGTTTCAAGTTTCAACTGTGTCTCTAACCGTTGGCATTGATCGCGGCGGCAGCGGACGCGAGCGGGGGGCGACGCCTGGCGGCGCAGCAGGAAGGAAACGGCCCGATAAACCCTAGCTCGACCCCAGGGACGCAGCCGATCAAAAAAGCGTGACGGATGCGCTGCGTCGGGGAGGTCGTTTGAGCCCACACCGATAGTACTTGGCATGATTGCAGTCGTCTGTGGAGGGCCGAGTCGATAGCGAAAACGGAGGCAAAGAGCGAGTCAGATCCGAGGCGGGAAGGATTGTCATGTCGGGGAGGATGGCAATTGCAGCGCTCGGCCACTCGCTCCCCAAGCGTGCGATGGTTCCAGAGGTGACCGAGTGAACCGGCAGTTTTTCAGCACCATCCTTCAGCACGGCGCGAAGTGGCGGAGGCAGCGACGTAGTGGTGTAGGCGTCACTCGATGACCCGGAACGGGTATGCATTGGCGAGTTTGGCCGTGGAAGCGGCTGCGGATGACACGGTGCGCTCGATCCGCGAGGGACACCGGCGGATGTTGAGAACAACCTGGGGCAGAACCGCGCACAGCGTCACAGGGCGAGCGCAGTTGGTAAACCAGAGGGAATGCACCTGGTGATGACTTACGTTGGCATCGTACCCGCGAAACCCGTGCTCTTGCGCAAGGGTAAAAGCAAAGCAGGTCGCGGGTCGAGTACGAGGCTCCGTTCACCCGTACCCGATCGGTGCCATTCCCTTCATGGCACTAGTCTGGCCGTCTCCACGGAGCCCGAGGGTGTGTTACTTCTGGAAGTTCACTAACCGTGACACTTCATATACTATACTACGGGCCGCAGTTGATATGGCAGAGCCTCACGCACCTTTCGTGAACTAGTGAACCATGGACGGCGCGTGTTCATGTCGTGATTAAATCGACAGTCAAGTAATGCGTGGAACTCACCCTCAGTCTTCTTGTCATAGAAACGACTAAAGGACGCGGTATGACACGCAATGGCCGCCTGTGATGACCAATCAGTTGGAATTTCCACGCATCGCCAGAGGCCCGTCCCTCATCGGCTCTCAAGATCTCATCTACTGGCGTCAGCACCACTCAAAAGGCCTGTCCACACGAAAGAGCCCTCTTGTCGTAGGAATTGGCGAAGAGGTAAGGGAGAGTGCCTCGGCTGTGACATTGCCCCGCCAAAGGACGAGTCATCACTCATTGTCTCTGGCCTGCACCGCTAGCACGCGCCTCTAAACCAAAAACGAAGCCGCGTAGCTCATCCGCACACCTTCCACCATCGCATAGTGCGACCCCGTCTCCATCCACGGCGATCACACGGTGTGCACCACGACTAGACATTCATCGCAATTGGGCTAACCGCGCACTGATCTCCAGTACATCTTGGGTACCAACCATCTGTGCGCGCCCATCGAAGTATTTCGATCATTCTGCGACCCGCATTGTGCGCCCACGAGAGGCTTGTGGTCTCCTCCACTGCCCCCGCAAAAATCTCTCCGCCGGGTGCGTCGGACGAGCTGCCCACAGGTCGCCTGTCATGTCAATTATCGCGTCGATCAGCTCATCAGAGTTCCGCAGACTTCCCGCCCAACATCGACCCGCGCCCCGGGTCCCGCTTCTCGTGGATACCAAGTCCAATCCTTCTAAGCACACAAGCCCCAATGCAGCCTGATCGCACGGACTCCGACGCCTCCTTCCCGTCGACAGACGACGTCGCGATCCACGACGCGTTCGCGGCGGCCCCGCGCGCCGTCCTCGCCCACGTCGTCGACGTTCACTGCCATCCGACCGACTCTCCCACGGACGCGACGCACGCCGCGGTCGCCGAGTCGCCGATCCGCCTCTGCGCAATGGCAACGCGACAAAGCGACCAGGCGCTCGTTGCTGCGCTCGCGCGCGCGCACCCTGACAGGGTTGTCCCGTGCTTCGGTGCGTCTCACCGCGGTCCCGCCTCTTTTCCAAATCGTCGCGCACGCTGTGCTGCATGTCTTGTTGGACGGATCGACGTCGCGGGTTAGAGCATCCGGCTGGGGAACACCGCGCGCTGATCAACCCTGTCGGTTGTCGTCGTCCTGGTTTCTCGAGCCCCGAGCTGCCCTGTCTCTTCCTTCCTCCAATCCTTCCCCACGTCGGTCTGTCGTATGCACGATTGCTGACACCGCCCACCTCGGCGCAGGGTACCACCCGTGGTTCTCGCACTGGATCTCGCTCGATACGCCCCCGAAGCCCAAGGAGGAGCACTACCGCGCGCTCTTCCTCGCCCCGGCGCCCAACTCGGACCACGCCGCCGCCTTCGCCCGCCTCCTCCCGCTCCTCCCGGAGCCCCTCGCGCTCGCCGACGTGCTCGCGGACCTCCGCGCGAACCTCGCCGCGTTCCCGCACGCGCTCCTCGGCGAGGTCGGCCTCGACCGCGTCTGCCGCGTCCCCTACGCGCGCCCCGCCGCCCCGCCCTTCTCCGCGTCGTACGCGACCGCGCCCGAGGACGACGACCGGCCCGGCGCGCGCGCGCGCTCGCCGTTCGCGATCCCGCTCGCGCACCAGCTCGCGTCGTCGAGCGCAGCTCGCGGTCGCCGTGGACCTGCGGCGCGGCGCGAGCGTGCACAGCGTGCACGCGCAGGCGGCGACGCGCGCGCTGCTCGACCGGATGAAGGCCGCGCACGGCGCGCGGTGGCTCGCGGTGAGCGTCGACCTGCACAGCTGCGGGATGAGCGCGCAGACGTGGTCCGAGATCTCGGTGAGTGAGTGCCTCCTCGGTCTGCCTCGGGCTTGCACGTGCCGTGGTGGACATGGGAAGCGTGGGGTGCCGGACGCATTCGTGTCGTCGCACTGCATCAGACGGAGGGGCGCGGTCTGTCATTGCGAACGCTCCTCCAGCGTCCATTGCGGTCGCGGGATGCAATGTCTGACGGCATGCTAGACCCTCTGGAGCCGAGGTGTGGGGGACGCTGGGGAACGTGCAGTTCTTCTCGCCATGGAACTGTCGGACATAGTTCTTCGCGGGTTCGAGGTTGCGTGGCGACCGACCGACGCGGGTGCCCAACATTCACTTCCACTGACGGACAGTAACCGGGCTGTACGCGGACATGAACGAGCCCGCGACTCGCAGCGCAGGACGTGACAGGATCGCGGGCGGCGGAATGTCGAGCTGCCACCCAATCCCTCTGCCCGCAACGTCGTGCATCCCGCGCACAGACATTGGCTGGAAACCCTCCGCGCACCGTCTTTCGCACTCTCGCCTTCTCATGTCCACATCTTTTAAATTCGCTCCCACCTTACCACACCCACTGACTCCGAAAAAAACAAATACGCGAACGCTGACACGCAACCAACGCGCCCAGAAAGCGCACCCGAACGCCTTCCTCTCGCTCTCGACCGGGATCAACGCGCGTTCGCCCGCGTACCGTGCGCTCGCCGCCGCCTGCGCGCCGGACCGGCTCCTTGTCGAGTCCGACTACTACGACGCGCGCCACTCTGGGCCGTACACGTGGCACATGCTCCGCACCGTCGCCGCCGTCAAGGGCTGGCGCGTCGAGGACCGCTGGGACTACGCCGACGCCGACGTCGAGGGCGCGAACGAGAAGAGCGAAGAGGAGAGGTGAAGGAGGGCTGGGGCGCGGTGCGGAGGCTGGAGGCGAATTGGGAGGCGTTCGTCCGCGGAGGCACAAGGAGCGCGTGCGGAAGAAACGAAGGCGGGACAGGGCGATCGAGGAGTGGGAGGCAGGCGAGAAGAACGAATGAGAGGGCTGGTTCGCGCCGTGGTCGCTATGGATGGTGGTCTGGTGGCCGAGGTGAAGGGAAAGATGTCCAATAAGATAGAAGGGATTATCCTCTCCGAATTACAATACCGACGGATGAATGGGGAAAACGACGCGCCCACAAGGGCCAAACAAGCCTGGCCTATTTGACCCGACGGCACCAAGGTGCTTCCGACCTCAGAAGACGTACATGAGGAGTAGCACCGTGCACAGCCCGATAATAACGCCGAGGATAACAGCGTCTCTCCGCCGGCGGGTCTTGATCATCCCAAGTAGGTTGGTGATGCCAGGCATAGTGCCTAGCGTGTGCAGAGTCCGCGCACAGGAGTGACGCAGCGAGGGGAGCAGGGAGTAGGAGAAGAAAGAACGATGAGCGCGTTCAGTTCGTGAACTGCGTGGTAAAGACAGGTGCTCACTCAATACGCTCTGCATACGGTTGTTAATCCCAGATATCGTTGTCCGTTGACGAGCGAATTCGGATCGGGTTTCATATGCTTGCCTGTAGTTATGTCAGAACATAGCCGATATCCATAGATACTTTGGGCCGCTTTCTGCAGGGTTGGATGGCGGTCCAGCGTCCTCTTGGAAATGAGCAAAGCACTCACGCAATCATATCGTCGGTCATGCGGTGAGAGCTATCAATGTGACCCCGCTCTGCGAGCAGGAATCGGCTGCGGTTGACTTGTATGCACTGTGAATCCACGGTGAATAAGCTGTGTTCTCGACACTCCGCCTAGACGCACTCGATATCGTTGCGGACTCCGCTAAGAAGGTTGGCTTGATCCAGAGCGGTCTTGACGTTTGCCTGTCCAAAAGTCACGACCATGGTACGCGTAAGCGCGCCGAATGACGTACTTTGGTCCGGCGTAGCTCTCTGGCATAGTCCAAATAGACTTCTCGATGTCTCTGGATGGCACGGAGCATAGATTGTGAGGGTGGATTCTCAGTGTCGTTGGAAAGAGTGGACAGCTCGTCGTTGATTTCTTGCAACTGGTACATGCACCTGCTAAGCTCTACATTCAAGCATGCGCGGCGCAGGGGAAGAGGCCACCTTCTCAAGCAGCTCATCAACTTCCATTTCCAGGTCCTTCCATCGTTCCGTGGACCCGCTCGCCTCGAGGTCGTCGTGATTGCGGGTTATGGAGGATGCAAGGCGGGCGTACGCGGTGAGCTTAGTGTCGAAGAGAGCCTCAAGAGTGCGGCACTGCCTGTGCAGCGAGTCGTATGTGGCCATCTGTGTGCAAGTTGAAATAGGAGTAGAGTAGGTTGTCGACAGGGCGTAGAGAACGAGAGTGCAGCATGACGTCGTGCTGAACAGCTTGGGGACCATGGCCGGCGTTTGCCGTGGGAAGCGCCCGTGCGCAGCGGTGTTTGAGAGCGTGCCTCTTGTCTGTCTTTCTCCCACTTGGCTCCGCTATGCACCGTCCTTATCTCTTGCTCGCACTCTGGATTGCACACGTCATGGCAAGAATCGGATGACACGCGCATGCGTTCACGGCGTCTGGGCTGACGAGTGGGAGCGAGGACACCAGCTGACGGTGGACAGGTACGTCAGTCTCGCCGGCCTCCCCACCGCGCGGAGCAATGTCTGTCCTCGCTCGGATCCTTCCCTCTCCGTGCCCGTCGCCCGACATGTGCGCGGGCATACTTCGGTCCCGGTTCCAGTGTGACGTCCACGGGCTGCAGCTCTGCTCGTCCCGACGTCATCCTCCCACTCGTCCTGCATATATATCCCAAGTCCACCTCTCTCGCAGCCACCACCCGACCACAGCCATCACGACCCGCTCGCACCTCCCCTAGCTCTCACCGTATCACTAGCATCATGGTCGGTTCAGCCTTCGATTTGTCATGGCTCGCTCTTTGTTAACATAAACCCAGGGCGCAATCGTCTCTGCCATTGGCGGTGCTATCAATGCGATCGTTTCCGCCATTGCCAACATCATAATGATCATCGTCAGCGTCATCGTAACGGTATGCCGCTCGCTGCAGTCGGAATCCTTCTCTCGCTCATTCGACTTCGCCCCACAGATCATTGTCACTATCTTCGATGTCATCCTCGACATCCTATGCTGCAACTGCTTCGGAGGACGCACTCGCCGCACCGGTACCCACAGATACAGGTTCGGACGCGGAGGCGGCTCCACTTATTGAGCCTTTCGCCAAACATCTGCTTTCCGGTGACGATGCACGCTCTTACGTTGTATACCACGCAATCTACTCCGCGTCTCCGTTGTAATACACGCTTCTATTCTGTATCCATATCTCATCCCCAGTTTATGCTACATGCTTTGAATCCCCACGTACTGCGCCAGCGTCTCGTGAGGGCTGCGTTCACAACTTCTGCTCCACTTCTTTTGATTGATCTATCGGGGAACTCGACATCCCCTCAAAAGCCGTGATAAGGTACCTGCTCATGCACTGCACTCTGGCCTTGCATCTGCTGATCGTTGACAGGTTCCTCTGGTCCCAATGTGCGCCGTGGTCGATCTACAGCCTGCGTGGCTTAAGAAACTGGTACGGCCGACAAGACTGGCCCTTGCATCGATCCACCACAAGTCCTCCACTGCTGCTTGGATTTGAACAGGATGAGGCTTGTCGACTTGCGCACTGCTTCCCTTCCTCGCTCACTGCTCGTTGTCACAGGTCGTCGCAATCTGTCCGAAAGCTCACGCTTCTTCACATCCATCTCAGTCCCCCAACAGGGTCTGCGAATCTCTCCACTTCGCCCTGCCCTGATGTCGAGCGACGAACAGTTGCGCACGCGGGTTCCAGGCGACGGCGGGGACCTATAATTCCGCGATCCGATGGCGAGGCCCCGCCCACCTGCTGCGCCGGTCCCCTCTCGTGCAACACGCAGCCCAAGCTGGCTTCGTTTCCGTATGGCTCTGGGGATCCGCGTCCGCGCGTGGCCGACCTGGATAACGATCACATCGACGGCGTACGCTCACGAGAGCGGGAGTAGGGGTGGGGAAGCGTATGTCAATTACGAGTCCGAGGATTGGCAGCAGTCGGAGCAATGGTGCGTTTGTTGGTCGTCCTCACCGATCTGACCCTCAGGCGCCCCAATAGGCAGGACCCATTCGTGTCCACAGCGACGGGCACCGCGGGCATTGCCTGGGCTACCGTCAGCTCCTCGGTCGCTCATTCCTCTACTTCTACCCCCTCATGGGTCTCTTGGACAAGCTCCCCTCCCGGGCCTGAAGCCCCATGCGACTGCAACTCCGTCTACCGGTTCGCAACCAGCATGGCGACGCTCTCAGATAGCCCATTCTCCACCTCGACACAACCCGCCATTGTCTCTGACACCCTCTTTCAGACACCCATGCAGATGGAAAACACAACCTCGACCGACGTGGTCACCAGTACCACTGTCGTCACGGAGCTAACGACATCGGTCCGAACGTCAGTCTCTGTCCAAACGTCGGTCACATTCGCAACAGCGACGTCCTCGGACACGACAAATCAAGGAGGACTCTGGTTTTCCACCGTCCCAACACCGTCCCCCACCTCCACCCAAACCCAAGGCTCCACTCAACACTCGCCTGGTCTTTCCGGAGGCGAAGTCGCATTCATCGCGATCCTCGCCTCGATCGTCTTCGCAGTCCTCGTCTTTGCCGCGTTCTTCGTCTGGAACAGCCGCCGCCGCGCCCGCCTCGCAGTGCGCTCCTACGGCGCCGGCGACGTCGTCGACGTCGACCCCTCCGAGCCACGCAGTCCCATAGCGCCCTCCGAGATGTCCGAGATGTCGGACATGGGTGCGCCTGTGACGATTGCGGACCAGGGCAGTGTCATCGCGATCGGAGCAGTTGGTTCAGGCAGCCGCAACTCTGCGTCCCCTGCGCCTTCTAGAGCTGCAAGCGGCGGCAACTGGAGCATGCGCAGCATCACGGGGGTCTCCAGGGCGGTAACGCCCTTGGTCCTCCCTCGACGACCACGAACTCGTAAGCCCGGCTCCTCTCCTGCGCGCACTCCTTCTCATCTGTGCTCGGATTGCGTAACAGCGGCGCACGAAGAGGACGCGGGGAGCATCCACACGAGCGACTACATCGACGGCCGGTTCGACGGCCGGGACACACCCGACACCGAGCTCTCCGTGGGGTCGAGACCGCTCCCACCTGCGTACGGGACGCTCCCGCCGCGCAACAGCAGTAGGATCCCGAGCACATGGGCGCCGCCGTACGAGGTGACGTCGCCGCAGTCGCCGCTGGCCGTGTCGTCGCTCCTAACCGCCGCGCTCTCGCCCTCCGAGTCACCGTTCAGCGACGCCGCTGCCGTGCGGATGCTGCCGCCGTTTCCGCTGCCGCGGCCGAAGGCGTCGTTGTGACCGCGAACGTACGTGTGTGCGCTTGTCGTCAACTCGGTGTTTTACTCCCGTGCTGATGTGACTTTGCAGCCATTCGAACATCACCATCCAAGTTGCATCCTCGCCGGACGCGGATGACACACCACATTCCTGCATCCCTACACCCGAGACCATAGAAGCATTAGCCGTGCTGCGTGCGCGCGCGGAACCGCCGGACCGTGTTCTTGCGCTCTCCCCGTGTATCATCAATGTACAACACGAACAAGGCACCCTATCGCTACTTCACTCTCACTTGGCATCTGTCACAGCGCTCCCGTATTTTTATAGCTCGTATGTTCTTCCACCGCACTGTACTCATAGACTTCACGGGGCAAATGTCAACCAGTGTTATACTAAGCCAACTTGTTGCGTGCGTAACACCGCCCCGCAACCGCAGAGTACCTGTGATCTGCGCGTCGCCCGCTGTCCCTTCTCCTACCCATACCCCAGAACATGCAATGGGAGAGGCGACATCGACGGAGAATGTACACCGGTGAGAGTGGTACGATTGATTCAGTGGCCGTGGAGTTCGATGGCAGACACCGCAATCAAACGGAGCGTAATTGCGTGGTACCCTGGAACGGCCTCATCCTCCTAGGACGCGAGCGGTTTCGCCAAGTGGCCACCCAGCGGCACCTGACGACCATCTTTCAAAGCCGATGCACACCGAGTCGATTCAGTAGGATCGAGCCAATGCCTGTGCTGCCCGAGATCTTTTCGACGCCGAAAGCGTCAGGAAGCCCGCTAAAAGGGCCGAGAAGCGATTCATCGAGGGATATTACGGGAAATCAACTTACTTCATCAGTTTCAGAGAAGCCGTTGGACAGATTCCGCGCTCCATCGGCGAGCGCAAGGCAGACGATAGACAGTGCCCCCTACTTCGATGTCGATGTTGATCAGTGTATGAGCTTGGCCAATGATGCGACCGACCGATGTGGTAGTGCTCCGCGCGATAGAGTGTGTAAAGCTTTGACGATAGAAGGCGCATTGCAGATCATGGCTGCTTAAAGGCGAGAGGGACTCGGTAGGACTCCGTCTCCACTCGTAATGTCTCGTCCTCCCTTCACCGACTGTCCTTTCTGCACATTCGAGATATCAGGAACTGGAGCATGGGGCAGCTGGAGTACGGGGTGGCGGCCCGTGACAACGGGAAGCACACAATCAAGTAAGTCTCGCGATCTGTTGCGCCACCAACAGCAGCCCCTCACGTATTCACTTTAGCAAGCACCACGAGCACATCGAGCACACCGAGAACATCGAGCACATTGAGCACGTCGAGCTCCGCAAGCAGCATCACGACGGCCACATCTACCGTCCCCACAACGCCGCAGACCAGCCCGACTATTATTGCCACGCACCACTCGCTTTCAACGGGCAGCATCGTCGGAATAGCAATCGGGAGTATTTTAGCCGTCCTACTCCTCGCACTACTCCTATGTCGGCGACAACAAGTCAGAGTACAGAACTCTGATGGACTCGCGGTCGATCCTTTCATCACGCGCCCAAGCAGAGAGCCACATTGGTCCAAGCACGACATCGGTAAGAGCTGAATTGTTCGTCTTTGTACATCGACCTATGCTTGGAGCAGGTGGAGAAGAAGCCACTATACCCCCTGGACAAGCACCCGTCCGAGTGGAGACACCAAGCGACAGACCGTATGACGAGCAAAATGCCCACGTCATGGCGGACAACCGAGGGGTGGCACAAATCCCGGTAATAATGGGCATTTGTGAGTAGCCTCCCAGCGACAATTTTGCGAGTTATTTTCTGACAAGAGGCTCCCAGCCGTGATGCGTCGCGAGGTGGACGCAGGAAGCATATACCCCGACCCATTGCCCAGCGAAATATTACCACCTGCGTATGAGGACTTGCCTCGTCGAGACCGAGTCCTCATACGCCGGCTTCCGCTTCTCCCAACCCCTGCTCCTGCACAACGAGAAAGACGCCATTGGCGTCGCGGCCAAACATTGGACGACAAGTTGAAAAGGAGGGAGTGACATAGGCGGCCCGGAGGAGCAGTGTGTTGGAAATGCCCACGGATCCGTAAACACATCCATGGACCATCACAGTGTGTGGCTGTATCCTTTTGGCTCAATCGTAGCCAGCTGGACAGTCCACCCATTGTCGATGGAACTGACTCCTGAGAACCGAGCCTGAGGGACTCACCCAAACACCCGATGAATGTCCACATGTGTATCCAAGGCATCTCGTTAGATGGGATATCATCCGTCTATTCCTCCGTCATCCTGGACAGGAGTCATGCGGGCTTGATGGTGATAGAATAAAAGAAGAGAGAGCCGGAACATGAGAATAATGACGAGGTTGTGAGAGTGGGAAATCAGAAACTCGGAGTGAAGCACCGAGAGTCGGAGCCGCCTTGTGGGCGGCTCCCGGCCCGCGGACGCGTTTTGGCAACGGCCCAGCGGCGCCTCCCTTCAGACTTTGCTCAGTGCTCACTGAGCTTGTAGACCTCTCGAACCGGCCGACGACGATCATGAACTCGGACGAAGGGAGCAGCGCTGTCTTCCGTGCCTGAACAACTACGACATCCTCTGCCACATGTTGTGGGACAACTTCCACCCACCTGCAATGCACATCGATCTCACGTCCGTTGAACATCGTCAGAATCTGGTCGATCTCGCCAGATGCGCGAGGGTATCTCATGCGTTCAGCGAAGCGGCTTTGCGGGTCCTCTGGAACATTCTACCGTCTTTGAATCACCTTTGGAGCCTTCTTGCTCCCCACGACATCCGAATGCCATCCGTAGACAATCCAATAAACAACGAGCAGTACATGACCATGGTCCGTGCCTCTTTGTGATTCATTTGGCATCGAGTGCTGATTTCATGCCGGACAGGTGCTCGAGAACGCACTTTGGAATCATTTCGAGCGTTGGTCACGCTTTCTGCAATATGCTCATCGCGTTCACAGCATTCAAAGATACCACGACGTACTGCGCTTGAGGCCACTCTACACGATAAGCTAGTGGACGCCTGTTGGAAGAAGAACGAGCGCAAGCCCATACTCCCTTCGCTGCAACATATAGACTGGTCCTGGTCCCCACACGACAATGTATCGCTCCCTAAGCTCACTTCGCAGACAATCGTTCAGGCGGCCGTCAATTTCATCGGTACAGAAGAAATTCCGGTTTATTTTCTTCGTACTCTTTCCAGCATCGCACCCAGTATAGTCAAATTCGTTTGCCACGCCCGAGGTCAGAGTTTTGGCGTGGAGGCAGTCCAGCAACTCGCCTCGTTTTCCGGACTGCGTAGACTGCACATCCTATCCACGCTCGATGACATCGCATTCTACGCCCTGCCCCCTCCGTTCTTGGGCTCACCCACCTCGACATCGTCATCCGGGTTGAAACCGCCCCAACATCTACCATCACATTCCCCTCGCTCAAGGACCTCAAGCTGCACGGCTCCGGGCCCTCCTTTCCACACGTCCTCCGACAGCTCTCTTTCCCCAGCCTCACCTCCGGCTCAATCACCCTCTTCGACGAGAACCTCACCTCCGCCCCATTCGATCCCGCGTCCTGCGCCGCCGCGCTCGCGCACGCCGTCCACCTCCCCGCGCTCCGCCGCCTGCGCCTCGCCTTCTTCAGCTGCAACCCCGCGCCCCCTGGGCCCGCGACCCCGCTCCGCGCGCTCCTGGCGCCGTTCTTCGGCGCCGCGCACCTCGCGAATCTGGAGCTGCGCTTCGGCGCGCCGCCCCCGCTGAGCGCGGACGACGGCGCGCTCGCCGCGGCCGCGCGCGCGTGGCCCGCCCTGCGCGTGCTCCGCCTCAACTTCCGCACGTGGGACGCGCGCGGGCCGCTGCCGTCCGCGGCCGCGCTCGGGGTGCTCGCGCGGGGGTGCCCGCGCCTGCAGGAGCTCGTGCTGCCGTACCTCGACCTACCCCCCGGGGGCGACTTCGCGCTCGAGGGGGGAGGGGGAGCGGGGAGGGGAGCGGGAAGGAAGGGGGGCAGGGGACGGGGCACGGCCTGCGCAGACTGTTCGTCGCGGACGACCGCCTGCGGGACTTGCCCGACGATGTGGTGGTCGAGCGCGTCGCGGACGGGTTGGGGAGGTTGTTCCCGAACCTCGACCTCGCGTTCCGCGCTGTAATTCAGAACCCGGGCGAGGCGTGGACGCGGGTGTTCAACGCGATGCGGCACCAACGCGGAGTCGAGGTGCCCCACCAGCACGGGACGTAGAAGTGGGCGCCGCTTTGGTACGTACGAGCGGGATCAAAAATTTGTCGGTTGCGCTACATACGGTCCAGATTACAGACGCGTTTTGACTGCGTCGGCAGTATGAATACTAACATTCGTTTGTGGAAACAAGAGGCAACGAGAATTGCTATAAGAACAACCTGCTCAAAGTTGGGGTGCCGGACATGACTTCTAGGGAAGGACTGAGCGAGGATCTCAGTAGACGAGTCACAAACAGTGGCGTACTTGCTAATAAACAGGCCGACCCAAAATCGATTTCTTGCCCCACATCCACTGGGGGTCGCCCTGAAGCCCCAGGGACTCGATCCAAACTTTGAAGTCTCCCGTGGCAGGGCGCAAGTCCTGCACCTCCGGCTCCCCGTCTTCTCGAGGATGGCTGATGAATAATGCAATGCGGGCCGTCGTTGTTCTGAAGTATGTCGTTGACATCGACGTGGCAATAGCAAAGCCCTGCTCCGCGCACTCCGGCGTCCGCTGCAGCTTCAAAGATGGCATTCAGGATCCTCAGATCGGAATGCGGCTGGAAATGCTTCTGATAATGGTCGCGGTTCGATGGTTCGACAACATAACCGTAGATGGCTTGGACGTTGTGCAGGTGAGATGGGACAGGTGATATTTCACCTCCGATGCTTCAATCGTGTCGGAATCAGCAAACCAAACAGCATATATAACACGACACACACGGTTTCCTTCCTTCACCTGCCTTTTGAAAAGAAGACATAGGGCCAAATGGGTTGGTCGAGATGGAGGCGGAGAGCTAGCAGGTGTTGAGGAGTGTGGCCCGCCGGGGCCTGCCCCGGGCCTCGCATCCATGGCATGACTCCACCGATCTCCTTCGCGACATGTTGTTGCTTCGTCTGCACCATGACCTTTGTCTGCGCCGCGCATCCCGCCGAGTTAGTGCATCTGTGTTGAGTCGGAGGCTCAGAGCACCCGGGCGCGCGGACAACAGCGCGCTCCCCGCTGCGGTGTCCGCGCCTGTAGGAGCTCGTGCCGCCGTACCTCCGCCTGAAGCGGCTTTGCGCTTGAGGAAGATGCGTAGTACGTACAACGAGCTGAGGATCCCTGGGCACCGCCCGATGGGTCCGATAGGGCATTTTGGTCACGATGTTCTGCTCCTCGTGCGCGCAAGTTCGTGTCGCCATGGCAGAGGCCACCTGCCTTGAACGCTTGATTTTCGGAATATGTCGGATTTACTCCAAGGACATCTGCCTCGGTTCCGTCTGCCTAGCAGTCTCGTGCCCGTAGAAGATGGCCAGAAGCTTTGTAATACCCGTTGATCGAGACATCGCCGTGCCGTTACCAGCTCATATCCGTCTCCGAAGACCACGCGCGACCCACGGTAGATGATCACGCGGGAGTGAGAAGTGGAGAAATCGTGTCTATTCCACACCTTCGCTCGTACAATCTTCGAGGTGCCGCGCATATTACAACAATAGACAGAATAGAAGGCCACGAACTACAACCTCAGCGGGGCTTTTTCGCCATCCCTGCCCCTACTCTGACCCCTCGCTTAGAGGCACTGGTAGAAGTCTGAGGAAGAGACGATGAGAGCACGTCAGCCATGTCGGTTTGCAAGGCGCGAGGGGCGAGAGCACTCACAGGGGTTGAGGACGGTGCAGGTCGAGCCCGACACGCACGCGGTCGGCCCGGTGTAGCCCGTGCCGCCGCATTGGCCGTACTTCGCCACGGTGCCGCCGGTGGGGGACGTGGTGGACGATGTCGAAGTCGACGACGTGGACACCGTCGAGGATGACGACGTCGAGCCGGAGCCGGTGAAGGTCGAGTTGAGGGTGCCGACCTTGATGTTCGAGTAGGTGACCGAGACTGAGGCGCCGTTGGCCTCGACGTCGGCGGGGGCACCAGAGGTGGTCGCGCAGGTACCGCGGGCGACACCGGGCGAGGATGCGTCCTTGTTGGTGGGGTAGTCGGAGTCGAGCCAGAGCATGTTCACCGCGTAGTCGTCCCAGATGGAGAGAACGAGGACCATGCCCTTCTTGAAGGCGGCGCCCATCTGCTTGAGGCCACCGAGCTGCTGGAAGGTGTTGGTGTCGCCGAACGCGGTCTTCTGTGCCGAGCAGAAGTCGGTGGTGAGCGAGTTGCCGGAGACGCCAGAGACGGTCGACTGCGAGTTGGGGATGACAACGCCGTTCTGGACGTAGAAGCGGCGGATCTCAGAGAGGTCGCCGTTGGCGGTACCGTCGGTGGTGATGAACTGAGTGACAACGGTAATCTTCTTGGTAGTGTCGACGGTCATGCCGGGGCCGTAGAAGCTCTTGGCACCCATGCGGTAGGAGTTGAAGTCGCATCCAGCCTGATAGGAGACAAGTCAGCAAAGCCATGTCAAGGTGATATCAGCGACGAGCGAGCGTACCTGGTCGCAGGTCGAAGTGCACTGGCTTCCGGTGCACGCGGTGAGACTAGTGCCAGTGCACGGGTGGGGAGTGTAGGCCGCAGACATCTTGTTGGCCTCCCAGATGTCCATCTCCGAGCAGCAGGCACCAGTGGTGCCAGTGCCAGAGTTGGCGGAGGTACCGTTCCAGCCCTGGCTGTTGGCCTGTGAAAGAACGTGTTAAAGCCGAGTCGGCTTCTGCAAGAAGCTGAGATACTCACAACACCGTTGATGAACTTGATGTCTTTGGGGCACTGGGAGTCACAGTAACCGGTACCGTACTTGGCACCCGCAGCGTTGTTGCCGACACCCATGTTACCCGTGGCGTCCATAGCGGAGAAGTAGAGAGCGCCGTTGAGACCGCAGGGGAGGGTCGAAAGGTCGACGTCGAAAGTGAACTCCTGGTTGAGGAGGTTGAAGGTCTGGTAGGTGGACGCGTCCTTCAGGAGGTAGAGACGGGAGCCGACGTTGCTGCCGGTGACGAAGTTGAGCTTGAGCGCGTTGCCGGAGGTGGTGACACCGTAGGTGCCAGAGTAGTCAGCACCGTCGAGAGCACAGTTCTTAGCGCAAGTGGCGCCATCAGGGCAGTAGGTGGCGTCCCACGTGTTGCCGGTGTAGCAGTTCTGTGGGCGCAACTGCATCAGAGGATGTTGCTGTGGAGTTGCAAGATGCTGCTTACGGTGTAGCCGCCGACGTTGTGGACCCAGCGCCAGTTGGCGTCGAGGACAACGGAACCCTGGACGGTGGTGCAGCCCGAAGACGTGCACTGGGACCACTGGAGGGGAGGGTGGGTCTCAGTGGTGGAGGTGCCGGCCTGCTGGGCAGCGACGGTGGCGAGGTAGATGAAGGCGGAGAGGGCGGCGGCGCGGAACATGTCGACTGTGAGGCCGGGAGGCTGGTAGAAGACCTTGAAGACCGGTGAGTGGTGCTGTTCCAGTGGCCCGAGGACGGTAGCCTTTATAGGTGTCGAGAGCCGTGCGGGTGTTGCAGTGTGGCGAAGAAAGCGGAAGGCAGTCGGGTAAACTGGACATTGCGCCGAGGTTCAAGCCTGGGTCGTCGTGCAGGTCAGGTGGCCGACGATTGGCGTGAGGAGGACAAGGGCCAGCAGCAGTCTCGTGAAGCGAAAGCCGATCAAAGATCTCGCGAGCGACGCCCGTCCCCGGATCGAAGCCTTGCCAAGCACGTGTCTACATCCTCCGCCCGTGCCCACTGCTCCGCCCGCGTCTCCGTGGGCCCGCAGGGAGTGCTCGGCGCCGCACCGCACAGGGTGCACCCCACCCATTCACGACTAGGAGCAGGAGGTGCAAAGGAGCTGGCTGTTCACTTCGCAGCCCCTCACTGTAGGGGAGAAGAGTGTGATTAGTACTTGCGTAACTGCGAGCGTCGGCAGGCGTACCAGAGCCGGTCCTTCCGTCAGGCGACTTTCTCCGAGCCAATGCCGCCCGTCCGTGACCACCCCGACGACATCCAGGTGGCCTTTTGCACGGGCGGTCGGATGAACTTCGCGTTGTCCGCTTCAACGACCGCGCAGACCACCCGTGGCCGCCATGTCTTGTGTCCGTGTTCGTATCTCGGAAGAGCGGGTTCAATCGTTCGCAGGCTGTACTGCCAACTGTGCCCGCCTTGCATTTGTTGTACAGGCGAAGCCGGGGACGAGGAAAGGCCGACGGAGCGAAGAGGCAGCATATTTTGAGACTGGCTACCGTCTGTGGCTTGCGATAGGTTCGAATGATCCGCATGGACGTACATTGAGGACGTACTGGGGTCGGCTCTCGGGACGTCAGCCTCCACAATATTGATGCCGCGCCGACGAAGGGAACATCGAGGCTCGTGGAAAACCAGCGCATTAAGCGCATGTGATGCGGCCCTGGCAAATCCAAGTTGTAGAGAACTTGATGGATATATGCTGGATACCTTTTGAGCACCCGCGGCGCAATACAACGAGCATGTAGAACCACGCACCCAGGCCGTTTGTACTTCGTTAGTAAGAAAGTAAGTATGGACACATAGTCCGCTCACCGTCGAATTCCGATAACGACAAACACATACAGGCACAACGACGCGGAGTATCCTCATCAACGAGACTGCTTGGACCGGAGTTGTGTCGGGCGAGCGGTGAAGATGTCGTCGGATAGCATGGCGCGGCGCGGCGTTGGCCGTGCGAGGGCGCGAGTAGCTGGCATGGCCGGAGTAAATCGAGGGGCAACACGAAGGTGGTGAAGAGGCGCTGCGAATCACAGGTCCGGATATCCATAATCAAGCGCCCCAAGCCTCCCGCGATCCGACATGGCCGATCAAACGTCCTCCTCACCCGCAAACCGTCGATGCTGAAGGTGGAGCAGCTCTGAGTCTGGCTTTCCTCCCTCTGAACAAAATCGGATCCGGCAGCTGTCCGACGGGCGAAAAACCAGCGAGCAGAACGCTTCGCGCGGCTCATGAACGAGTCACACGCGACCGCAAACTCCAAATATAACCTTCAATTGTACATAATCCGTGTAGGTAGTACAGTACATAGCCCATGCCGGAAGTCGTACAACAGCCCACAGGTTTCCCCATATTTCGTACAAATCATCTGAGACCCGCTCAGCGCCAAGCACCACACACTACTCGCTCACGAAGAGACGATGGAAAGCGTGTACGTCTTGCTGTGGCTCGAGTCCGTGAACACCGTCTCCTGGTCCGTCCCGCTCGGAGTCGCCGAGCTCGAGAACGCGGTCGACCCCGAGACCGCCAGCAGAAGGCTGCTTCCGGACGAGACCGCGGAGAATGTCGTCGCGCTCACCCCGCTGCCGCACGAGAGCGACCGCCGGAGACGCCGCAGCTGCCCTTGGACGTCTTCATCGTGAAGCTCGACGACGTGCCCGAGAACGTGTACGTCGCGAGCGTCTGCGTCGACCAGGTGCCCGCAGTGAGGAGGCCGCCGGTGGTGCTCGCGACGATCGTGCCTTTGGAGGGGAGGAGCCAGAGCCCTATAGTATTCATATATGTCAGATCCAAACAAATTTCGAAGACCCGAGGCGGCACGCACGCCAGTCGAGGTGCTGCCGCTCGATGTGGAGGTGGAGGTGGTCGAGGAGCCGCTCTTGAGCGGGTATTTGATCCCGCTCGAACCGCATGAGCCCTTGGAGGGCGCGTCGATGGCGACGAACTGGCCGTCGATCACGGAGCCCTTGAGATTGAAGTACCACTCGATCGCGTTCAGGTTCGAGCCGTCGCAGTTGAGCGCGGGCGTCACCCCAGACGCGCTCTTGAGCGCGCTGGTGAGCGTCGAGAGCGTGAAGGTCTTGCTCGACGAGGGCGTGATACCGGCGTTGGCGAGCCAGTCGTACGTAGGCAGCGTCTTGAAGAGCTTGACGACCGTCTGGAAGAACGCGACCGCCTCCGCGCCCTTGGGGGAGCCCGACGGCAGACAGGACGTCTCGAGCGTACTGTAGCATGTTCCGTGCGTACTCCACTCGTGCTCCCAGAACTGCTCATTCTGGCCGTTGATATCCACCCAAAACTACACGGACGGTTGGGATCAGCGTCTGATTGTCGCATGTGCAGCTCGTTGAGTTACCTCTTGCATAAACGACAGGGTATCAGAGGCGCCCTGGGCGGTGAGAAGCTAATGCCCCCAATGACAATGAGCTTCCGTGACGGCGGTAACAGAAATAGAGCCAGAACTCACGCTGGCAATGTCGGTGTAGTCGCGTGACGAGTCGCAATTCTCGGTGAAGGTACCATCGCAGCTGTGTTTGACGTCGGGATCAGCACGCACGTTCGACCGTCAGCTGTATCCAGGAAAGGATGACTGACTTGTCCGGCCAGAGACCTGCACGTAGCGACGAACACGAACATCAGCTGCGGGTTTCGAGGTGCGCACTTGAGGCGAGACAAAACGTACCGTGGATGGTCCAGGAGTTGGACGGGCCCGTCGACGGATCCGTGTCCCAGAACTGAGTCTGGAGAAGGAGGCCCTACAACATAAACAGGTCAGCAGCGTCGCCCTTCCCCCCGCGTACAACAGTTGTAACAGGCCGTCCTCCTAGAACCAGAACATCGCCGCAGTTGCTGACGCGAGTATTGCAGGCGCGATGCATGGTACACAGGACGAGACCGTAACAAGGAGAACGTACCCCAGGAGATTCGAAGCAGCAGAGGTCGGACTGGTGCGTCGTGTTGTGGCACGACGTCTGGCCGCTCGTGCCACAGCCAGAGCTGATCCGCTTGAAGAGGCTCATCGCGTCCCCGGGAGACGTGAAGTCGACCGCGGTCGGCGTCGGCGTCGCGAGCGCGGCCCCGGCGAGGGCCATTCCGAGAGCGAGGGTCACGGTGAGCATCTGTGGGGTGGTCGGTGGGGCGGCGGTGTGTGGGGAGGGGAGAGCACCAGGCGGAGGCGGCTGGGCACAGGATTCGGGACGGTGGCCTCGGAAGAGCCGTCCCAGTGGCTCTTATACCCACACAGGCACCAATTCCGAAGCCGCACCCGCGCGAGCAGTCAGGGCTTCGGAGGTCGATGGATGCATTGGCCGACCGCGTGCGCCGGGCTACGCCCACGTCAAGGGTCGAAATCGCGCACGCCCCGCGCCAGCCCGCGACCCGCGATCTCCGGCAAAACCTGGAGACTGGCGCAAGGCGAGATACGTCGTCGATCAGGTTCCCTGTGCGTGCGCGACAATGTGGGAGCGCAAGATAATGCACGGGGCCACGAGGGCGCATGCCAGGAAAGATGATAGCAGCGCTTGGGCGGTGTTTACGCGCTGGGTGCACGCACGGTCGAGCGGAGCCAGGAATAGGATCGCGGCGGGGAGCTAAGTTGCGATGATGCGTGTCATGACCGGGGTGGGCGACGAAGTGCGTGTTGCCGGCGATGGAAGAAGCTATCGCGACGGAACATCACGCGCGCACCGCACGCATATGCTCCGCCGGATGCAGCCCCCTGTCGTGCGCAGGTCCGTATGGCCGGGGCCGGACGCAAGGATGGTGCGGCGCGATAGAGTAGTGCCGCCAACGTTGGTCGTGTTGCATGGAAAACGTGGGCAGGATAGGCACGGCGAAGCGGGAGCGGCGACACAGGCGTCGAAGGTTGGCGCAGCCACAACGCCCGCACCGCGTGCTCCGTCGCCCGATTGGGTGCGACGCAACCGGGGCACGCATGACCGCCGCCTTCCTCCTTTCTCCGCAGCACTCGCGGTCCCGTCCCCACATGGACCCCAGGCGCGCTCGTTCCGCTCACAACAATAGCCTGCCACAATCGCGTTGGGGTGTCGTTCGTGTCATGATTAGATCGTCCACTACTGGCACTGTACAACGTCAACGTCGGTCCCGCGTCCTCGCCGTCCTCTAGACGCACAATTACCTGCCACTCGCCCGGACCAGTTTCAAGAGTGCGTCTATCCTTGTACGCCAGCCATCGGCGTACAGGAAGCCCACCAATCCGCTGATGAAGTCCCTGCAACGTGGGTCAGTACGACGTCTCGTGAATGCAAGCGCGACGCCAACGTACCAGCTCTGCGCGACGGAGCGCACGGGGTAGTCTACAACCGCAGGTATGGTGGTCTGGATCGCCCAGCCCCATCGGTCCGTGACGATTGCCTTGACGTTTGTTAGGGAGCGCAGCCCTTCGGGTCCACCTGTGGATCCACGCGTCAATGGCTGGCTAGCTGCTTCACGGATGTAGCCACGCACCGAACCGACCATAGCCGCTGTACTTCGTACCACCGAACGGTAGGTCTTGGCTGCGATACCAAAATTAGCTCACTCCTAGCTCCAATGAGATGTGATGCAACGCACTTCAACTGTTGAATAAAAGCATCAGCACATTAATCAGGATGATCAGCATTAGCAGGGATACTCACGTAGAAGACGCCGAAGTCGTTGACTGCCACCATTCCACAGTGTAGACGCTTCGCTACCTTCACGCAATCGTCCTTGACCGGCCCAAACACGCTAGCTCCGAGGCCGTATCGTGTGGAATTCGCGATCTCGATAGCCTGCTCGACGGTTTCGTACTTGATGATAAGACCAATGGGCGCAAACACTGTAAACCATTCGTTTCAGCTCTACGCATCGCATGGGCCTATAACGCCACTGACATTCGGACTGCGCGATAGATGCGTCGGGGTTGACATCACCCAGCAGCGTGGGCTTGAAATACGATCCGCGCTCGAGATACGGGTGCGTCCATGGCTCACCACCAACTGTCAGGGTAGCACCTTGGGCGACAGCGTCTTGAATAGCGTGCTGCAGGCCAGGGAAGCGGTCCCCAGCGATCATTGCGCCAACGTCGGCAACCGGGGCAACACCATCACCAGGGCTCTTGAGCGAATGACCGGGACGAAGCTTGTCGACGCGTTCAGTGAACATCTGCAGTAGGTCCTCATACTGGGACTCGTGTACGAGGATACGTTCGATGCCGATGCAGTTCTGACCCGCGTTTTGGCTAAAACGGTTTATCAGCATGTAGACATTTGGTCGAATATAAGTATATGGGCTCACTATACGCCACGCATGAGAAGGCTGATGTGCTTGTCCAGGTCAGTCGAAGGGAGGAGGATGGCGGGGTCCTTGCCTCCGAGTTCAAGCGTGACTGGCGTCAGATACTCGGTAGCGGCTTGCGCGACCTAGAATGATGGATGAGTAGCTGGGTGCATGGACAGCAAAGGTAACCTACGACGCGGCCAACGCGCTCGGAGCCGATGAAAGTGATATGCCTGATGAAAGCGGACTTGGTCAAAGCATCGGCATCCTCGGGGAAGCAGCACACAAGCTAGACCAAGTCAATATCGATTGTTCGCCAGTCGAGCAAGAAAGCGTACCTGAACCAAGTTCTCATCATGTCCACAAGCCTTCAAGCACTCCTTGATAGCCTTTACAAACCATTCGGTGGACCATACGACATGCTCAGAGCACTTGAGCACTACACTGTTGCCAGCAAATAGTGCAGCCACGATGGGAGACCAAGCATTATGCAGGCTGTAACAAAAGCATGAGCAACAACTTTTGACATGTGGAATCTGGACTCACGATAGTTCCATGATACAATGGCGGATACAACGCCGAGAGGCTCATAATACACGTAAGATGACTTGTAGAACATGATTAGGTTGTTTTTCCGCTTTTCGGGGGACAATGCGCGCTCGCCATGGTTGATGAGCCAGTCGAGCTTCGAGCAGGTCGTGATAATTTCGCCGAGGGCAGCATCAAGCACTGTATGCCACACGCGTTAGCGTCGGCCTCGTGGATGCACGCGCGGAATTCACGCCGCAACACGCGCGACTCACTGGTCTTGCCCGTGTCCCTGCACGCGACCTTGGCGCACGTCTCCTGGTTGTCGACAAGCCACTTCTTGAGCGAGCGCATGACGCGGCGTCGGTCATGGAAGGACGTCTTCGCCCAGTTCCTCTGCGCGTTGTACGCCGCGGAGATTTTGCGCTCGATGTCCTCTCGGGAGTCGGCGAGCACGGTGTCAAGGTGATATGCAGTCGCGGGATCGTAGGCGGTGATGTACTTGCGGCCATCCATGGGTATGGCGGGCAAGAGACCGTCAGTGTGCAGGTGCGCCTCGAGTGAGGGTTCGGGGAGCTTCTGCGCGGTCCATGTTTCTTTGATTTGCTGCAAGCAAAGTTCGTGTCAGCAAGAACAGAAAGCAAGACAACTGAGAGAGCGCGTACGGGTGGCGGAGGTATGCGGAAGAATATGGCGCGGTTGAGGAGGGACTGGTATCGGTTTATGACGAGCCAGATACCCAGCGCGATGCAGATGGTGAGGAGCCAGACAGGGTCGATGCCACCATTCTCGTCATCGTAATCGAAGTCGGAGTCGTGGTACGCCATGGTGGCGGGTATTCGTGAGGCGGGTGCGAGGGCGTGCGCAGGAAGAGAGGGGGGCGCGGGTGGTGGAGGGACGGGAAAGCAAGCAAAGAAAGCAAAGAGCGATGGTTCAGAAGACAACCGCCCGGCCAAGGCGCGCGGAGGACGGGCGACACGTTAACTTTGAGTCTGTCGCACGACTCGTGCTCGCGTCGCGTTATTTGGCCAGCTTTGTCTCCAGTGGCTGAGTGCGTGTTGGGCAGCCCAGAAACGCCCGGACGCGCGCTAGATCGACTAGGCCGGCGCTGGTCCACGTAAGCATGCGACGGCGTCTCGACGTCATCGGCCAATTGCGGCACTGGGCCTTGTTCAGCTGCAGCTGCTGCAGCGGCTCGCACTTTCTCTCTGACCACTATCTCCTCTCTCTCCGTGTTCCCCGTCATGTCCGGCAGGACAAGAGAACCCATGTGGTATTGCCATGAGGTCCGTCGCGCCCTCCGCCACTGCCGCGATCCCTGCTCACTATCTCAACAGTGCCAGGCCGAGATGCGTCCTCTGATGGTTCGCTTCACTCGTTTCGCCCTTCCTTTTGCTCGTCTGACCACCCACCAGGTCCCTGACCCTCACTGCGCGTCATGCAATGGCACATTTGTCGAGAAGGTATGTGGCGATCTTTGTGTTGATGTTCGCAACTACACGAAAATCCAGATAGAGGACCCGGCCGACGACCCTCGACAGTTCGGCCTCGCGGACGGCGGCCACTGGGGGAACGGCCCTCTACCAGGAGATATGGATACTTTCCTGAGCGAGTGCATGTTACTTTCCCTTATCTTGGCGTTGCTGAATGCACCTTAGGCGGCTTGCGGTCAATACTTGGTGGCGGAGCACCCGTACCTCCAATGGCCCCCACTCCTCCTCCTGCCCCCGTGCCACCCTACAACAACAACTCAAGCAACTCCAATGACGCCTCTCATACGACTACTACCACCACGAGAAATTTGGTGAGTGGATAGTGCGTTGTGCTCTGGCTACATGCGGCCTCATTCAAACGCAGGGGCGCAATGGTCAGTTCACGATACGGATAGAGCGCTCAAGCACCTCGGGCGGGCGAACGCGTACGGTTGTGACGGGTGGGCCACAGCCCGGTGGAGGCGGGAACGCTGATACTGCGGGTGAAGTACCTAGGTTATCGCAGTGAGTCTTCCCGGCTTTCCTCTCATGGCAGTTCACCCAATTCTCTCAAGATTCGTCCCACGGAACGCCGATGGCTCTCCGCAAGAACGCGCTAATATCACTGGTCCACTGCTGACACAATACCTGTTGGCGCTCATGGGCAATGGTCTAGGTGGTAACCGGAATGGAGATCCCTTCGCTGAGCTATTTGGCGGTATGTTCGGTCCTGGCGGCATGCCTCCCGGTGGCGGTGAGAATGGGCGATGGGGAGATTATGTCTTCAACCAAGAGGGTAAATCCCGCCACATGTTGCAAACATGCTTGTGTTTGCTCACGTTCAATCGAACTCTCCATAGCACTCGACCAAATCATCTCCCAAATCATGGAGAATAACAATGCTCACCAGCCAGTGCCCGCTACTGAACAAGTCGTGGAGAAGCTGCCTCGAGAAGTCCTGGAGGAAGGCTGTAAGCAGCTTAGCCCTTCTAATCCTTCTTCGATGCTGATCCAACATCCTCAGCGCCACTTCTGGAGAAGGATTGCGCGGTGTGCAAAGACCAGTTCAAGCTGGAGACCGAGGACCCCGATGAACAGATTGTCATCACGCTCCCGTGCCAACACCCGTTCCATGAACCCTGTATACTTCCATGGCTCAAAACAAGCGGGACATGTCCCGTCTGCAGGTATGCATGAACGGCATTTTAGAAATCATGGGATAATATTCACATCAACTGCAGATACCAGCTTGTTCCGCAACCAGACTCGCATGCTCCGGGTCCAGGACCTCCGTCCGCCGGCTCGAGTCGATCCAACAGTTCATCCACTGGGGACAATAATGGCGGTGGCGGGATCCTGCAGAACATGATCAATCTATTCGCCCAGGCGGGCCAGGCCCAAAACCAGCAGGGCTCGGGCGGGAACAGTGGATCCAGCAGCGGCCAACGACAAAACAGCACTCCTTCTACCTCCTCCTCCCAGTCATCATCGACCCATCCGCGGGCCCACGACGACTTTGATATTCCCGGCGGTTGGGGAGACGATTTGGACTAGCACCTTGTTACCCCCAGCGTCTCTCGCGCCATAGACCCTCGCCCGGTACGATTACCCTGCAGTTGTGTGTATTCTGATATGTCAGTGGACAGGGCGAATTTTGTCAGCATATCCGGCATCTAGTGTTCATTGTCTTGCATTTGTAACAAGCAATCCTAATTCCATCTGTGCTCCCTTCTGAGTGCGGCCATCGGATTCTCCAAGGTTCAGATCTCGGTCAGACGCGTCGCGGATGATCGAGACACCGTCTGCGGTGACGCTCTCTGATCGCGTCGACGACGTCATCGCGCCTCAGCGTGCATCCAGCTGTGCGTATATAGCCAGCGCGACATCCTACGATTCGGCCAATATGGTCGCACCCTGTCTTCTCCTTGCGCCCCATACCGCATCACGCACCTACACACGCACACTCTTCTCTACCGCCAGACGCAGCATGCCTGTCAGCAGTGACGACGTCAAGAACGCGTCGGGACTCACCTCCAGTGAGAGTAAGAACCTGAAGGAGCGCTAGCCCGAACTCCACGAAGAGCAGATTATCCAGAGCATTAAGGAGGTGAGTGGTCCGTGTGTCGTTTGAACCAATTGTGTCTCACGAGTCTCTTCGGCAGTTGTACACATGCAAGCCCACCGACGTGAGGGACCTGGAATATACGCTCGCGACGTACGCGCTGATCGCGGACTACCTCCTGCAGAGCACGTACGAAATGTACACAGAGACTGCGGTCTTTCACGACCCCATAGGCATCGCGGAGGGTGTCAAGTCGATCCGCGCACAGTTTAATGGGCTTGCCAAGGTGCGTCGTGCGTATGTTGCCTCCACACAGAGCGCTGAGAAGGTGTGGGTGGGGCAGCTGTTCCCCCGCGCGGAAATACCTAAACTTCGTGTGCTCGAGAACCCGCCCTCCGTTCCCAAGAGCACGCTGCTCATCGACCAGGACGTGTCGTACTACCGCAACCCCCAGGGTGAACCAATCAAGGTCAGTGTTTAGACCTTGAGTCAGCCTAGGTTGAAGTTCGCTGAACCGCGAGGAACTGGCTAGACCATCAATTCTCTATTGACAATCGAGACGAACGACCAACACAAGGTTACGCGTCACACGGAAGAGTGGAACCACCGCCGCGAGACTTCTGCAGAAGATGGGTTCATGGGCATGCTCAACGAAGGTAGGAAGAAGTTTACGGCGAACTTCACGGGGATGTTCGTCAGCCAAGCACCACCAGAACAGAAGAACGAAAGTTGAAAATTTCACGCCGTGGGCGCGGAAGTGAACCTCACTCGGAGCTCTTTGATCATGTAATAGTAACGGAGCGGAGCTGCGCCATCGAAGTTGTTATACAAATGCCATGACTCCGTTTAATTATCTGCGCGTTTCGGATGGTAAACTAGGGCAAGGGGTGGCAATGAATACTTTCTCGTACCTAACAGTACACGGTGCTCTCGTCTTCGCATATGCTCAAAACCCGAACCACCTCTTCACGCCTTGCTGTGCGGCGAGACTCTTGGCCTGAACAGCGGGAGATAATCAGTTTTTTTTCCTAGCCACGACATCACGAGAACAAGTATTGACCTGCGCAACCATGGCCTTGCTGCCTTCTTCCAGATGGTTCATGCTCTGTTGCAGATCTCCCAGCATCTCCCTGGCAGTACCACAAGCGTGAGCACCCTCCATGCCTCTCCAAGCCGAGAAACAACGTACCCTCTCTCCCTCATGGCGGTTCCGAGTCGGTTGGCCAAATCCCCTATCCCGCTAGACACTTCCGCCGCCCGCGCCGACACCTGGTCCTGCACCATCTGGCCGGACTCCGACCCGCGTTCGCTCGTCGGCGAGAGAGCCGTAGACGGCCGCGGAGCAGGCGCAACCGGCACCGGGCGGTCTGGCCCGGCCACTGCAAGCGTCCGTCCGTCAGCCCAGCGTTCGCGACAGAGATGTCGATGACGGCAGCGACTCACGGAGGGCGTCGATCTGGTCTCCCGCGCTGGGCGCGACGACCGCGCCGAGGTACCCGAGCACGGACCCCACCACGGACGTCGGGCCGAGCGCGACGGGGAGCGGCTGTGCGGGCACGGGCGCGCGACCGTGTGCGAGGGCGACGCGGGGCGGGGCGTAGGGCGGGGCGCGCTTGGACGTGAAGAGCGTGCGGAACTCGGTGGAGGCGAGCGGGCGCGCGGGCGCGGGGCCGGGGACGCGGGTGTGGGTGGTATAGTCGCCTGACTCGTCTGTGCTTGGAGGGCTGGGGGTGCGTGGGGAGGGTCACGAATGGGGAGAAGGAGGGATGGTTTGGAGGGACTTACTCGGTCAAGCCGGACGGGGTGAGCTGTATCGTGTGGATGGGCTCGAGGTGAGGGAGGGTGTAGATGAGCGCCATGCCCAGGGTCGTGTACGCGACCAACGCCTGCGAGTCTATGAGAGGCCAAATCAGCTGGTGTCACAGAACGAGAAGAGTAAGGCTTGTGTACCCAATCTGCTGACGACCTCCACATGCTCTACAGTCCCGACCTTGCTCCCCCAGTCGACCTTGGCAATCTTCTCCCCGTTTACGTTCAACGCCGTGCGCACGCCCTTCGCTCCCGCCGACACCCACACACACTTGCGTTCCGGGTCCGCGCTCTGCTCGCCCTGGAGTGTCGCCGCAAGCGCCGCTCGGTCCGCACGGCACCGCGCGCCAGTCTTCGCGTTCAAAACAAAGGACCCCCGGGGACAGGTCGGGAGGAGCCGTCCGCCGGTACGGGCTGGGACGCGATCGACCACGCGCTGGCGCTGTAGGTGAGCGTGAAGACGCTCGTGTGGCCAGAGGACCCGGTCGCGATGAGGCGCACACGCCAGGTGGGGTCGGTGGCGAGCGGGTAGCATCCCCAGGTGAGCGAGTTGATGGACTCGACTTCGGAGTGTCGCTGGAGGAAGTTCGACCCGCCCCGCGCGTGTGAGTCGCTCCGGAGGAGTACCTTGGGTCCTCGAAGATCGATGACGAGGAGTAGACCAGAGGTGTACGCCACCGCGAGGAAGCCTGGTGTGCTCATGAGACCCGAGACTCGGAGAGGATGCTACGGAGAACAACTCACCGATGTCCGCAATCGCAACGCTTGTGACTGGCCCACGCGATTTGTCCTGCTTGATGGCGAGGATCGGACTGTACCGGATGCCCTTCCTCGGCTTGATGTGAGACAGCGACACGAGTTCCTCATCTTGCAGCTTCTTCTGCACGAACGTCTGTGCCTCTTCCGGCACATCGAGGCGGTGCAGCACCACCGCCTGGTTGCGCATTACTGTCACGCATTCAAGCGACTCCGGCGCGAATGAGACTGCTTCGATGCGCTCCTTTGTCAGATGTGGATCGTACTGGTTCTGCTCCGCCAGGCCGAGGGAATGGTCAATGAGGAGCGGGGCGAGGTTGATCGTGAGCCGTGGGATGGGTGAAGGGAAGCTGGTATAGAGTGGCGCGTCAGGACCGGTGCTCACAAGCAAGGTCGGGCTAGCGTCTAGGAAACGGATAGTGAGGTCTCGGAGGCGGGATATGAGAATTCTGCGAGGTTGTTGCTAGAGGGAGTCATCTTAGTTCATGTGGCCTGAGATGAGATGTAGTTCTGTACCTTGGTGTACTTCATGAGGCCCTCTTCATCATCGTGCCATGCCATACCGCCCTTCACCGGGAAAGCAACCTCGCCGTCGATTTCATCCAGTTTGTCCCTCACAAGAGTCTCATGCGCATGCTTGTCAAGCATGATCATGTGCTCACCAAGTACGTTCCATAAACAAGGAGGCAGTCTCGAGGGAAGAGGTTCGTCCGATACAGACATCGATTGTAGTGTGTCTGCCAAGTCGTCCACAATGTCGTCATCGTCTCCCGCCTTCCCGTTTCTAATTGCGTAGGACCGTCGGATGGAGCATTGAGGAAGCTGGGTGGCGGAAAGCTGAACGCCTCGCAGAACCGTGCGTCTGAGACGTCCGACTCGGAGACTATGAGGATGGTACTGGGGTCGTAAGAGCCAGAGAAGTGAGGGCTTGAACGCGGGAAGAGCAGGAAGTCCTGCACCGGGTTGGCCGTGCCGTAGGTGTGCATGTTCCGCGCATTGAGGGACGAGCACATGGCTGCGCGGGTGTCAGGATGAAGAGATTGCGCTGCGCTTTGCGGAGTTGATGGTATAGGTGGATGTAGAGGTGGAAGGAGCAAGGTGGTGATTCCTGGTGCGGAGTCAAGAGCCATTCCCCCAGAACCGTGAGGACTGTGTCGCCGCCGCGGGGATCGTGTGAATTCGGGAAGCCGCTCCATGAGAGCTTGAAGATGGGTTCCTTGAGGGGCTCTGGAACGTGCTCGAGGGTGTTTGACAGAACCGATTCTAGCTTAACGGAATCCACTTGGCTAAGATTTTCGTCGTCGCCGCTGTCGATAGTCTTCAAACTCAAGCATTTGTCTTCGTCTTCTAGAGACCAAAATCCAATGGACCCGTCGACATATCCAACAGCAAGTAAGTGTCCTGAAGGGTGGATAGCCATAGCCGTGACAAGCATGCGACGGATTTGCATGATTTCCTACATGCATATGAGCATCAATGCTGAAAGCACCGAATTGCTACAGTTACCTTCAAATGATACCCGGATCCTCCTGGAGCCCCGGGCGGTAGTGTCAACTCGAACGTCCTGACTGGCTTTTGCTCTTTCTATGGCTTTGCGTGAACAAATGGTCGGGAAACGTGTTACCGCGTTCTTACGAGGTCCACAAGCATAATCCCTCCTATTTTATTGTGAGCATTTTCATCGCGAAAGAATATTCCGGCACTCGCCTTCATAAGCAATGAAGAGGAGGTTCAGATCACGAGGGTGAGTGATAATATCCACAATAGTTCCCCTAGAAACTTCTGATGAATCACAATCTCGATAAAAAGCTGAAAAACATACGACGAAGATGAGTCTGCACCAGTAAGTGACTTCTCCTCGTATGTTGTCCACAGGTTGGGTATGGTGTACTGGGATATGCGGAGACAAAGTAGATCATATGTCTTGATCTCCCCTGAGGCAAGAGCTACGAAGGCCTGAAACAGATAATTAGGGATTTCGGGGTAGCCGTGTGCAGAATACGTACATGGGTATGAGATGGAGATGTAGCAAGGGCGCTGGTTTGCGTTGGTTCGTATCAACATTGATATATCTTCGCAAAGCAAGAACACCCGTACGTCACAGCGTGTCCAAAACCAGTGATTCGCTGTGGCTTGGGCGCATCTGAGCTCCCAAGATCCCACACGATGATCCTGTTGTGCTCGTCTGCGAAAGGAAGCATAAGGAGCCGAATTGTATCAGGATGAGAGAACGCTGCACGCACCGATGCAGACTAGTTTAAATGGAGAGGCGGCAAACTGGAGGAACTTGACCCGAAGGCCAGGAGGGTCGGGAACATGTAGTTCACATTCAACGCCCGGCGACCCATACAGATGGATCGTTCCCCGAGCAGTTCCTGGCCGCAGTGATGAGGTAATGTCAGTATGCGTCATAGCTGGAGAGTTTCAACCTCAGACTCTACCGATAGCAAGGAGGCCGGACGAAGGATCTGTGGCGACAGCAGTGATAGCAAGGTGGTAGTGGAGGGTCTTGAGATGGCCAGCCTGCCAGTCGATGGCTTCGGAGACATCGAGGGAGAGGTCAGGCAACGATTTGACCGCGTGCGACGCAAACATCGCGGATCTTGAGATCCGATCTACACGTAACACGCGGGCGATGTGATCTCTACTAGAGAATTATGAAAGACGCAACGACCACGATATCTTCGCGCCACTAGGCGGCTCTTGGGGGGTCGGTGGTGGAAAGAGTGAATGGCGGAGAGGTCGTATTCCCTGCGAAAGGCTCAGAACGCCGTATCGAAGCTGGGTCTCCTTGGGGTCAGACAGTTTTCTCACGGCTTGCAACGCGTTTCGGTCCGGCTTTCACGCGTCGCGGCCCGACCGCGTCCCGTCACCGCCAGCGACAGGCCTTCTCCATTTCCTTCACCACACTCATGGCCGATCCTGCCGCTGCCTCCGCCTCCTCATCTTCCGGCCCTTCTGATGAATCCATCTTCCAGCGATGGCAAAGCAAGTTCTCGCGCTATTCGGGGATAGGCGGCAACGAGGGCGACAAACAAGCATTCTACCGGGAGAGGTGCGAGTACTGGAAGCGGGAGCTCACGAATTACAGTCAGTATCAGTGGGTCATGACTTGCGTTCCTCGCACTCATCTCTTACAAGCACGAGCCCCTTGTAGGTCCTGCGGTGACATTCATGATGCAACAGCTCAAGCTTGTTGGGGCTGACGTGCACATCGACGACTTCATTTGCCTGCCGTGCAAGGACGGAGCCACAGCGGCGGGCTTTGTGCCCGCGGTAGGAGTCATAAAGGTCTGCCAAGACCGGATCAAGGACAGGGAGCATATGGAGACCACGATGGCGCACGAGCTCGTGCATATGTATGACCACGCGAAGTTCAAAGTCGATTGGACGAACCTCCGACACCACGCCTGCAGCGAGGTGTGTGCATTCTCCCAGTCAACTGTATACAGCGACAGCGACATACTCCTGACGGGCACCGCTCCTCCGCGTAGATCCGCGCAAACAGCCTGAGCGGGGATTGCAAGTGGGGCCGTGAAGCGTTGGGGAGAGGGTTCTTGTTCAAATTCTCGAAGCAGCACCAGGTGAGTCTGGCCGAGGAACGTCCAGCGCGCAAGAGCCCAGGCTCACGGGTCCGCCAACAGGAATGCGTGCGGCGACGAGCGATCACCTCTGTAGCGAGCAATGCGTCGTGTCCGGACCGGGCGGCGGCGGAGCGAGTCGTCAACGAGGTCTGGGAGAGCTGCTTCAACGACACACGACCGTTTGACGAGGTGCGGAGCGCGACCGATCTCTTCACACTGGGGGCTGACAGAAGAGCCGGGACAGATTTATTAGTGCTCGTGTGCTGCCGAGGGGTTCCAGACGGGGTTCTAGAGACCGTGCTGCGATGGGCTGCGTAGCTATTTCAGAGCTGGTCCCATGAGTGCGCCGCTTGGGTCGCGCGCGGCGAAGTCGGGGCCACGTTGCGGCTGGGCGACTTCGTGTGGGACATATGGTGTGGCTGTCTTAGCGTAGCTCTGCAGTCTGCGACACAACGGGGCCCAGGCTGCATTTGAGGGCGTGGCAGAAATAGAGGACGAGCACTGTCTGGCGTGATCCATGACGCACGTCAGCCTTGTCTGAACCAATCAGCGTCCCGCCGCGAAGCTTCTCGGCGCCCCGTGAGACGCGACCCCCGGCTTAGAAAAGGCTCTGGGCGGACATCCCGCCTCGTCGCCCCTCGTCGTTCGCTCTCTCCTCGACCCCGGCCTCTCCCCTCCTTCCCCTCACGCTCTCTGCCGCCTGCTAGAATGTTCGCTTCGGCCACGTCAGTTTATGCGCGTCCCCCGCTGCTCCTGCATCGTGGCTGACGGCTGTTGCATTCGCAGCCTTCTCGCCGCGCTCGCGCTCGCCCCGTGGGCTCAGGGTATCCTTCTCCAGACCCCCGTCGACTGGCACACCAGCTCCCAGGTCAACATTACCTGGAACTCAGACTCGTCCGACGTTGTCTTTGCCCTTCAGCTCTTCAGCACGGCCGCGTTCCACGACACCTTCAGCATCGCGAACAACCTCCAGCCGTCGGCCGACTTTGCGTCCTTCCAGCTCGGCGTCGTTCCGCAAGGGTGTGTGGTTAGCTTCTGTCGCCCGGGGTTGCCGCTGATTTGCTCCCACAACCAGTGAATATACCCTTCGTGCCATCAGCCCGACGTGAGTTGTCTGTTCACTCTTTTCGTGGCTTCATCCCAACAATGTTCCATCACCAGCAACGTGAGCGACATTTTCGATGAGACTCCTGCGTTCACGGTGGACGGTACCCCCCTCTCTTCCTCGTCGTCGTCGTCGTCCACTACTGCGACCTCGGCTAGTTCCGGGTAAGCGCCTTCGCCGTCAGCCGGCTTTCCGTTTGGTGACCACGCCCACAGCGCTTCGACCACTGGCACTACAACCAACTCGGCGGGTACGCAGTCGACGACTTCGGGTTTCGGTCACACAGTATCGAACACCGCCGGGACCACCAGTAGCACCACTTCCTCTGGTAGTACGTCCTCGAGTGGGACTTCTTCTCCGACGAGTGGCACTGGCAACAGCTTTAACGGCGCCGGGACCACCGTTGCGTCCTGGTCAGCCATCGCGCTCGCCGCTGTGGCTGGTGCCGCCGCTCTGCTCTGAGTCTAGCGCACTCGATCGGGATGTGACAGACATGACCATGACGGCTTATGAACTTTTCGGCTTTCTTCCTTTTCCCTTTCGTTTCGGGTTATGGATTTCAACCATCATCGCACATTACGTACCGCTCCGTAGCTAGTGCCCTGTAGGGGGCGGGCTTCGGGTCCTGTCTTTACTCGCTGCAATCCATCGTGCCACCCATTGCACGGACCTCGAACTCTGTTCTTGAGCCAGTCGATCACGTACTGTCCACTTGCTTTGCGTTTGTTGTTCAAATACGGATTGCCATGATATGCCTCCGTCACTGTCATTTACGGTACGCGTCGCTACGCCGATGTCACTCGCCTAATTGCTACATTCAATCAATGGATGAAGCACGACCTCTGCAGTTACATGACTCTATGTGCGACAAAACCCAATCATCCCTAGTATACAAGGTACCGTACAGCAACCCGAAGACGACGCAAATAGTGAACAGGACGACGTACCTACTCAAGGCCTCAAGTCTAGAACCGCACGGACTCCCTGCGCGGCAGGCCGAGCACGACGCTGAACGGGCGCACCGACCACTCGCCGTGGAACTCCGACTCCACCGTCACTTGGATCTCCATTTCCGTCCTCCCCTTCGCCCACCGCTGCTGCTGCTGCCCCAGCCTCGGCGCCGGCTGGCCGGCTTCGCGGAGGACGGCGTCGGACTCCGTTCGACGGAGCACCCGCGCCACGACCGCGCGGCGCCAACGGAGGGGAGGCGGTCCAGCGCGGAGGCCGCGGCGGAGTGCAGTGACCACGGTTGCGGGCGCGACGGAGGGGGGAGGCGTGCTTTGAGTTTGAAGGGGGTTGGGCACGTAGGCCGCGGCGCTGAAGGCTTCGCGGTTGGGGTGGTGGGGGACACTGGCGTCGCGGGCAGGACGAGGGTCAATGGGGGTGACGAGGAGGACTGCTCTGCGAGAACGCTCAGGCGGAGGAGGGACGCGCGCTTGGTCGACACTGGGCGGAGCGGGGGTGGGTGAGTGCGGCGTCGTGGATGGGAAAACGACGGGGGGGTTGGACTCACTGGGGGCTGATGCGGTGTGAGGGGGGCGCTGTCCTCGACCGTCGACGGCGCGGTGACTTTGAGCGAACGCGCGGCGAGCACTCCACCTGCATAAGAGGACACGAGCTGATCAGTTTGCGCACCCTCAAACCCGTAAGGAGAGGCGAATGACGCACGGGTGCGGGGAGGATCAAATGCACGTGCGGTGCAAGACGCGTTTCAAGGCCGCGACTCGATGCTGGATGATCTCGGAAGGGCGACTGCGGTGCACCGGGAAAGCGGGGGCGGCGCAGTGAGGCGAGACAGCGCGCAGGCCGAGTCTTTCATACGGGTCGGAAACAGGAGAGCCGCAGCAAGTTTGGATCGAGGGGCGGGGTGGTAGGTATGGCTTCCACTCGGGGAACATGGCAGTGCGCCACCCAATGCGACGGCTCCTGGCGCTGCTATAAACTGGGGCGGTGCGGCGCCTGCAATACGAAACATGGGAGGCACGGTGTAGGTCACTTACCAGAGCCAATTAAGTACTTGTAGAAGGACGACGTGGAGACATGCGATGGAAGGATTGATGAGGATGTGGTTGATATACAGGGAAGATGAGAAAGAGGAAACCGCGTACACATGCGTGCGGCATCTGAAGAGACGTCTCTCGGAAGGTGCGCGGTTGGCGGTGCGCTTGTGATGGAGGCGGTGGACATAAACTCTATTTTTCCCTTGTGTGCACTGCGCAGGTGTGGAAACCACTCGGTGCATCAAGCGAGAGCTGGAGAGTTCGGAGACGTCCTACGGTCCGTAAAACTGCACTTTCTGGAGTTATGAGCCGATACGTGCATTATAGTCGTCGCGAGTCATGAGAGTATGGGATCAAGAAAAGAAGAGCCAGAGGTTGCAAGTAGATGATTGACAGCGAGGAACGGATGATATGGTAAAAAGGCCCAAAAAGTACCAAAAAACACCTCCTGACTGATGCAGATCAGCATTTCGTCCACATTTGATGGCTCAAAGCAGTGCGCTGAGGACGAGAGGCATGGAAAGGACCGAGAAAGAGACCACGGCTCAGTGAACTTGGCGGATGATCTCTGATAGCGGACCTCGAGGAACAAGTCTGGAGATCGGCAATTGTCCACGGCCCGGAGGTGCGTTGTTGGATGAGTGGAGTGAGCAGTGCAGAGTAAATGCGACCGCCATCGCAGTCCGACCTGGGTTCAATTGCAGAAGATGTTGACTAGAGCCAGAAAGGGAGAGACCGAAGGTGTGCACCAAGACGAGGAGCCAGAACGAGATGCGAACGTGCCTTGGGAAATCGCCATCAGGCTGATTCTGAGGGAAGAACTAGGAATTCGCACCGGCCCGAAGACAATGAGGTGAGTAGAGTAGCGATGGCCGGGTGGAGCTAGACGCATGGAAGAGGTGAGCGGAAATAGACGGCCTAGAAGCCAACCAGAACCAGAGTCGGTGGAAAGGCGGGAGTACAGGCAAGTCAAGGCGAGGCGCTTGCTGGGTTCATCGCGATCGGCATACGAGGCCGTGGGAAGACGGAATGACTGTTGGCGCCCGAAAGTGACCAGGATTCCGGGAAGGGGTTCAGGCCCGCCCTCCAGCAAGCTAGTCCTCCGGCTTCGCCTCCCTCCCCCATCCACCGCCCGGTCTTGTCCCCCAGGCCGCGAGCTCCCCCTCCCCGCTCCCCTTCCTCCTCTTTTCTCGCTGCGCCTTCCGGAATTTGGGCGAACCGCAGAGCGCGCTGTGAGTGACATGGCGCTGCGCACTTGAACATCTCATTTGCTTACACGCCTATGGCTGTCCTCCGCCGCCATTCTTTCCGGCCAGTCTTCAGACAGATGCACAGACGGTGTCCCTGTTAGAGCATACCCGAAACCGTCAACGAACCCTATCACGACCACCATGGCATCGCCTGAAGAGGACGCCAACTCTCCGCCCTCGGCGGTTTCGCCCTCTTGGGCTCCCCCGCGCGCGCCCCTCCCTCCACACAAGCTTGCAAAGCTTGCAAACGCGCTCGGTGTGTCAACACCAGTCCCCGTCTTGCACGGGTTTCTCTCTCCCTCCTCGCCCTTCATGGCTTCCCCTATACTGCCATCTCCCGCCTTCTCACCCTCGTTCGACTTCCGCCGCTCCCCGACACCCTCTGCTGCCTCCTCCGCGCATACATACACCCCCGCATCTCAAACCTCCAGGTTTCTCCTCCATGTCGTGCCTCCGTCACATCTACCCCACGAGTCTCAATTCACCCAAGACAACGAGCTCCTCGCCCCGCCACCAAACGCGTCCGGCTATCACGCGCAATTCCGTCGCGGTGTCCTCGTCCCCGTTTATCCGACGCTTCACAGTCAAATTGCCGCCATCGCGAAGGAGTACGCTCTGCCCAGCACGGTCGGCATCGTGTTATACCTCATCAACAACACCCCTTCCGCGAACGCGGGCATGCGCCTCGGACAACAACTGAAGAGGAGGGAGAGCCGGGACCTCGGCTATCGGAGGATATTTGGAGACACATCTGGGTGCGCGTCCTCAGAGCTGAACGCGAAGACAACTCGCTTTTGGGCCCACGGCCCAACGGCCTGGGCTTTGGCCCCGCCGCCCAGTCCACCCCCTCTCTCTTGCAAGACGTACCCACTGCGAACCCACTGCGTCCACTCCTTTCGCCTATGCGCACCGAGCCTCCGGCACGCCTAGGGACGCCGTCCCCTTCTACAACGGCCTCCCACTCCGCGATCTCATCACGCTCAGGGCTTGATTCCCCGGATTCTGCGACTTCCGTCTCAGATTCGGGCGACATCTCCTTGCCGGGCCTGAACGGCTCGTCGCTCATTCCCATCCTCGCGAAGGTCGAGTTCGATATCGACAAGCGCAAGGCTACTTGGTACGGCAGGTGGAAGAAGACGCGACGCGCGCAGGCCGCGAAACGCGCGGAGAGCCGTTTGGGTGGGCGTTCTCGCGCGGGATCGACAGCGGGTGATGAGTCGGCGGTGGAAGGGGAGGACGGGGACAGGAAACCCGCGCTGGAACTCCGGCTGGTGGAGCGCCTGCGAGAGGAGGCGAACACCCCCGCGTACCTCAGGTCGAAGGATGGGAGGCTACTCCCTCCCGGCTCGGACGATGGGTACGCGCAGTTGGCAGATTCTGATGAGGAGGACGATGAAGAGGCCACGATGAAGTTTGACAACGGGAGCGTAAGTGGAGATCCACTTGCGGATGTGTTCGGCACGGATGCTGAGACATGGGCGGACATGCATGCTGAATCACAACCCGATCAGCGGAGGAATAACCCCGACATCGTCGACCTTGCGCTTTCTGGCGCGCAACTTACGGCTCTCGAGGACGAGGATAAGGACGAGGAGGACGGCGACGACGTCGACGAAGTTGCCGAACTGCTCAAGGGCAATTCCCGCCCCCAGCTCTCGGTGGCCATTCCCGGCGAGTCTCCCCCTAGAAAGGAGCGCAGCGGCTCGATCACGTCAAGTTTGTCGCGCAAGCACATCCCACCCGCGCTCGATCTCGCGCCGTCCCTGCCAAACGCAGTACAGATCGCTGCACCTGGTACGGGCGGTGACAACTTCGGTTTGGCGTACCTGACGGAGGAGTCGACCCCCTCTACAGGTTCGTTGGACGACGTTGATGAGGAAACCGGGAAGCCGCGACGAAGCCCGCTCGAAGAGAAGCGCGACGGCCAGTTCTTCGATGACCTCAACCTCGGCCTTGATCCGTCTTTGGAGGTACGCGCCTGTATGTTCTCCAGGTATGTTATGTGGGCTGACGATCTGTCAAGTTTGACGACGACGATCCGGACGATAGGCGGAAGAGCCAGGTCCTCATGAGCTCTAGGCTCGATGAGATCGAGCGGGTACGTACTTTCGTGTCCTCTATGCTTGAAGCTGACCTGAAGCGACATACGAACAGGCACTGGCGCAGTTCTCGCCACGCAAGCTTGCCATTGAGGACCTTGCAGCTGAGTCTCCTACAGGTATGCCTTCCATGGCTAGCCTCTCGCCAACACCCAACAGTCGCATCAAGGGTGCACCGACTCCGCGACCTTCTCCCCAGCCCGGGTTTGTTGTTGAACTACATGATGTGCTGACCTGAAATGCTCATGCCATTGACAGTGCTCCGACTGAAGGCGCCTCTTGGCCTGCCATCCCTTATTCCACGCTCAACAACATGTCATCGCCTGATCAGCAAGCTGACGGACTACCATCTCCGCCGCGGATCGCCTTCAACGGGATTTCCACGGAGCTGCCCAAGTCGCCGTTCCAGCAACGATTCTCAACCCACAACTCTGATGAGTCCGACGAAACCCTCGCTCGCAAGCGCGAGCTCGCAGAGCAAGATGCTCTGTACCCGCCACTCATGGCGCCATCACTGTTGCGTCCAGGTTCGGATTCTCCGGTCATCCCGCTATCGCCGGATCCTTTCGGCCGATTCCCATCTGAATACGACACTACACCCCCTAGGCTCGACCACTCGCCGGGTCTGAAACAGGGTTCCGCGTTACGACCACAAGGGTCACACGGCAAGACTCTCAGCAACATATCAGAGACGCCCTCGTCGAGTCGCTTCTCTGTTGACTCACTCTCGACGACGGAGAACCACAAGGCGGGTCAAGAGGAGGGGGGTCGGAGCTCTAAGAGTAATTCAATCATAAGTGTAAAAAGCATCAAAAAACTGTGGCGGAGGACGAACAAGGCGTCAGTACAGGGCTCGGCCACACCGTCACCATCGCTGCCTGAATCAGGTCGTGCCTCGCCCAACTCCGCGCCGTTAACTAGTGACTCGGGGCTGGTGCCCGGCACGACGGGGCTGCCCTCGCGTCCTCCATCGCGCTCGCCGCTGCTCGACCAGCAGATGCTCGGGCCGCAGCGGAAGAGCTCACAGCACCAGATGCAGTGGAACAGCCAGGAACCCCCCTATCCAGGCCGCCAACCATCCCCTGCTGCCTACCCTCTCCCAACCACTCCCACGCCCCCACCTCCCGCCTCGGCTCCCGCTGCTCCCACCCAGGCAGCTGTACCTTCCGACCAGAAGAGCAATGTGCGGAAGTCGATTCTGAAGAGCTTCAAATCGCAGGGTGGACACTCCTCTCATGCCTCCTCGTCCTCCATTTCTGTCGGTCGCACCAGCAACGAGCGCAAATCGGGTGTCGTCGAACTCAACTCCGTTATGAAGCGCGCCTCAGGTGTCTCGTCCACCATGACTCTTGTTGAGCTCCCGCGTGCCTCTTCCGCAACGCTCATGTACGAATCGCCGCGGTCGCCACCGCTCCCAGAGATGCCACGCTCGTCGTCTGCGACACTCTACGAGGCCCCGCGAAGCCCGCCTTTCCCGGACCGGCGGAGCAACTACAGCACGCACTCGTACTCGACCTCGCACTCGCGCTCTGCGAGCCGGCAGTCGCAGGTGTCGGTCTCGAGTCAGAACGCGCTCGCGCGCGTGCGCCAGAAGCGGCCGAGTACCTCTTCGACGGAGTCGCTCTCACGCGCTCCCTCGGCTCGTCTCGCGGTGGGCAGCACATCACCGCCAAGGAAGGGCGTGCTCTCCGGACTGCAAGTCCCACGTACGTCCGGTGAGTCCTCGTACGAGGACCGGCCGAGCTTCGACGAGAGCCAGTTCGAGATTGTCTCGCCGAAGCACGCGCCCGCGCACATGCTCTCGTACCCGTACAACACGATGGACCAGTCGATGTCCTCTATGGAGTAGGCTCTATGTCCTGTTGTTGTCGCTGTCCTTGCTGCTGCTCTCCTCGTGTCTGTCTCGTCTCCTGCATGTGCTCGCGCTCTACTACCCTCCCACGGCTTCACCACGCTCCTCACGCCCTGTTGTCTGATCCCATGCTCTTGCTGTTGCACCCCACACTCCTATCCCCGGCTCGCGCCTCTTTTCGCATTCACCCCCCGCCGCGCGAGCGCGGCTTCTCCTCCTTGCACTTTCGCCCACACCGCCGCTGCAGACCCTTTTTATTGCATCAGCTAGTTAGTCTACATAGTTACTGCTCACTACCCCCACCACCTCCCATATCCCATATTCATGAGTACCCATCACATCACGGTCATGACCCTCTGCTTGCGGCTTCCTCCTCCCAGCGAGCTCGACGGACGACGCCACGCTTTGGTTTTGGATTATCTCTGCATGTCGCACGCCTCAGTGCGTTAGTGTTTTTGCATACGCGCTACGGCGTTACGCTCCCAGTTCCCTCGCACTTGTTTCTTACGTTTCTCACATTTCCTTATTCTCATCCTCGCCCCCACCCGCTCGCCACGGTCGCTGCCGCATTAGGTCGCTGTGTATCCGATGTGTATAATTATCCCACCTATCTAGATAGTACAACAGCCCTCTGCGCGAGCGATAGATGCTCCAATGAGAGGCCATGAAAGGCGTCGAGCACTTCAAAGTCAGAACGCGTTCTCCGTCGAGTCGCCGCCGACCGCCGACGTGGAAGACGACCCCGCTGAGACGGTGGTGAGGATGCTGTCGATGTAGTTGGCGCCGCTCCTGGAAACGACGGAGCGTGAGTGCGCAGCGTGAGAAGGGCAGCACCACGGGAAACGGCGCACCACTTCTGGTGGGTGAGGACGTCGCAGCCGATCTCCTTCTCCCGCTTCTGGACCATGTTCACGTACGCGAGCATGCCGTCCGTCTTGAACTTCGCGGAGAGCTCGGCGGTCATCATCGCGTTCAGGTGCAGGCCGGCGAGCGAAATCAGCTGAAGGACGAAGCTGGACGCGGGTCCGGTGATTAGCACGTGCGGAGACGGATGAGGGAGGACATGGACGTACCCCTCCTTGCCGAGGTCCCACACGAAGTTCTTGAGGTCGGCGTCCGAGAAACCTTGGGCGGCCCAGTTGAAGCTCGGGCTCAGGTTGTACACGAACCACCTGCAGCCGAGCACTCGGTGCTCAGTCTCGCGTGCTACGGACGCGTGCCCAGAGCAACCTACTTTCCAGGGTATTTCGCGCGGATCTTGCGGGCAAAGTAGCGCGCCTGCTCAATGTCGGGCAGCTTGGTCTCGAGCCAGATCATGTCCGCGTACGGCGCGAACGCGAGCTCACGCTTGATCGCGGCCTCGACGCCGCCCGTGTAGTGGTAGTAGCCTTCGCGCGTCTTGGGCACTGGCGTGTTCCCCGGGCCGTCAGAGTCTTGTCTACAGCAGAGAAGGGGCGGGAGATGGCCTTACGGTCCCAGTCCCAGAACACGGGCTCGCCGAGTATGTCCTTTGCGATGTCGCGCGCGTCCGCATTCGACTTGCCGTCCGCGGCTTCGCGGAATGTCTTCAACGCGCCCGCTTTGTCCGACACGCCGGACTTCTCCAGCGCCGCCTCGAACGCTGCAAGATCCGCCAAGGTCAGTTCGCCGTCCAACGGCCAACGGGTGGGCACACGCCTTGTGCGAACGTCATGAGCGGGTTCCGCGCGAGCCAGTCCGCCTCGAGCGCGTCGATCTCCTTCCCGCTCTTCCCCTGCGCCTCCGCCGCGGCGATGACCTCGGCGAGCGCGCGGTCCGGGTGCGCGACGCCGCGGATGAACTCGTGGTCGAGGACGTCGACGGTGGAGGAGAGCAGCTTCGCGGACTCGGCGTCCGTGCGCGCGATGAGCAGCATCGGGGACTTGAGCAGGTCGAGCTGGAAGCGGGCGGCGATCAAGCGCGAGACGTGCGCGGAGGCTGGGACGAGGACCTTGCCCGCGAGGTGGCCGCACTTCTTGCCGCCGACAAGCTGGTCTTCGAGGTGGATTGCGGACGCGCCCTAGACGGGTGAACGTGGGATGAGAGGGGGGGGGGGGGGGGGACGCGGGAAGAGACGGCGCACGGATTCGGTGAAGAGCTTGACCAGTTTCATGACAGCGGAGAGGCCGCCGTGTCTGAGGAATGGGGACTCCTACTCAGCCTGTCCATCCTGGGTCCTTGTTTTGTGTGTAGTCAGGTGCTCACCCCATGTCAGCGTCGGCGATGATGGGTCGCAAGTAGTCGATGTAGGGCATTTTTGCTCGAGCCTCTGCACTGGCCGACATGCGCTCATCGTAGTGCTTCTTGTCATGCAGCTGTTGCGCGCGAAATAACCGATGCACTTGGTTGGGCACCGTTGTGTACGGGTAATCCCTATGGGGGAAACGTCGGTGGAGGTTTCATAAGGACGGAGAACGCACCCACCCAAAGTCCGGACCGACATCGTTGTTCCCCGTGGTGAGCAAGCTCGAGCACGCCCATCCGCTCACGTACACAACCTCCTGGTGAGGCGCCATCTGGGTCATCTGCACGGGGTCAATCGCACCCATGGTGTGGACCGGTTTTCCATCCTTCGCAGCCTTGTCGAGGGTCGCATACAGCTTCTCCACGAGTAATGTGGAGGGGAGAGGGAGTACGGGCAGTGAGCCCTGCTTGACCGCAACCTGGGCGGCGGTGTATGGCCGCTTGAGCGAGTCGAACCGGGGCTGAGCAAAGAAGGCCTCCATGTCGGCGACGCGAGTATTGAACGCAGCGGTCTCTTGCTCCGGGGTAGGCGGGGTGAGAGGGAGGGAGGGGAGGAGCTCATCGCACGAGAGAAGGCGGGGATGGAGCGGGAAGTATTGCGGGCCAGCGTCCTAAGAAACATGGTGGTGCGGAGGACGGAAGAGCCAGAGAAGACGAGCCGGGCTTTTGAGATGGATGGATGGTTGTAGGGAAGAGAGAGAGGGCCTTACGGCACTTCGGAACGTCACCGGTATTCGGATACCTAATCTCCATGTGTGGGTTCTCGCCGATCTCTCTACCAGCGCTCGACCGGCTCCCTCCTACAGACCACCCGCTACGCCGTTTTTCTCGAGGCTCCTTTGAACTTATACCGAACAGGTCTGATGTATTTCGTCCTCGTCGGCTCACGTCGGGAGCCTAACCAGACAAGAACACCGACGGCCTTGCACAAGCTCGTGCGCCCCAAAACGCCGTTATTATGCATTTCATGAAACTAGCTGCGTCCACTACCGCGATCTGCACCCAAAAATCCAAGTACATAAGCAAAGATCGCAACTTTAAGCCGTAACACGGTCCCGACTCCCAACTCGGTTGCCGACGTGGGACCCCCTCCGACCGTCACCGCATTGTCTTCGTCGCTCAGTTCCACGGTGAACCTGACCCGATCCTTTACAGTTTTGCGGGGTTCTTCCACACTGGTTGGCGTTTCTAAGAAGCAGCGACATAGCGTCAGTCTGAGCAACCAGTGTGCAGAAATCCCTACGCACTTCGGTGAACGCCCTCAGTCCCTCCTGGATGTTCTCACTGCGGAACTGCCTCTTACTTTCCGCAGAGTTGATATGCGCAATTACCGTTTCCTCCACTCCCAGACGGCCAGCGAGCAACAGAGCGCGTTTCGTGCTCTGCACGGAGTCAGGGCTATTCGAGTTAATCTCAGCCGCCCAGGCCAGTGCCGTCGAGATGACCTTCTCCTTCGGGACCACCTGGTTTACGCTAGGTGGGAGACAGCAACATGGCATCAGTCGCGTGAAGGGGCCGCAAACAAACAACGGGAGACTGACAAGCCGAAGCGTGTCGCCGCGTCTTGTGCTGTGATCGCCTTGCCCGTGAGCAGCATCTCGCTCGCCAACTGCTCACCACGTTGTCAATGTGCCGCACTGTGTGTTCGATGCCGGAAGCCCCGCACCTGATGTCCTGCTATACGCGCAAGACGCGGCATGCCTACGCGAGGTTGTTAACGTGGAGTGACGGGACGTCGACGTCCAGATGCGACTCACCTCCCTGGACAGCGACGACTCCCCGCTTGACCTCGGGCAGCGCTAGCTTCGCGTCCGCACTGGCGATAACTATGTCGCAGTTGAGGATGAGCTCCATCCCGCCTCCGTAAGCGCCGCCGTTCACGGCCGCGATGACGGGCTTGGAGGTCGGGAAGCGGCGTGAAAGGGAGGCGAAGCCGTCTGGCAACCCGAGGACATCCGCTTGGTCTCCGTCGCCGCCTTGCGTGGCCTGGCGTTTGTTCCACCTGGAAAATACTGAGTTCAGGAGGAGGTGAAGGATACTGAGGACCGCGCTGTATACGCACGCGAATAGGTCTGCGCCTGCACAGAACGTGCGGCCTTCACCGGTGACGACGAGTACCCTAGTTGAAGTCTTGTCAATGCACACCTAGAATGTCGCGCAACAGACACCACATACCAAAGACTAGGCTCATTGTCAAACCAGTCCAGAATGGTTTTGATATCCGAAGTCATGGTCGGCGTGATCGCATTCAGTGACTTTGGCCTGTTGAACGTTAAGAGCATGACATGCTCCTGCGGAAATGACAGCTTGACCTCTTCCGAGTGAGCCGGAGGCTGCGGCGGGGAGCTTGTCTTGCCCATGGTGGTGGTACGGAGGTAGCGCTGCCTCCCCCGTGATGCGGGGTATTAAGGTGAACGTTGGCGCCGTTCCCCGGGACGACGGGTTGCCGGTGAACGCCGACTCAGCACGCTTCAAAGCTTCAAGCGGTCACCTCGCAGCATCGGAGTACGACCCACTATTTCATTCTCCGGAGCCGGAGGACCAGACCCACTCAGAACCGTCCCTCGAGGACCAGCCACGACAGGCTCTGCATGCGTCCCTGCCATTCTCAACACATACAAACGAATCCATCTCTATATAGGCGTCCTCGGATTGCAGACATCGTACAGTGACTCAGTATTCTACGCCTGACCTCTTAGGGACCCTGGTAAGTACTTCCGGTCGAGCTTGTTGTTACAGTACCCCGTCTACCGCGTTCGTACACGTCCTCGAGTATCTCGTCTTACGATTCTAGGAGACATCCAGAGGGAAATTTTGCATACGCGGCTACAATTCGCCATTGAGTGTCTATGCACCCGCGTCCTCCGCAGTGATGGTTTTCACCAGGGCGGGTACGAGAAATTCGACCACATGGTCCAACCACAACCCTAGCTCAGACCTATGGGTAATGGAACCTTCTACGCTATGCTCGAAAAGATGCAGCGAACAATATACGATGATTAATGACCGTACGTCCTTGAGTGTACGAAGGAGACACCCAGCGAGTGGAGTGGCTCTGAACCGGCGACAAAGAAGAAGACGGCGTAGCTTTCCGATCTTGCTTTGCAAGTATCGTTGCCGTTGTACTGGTACGCTTCTTAGAGATCAAGAGACTGTGAATCGTTCGTGCTATGGAGTTGGTGTGCGAGCCCCGGCGGACATGTCGCCTGTTGGTCGCAAAAAATGACCTGCGTAAATAGAACGGCTCCTGAGAATGAGAGTTGCAATATCGCATGCACTTACGGTCTGGGTTCATCCTCAACAGGCGTAGATCCGCTTCAGTGAAGCGGGTCGCAGTTGTCGACAATCTTCGATATCAATCTCGGAGTCGAAGACAAAACTCCCAAGTACGATCTTCCCCACCCTCACCCGTCTTCCCCTGGCCGTGAGCGCGTTCTCCTTTTGTCATCCTGTGTTCGTAGCCTTCCCACAGCGTGCGGTGGAATGCAAACGATCGAAGCTGAATGTAACGAGGACTTGGAGGCTGAGCGGTCGATGGGGGAGGAGGGGATTTCGCAAGATTAGGAAGGTCCCTAGTGGGTGGTCAGCTTCTCTACATGTACATTGATACTGCGTGACACTTCCACTCACCAAAGAGTGTAAGGTGCCACATTCCTCAATGTGATCAACACAGTACCTCTCGGGGTAGGCGTATCCGATGAGACTTCCGGCAAGTCTGCGTCTGCCCCACCGTCATCGCCGGAGTCTTCGTCGTCGTCCGGATTGCGTTTCCGCTTCCGCGACACCCGTACCGACGGTATTGGCCCCTTCGTAAGAAGAGGGGCCACAGAGCGCAGGAATCCGAGAAGTAGCTGTTGATTGGACAGGATATTTCGATCTTGGTCCGTTATGCCTTTCCCTACATGCACGCCTATGTTAGCGTGCCAGTTGATGAAATGCTGTCGTTCGCCGTCACCTGCATGTGGGAAGTTCCATACGACCTTGTTGTACTTCCGGTCCTTCAGCGCATGGCATTTCTCGAGTTTGGTGGCGTCGACGGAAAAGAGGACGTGAACGCCTTTCTCCCTCAGAGTCTTAATGATCTCTTCTGATTCTGGATATTTGGTGCGGCATTCTTCCTCTGTGTCGTACGCTGTAGCCGTGACGTTCGTTGCAGGGAGAAAAGCCAGTGATTCGGGTGGGGAGCAGACGAGCGCCCGCGCGAAGGAGAAATTTCCCTCTCCTATGAGCAAAATGCGATCTGTCGGTTTGAAAGGAATGGCTGGACGCGTGTGAGAGGGAACGGCGGTGGCTTTGCCCTTCCCCTTGGCTTGTGATCCGGCCGCCTTCAGTCGTTCCGCACGTTGAATCGCCTGCGCGGCTTCCTGCTTCTTCTTGAGTCGCGACTGCTGAGACGAGAGTGCGGCCTTGAGCGAACCCTTCTTGCTTCCCTTTCCCATCTCGGTGTTCGGCGCTTCGCTCGCACAGTTTGCGGAGGTGGTGGGAGCGCAGGACGGGCGTTGTTTGCGCGTGTTAGAATCCAAAGCCGATAGCATACACGACCAAACACCCGAGCTCGCTCCGGACCCCGCGGCTGCGCGACGTGGCGTCAATACCCGTGCCACGTTCGCTACATTTGATACACTTCCTCAGCTTTACACACGCTACCTATACCGGCACCACCACCTCCCAGTCGCTCCTTACATTTGCACGCTACTCGCTGTGCCATACCACCATGGTGAGCGGCGTCTCTCTACCGTGCACCGAGGTCGCGCGACTGCGACTTACGCGCGCACACCAGCCCACCGAATTCGAGCTTCGCAAGCGGAACTCCCAGTTCGCGGAGAAGTCGCGCGCTGGCAAGAACCCGGTGAAGCCCTCCCGCCAGGAGCGGCTTTTAAAACGTAGCCCCATCAGCCTCTGGGCCCTCGGGATCATTATGTTTGTCGTAGTGGGCGGAGGTGCGTGGTCCTCAAGGCTGCATCGTGTATCACAGCTCATGCCCGTGGTATGCTCCCCCAGTGCTGTTCGAGTTGCTTCGCCTCTTCTTCCTATGACCTCGTTCGTCCTCGCAGAGGGGGCGCCTGCGCGCCCGGACGAGTGTCGCTCGTTGTACAACAGACATACGCTGTAACTTATGCGCTCCCCTTAGTCGCCTGGATATCTTTCTGTCGGAAGGTCAGGCCCAGCACGGCAAGAAATTCTGTGGCCCCCGGATTTTGCCTGTGTCATGGGTGATGCATACATTGAGGGGAGATGCTGTGAAGTCAAAAGATACATGCGATCGTGCGTGGTCGGGACTGGTGAGCGTAAAGTATATCTCTGAGCGCACTCGCTTCTCCTAGGACGAAGGGCCCGCCTCCTCTATACCATCAAGTGCTTCGATGCCCTCCATGGTTTCACCCTCGAGCTCCCTTTCGTCGATCTTCACCTCATCACCAGCCCAGATACGCATTGTTGGCTGCCACACCATGATGATATTGTCCTCTGAGGTACTGGCCGCCGTCCAGCTTTCACCGACTCCTGGCGCCCAGCAGAAGTCTGTCGGCCTTGCTGTATGTCCTGCGTATCCCATGTGAGAAGGAGATCATATCGATGCAGGAAGGTAACTTTTACCTCCGTGAACGAACAGAAGTTCGGGCGGGCCGTCCTCTTGGTCGTCGGGTGTTTGCTCCGCTCCAATCTGCGAGAGGTCCCATACATTGACGCGCCTGTCGCTGGAAGCCGACGCGAAGATCGTTGTGTTGTGCGGAGACCATGATAGGTGCAGAACTTCGTCTGTATGCCCCTCGAACACGTGTATCGGTGTTTCCAGTTTGCGAATGTCTCGGAGAAGAATGGTCTAGAGAGTAGCGTCAGCACAGAAGTACGAGGACGACAGCACGTAGACAGGTCAAAGAGCTCACATGGTCGGCACTCCCAGTGAGAATGAGGTTAGGGAAATCAACATTCGGTGTGAATGAGACTGCAAGGATTTCTCTGTCATGGGCTTGTAGTGCGTGCATGGGCTTCGACGCGTCTCGCGTGTCCCAGCTAACAAGATATGAGCAAACGCAGCAAAGACCGCGGCTACCCACGTACATCATCAACATCTTGTCGTCACCTACACTAGCAAGAACGTGTTCTTGTGTTGCATGCCAATCCACATCCTGTGCAAAATACACGTAAGTCTGGCGAAACTTGTAACAAAAAAGGATGCGCACTCCGACAACAGAGGTGTGCCCCTTGAATACAGTCGTGGGCTCAATAGTGTTATTCGCTTTGGAGTACGAGTTGATATCCCTGACGCACACGGCTCAATTTGTGTGCAGACCCCAAGCGAAAAGTGCGTACCAATGGCAGATGGTCAGGTCTTCTGATGCCCCAAGGACATGTCCAGCCTTGATTGGACTCCACGCGAGGCCGTAACTGAAGGCATGATGAGCGGAAAGGTGATGTATACTGCACGAGTCACTCACCCCTCCTTTGTCTGGCCTACCAGTCTAATGTCGGGCTTGCAGACACCACCACGCTCCGGTTCGCTGGAGTGTTTCGTCCGATCGAATATGAGCACCTCTCCGGAAACCGCTTTCGTTGCAAGTAGATCCGGGTTCTGTGGCATATAACGTGCGCGGTTGACCTCGCCGTCATGGTTGATGCGCTGAATGACTTGGACGCGCGGCTGCGGGGGAAGGGAGTGGCCGCCAAGCTCACCGCGTTCATCATCGTAGTCCCCGCGATCGAGTCTGTCCGAAGTGCTACCACTGTCGCGCTTTGGGAGATGTACAGTTGCAATCTGCAGGTAGTCCTGCGCTTGTCCCGACGTGTGCGTCCCGAGTAGGACGCGATGAACAGTGTATGGCTTGTTTGCGGGTCTACAGGCCAGTTCAGGCCAGGGTGTGGGGAGTCCAACTGGATCTACGCACTGTTCTTTGTCCGGGAACCACTGACACGTCAAACTCGGCCAGTCGAGGGCATGTGTGATGACGACGTCGTACAAGTACGGAGCGTTCTTCTTCCTGAGTTTCGAGCGTGAGCTTCCAGCCGCCACTTGACTGCGCGACATGTTTCCTTACCAGGTTTTGTATTCCTATACGTGACAAACAGTCGGAAATCAACGATGTCTCGGTGGGATTGGCGCGCGATATACCTCATTGATTAACTTGTTCTCCTCCTCCGCGGCGAGATCGTCCTCGAGCTCTTCTTGCATGGGTGGCTTCATGATCACAATCAATCTTAACGGTGGACCAAGCACAAAGATGAATAGAGAAGCGGCTAGGATACGAGCGTGTCGCGACCGGTGAGTGAGGGGGAAGGAACAAGGAGAACAATATGAGCAAAAGCCTGGCACAGGCAGGATTGGGCGTTCGCGTCGCGTCACAAACGCGTCCTTTGAGCGTCACGCTCTGGAACGTGAGGTCTTCCGAGCCGCAGACTCCCAAGCTGCACTGGTTGCTGATACTCGTTTTGCACAAAGGGCGCATACAGAGATTGGCGTCCGCCGGGAAACGGGACCTATAGATAGAGAACCATATAGTATGATGCTTGCGACCCTCGCAGGCCGTCGGCTGGGCAAGCACATGTATTACGCCGGGCTTAGCACACAGAACTTAATGCGTACAAGATGGCGACATCTCATATCCACGTCACGCTCCAGGGCCAGTGCGGGGAATTGAACAGACCTGCAATCTAAATGGAGAGGCATACAGGCGATGTCCACGTCACTTGGACTCCACTTCCCACTTGGCAATCAGCTTCTCCAGGTCGAACCTTGGGTCCTCCGGGTCGGTCACGACTACAAGCACAAGAGCATGTCAGCAGATGGCAGCGCAGAAATGGGGAGGGAAGGCAAATATATGGTTGAGAGTGATGGGTAAGAGCGCAGACAGGTAACATGCCAGTACTCACCACCGTCACCCTTTCCACTCCCACTGGACTGCTTCTTTTTCCAGGCCTCCTTGGCTTCCTCAATAAGGTGTTTGCGCTCGTGGACGACGTGGTGCCGGACCTCAGCATCGTGTGCTTTTTGAAGTGTACGGCGGTGGGCAATGCCATAGAAGGCACCGCCGAGCAGGGCGGTGTACCTCACAACCTAAGTCACGATTCGACGCGTCATCATACTGTACGGGACAAATAAGCGTATCCATGCAGACATACGTTGACGGTAGCGGAAGCCATTCCAACTGCAGTGTGCCGAGTGTGAGAGAGGGGAGGAAGTGACCTGGCATGCACGTGCAGAGATGACCACAAGGTAGTCAGGCGAGCATTCGTCGTGCACACGGTAGCAATGGTGCTTACCGAGGAAGGAGTGGAAAGGGAGGTATGAGTCCGGCGTAGCGTTTGCTGCGCCGACGTTGGACGGGAGGAATAGGATGGTAGCTGACGTAATGCAGCCGCGTCCAGCAAGAGTCTCCAATGGTGTCCGGGGGTCATTCCCATCCCTCGGGCCGGTGCACGCCGGCGTGTGGCAGCCACCAAGACTCGTTGGGATCATCTCTCCATCCTTCATCTCTTGCACCATGTCCGAGGACGTAGACATGGACGCTCCTCAGATCTCTACACTCCGCGATGAGAACACGCCGGAACCCGCTGCACCATCCAAATTTCGGATCAAGTTGCTCGTCAGTGACAAGGCAGAGGGATCTAAAGCGGACTCTGTGGTCAGTAAGCCTGGGAGGGCCGCCAGCGACGAGGACGAGGACGACGAGACGATGAAGAAGAAGACCAACTTATCGACGACGACGACGACGATGACATTCCTCCGAAACCCGCACCTGTTATACCTCCACCAGTAGTTGCTCCTGTGAGAGGGACAGCCGGGAAACGTGGAAGTCGTGGGCGAGGAGGAGGTCGACGTGGACGGGGTGGGCGGGGAAATGCTGCGGCCGCCGTTGCACCAATCGTTCAAGATACGCGTCCAGACGTCTGGGATCCGTCAGGTATTCGGGGGAGGCTTCTTCAGCCCCACGAGGAAGAAGCCAGGACCACCAAAAGGTTCTACTATCAACCGGGCCATTCGCAAGAAGGTTTCGAAGTAAGTGCTCATTTTAAGGATCGCGACTCGTGCTAGATCGTGTTCTGGTCAGGGCAACCATAAAAGGCCCCTCCGTGTCTCAGCTCAAGGATGATGCTGACAGTGTTAGTGAAGGTTAGTGGTCGTCGTGTTTATGTACATCTCAGACATTAACGTTGTGCTTTGCTAGCATATGCTGGCACAGCGGCGTCGTCGCCCATTCCCCTAGACGGCTCTCCCGAACCAGACTATCCCCTGCCGTCTTCCATCGCACCACACCCTCAGTTTGAGGACGCACCACTCGATGGAGTGCCGCTACCGGTATACCCTCTCCCCTCGAAACCATTCCCCGTGCAGCCTCCACCGAAGATAGCGACTGGCTTCGCGCCAGTCATTCCTTTGGACAAGAGTGGAAAACCTGTCCGACGGTGGCGACAAGTTAACCGAGAGGTTCGTGGCGTCGCCGGTGGTCGATGGTTCGTCAAGTCCTACGTTGGTGAAAAGGAGTCCGAGTACGCAGCCGCGATGGCTGCACAGCAAGCCGCGATGGCAAGTGTAGCGGGGGACTCTCTCTCTGGTCTTGCTCTCCCAAGGCTTTCTGCTGTTTCAATATCCGGCACCGGCAGAGGCCGCGGTCGCGGGGCAAGACACAATGTGGACCATTCGTCAACTGTCGCATCTTCACGCGCAGGCTCGGCGATGCCGGACAGTATCTCCGCTCAGTTCAAAAAACGTCCTAGCGGACCCAGTACTCCGTCTGTGGAAGCATCTGCATCACTTGCTGTTGTTCCGCCACCCCCATCTTGAACACACTTGTATCGCTGCTAGGATGGACCGGATGCTTCGGATTGCCTCCCTCTGTACACGCATATATATTCACTGTGTCTGTATTGACCGCCTCCATAATACATACGGCTATACCCTGTTCTCTTGAACGTGTTTTCGCGCGCAGCGTGCCATTTTGATGGTGCATTGAACCAGGTATCTCATTCCGGTGAGAAGAGATCGCCACGTATTAGCGCTCATCACAAGTGCGCGCTGCGCGACCACTGCTGCGTCCGCTTCAGCCACCCCTCTTCCGCCACTTTCCTCCTCTCTCCCTCCAACGCCTCGACGCGGGTCTCAGCACGCCGCGTACCCATGTATGCTTCTGGATCCACCCAGGCTGCAAACGGAGAGGCGCAAAAGAAGGGGCCTTGGCACGCGTTGCGCGGACATGACGGCAGTGAGTGCTATTCAGATCATACGGCGCTCTCTGCTTGACTCTGGGCTCGCGCTAGCATCCACTCCTCCAGGCTATGCCGCCGATCCCAAGTTCAAGAAGTACACACAACAAGTGGAGAAGTGTCTGTCCTCTTTTGACAGTGTGCATGAATGGGCCGACTTCATCTCATTCCTGAAGCAATTGCTCAAGGTGCGTGTACAGTACTTGGGTAGTGGACCGGTTGTAACGGGACGTGTGCGGCGGTCGCAGACGCTTCAGTCCTACCAGCAGTTCAAGGAGATACCCCGGAAGTTGGTGGTGTCGAAGCGGTTATCACAGTGCTTGAATCCTGCCCTCCCGAACGGCGTGCATCACGCGCACTGGACGTGTACTCGCACATCTTTGCTGTCCTCGGGGTGCGTATGGTCCTCAAATTCCACTTTCACTCCATTAATCCAGTCGTCATTTCAGTCTGAAGGTCTCCTACGAGATCTTGCGTTATGGTCGTCCGGACTGTTCCCATTCTTCGAATACGCCTCAACAGCAGTCAAGGTGCGTCATAGTCATTCAATCCCTGCGCTCACAAATGGCCTCAAATTCCGTGAAGCCTACAGTCCTGAACCTTTTTGATACCCACTACCTTCCTCTACAAGCTGCCCTTCGACCCGTCATGAAGTCGTTCATCCTCGCGTTACTACCTGGTTTGGAGGAAGAGACAGGAGAGTACTTTGAGAAGGTGAGGATAATCATCATGTGCTGCATCGCGGGGTCCTTATGCCCCCTAGGTTCTTGCGTTGCTTGACCGTCTAGCAGGCACCATTTCGCAATCATTCTTCTTCCAAAACATCTGGCTTGTAATGCTGACAACTCCGCGCGCCCGAGGAACCGCACTCAGCTACCTCTCCAGACGCCTACCCCCCTTCAAGCCGGATGAGGGTATGTACGATGTGATGGCCGGGCCATGATAGACTGAACAATTCTCGTAGACATCACACCAATCGTCGGCAGTGACCTCGGGCTCATGATCAGGGCGTTTTCTGCTGCTCTGGAAGATGACGATCTGCTTGTGCGGAGGGGTGCTCTGGATATTTTGCTTCAATCCCTCCGTATAGATGGCGTTGCCGTGATAAAGTCGCAACCAGACGATCGAGCCATCCTGATGCGCGCGGCAACTAGCGTGGTCCTTCGACGCGACCTAGCACTCAACCGAAGGTTATTTTCATGGTTGCTCGGTCCCGCAGAAAGCAGCCAAGCCCAAATGGAGTACTACAAGCAATATTCGCTTGATCTTTTGCGTTCGACCCTCAGAGTACGTCATTGCATCCGCGTATTGTCAGAAACCTATGCTGAATGCACATTCAGAATGAGATGTTCAACCCGTCTCCAGAGTATTCTCAATCACGGCCGTTTAAGATCTTCATTTCGCTTCTCGACAAATGGGAGATCGGTTTGCCATTGACGGAGGTACTGGTTTACGACGCTTTCAAAGCTTTGCGGAAAGCACTGGGCTCGGGTGCAGATTCTGGTGACGATGTACGATACTATGCATATGCCGTCATACCAACTCGTTAACGGTTATTCAATCACAGCTCACCATGACCGGGCCACACTGTATGAAGCCGTTGAACAGAATGCGTTGTGGAATCGCCTATTGCATGCGATCCTGCTGGATTTTGATGGATCTCAAGGCCGTCGAGAGGTATGAGTCCCTCGATTGAACCAAGGATCTCAGCTTACGGACAATCGTCAGGGGTGTGGCATGGTCAAATACATCTTGACAACTTTCCACACACACGATGAGGAAATCGAGACTATCACCTGCCGGTAGTGTTTACAGCAATCCTCGGACAACTTGCAGTAAGTTTGGGTTGCCGTTCAGTGAACATTGCAGCTGACCTATAATAGGCCTGCTTACACGGAGGATTGTTCACTTCTCCTGTGGTCATGGATGCTTTGAACCTCGTTCAAGAGATTTCAGAGCACATACCCGAAGGTGCTCTGAGAACTCGCCCCTCTCTCCGCCAAGACAGGCCTCCACCAGCCTTCAATGATGCGTTCGCATTCGCACGCGCATTTTATGGTCTCCCGCCTCGGAGGCGCCGTCAACCTCGTCTCAGTCGAACACTCCATTCGTGGCCGCCTTCGAGGACATTGTCACTCTTACGACCGTATCATCCGCCGCGCTTCTCAGACAAGTCGACAGGAACGACCGTTTGCCTCAACAAGTACTTCAGTCCTCGCTCTTCCTACTGGAGGAACTTGTGGGCCGGTTGGACGCGGAGTCAGAAGTTCCCTTGGTCGTTTCCTGGGATCCGGCGATGTGGCTGTCCAGTTTGCTACAGTGCCTTCAGCCAAAGGCACGAGACTCCACTGAAGTTTCATTCGGGTAGCTAACTCCCAGTTCCAGATCGCGACCTTCGTCATCGTTGACCGGCTCGTTGCAACCGCCGTGAAGTTGCATCAAACAGACCGACTAGAGCCGGTATTTTCTCTCAACAAGCGTGCCTACATCCAAACGATGGTCGACGTGGTGAGTCTAAACCACCCCGAAGGTGTCATCCAGTGGCTCATGCGTATCACAGCTATTGTATTATCTTCGCCCATCCTTCACGGCCTATCATGTCCGCGCGGTCGGCCTAATCTGGTCGCTCGAGAGGCTCAGCACACAACCTCACGTCGAATCTGTAATCGCACGAACTTTGTCAGCACAATCACCGGCCGATTGCAAGACGCATGCGAAGCATTTGGTGTGTTGTGGAGGCTTACTGGTATGTATTGCATACAATATGCCTGCTCTGTGAATAACAAGCCCTGCAGAGGACAGTGCCCTCCCCGGAGTACACCTCAAGGTTCCAATGATGTCCGTTCTAGAGACCCTGCGAAGTGAGGACCCCAAGCTCCGGCGGATAGGTGAGACATGGGTACGCTGCAGCTTGAAGTCCTATCTTCGGTAAGTTCACGTCTACCGCGCGTTTCTCGTCGTCTCATTTTTTTGAAGAGTGCTTGACCCGATTCTGTGCGACCTCTTCGACCCAAATGTACAATACTCTCCATCCTCAACTGAGATCAACGGCAAGCAACTACAAGGGTTCGCCTACGACCGCCCATTCGATCAGCATTACGTCAACTACTTGCTGGAGACCCTCCTTTCTGTTATCAAGTTTGGGGGTCAAGGGTTCAGCAAGATCGCCCGAAGCACTCCCATCGCTCGTTCGATGTATGCCAACCTCATGCAGAGATTACAGCACGGTACGCAATAGACGTTGAGACCAATTCGCGAACCACTCTGATTGGATGCAGTGACATCTGCGTTTCCGGACACTACCTACATGGATATCATGTCGCAGTTGCTCATGAGGTATGTAGTCAATATTTCTCCCTTGGGCGTGTGCATTGAAGTATCGTTTTGCTGGACAGGATTTTGCAGTCTGAGCCGAAGGCGTCTCTCAGTCCCACCATGCACGCCTTCAACATCGTTGCGCAGAACCTCTCAGCGGAGATCCTGCAGGCATTGGTTGCCCGTGGCGAAGTCGATCTGATCACCCTCGAGTCGCTTGAGTCCGCAGTGGTCCAGAAGCTTTATTTTTGCGTTCACTCGGGCCGACTCGACTTGCAGAACAAGTTACTGCATCTCCTCCACTCGATCATCGTCGCCTCCATCGCTGCCAGACAGGGTTCATCTCCTCAGGTGGACCGTAGTGGTGATGCGATAAGCCTCCAAGACGCACCCCAGTCTTCAAGAAGGGAATCTCATGCCGTTCATCCGCTGTTGTCCAGACACTCGTCGACGGAATCTCGCTGCCTTCAAACCGCTCCCTCCTCCAGCATTGGCTTGACTTCGTCATGATGACCGTTCCGCAATTCAAAGAAATGCTCCAAGTCGTCGTCAGTCCTCTCACGGAATGTATCTGCCGTCAGCTTCGCCTGGCCCTCACCGAGATCTTGGACGCTTCGGTGGACGGGCCCCGTGACAGTGATATTGTCTCTTACACCACGGACGCCGATTTTATGATGTTGCTGACAGTCCTCGAACGGCTGTCACTGCTGAGCATGACTCGCACCGGGACGGAGCAGGTCCAAGACGAAGATCAACAAGCAGCTGAAAAGGGCTTGCAGGAGTCCAGTGGCCTCCTCGGATATGTCTCGAATGTCTTCAGCTCTGAGGGAGGTGGCTCTACCGAAGATACATTGATTGTGAGTGCGCCACTGCCGAAGCATGTCTGCGTCCCTCATTTTGTCACAGGTGAAGTCCTCCGACTACCGCTGTTTACACAATGCCGTGCGAGTGCTGTTCGCGATGTGGGACAAATTGGTTGTCCCGTCAGACAATCACTGGGCGTCGAGGGAAGAATCACTGTCCTTGATATACTCTCGCGCAAGAAACCGTAGTCGACGCGTGTTGGAGCATCTTTTCCGCGCATATTCCACCGAAGTTCTCGAAGCAGTCATTGACTGTTGGTGGGAGCAGGTCACAGTACGCAATTGATCCCCACCTTTCCCGCCCAAAGCTAACGCACCACTAGGCACGCCCGGATAACGTGGAGACCTCCACAGCGTATGATCTAGTTGATACGCTCACCGCAAGCGCTCAGAATGCCGTACACATGCTTTGTGAAAGTATTTCGTGCCGTATACCTGGTTTGTCAGAACGGACCAAGAAAGCCGTGGCGTTCGCGGAACTGTGAGCGGTATTGTGACTCGTAACAGCCTTGTCTTTGACCTCATTCCATGCAGGCATGACATGACGCTGTTTGATTTCCTGGAGCAATACTTGAAGCGGCTCGAAGGCCCTCTGGCACTGCAAGTCTGGAATCGGTTCTTGCAGCTGGCCAAAGACTTGTTGGGTTCCCTGCGTGACTTCCGTCCACAAGCTTTTGCTGCGTTAAAGTGGGCACATAATACTGAGAACGAGAGCTTGGCTCATATTCCTGCGTAGATGTTTCACCGTGCTCGCTGACAAGGTCTCACAAACGACTGCGTTGGATGACAGGCGAATTAGAAAAGACATGCAGGTGCGCTCTTTGTTTCCTCTTTATGTGCGCACCTCTCACTCTCCGATAGGAGACGTACGGGAAACTACTAGACCTTTGTGTTCTCTCTGGTCGTTCACCTGAATCCGGCTCGTGGATCCGGAGAAGCCAACGAGAAGCTCTCAGCACGAACGGTCGGGATTCTCCGACGCCGACGTTGCGGGGTATGCATGATCCCTGCGCGTCCGACAGAGCACCCAATACTGACGTCAATCCAGTTGCAGAGAAGATGGAGGAAAAGAATACAAGTTCTGTATCTCTACCTCTTCCTGATGCCGGCAAGGCTACCTATGGCTCTGATGTCTCCCAGCAGGCAAGTAACCGTCCCCCAGTATCCACTCTTTGATGGCAAGCTTCATTTGCTTCATTTAGGTCAACTCCTACATCGCCTCCGACGCACTGCCGAACATGCGCAAGCTTCTCATAGACTCAGACAAGGTGTTAGCGGCATGCAACCAGATTGTCTACAACATCGTCACCCCCGCATTGAAAGGAAAGGCGAGGTACGTGACTGTCAAGACTTATTTGGTGTTGTCAATTCTGACGTGCTTGCAGGCCACTGGATATTGAAGACGACATCATCGCCATAATACGAGAGATGACGAAGATCAATATTGCTGTCAAAGCATGGCGCCCACCTGTCTTCGATTCGCTCAGCGATAACAGGTGCTTCAATTCAACCGCCGACGCTGGACAAGCATGGATGCCTATGATGAAGTCGTTCTTCGACACAGACAAAACTGCCTTGCCCGAGTTACTAGGTATGCGTCCACTTAACACAGCATGGAACACCAGCTGACTGCTTTTGTCAGGCAAAATCACAACCGTCTCTTCGGCCAATATTTTCACCAACCGCGAATATGAGATGCTCCTGCGATCATTGAACTTGCGGAGGTTGTCCTACGTGATTTTGTCGGCTGAGAAGAACCATTTCCTTGCGCAATTGCCCGCTATTCAGGAGAAACTCGTCGATACCCTCCGGAACGTTTCGGCACCAATTGTGCAGAGCGAGGTGTTCCTCTGCGTGCGCGTCCTGCTCTGCCGCCTCTCTCCACATAACTTGTCAAGCTTCTGGCCGGTAATCTTGGCGGAGCTGGCAAGTCTTCATCTATTTTCAGCCGTCAGCCGTCTCCTGACTCGCCTTCCAGTACCGCATCTATGACCAAATTATGCAGAGCATCCCCGGGGATGGGTCGGAGGAGCTCTCTGTGATTTTGTCCGCCTGCAAGCTGCTCGATCTACTTCTTGTCCTTCAAACAGAGGAGTTCCAGGTGTATGTCTCCATGCGAACGTCCTGGTTCCTCTGACTCATTCTCCCTCCAGGCATCAATGGATCTTCATCACCGACACCGTAGACGCCGTTCACCGACCAGAAGCATGGTTCCCAGAAGCGCTGCTGGACCGACTAGCAGAAGTTGTTGGCGCCTTGCCTGTCTCAGAGGTGCGCGCACATCCCCTCCCGGCCATTTGCCTCCCCCCTAACGCACTCGACTCTCAGGGTGGCTCGTCAGCTTCCGGCACTCACCTCCCAACCCCCGCCGGTCTACACACGCACATGCGCTGCCCCCTCCTCGCGTCTGTGCGGCAGATCGACAGTGTGCGCGACCTCGTGCCGTTCTTCTCGTCCGCGAGCATCGCGTCCTACGAGAGCGTCTACTACTCCTCTGGGGTCATCGACTGGCCGGCGGTCGAGCGCGGCCTCCTCGACGACCTCTTCGACGGGCGGTGATTGGTGCCGACCAGCCTCGTATATCACCTTGCTATCCATGCCGGACTTTTGCCACCACCGTATGACCAGGGGAGGGCACTGTGCGCTCGCAGCTTGCAGCCTGGGCATATCGGTTCACGTCTTCCAACACCTCGATACATCACTACTTATCACTCACCGTCGATCTATCATCTATAATATCGGCTCCTATGTCTGCCTCGATTTTGGATGTCGCCAGGACCCGGTCAATGGACATACTGGAGTAGTCGCAGACGGCCTATCACTCTGCATAGATTGTTGATCCCCACGGTGTTACGACTGTTCCAGGATCAGGGTGCACACATGGTGCACACGGCGATCGGCATCGGACAGTCCGAGAGTTACACAGCAGAGAACCGATGACATTCGAGTAGTGACATAGTTAATCAGAGCGATAAATACACCTTGACGGCACCGCCGCGCAGCGAGAGGGCGCGAGCCACAAGCTTCCATCCGACCCGACTCCGACCCCGACGCCGCCGCGGCACAACACTCCGTCGTCGAAGGTACTGCAAACCCCGACCTCCCGCCCAATGCCGGCGCTCACACCGGCCCTCCGACACGCATCGTTCAGAAGTCTCCCCAGGTCCGACGGAACTTGTACTGCATTTTTTCCTGCCGTCAGCGTCCGTCACCTCGTGTCCTGAGCGGAAGACGCGTAGCGCACGCCCCTCTGACGCCCTCCTACGCGCAGGAGGGCGGGCGGGGACGGAGCGCGGGGAGCGGGGGAAGGGGGTACGCACCTTGTACGGCATGTTCTTGCGCATCTTCTCCACGGGGGTCTTGGGCGGCTTGTACCCCGCGGTGCCCGCGCCCCACTCGCCCTGGTTGTCCGCCTCGGCCTTGACCTTCGCGTACCGCGCCGCGGGGTCCTCCGCGTCCGGGTCTGTCTTGCGCGTGTACGTGTACTTCTTGCCTGCCGCGTCTGCGGGGGGCGGGTTGAGCTGGTCGTTGAGCGGGTCCTGGACCATCAGGTGCGGGTCTTCGCCCGCGGCCGGGGGCGGAGGCGGGGCATCGTGCTCGTGCTCGTGCGGCTCGTGCTGGGCGATGACCTCCTCGACAGAGACGCCTTGGTACTTGGCTTCGCGCTCGGCCTCAATCTGCTCGATCTTCTCGTGGTGCGCGAAGTGTTCGAGGTCCTCGGGGTGGTTGTAAGACTCGTCGGTTTGTGTTCGGGCGTGGAGTGGAATTGTTCTGGAGGTTGAGGAAGGAAGGGCGTGAGGCACGGGTTGGGGAGATGCTTCAAGTGATGCACGGAGACATACCTTCGTGGTGAAGGAAGAACTCTGAAGTCACAGACAGAATGTTTGAGACAACAATAAGAAAAGATGGTACGCGTTCGACGTACCGCTCTCCACGTCATAGTGGTGGCCCTCCGCGCCGAGATCGTCAAAGTTAGGAAGCCCCTCCAGGCCGACCTTATCCAGCTCATCGAGAGTAATGACGCCGTCGCCGTTTTTATCCAGAAGCTTCAGCACAGCGCTCACGATGTGGTCTGCCTTCTGTTGGTGCTCGACGTCATCCTGGAGTGGGTAGGTTGAGCACGCGAGCATATGTTCAGGTAATTGCACGCACCTTAGACTTCTTCTGCGAGTAGACGTGGTGGACACCGTAGACGGCTTCAATCTCCTCCTTGTCCCACTTCCGTCACTGCACACAGAGCTTACATGAAGTCGCAGATTGGGATTAAGTGAGAACGCACCGGTTGAGATCGTGAAGCTGGAAGAAGCTGGGCAAGTCGAACGAATCACTACCAACCGTGATTAGCATTCTGACCCCACGCAGCCCAAAAGCGCGTGTTTTACATGTGGTGCTCCGTAGCCATCTAGAGGGACAATGGGTTAGCGCGTGTGTGTCCAAAGGTGGTATGTGAAACATACGTGTCGTTCCGCGTACTGCGCTATTGACTCTCCATCGTGAGGGGCGTCATGGCCATGGTCGCCGTGGGCAGAAACGGTGCGGAGATAAGCAAAGAGAGCAAGGCTGGCGAGGAGATGCATGGGAAGGGCGGGGGTGGTGATGGTCTCCGTCGAGGACAACCGTCCGCGGAGACGCTCGCGTGGCTGCTTCGCGCTCGCAAAGGCAGGACGCTCCCGCGCTGTCAAAGGACGTCGATACTACTCCGCCAAGTAGATACGTGCGTCATAGCAGTACGTGACTCTCGTCTCCCCTTGGCCTTGGGCATACCATGACCAGCGGTCGCTGCGGTTGTGCTCGATTGCCGCGTGCCCGCGCTTACGGTCATCGGCGACACCATGACAGCCAGTCCTCAACACCTCATGTCACAACCTGCAGAACGCGACGACTAGATCACATGGATGATGCGGTCCAAGTACCTCGTCTCAAAAAAGATGAGAGTGGTCGTGGATGGCTTGGTAACAGGGACAGAAACAGTCATTGACCGGTGGAGTCGGCAATCGGAGATCCTACACATAAGTAAGTGAGCGTTCGAGAACGTTCAGCATTTCTCCGCTCAACTTGCGCAATAGCACAAGCGATCGATCGGCGGCATATATGCAGCAGCCTGCAGCAGCTCGCCGTCCAGGCTGACTCTTTGCGCGGCGCATGCTGGCTCTATACGAGCGAGCACTAGTTCGGCACGTGCGAGCTTGAATGATATATCACTTCAAGCGTTAGATGTGTCCATCCGGTCGGAGACTGGCGAATCCGGTCGGAAAGCGGTTCCTTCAACGGTCTCGTATCAGATAAGTGATATGACGTTCAAACCGTGTCGAATTCCGCCCAGACGATGTCGGGCCCGGGTCAATGTCTCTGAATAGTTCTGTTGTGTCATTCTCCGTCTCAGCGGGACCGTTACCGCGCCCCGTTTGAACGCTCGAACGAGTTGATCCGGGAGTTGCGCGGGGCGACCGTGGTACTCGGCGTTCGGCCGCGGGGCTTGGTGCCGGTGACTCGAGTCGAGTCTCGGAGGAGAGAAGAGATCTGGCTGAGCAGAAACGCTGACGGCCCAGCATTCGTCGGCCCGGATTTCGACCTGCCCTTGAGTTTGTGACGAAGTGTGACATGGCCCGGAGGGATAGCAGAACCTGCTTGCTAATACAATTCGCACCACCCTTTGCGTAAGGACCGCTGACCATCTTCCATGCCTGAGCACTATATATCCAAGCTTTCCCCAGCCCCGGTTCCTCGTGCATTCTCGTTGGTTCGTGCGGGCTCAGTCTCCCCGCCCTTCCTCTCCTTCCGCTGGTCTCCCCTTTCCACCTTCGCGGGCTCCCCCTGAAGGCAATGGCTGACACCCCCGGAGACGATCGCACCCTCAGTGGAGACGCCACTCCTCTCCCCGACGCTCATCATGTCGACATTGCGCAGGCAGCAGAGCAGTTTACCCAGCTTCAGCGCGTCCTCTCCATTCGTTCCCAACAAGGCGAGAGCACTCGCTCCGGCCACGAGACCGAAAAGGACATTGAAAAAGGGGACAACGCCGAAACCGCCTTCGACCTTCGTGCTTATCTCACCTCGTCCAATGCAGAGGCCGAACGCGCTGGCCTCTCTCACAAGCACGTGGGTATCACCTGGGAAAACCTCATGGTGAAGGGTATTGGAGGCGAGGGCTTCAAGGTGAGTATTTGCTCCGAGGATCACCAGTCCTCTCCGTTAACCACCTCGCGCACATCTCAGATCTATATCAAGACCTTCGGTCGTAAGTACATGTTATCATATGCGCGCGCACCACCCCCTCACCCACGTACGCGTTGCAGAGGATGCTTTCAACTTCTGGCTTGCACCGTTCCGGTGGGCGCGGTCTCTCGCTGAAACGGCCGTTCCTGCCCTCAAACCCGAGATGCCTCTTTCTACTATCCTGAAGCGGTGAGTACACTCTGCCCTGCGCGTCGCACGGTGAAATCGATGCCAACATATCCCGACAGGCAATCTGGTCTGCTCAAGCCTGGCGAGATGTGCCTTGTTCTCGGCTGCCCAGGGTCGGGCTGCACTACCCTCCTCAAAGCGCTTGCGAATCAGCGCGACGACTACGCTCAGATCGAAGGCGACGTCCGCTATGCCGGCATCGACGCCGCGGCCATGGGCAAATACTTCAAGGGCGAGGTCGTCTATAACGAAGAGGATGATCTCCACATCTCCACCCTCACTGTCGCCCAGACCCTCGACTTCGCGCTCTCGCTCAAAACGCCTGGTCCAAATGGCCGACTGCCCGGCATGACGCGCAAGGAGTTCGATGGGTCCATCCGCGACATGCTCCTCCGCATGCTCAACATAACGCACACCTCCAACACCTACGTTGGCGACGAGTTCGTTCGTGGTGTCTCTGGTGGTGAGCGCAAGCGTGTCTCGATCGCGGAGATGATGGCCACCCGTGCGCACGTCCTGTGCTTCGACAACTCGACCCGTGGTCTCGACGCCAGTACTGCACTGGATTTCGTTAAGGCAATGAGGGTCATGACCGATATCCTTGGACAGACCACTTTCGCGACTCTGTAAGTCTCCCGCAACGTGGGCCAGAAAATGAGTTTCTAACTCGCATGCGCAGATACCAAGCCGGCGAGGGTATCTACGACCTCTTCGACAAGGTCCTCGTTCTCGACAAGGGCCGGCAAGTCTACTTCGGCCCTCCTTCTGAGGCTCGTGCCTACTTTGAAAGCCTCGGTTTCAAATCCCTCCCGCGTCAATCGACGCCTGACTACCTTACCGGTTGCACGGACCCCAACGAGCGACAGTTCGCCCCCGGCCGCTCCGAGGTCGACGTTCCCTGCACGCCGGATGCGCTTGAGGAGGCTTTCCGTAACTCACGCTTCGCAGGCGACATGCAGGCGGACCTGGAGAAGTACAAGATGAAGATGGAGACGGACCGGAGCGACCAAGAGGCGTTCCGCAACGCCGTGCTCGCAGACAAGAAGAAGGGTGTGTCGAAGAAGAGCCCGTACACACTCGGCTTCACTGGCCAGGTCAAGTCGCTCTTCCTCCGGCGGTTCCGCATGAAACTCCAGGACCGCTTCCAGCTCATCACTAGCTTCACGCTCTCGACCGCGCTCGCGCTGCTCATCGGTGCCGCTTACTACAACCTCCAGCTCACCTCCGCGGGCGCGTTCACGCGTGGGTCCGTCGTCTTCGCCGGCCTCCTGACCTGCGCGCTAGACACGTTCGGTGAGATGCCGTCGCAGATGCTCGGCCGGCCCATCCTCAAGAAGCAAGTCAACTACGCGCTATACCGCCCGGCGGCGGTCGCCATCGCGAACACGCTGTCAGACATCCCCTTCTCGGCCGTGCGGATCTTCATCTACAACATCATCATCTACTTCATGGCGAACCTGTCGCGGTCGGCGGGCGGCTTCTTCACGTATCACCTATTCATCTACATGGCTTTCCTCACTATGCAGGGCTTCTTCCGGACGTTCGGTATCATCTGCACCAACTTCGACTCCGCGTTCCGTCTGGCCACGTTCTTCATCCCGAACATGATCCAGTACGCCGGGTACATGATCCCTGTTTTCCAGATGAAGCGTTGGTTGTTCTGGATCTACTACATCAACCCGGTCGGTTATGCGTTCGTCGGTGCCTTCGAGAACGAGTTCTCGCGGATCAGCATGGTGTGCGACGGCAGCTCCATCGTCCCCCGGAATCTCCCAGGCGGCACCAAGTACCCCAACGGCCTCGGACCCAACCAGGTCTGCACGCTCTTTGGTGCCGAGCCCGGTAACGACATCGTCAGCGGCGCCGCGTACGTTCGCGAAGGCTACGGCCTCGACGTTAAGGACATCTGGCGGCGCAACTTCCTCGTCCTCCTCGGCTTCCTGATCCTCTTCCAGGTCACCCAGGTTGTTCTCATCGAGCTGTTCCCCAACTTCGGCGGCGGCGGGTCGGCCACTATCTACGTGGAGGAGACGGAGGAGACGCACAAGCTCAACGAGCGGTTGCGCGAAAGGAGGGAACAGAAGAATTCGAACCGTAAGGCGGCGCTTGGGAGGGGCGACGAAAAAGTGGACCTCGAGGCCGGCGATGTCGATGCTGATGGGTGAGTCTACGAGACCTTTGCTGTTGTCGACGTGCAATTGACTGTAATGTTACAGCAAGACAACCCAGTTCCACGGCCGACCCTTCACTTGGGAGAACATCAACTACCACGTCCCCGTCCCCGGCGGCACTCGTCGTCTGCTCCACGATGTTTTCGGCTACGTCAAGCCTGGCACTATGACCGCTCTCATGGGTGCCTCTGGCGCTGGCAAGACCACCTGTCTCGATGTCCTTGCGCAGCGCAAGAACCTGGGCGTTGTCTCAGGCACTCTGCTCCTCGATGGCAAGCCCCTCGACCTTGACTTCGCTCGCAACACCGCGTACGCCGAGCAGATGGACGTTCACGAGGGTTCCGCCACCATCCGTGAAGCCATGCGCTTCTCCGCTTACCTCCGCCAACCGGCCGACATCTCCAAGGAAGAGAAGGACAAGTATGTCGAGGAGATGATCGAGGTGCTCGAGCTTCAGGACCTCGCCGACGCCGTTATCTTCTCCCTCTCCGTCGAGGCTCGCAAGCGGCTCACCATCGGTGTCGAGCTCGCGTCCCGCCCCTCGCTGCTCTTCCTTGACGAGCCCACCTCCGGTCTCGACGGCCAATCTGCGTGGAACCTCGTCCGCTTCCTCCGCAAGCTCGCAGACAACGGCCAGGCCATCCTCTGCACGATCCACCAGCCCTCGTCGCTCCTCATCCAGACCTTCGACAAGCTCCTCCTGCTCGAGCGCGGCGGCGAGACCGTCTACTTCGGCGGCGTCGGGCCCGACTGCCGCACTCTCCGCGACTACTTCGCGCGCCACGGCGCCGTCTGCCCGCCGACCGTCAACCCTGCCGAATACATGCTGGACGCGATCGGCGCCGGGCTCGCGCCTCGGGTCGGCGACCGCGACTGGAAGGACCACTGGCTGGAGTCGGAGGAGCGCGCGGAGGCCGTCGCGGAGATCGAGCGCATCAAGCTGAGCACGGCGAACGACGGCGAGATCCCGAAGAAGGTGACGATGTACGCGACGCCGTTCTGGCACCAGCTCCGGTACGTCGTCGACCGGAACAACAAGAAGCTGTGGCGCTCGCCCGACTACGTGTTCAGCCGGCTGTTCGTGCACGCGTTCATCGCGCTCTGGATCTCGCTGTCGTTCCTCCAGCTCGGCACCGGCGTCCGTGACCTGCAGTACCGTGTGTTCGGAATGTGAGTTTTGTGAGTTTGTGTTTGTGTGGAGGGTGGGCTGACGCTTGCGGACCAGGTTCTGGATCACAATTCTTCCGGCCATCGTCATGGGTCAGCTCGAGCCTATGTGGATCCTGAACAGACGTATCTTCATTCGTGAAGCGTCCAGTCGCATCTACTCGCCGTACGTCTTCGCGCTCGGCCAGCTTATCGGCGAAGTCCCCTACTCGGTTCTTTGTGGTGTGGTCTACTGGGTGCTCATGGTAAGCGACCCATCCAAAATCCCTCGACTTGCTATCTCACACGTCCTGTAGGTCTTCCCCATGGGCTTCGGCCAGGGCAATGCTGGTGTCGGCGGCGAGTTCTTCGAGCTGCTCATCATCATCTTCATCGAGCTCTTTGGTGTGAGCCTCGGCCAGTTCATCGGTGCCGTCTCGCCGTCGATGCAGATCGCGCCGCTCTTCAACCCGTTCATCATGCTCATCCTCGGTACCTTCTGCGGCGTCACGATCCCCTACCCTACCCTGCCCACGTACTGGAGGTGGCTCTACGAGCTCACTCCGTACACTCGTGCCCTGAGTGCCATGCTCTCCACTGAGCTTCAGTGAGTGTTATCTCTATCGCCGAACCATCGACTTCTCACTAACGGGAAAACGTAGTGGTCTTGTCATCCGCTGCAAATCCGACGAGTTCATCCGCTTCGACCCTCCGTCGGGGCAGACGTGCTCCGACTGGGCGGGCGAATTCGTCAACAACTTCGGCGGGTACATCGACAACCTCAACGCCACCTCGCAGTGCCGCTACTGCCAGTACGCTGTTGGCGACCAGTTCTTCACGCCGCTCAACATCAGCTACAGCAACCGCTGGCGAGACGTGTGGATCCTCTTCTGCTTCTTCCTCTTCAACTTTGCGATCACGATCGGTGAGTTTTTTCGTTGAAGAGTTTTTGGATCGTGTCGCTCACAAATACCTGTGCAGTTGCCTCACGCTTCCTCCGCTACGCCAAGCGGTGATTTGACGTACTCGATGTCTTCATGCACACTCATTAGACTTTTTATCCTCGATCCAGAGGCTTTCCGGGCACATTCTACCTAGCACCTCATACTCCTCTCGCTCGCGCATCGCCCTATAGAAGCTATCGTTGCCTGTTACATTGTTTTCTAGTCCACACGCAACCTCTATCAGCATCTTTCCGGTCATGTAGCTTGTCATAATTCCCTCGGTAGCATCACACGATTTATATACAACCCTAATAGAGCATCTTCCGAAGCATTCGCGAGAGATTGTGTAGTGTGTTTTGGAAGTGGTGGAGGCTTCCGATGACAGGTGTACAATAATGATACAGTGTAGTATGTTTTGTAGCATTAGAGTCAGACATTAAGTGTATATGAATTTTTGAGAACCCAACATTGCCAATGTACGGATGGCAGATATCACTGTTTGGGTGCGCTGTTGAACTGAGAGAGGGGGTCAGTATACTGGTCACGAGTCTACCAGGACGAGGGCTTACAATGTCCCGCAGCTGGCCTTGCGCATCGTTGAACTGTTTTTCTAGATACTTGCTCTGCCGACCAGGACTGAGGAAAACGCAAAAGTCGAATAGGAATCCAGACGCACCTTCTTCTCGAGATTTTTGATATCGTCCGACAGGTCCTTCTCCTCGTCCTTGAGTTGCTGCTCCATAACCGGTCGCGGGACCATCATGAACCTATTTGATGAAGGCATCGTGTGAGATGTGCCAACGAGCAACCAACCAACACGAAGTGCATACATCTTGCCGACGCCCTTGTAGAGGTTGACGTCGCCTTGGATGCTGCCGATCTCCTCCTGGGTGAGCTGCACGATCCGCCGCTCGCGCTCTTTTGCGGTCATTTGCTGCTTCGTGATGTTCAGCGAACGCTGCGATTGGAGCGCAGTCTGCTGTATCTGGGCCAGGATCTGTATACGACAAGCAGGTGCGCGACGCGCGTGAGCAAGGCGAGGCGAACGGCGTGCGCGGGAGACGCACCCTGCGCAACGTGTCGTCGGAGAGGGTTGACATGGCTCTAAGTGTCTCGAGGAGCGGCCGGGGAGTGACAAATGTGCACGGGTAGATCTAGGACGAGTCTTGCTGGGATGAACGCCGCATGTCCAGAGATGAACGCGTCTAGCGCTAAGGTCGACGCGTTCGCTCTGACCGCGACTGTGGCTCCCCTGCAAAATCCCCATCTCGTCCCCCTTCCTCCCTGCCCCCCTGGTACGCGCCTCACGTCGGTCTGAGGACGCGCTAATCGCTCTGCTGTATTCTATTTTGCTTCTGCTGCCACCTCTGCCCCACTAGTTCACACCCACACGCCATTCTCCACCCCCTCGCTGTCTGACCGTTCCTTCTACTGGCAAAATGGCGTCCTTCGAAGATTACGACGAGTTTGGAAACTACATAGGCGCAGACCTCGACTCGGATGATGAAGACGAGGAGCTGCAACAGAACCAGTTCGCGCCTCAACAAGATGTCCGGCCTCTTGAGGGCTTCGACGAGGAGCCCGAGCAAAACGATGAAATGGCACTCATGGAGGTTGACGGTAAGCTCTGCATGCTACTCTCCCAGTGTCCGTCTTCTAAGACTGTACCTCTAGAGCCCGTTCATAATGCTGTGGTTTTGCATGAAGACAAGAAGTATTATCCCTCCGCGTCCGAGGTTTACGGGGAAGACGTCGAGACCCTCGTCCAAGAGGAGGACGCGCAACCGCTGTCCGAGCCCATCGTCGCCCCCATCAAAGTGCGCAGATGGACGGTGGAGGAGAAGGACATGCCGGAAACGCGGTTCGACAAGGGGTGCGTCTGCCTGGCTCGGCGGTTTCCTAACGCTTTTTGATAGAACCTTGGCAGGTTTTTGCTGAACATGATGGCGTTCCCCGAGTTCATCCGCAACGTTGCTGTCGTCGGTCACTTGCACCACGGAAAAACGGCGCTGATGGATATGCTTGCTTTCGAGACGCACAAGTTGACGTGGGATTCAGATAACCAGGTGTGTTTTCTTCTTGTGAGTGTTTTGACTGTTGTTTGAATCAAGGAATATAGACACGGTACACCGACACCCACGTTCTCTCGCGCGAGCGCGGGATTTCCATCAAGTCCAGTCCCATGTCTCTCATCCTCCAGAATAGCGCGGGCAAATCCCACCTGGTTCATCTCATCGACACTCCCGGACATGTCAACTTCGTGGACGAAGTAGCCAGTGCCATTCGCTTGGTCGACGGTGTCGTCCTTGTCGTCGACGTAGTCGAAGGGGTGATGTGCAACACGGAAGCCGTCATCCGGCATGCACTCCAAGAAAGTGTCAAAATCACTCTTGTCGTGAACAAGATCGATCGACTAATCCTTGAGCTGCGCATCAAGCCTGCCGACGCGTACTACAAAATCCGGCACACCATTGAGGAGATCAACAGCTTCATCCAGTGAGTGTTTCTGGCTCGCTCAGCATACTCAGAAACTAAGTTGTCTACAGCGGCATTGACCCGGACCCAGAGCTGCGCCTCAGCCCCGAGAAGGGAAACGTTGCGTTTGCGAGCACGGACATGCACTGGTGTTTCACCCTGCGGTCGTTTGCGCAGATGTACGCGGACAGTTACGGTGCGTTGCGAGCACTCGAGAGCAGACTTCACTTTCTCATTGACGTTGAATGTGTGTAGGCGACCTCGACGTGGGGGGCTTCGCCGACCGTCTTTGGGGCGACATCTGGACGGATGGTCACAAGTTCACTCGCAAGCAACCTGATACAGAAGCGAATCGCAGTTTCGTGCATTTCATCCTTGAGCCGTTGTACAAGCTCTACAGCCAGGTGCTCAGCGAGGAGACGGACCCACTTAAGGAGACCTTGGCCGGCCTTGGTATTGAGCTGAAGCCTGTCATGTACAAGATGGACGTGCGGCCACTGTTGAAGGTCGTCTTGGACCAATTTTTCGGCCCTTCCGTGGGTTTGGTCGACATTATCTCAGAACATATTCCATCACCTGCAGAGGCTACCCGGTCAAAGGTATGCGTCTCTGTAGTGGTATGAAGTTGTGAATCTCACTACAGTTACCAGGTCGAAAACACCTATCTTGGCCCTTTGTCATCTGAGCTTGTCCACACAATGCAGGAGTGCAACCCTGAAGGTCCAGTTATGGTGCAAGTTGCGAAGCTATACCATACAACCGATGCACAGTCTTTCCGTGCGTATGGGCGTGTAATCAGCGGCACCGTCCGCAAGGGCATGGACGTCAAGGTCCTCGGCGAGGGATACTCTCCAGAAGACGAAGAAGATATGGCGAAAGCGACAGTTGATGATCTTTGGATCGCAGAAGCGCGGTAAGTGGAGAGTCTGTACGTGGCTGCTTGTTTGCTGATCAAACTTCGCCAAGGTATTTCATTCCTGCCGAAGAGGTACCTGCAGGAAACCTCGTCCTCCTTGGTGGTGTCGACGCGTCGATATCTAAGACGGCCACTATCGTGTCAATGAATATCGAAGACGACCTGCACATCTTCAGACCAATCAAGCACATGACACAGTCGGTTCTCAAGATCGCTATCGAGCCCATAGCGCCGTCAGAGTTGCCGAAGATGCTGTCTGGTCTTCGAAGCATCAACAAGTCTTACCCTCTCGTTGCGACCAAGGTCGAAGAGAGTGGTGAGCATGTTCTCATCGGCACAGGCGAGCTGTACCTCGACTGTGTTATGCACGACCTGAGGAAACTCTTCTCGGAGATCGAGATCAAGGTGTCGGACCCGATCACCAAATTCTGCGAGACTGTTCTCGAGATGAGTGCGCTGAAATGCTACGCCGACACGCCGAACAAGAAGTACGTGGCATAATGTATAAAAATACCTCCGCAGCTGATCGTGCTCCAGGAACCGCCTCACGATGATCGCTGAGCCTCTCGAGCGCGGTATCGCGGAGGACATCGAGACCGGGCGGGTGAACATGCGCATGACACCGAAGGAGCGCGGCAAGTTCTTCGAGGATAAATACCAGTGGGACCTTCTCGCGTCGCGGTCAATATGGGCGTTCGGGCCTGACGACAGTGGACCTAACATCCTCCTGGACGACATTCTGCCTTCACAGATCGACAAAAAGCTCCTGACCACTGTGAAGGACCATATCAAGCAGGGCTTCCAGTGGGGTACTCGTGAAGGCCCACTATGTGACGAACGTAAGTCCTACATGGATGTGTTCTTTCTGGCGCTGGAGTTCACGGTCGTCTAGCTATGCGCAACGTGAAGTTCCGGATAATAGATGCGAGTCTTGCGCAGGAGCCAATCTATCGAGGGGGCGGACAGATTGTGCCTACTGCTCGGCGCGTTTGCTACTCGTCATTCCTCATGGTAAGCACTTTCGACGCTTCCCCATATCGTACCTTGTTTAGAAAGGATATAGGCTACTCCTCGATTGATGGAGCCGATATACGCGGTGGAGGTACAAGCCCCTGCAGACTGTATCTCCGCGGTGTACACCGTTCTCGCACGACGTCGCGGTCACGTCATTCAAGATGTGCCAAAGGCTGGTTCGCCTCTCTACACCCTCAAGGCTGTAATCCCTGTTATCGATGCGAACGGGTTTGAGACCGACCTGCGAACTGCGACGCAAGGCCAGGCATACTGTCTGCAGACGTTCAGCCATTGGCAGACCGTACCTGGTGAGTGGTTTTCTGCCTTGACGCGGAAAACTCGGTGAGCTGAGAGGTCACGCCCGGCGCAGGTGATCCCACGGACACGAGTATCAAGCTCCGGCCACTAGAGCCGGCGTCCGGGAACGCCCTCGCACGAGACCTGGTACTGAAGACGAGAAGGCGAAAGGGTCTGGGAGACCAGATAGCCGTGTCAAAATACCTGGACGACGAGTTCATCGTACGTGGCACCTTCCCGGACAGGCGCGCGCGCGCTGACGATGACATCATACACAGCTCGCGTTGTCGGCGTCGGACTATACTGAACTGCTGGGGTAGGGTAGCGTCATGTTGTATTGTTTCTGTAGAGGTGCTATGGAATATGCTTTCGGTCTCAGCCGATCCCCGTGGTGGGAGGCCGTGCGCGGGGACGGGAGCGGGGATGGCGGCGTGAGAGAGGCGTCGAACGCTCTGGAAAGCAGGCGGGCGCCTGTGACTAGGGCTACGTGGCATGTGTGACCGGGAAATAGCCGAGAGGCCGTTAAGAGAGGGCGTCTGTGGCTATTGCCAGCACGCAACTCACCTCGCTCTCTCTCTCTCTCTGTCTCCCGTTTCTTTTGCCTCCTTGTCTTTCCCCGTCCTGGTCCTTCGTACACAATGCGAAGCGTAGCGCTTTCTGCCATCCTCGCCGTCGCGGCCACCACCGTCTCTGCGAGCGACGAGATCTCCTTCAAGGTGCGCGCATCCCCGCATCCGCAACTTGTCTGCATATACTCACCTCGCGCGCGTGTAGTCTACCTCCATCAAGGCCCCCTTCCTTGAACAGTTCACCGACGACTGGTCAGAACGTTGGACGCCTTCCGAGGCGACCAAGAAGACTCCCGTTGGCACCGAGACCTTCAGCTATGTCGGCAAGTGGGAAGTTGAGGAGCCCCTGGAGCCCCTCATCTCGGGTGACAAGGGCCTCGTCGCTAAGACCAAGGCTGCCCACCATGCCATCTCCGCCCCCTTCGCTTCTCCCATTAAGTTCGGCGAGAAGCCCGTTGTCGTCCAGTACGAGGTCAAGTACCAGAAGGGCGGCAACTGCGGTGGTGGATACATCAAGCTCCTCGAGAACGGCTTCCAGACCGCGGGCAAGGAGTTCGACGACAAGACTCCTTGGACCGTCATGTTCGGCCCTGACTTGACCTGCCCGGGCACGAAGGTGAGCCCAGAACCTCGCTTCTAGTCTCGCGCAGTGCTCGCATCTCGATCGCGCGTGAGGTCTGGTGGTGTGACGCGTGTGCTCACGTGCCTCGTGCGCCTCCAGATCCACTTCATCTTCCGCCACAAGAACCCCATCAACGGCGAGTTCGAGGAGAAGCACCTCAAGCTTCCGCCCAAGCCCAGCTTCGGCAAGGCAACCAACCTCTACACGCTCCACGTCTTCCCCAACAGCACCTACGATGTGCTCTTTAACGGCGAAAGCTACAACCTCGGTGACATGCTCGAGGATTTCACTCCAGCTGTCAACCCCCCTGCGGAGATTGACGACGCCGAGGACACGAAGCCTGAGGACTGGGTTGACACCAAGCGGATCGCTGACCCCGAGGCAGTGAAGGTCAGTGACTGTTTCGCATTGTCGCTCGATTGGTTCTGACCGTGCTTGTAGCCTGAGGACTGGGACGAGGACGCTCCCTATGAAATCCCCGACGAGGAGGCTGTTAAGCCGGAGGGTTGGCTCGACGATGAGCCCGAGTTCGTGCCCGACCCTGGTCAGTCTGTTCAGATGAAGTGCACAGTACTGGGACTAACTGGACTTGGGTAGACGCCGAGAAACCTGAGGAGTGGGATGACGAGGAGGATGGTGACTGGATCGCGCCCACTGTCCGCAACCCCAAATGCGACGACGCCCCAGGATGCGGCGAGTGGACACGCCCATACAAGGCGAACCCCGCCTACCGTGGCAAGTGGTACGCCCCCATGATCGACAACCCCGAGTACAAGGGCGAATGGGCTCCCCGGAAGGTCCCCAACCCTGCGTTCTTCGAGGACAAGACTCCCGTGAAGAGCCTCGTCCCCATCGGTGGCGTCGGCATCGAGCTTTGGACGATGTCCGAGGACATCCTCTTCGACAACCTCTACGTCGGTCATTCCATCGAGGACGCCCGCAAGCTCGCGGAGGAGACCTACTTTGTCAAGAAGGCGATGGAGGATGCGGCACTTGAGAAGGACAAGGTTGAGGATGAAGACGAGGAGGCCGTTGTTGACTTCAAGTCCGACCCGGTCGAGTTCATCCGCTCCAAGGTGTTCAAGTTCATCGATCTCGCCAAGGTTGACCCTGTCCTCGCGTTCAAGACCCACCCTGAGACTGGCGCCGGTCTTGCGCTTGCTGGTCTCACCCTGTTCGGTATGCTCGGCGTCCTCCTCGGCTTTGCCGGCTCGCAGCAGGCTCCCATCACGCAGTCCACCAAGAAGACCGACGCACCAACGGCCGACGACAAGAAGAAGACGGAGACCGCGCCCGTCGCACCTGCAGGAGGTGAGAAGAAGGACACGACTGTAAAGAAGCGGAAGTAAAATAGGACGTCCACCCTTGGGCGTGCATCGCGTCGTCTACTACTAGCTACCTACTACCTCACTGTGCTTTTGGAAAGGCATCGCATCTTTAATTATGGGCTTCAGAGGAAGCTTTTCAGTGTGCGAATGACGGGTGTATTATAAAACGTGACTGCGAATACTTGGAGTGGCAAACAGGTGTTGACACAAGTGTGCGCCAAAGTCTAGCAAGTAAGACACGAGAAATTGAAATACGATGGGTTGCAATGCTGTAAGAGGATGGATGAGTCGCAGAAAACAGCCAAGCGGATACAATTCATTGATATCATGGTCGTATGGGTAGGACTAGGCCCAGAAGGGAAACGAGCATAAACCAAGTCGGCGGAGAGTGCGCGGGGAGCTCCTCGATGAGTGGCCAGGGCCACCTTTGCCCGAGACCAAAGCAACAAACTCGCTAGCAGCAGAGACAATGTCATATCCTGAATCACCGCCTCTGGAAAAGGGCTCGTGCTGTTATAAGCGGAACGTCGAGCGACTCCAAAATAGAAAGTCACTGGCGTGCGCCCGTCAGCCAGCGTCTGCTGACTCATTGAGCCTGGCCAGCCGCCGAGTTCAGTTTGGCGCTCGTCAATCTCAACCTCGCCCCGACGTCGACGTCGACGTCTAGCAGTCCTCTCACTCACTCACCATGGCTGAGAACAAGGTACGTCTATGCCACTCTTCTCGTCCGGTCTCGGTGGCTGCTAAATGCCTTCCAGTCAGCCTTCTCCTTGTTTTCTACCTTGACCCTCACTGGGGGTCGCATACCCAAACCCATCACCCTTTCCAGAGCAGAGTCGTTCCCTGCCTGTCGGTTCAATCACACGCGTGGGAAGTTCCAGAACCGGTTGGGGGGATGGAAGGCCGCCGACGTACCAAAGCACTGTGGCCACCTCACTCTCAAGCTCGGAGAACGTCTTGGGAGCGGTCGATCTGGCTGGGTGTACGAGGTAGAGGCCGTTTCCATTCACCCACCTCAGGGACGTACCGCACCTCCTATCCTGCACGCTAAGTCTGCGCTCTGCATCAAGATAGCTCGACCGAACCGATGCCGAACGCTCGCTCGGGAGGCATGGGTGTACGAACGTCTCCCCGAACCGGATTGGCAAGGTGTCATAACCCCGCGAGTCTATGGTTTCTTCACGACCACTCTGCCCCCAAATCCTGCTGCGCATCCGCCGTGGTATCGACACCACTATCATGGATCTTCTCTAGAGTCCGATGATCCCACCCGCGACGAACAGACTTCGCCTGTGCCATCCGATGACGATCCCACCCGCGACGACGATCTTCCGGACGATGAACCCAAGGAGAGTTACGGTGAACCAGGGCCGGGCGCCCGAGAGCTTTCCGAGTGGCTTGACTGGCATCCAAACCCCGATGCGCCGCTGCTTTCTGTCCTGCTCATGTCGCGAGGAGGACCGGCCTACTCCGTCGCGGATGACGATCATGACACCAAGACCCTGTAAGTACAGCACCGTCATTCATGCTGCTATCGACTCTGACCTTCCATGTAGACACGACATTGCCATGATTCTGGAAGATTTGTCCTTTAGCGCTATTTTGCACGAGGACATCCGGCCGCCCAACCTCCTACGCGCGCCTGCAGACACACAAGAGTGTCCACGTCATAAGTGCATTCACCGGTGGAATCTGGTCGATTTCCCTTGGTCGGTAGTAGATGAGTTTGATGACGAGAAGGGGAATGATGAGAAACAGACATTCCTCAAAGGCGGACTGTGGACCTTTTATCGGTCTCATCACTTCTACACGGGTGAATGGTACTGAGCAGAGCTAATGTCGGTAGAACATGCTGTTACCCCCTGCGGGAATGGGGCTGGGGCTGACGTCTGAGCCCATCTCGTGGTTTGTAGTCGATAGTTTCCAGATATCATGACACGGTCTGTCCCTTTCCGTCCCCCACTCTGCGTCCCGAGCGTGGAAGCACCCATGCATGTCGTGTCTTCGTCTCCAACTCCGCCCCTCAAGACAGACCAGCATGTCTAGCAGATACGGTACCAGGTGCGACGATGATGGTCAGGACGCCAGGTTCAGCACAGGAAGTGTTTCTTCTCACCTTCCCCTCGCGTACCATATACATTCAGCCACAGCTGCCGCGTTCTAGTGTCACAGGTCGTCGACTTCGCTCGTCCACGGCCTTTTGAGAAATGGTACAGCGGCGGGCGCGCTCCCGTCATACCTGACCGTACGCCCGGCGCTCAGTCGAAGGTGTGTCGCGTGCGAGCTGACCCACTATGGAGAGCTGGGCGCGAACAGTGTTCGCGTCCGGTATGTCTGCTATTGTCTCTTGTGCTTATGTAAGCACCCATCGTGCGAGTGGGCGTGCTGGCTGTCGGCCCAGACTGAGAGTGAGCGGTGGACAGACGCAGTCGTACGGCGACGCTTATTGGACGTTGTGAACTTGCAGTATGGAAGCTGTTGGGTGGTGTCCAAGCTGACCAGCGCGAGCGGCTGGAGGAAGAGACGAGCAAGGACGCAACGGCAAAGCTGGGCATTGGGTGGAGTCTCAAGATCTCAAGTGCGCTGTGCGAGTCGCCGGAACCATGACCTCATTGGATCAAAATCCGAATTGTCCTATTCCCCTCCCAATAGTATTGAACGTGTTCGTGTTCGTCGATGAGCAGAATGCGATCCACGTCTCCTCATTCGGAACAGGCGAAGCCAGGAGAGGGGGAGGGATTAAGCTAAGTACATGGGTGGGACACGGTCACGATATCAAGCCACGAGATACAAATGAGCGCGCGCAGCGCGATGCGAGAACTAAACGCAAAACAGACATTGCCCATGTATAGTGTGGGCTGCCCGCAGCCCACAGGAATTACAGTTCCTCTTCCACTTCAGGCCCCTGGAAAAAGTCAACAATAGTGCTGAGCTTGTGCGGATTGGCAGACTTACCAGCGGGATCCCGACGCAGGAGTGCAATGAAGTCGTCCTCTGCGGGAATGGGAGGCATATTTTCCTGCATCTGGATAAGCTCCTCTCCGGGGGCCAGGATGTCAAGCAGCTGTATGCCCGGCCACCGCCCAGCCTTCATGTCCAAGGCAAGAAAGGTGAAGCCTTGCAGACAGACCAGTGCCTGCGGATGAGTGTAGAGCATCGGCCAGGAGAAAACGAGACCGCTTTGACCACCCCTGGATCCATCATGATAACAATAAAATATAATGATATCCATGTTGGTAATGAAGCCCAAGGAGGATGGGTGAGCAGTCACCTGCTCAAAGCACTGCAGATAGATTATCGAAGTCAGGACTTGGGATTGGATGGATGTTTCGAAGCTAGGATGAGCTCACCATCTCGATGGCTGATGATATGCTTGGATAAATGCGACTCCGTGAGTAGCAAGACGAATCCCGGTCGATGAAGCACAATTTCGGGTTCGTGAAGAGGAGCCAAAATGCATATGAGGGATAGGACCAGGGTGGACGAACATCACAATGGGCAGCAATTGTGTTCTCATCGTTGGGAGACAGGTATAGTGCGTAGTCAGCTCTGCCAGCGCCGTTTCTGGTTTCTCCCTGGAGTGAGGCGGGAGGATCCCTCTTCCAGCATGGAAAGAAGACGGTCTTCTGTGCCACCTCAAAATCCAAAGGTCGGCCATCAACGCGTTCATAGAAATTCCGCGCTGGCATTCTAGCAGCGGCCTTTGCACTAGTGTCCTGGGTAGCAACACGCTTTATATCAGAGGGTTGTGGTAGATTTTGCACCGTGTTCGTATTGACCTCCCGGGTCTGCATCGCATTGAGATTATGACGAGAAGCAGGAGAAATGTGAAGCTTACCTTGATGACATCGTTGATGATTGGAAAGATCTGCTGTCCGACTGCTTCAAACATAGACTCCGCCGATTCTAGAACAGGAGGGTAATCTTCACGGAGGGAGCACTCCTTTCTATACATCCCTTGGATAGCAGCTTGGATTTGTTCGTTTAGCACCTGCGCCGTGGGGACATCGGTGCAACGGAAGCGTCAGGGAAACCCCAAACTCCTAATTAGGACTATTTAGCACTAATTAGACCAATAGTCAGGAATAGTTGATTAGGTCTATTTAGAAGTCCCAAAAACTAATCTAGTCAAATAGACAGGGATAGTCATAGGTGTAGGCAAGCATTAGTTCATACATCTAGACATAGTAGGGCAGCTCAGAAATAGTTCAGATTAGTGGACCAATATCAGGGACAGTCACACAGATAGAGAGGTAATGAGAACGAAATTTATTGGCAATGACGACTAGATTACACAAAGTATTGTACAAGACAACCAGCTATTTACAGAGGTCAGTGCGCACACGGGGAAGGCAGACGAGGCGGGCGAGGGGTAGACGGGCAGGATGGGAACAACGTGGGTGACGCGTGAATGGCACATGCAAGGTAGACATGCGGCCAACATGGGAACGACGTGGGCGACTGGGCAGCCGACAGGACATGGACGTGGGCGAGGTGGGTGGGCGAAGAGGACGGGGGCGAAGAGGACGGGGCGTGGCGAAGTGGGTGAGGCGGGCAAGGTAGACGAATGACGTCGGGGACTTGGGTGACGTGAGCGAGGCAGACGACGTGGGCGAGGTAAGAACGACACGGGCAAGCGTCGCACGCCGCGTTCCTCCAGTCCCTCGGCGCGACGCACATCATCGACCACGCACTCCCCATCCCCGAGCTCCTCGCCGCGGTCTTCGCCGCCGCGTCGAGCGCGCCGATGTTCTTCGCGTACGACGCGACCGGACGGAGAACACGCAGCGGCTCGCATACGCCACGCTCGGCGACCACGGCGGCTTCGTCTCGGTGATGCCGCGCGCGGGCCCCGAGGTCCTCGCGCCAGTGCAAAGGGAGGGCGACGGGAAGCCCGTCGTGCGGCCGTTCGCGAGCTTCCAGATGCTGCCGAACCAGGTACTGGGCGTCGGGGTGGACAAGCGGCTGACGGGGTGGCTCGCAGATGGGACAGCGAAGCCGAACCGGGGTGAGTGGACGAGAAGTCAGCACGTGGAAGTGGAAAGATAGAACGGCGGAGGGACGCACAGCAGGTGGGCCAGGAGCTAGGGACAATAGAGCTGGCCGCCGGAGTAGGAGGAGCACGCGGACGACGGAGTACGCGCCAGGTGTCAAGCACTGCGAGCAGCTGCCCGCGCTTACGTCGGAGTAAAAGCCGGAGCAGCTGTGAGCACACACGCAGAGCACGGTCCATCGAAAAGAACGTACCAATATCAGCAGGCGGACGCACCCTCCAATGAGGACTGCCCCGCGGGGCAGTCCTCGCACCGAGTCGTGCCGTCGCCTGGCTGGGATTACAGGTGGGTGTATCAACAACGCAGGAGCCCGAGTCGTAGTGGGCAAGCGGGCGATATACGAGACGGCGACAACGGCCGCAGAGCACGGCCGCACCGGTGAAACGAGCTTCATTGGGACGTGCTCGTGGTGGGGACAGGGTTCGTGGTGCGGCCAGGGCCTGGCAAGGTGGTGGGCAAAATGGGGAGCGCAAGAGGGCAGAACGAGGGACTCACTAAGACAGCTCGTCGCGGCAGGCGAGGGGCGTGTTCGCGTGCTCCTCGAAGATGTTGCACCAGGACGAAAAGACGCGGAGGACAGGGAGGACGAGGAGGATGGGGAGGACGGGAGGACGGGGAGGACAGAGAGGACGGTGCCAGCACAGACACGCTAGCAGGCGCTGCCTCTGGAGGCGTGGGAATTGTCGCGTGCACTCCCGCGCTTGACACTGCCAGCAGCGTCCTCGTCGTCCCCTTGACGTTGCCCTCGACCCCTCCGCGACTCCCGTACGAGCCGCCCCGACGCCAACCCTCGCCCCGTCTTCTCCAATGCCGCGTACCGAGCCCAACTGCAGGGAGCACGACGTGCGCTGACCCCTCTGCTCGAACTGCCCACGTCGCCACGTCGCCCACCTGCTCTCACCCCTGCCTTGTCCGTCTCGCCTGCCTGGCCCGTCTCACGCCCCTTGTCCGTCTCGCCTGTGTCGCCCACCTCGCTCGCGTTGCCCCGGATCTCGTCCGTCTTGCACCGTCTTGCACCCGCCTCGCTTGCGTCACCGATCTTGCCCATGCCACTCACGTCTGTCGCCACCTCCGCAACACCTACATCTTACCCACTTCTTGCCCCTCTGAGCCTACGTCTCGCACCTCGACCGTGTCCCCTGCGTTGACCGCGCGACTGCATCCCCTGCGTCACCCACCTCACCCGCTTCGCCCGTGTCGCTCGCCTTGCCCGTTTTGTGCATCTGGCCCATCTTGCCCACCTCGCCGGTCTTGCCCTCGCCCGCGTCGCCCACACCCCGCCGTGTTGCCCCCTCGCCCTCGCCTGCCTTACTCACATCGCGCCTGCCGCCTCGCGCTTACCTGCGTCAGTCTGGCCCGAGTCGCCGCTTCGTCTGTCAATCCTGCCTCTCGCTCGTTGTCCATCTCGCTCGTTGCTCGTCCTGCTCTCCTTGCCCGTCCCATCCCCTCGCCCATCTCGCCCGCGTCGCACTGCCGTCTCGCGTCATCTATTTCACCCACTTCGTCCTCGTCGCCTGCGTCTCACCCCTGCGTCGACATGTCGCCCACGTCTCGCTCCTGTGTGACTGCGCGACCCGCCTCGTCCGCCCACGTTGCCTGCGTCCACGTCGCCCTCGCCCCCACCCACGTCGTGTCCGTGCCGCCCACCTCGTCTGTGTCGCCTCCCTTGCCCGCCTCTTCCATCTCGCGCCCACATCCACGACTCGCCTCGCCCGCGTCTGCATCATCCATGACGCTTACCTCACCAACCTCGCTCTTGCCTGTGTCACCCGTCTCGCCTGATTGGATGTGTTCAGTGTCTTTGTTTGTAGTCTACTGTGTACCTTGTAGTGTAATGAACACAAATAGATTTGCTTCTCCTTCACGTTTGTGTGATCTATTGATTGTATTAGTAGTTCTATAGACCTCCAAAAATGCAGTAGTTAGTCACTGGTTAGACCCTGTGCTAGGTGTGTGTATTCTGACTAGACAGCGGTGTCCAGTGATAGGTGAAGTAATAGTTGCAGATAGATATATTATATGAGAAGCTCAAGCACTAGTATCCCTTTAGTACGTGTTAGAAGGGTCAAAACTCAGTAGTCCCATTAGTGAAGCGATAGCACTAATATTATACTTGATAGTACTAATTAGGATTTTGGGGTTTTCCTGATGAGGGCTGGTCTTCAACGCCTGGAACGGAGTGCCTTGGTGTGACATAGCTGGCCAAGCGGTGTGTTATCTTTGTACCGAGGTATAGCATACGCAGCTCCTGGGGGACTCCTCCCTTCGGCCTAGAGTGACTCGCCGCCTGAGTGGAAACGGTCGCCCGTGCGGAGGGCTTCAGGTTCAGCTCAGAGCCCATGGCAATGAGGAAGGGGGGAGATCTGTCCACGCGTTCTTGGGCCGCCATGGTCAACGAGAGTGTGAGGGGAGGGAGCGAAGGATGAGTACTTGAGTGTTGATCAGCGTCAGGCCATCGATGTCCAGTCGGGAAGCCTGGGCGTGAGAATGGGCCAAAAACGACAGAGCCATCGGCACGCGCCGACCGCGTATGTTCAGGAAGCTTAGGGCTCCAGTATCGTTTGTTACCAGTAGGTAGTTTTCTCCTCGCTCCACGTCAGGTTGCGACGATTAATGTCAAACTAAGTGTATACCATCTCGCACCTTGAATGCCTGTACCACCTCTCCGCTGCTCCCACCCAAAGTCACATAAGGTTACAACTAAACCCGAGCCCACACTCTCCCTTCAGATCCTTCGGACGTTGGCGAGGATCTCCAACAGGCGTAGAGCGCAATTATATGGTCATAATTGACAATTCCGTCGGGACGCTGGCCTCTGGCGTGTGGGTGGACTCGAATGCCTTTATTCCCGCCACCGACGGAAATCGCCCGTTGTTCCTACAATTAAAACATATCCACGTCTTCCAAAACACCATCTACGATGCGCTCCTTACATGCGAGGGCTATAACCACGGCAGCATTCTCTCTAGAAATATAAACTGGCTGCGAATACAACTGCATCGACGAAAGTGGTAAGCGTAAGACAGCGACCAGGAGACCCAGAAACGTACTATCCCGCTTGATCTTGATTTGTGCTTCCTCCATCTTCTTGAATAGCTCTGCATCGCCGATGACCCGAGCCGCGTCTCGCACTTCCCTGCAGGTCTCGTCCAGACGGGTGATTACCCGTACGATTGTGCCCTCCGCGACGTCCGTAAGCTCCGTGATCTGCTCGAACGGCTGCGATCGGACTTCTCAGAACTCGAAGCTCGACACCGACACGAGCACCGACAACGCACCATGCCCTTCGCCCACTCGTACACGACCTCGACCAGCCCGGGCTTGAGCTGCCGGAACTCCTCTCCGGGTACCTTGTGACGGTCTTGCACCCGCTCCACGCGCTCCGCGATCGCGGTGATCGCCGCAAGCCCGTCTTGCAGCTTGGGCGGGACGACAGGCTCGACGTCGGTCTTCTCCTGAAAGAGGAAGCAGGAGAGGAGGGCGACGACTTCCTCGGGCTCATACGCTGCGAACGTGTTCTCGAGGATGAGCTCGGTGAGCACGAGCTCGTTCGCGGAGTTGATCTGTGGAGGGGGAGCTCGGTCACCGGGGCGTCAAGAGGGGGGGAGAAAGAGGGGAAGTTACTTCGCACGCGACACGGCCCTTGAGGAGCACGGTCGAGTTGTCGTCGATGAACTTGAGCTCCTGGAGGACCTCGATGCGCTGCTCATAGTCCGGGATGAGCTCGAGGTTCTGGTCCGACATCGCGGCCTTGAGGTCGGCGATGTTCGCCTCGAGCGACTTGCGTGCGTGCGTGGCAGCATACTGGGTGTGGAAAATGAAATCAGTCGCTGCGGACCTGGCGGTGGTGTTGAATATCCACGAGAACTCACATGCGCTTCAAAGTCCGGGCACGACGTGCAGGTGAACCGCGGGAGCGTGCGGGCGAGCGTATCTCGGCGGGTCAGCGCTTCCTGGAAATCGAGTTTCTTCGTCCTGCCCCAGTGGACCTCCGGGATGGTCTCGGCACGTGCCCACTTCTTGACCACATCGTCAAGCTCACGAACGCCAGCTTCCAGCCGCGCGACGCTCATGCGGTCGAGGTTTTTGCCCAAATCAAGTTTCTGGCGGAGATATCAGCTGCGTTCATTGCACATACAAGGCCCACACGAGCGCGCAAACGCTGACCTCCATGACGTGGTCCGCAATGAGACAAATGCTGCTAAGAGGAACAATGGTCACATAGTAAGTTGGTTTGTCTGTCAGCAGTGATTCAGGGGTGATCGGCCAGTGTGGAGGGGCGAGTTCCAAGTCTGCCAATTAATGACTGTCAGCAGACTGTCTAGTGCAACCTCGTTTACGACTGACCTTTCCCGGGCTGCCCCGTCTTGTTGATTGCCTTCTTCCACTCACTCTCCACGAGGACGAGGACGGTGTACATCTTGACATTCTGTCCGCCCATGGTGGCGTCCGCCACCTTGAGATAAATCGCTGCGTTGCCCTTGAGCAACTGGGGTGGGGGGTTAAGGCACAGGTGAGAAAACATGGCGGTGAAAACCCACCCCGTCCCGCAGGATTACGACGCGTTTGGGTGACATGAATCGTCCGCCATGTTGAACGGCGTACTCCAGCAAGCGGTCATTGTGTTCCACGATGTCGAAGGACGTGTCGTAATAGTGCTCGATATCGGCCGTGCAAACATCGCACTCAAGGCGCGTCATCGCCGCTAGTTTCTTCTCGTGCTAAAGACCCCACATGCGAGTTTCAGAAGCACTGCTATAGGAAGAAATGCATTCTACGTACCTCAATGACCTTTTTCTGGTTCTCGGGCAGCATACGCTGCGACGCGTTCTCAGAAAAACTCCGCTTGATCATCTCTTCGACACGTAGAGCCTCGACGCGCAGGAGGTTCAGGATCATATTGTACGTCAGGCGGAACTGAGACTGGAGCTTGTTCGGAACTCCCAGGATCATAGTATCGAGAACGCCTTGCTACGAGAGATGACACAGCGTAAGCGAGACAGCACAAGGAAAAGGGCAAATAGTGCGGACGTACTTCAGGACACCCGTCGCTAGCAACGATAATTACCGTTCCAGTGGAATCAAGACCGCGACGACCGGCACGGCCCGCCATTTGGGTGTACTCTCCTGGGAGGATCTCGCGGAAGCTGCGGCCATCGTGTTTCCGGATATGTGAGAAGACGACGGACTTGGCGGGCATGTTCACGCCCATGGCGAACGTCTCGGTCGCGAAAAGGACTTTGATCAGTCCACGAGCGAAGAGGATCTCCACGACCTACTACATGTGAGTATATGCGGTCGATATTACATGGTGAACACACCTCTTTGACGATAGGGAGGAGACCGCCATGGTGAACACCAATCCCTCGCAGGAGCAGCTCCCGCATGCGTCTGATCTGCGGCAGCTGCTTGTCGGAACCTGCACTCTTACTATTAGCCTAAACTGCACGCTAGACATGGACGGCGGTGCGCACCTTTGAGCCGCGACAGCGCCTTTGCAATCGCTACGTGGATTTCGCTCTTCTCAGACGCGGTGCTCAGGTCCTTGTTCGTCAGCGTCCCCGCATTCTCCTCGCACCGCTTCTTCGAGAAAGTGAAAATGACGACGGGGAGCAGCGTCTTCTTCTTCAGCAAGTCCAGCAAATTCGGGTACAGGTTCTTGTCGGGCTGGTGGAAGCTGCGGCCCCCACCACCGCCCCGCGGGCCCGAGCCCCCGCGAGCCGGAGCCCCCCGTGCGGGCTGCCCTCCTCGCCCGCCGCCCGCACCTCTGCCCCCACGGCCACCTCCGCGCTGCGGGGCGGCCCCGCGCGCGCCCACCCGTTGTACGGGTGGGAGGCCCTGTGCCTCGCGCTCCTTGTCCTGCTTCCGGCGGAGCGCCTCGCCGGCGGCTTTGTATCTACTCGCCGGAAACGGGGTCAGCGAACACGGACTGCAGTCTCCGGCGATTCGCACCGCGGTCGCGGAGATTGCTGGGCGACTAACCCTTCCGTGATAAATTTGCGATCTGCGTCGACGATCTTGTGCAGGTCGCGGTTGGCGTAGAGGAAGTGCTCTAGCGGGACGGGGCGCTTCGCGGTGGAAATCACGTAGATATCCTTTTTCTTCGTGCGGCTATGCGGTAGCGTTAGTATGTTCCGTTCGGTAGAAAAGAAGTGATATTGAATGACATACCCGACCCAGTCCGCGAACTCCTTGCAGTTGGGGACGGTGGCGGAAAGCAAGATGATGTTGACGTGGTCCGGTAACATGATAATGACTTCCTCCCACACCACACCTCGCTAGACTCAGAAATGTGAGCATCGAAGAGTGTCTGAAACGGAGCGACAAGAAGGCGATTGACAGATTGCGGTCCCAGCGCTCACCTCAGCGTCGTTCACATAGTGGACTTCATCAAAGATCACGAATTCTACGTCGCGGATGAGGTCCGCGCCCTTGTACAGCATGCTGCGGAGAATCTCAGTGGTCATAATGAGGCAGTTTCCCTCTGGATTGATCTGGACGTCTCCTGTAAGGATGCCCACAGAGGCAGCGCTGAAGGTTTGTTTGAAGTCGCGGTATTTTTGGTTTGATAGTGCTTTGATAGGGGAAGTGTAGATGGCCCTGTCAATAGCCGCAGGGGAAAATTGAGTGAATTGAACAGTGACGAACGGAAGAAGGGTCCTCAGGCACCTGGTCATGTGTTTTCCCGCGAGAGCAATAGCATATTCAGCCACCACGGTCTTTCCGGCTGACGTGTGGGCTGCAATGAAAACAGAGTCGCCCATCTCAAGGTGGTACACTGCCTCTTTCTGAAACGTGTCGAGCTCAAACGGATACTAGGAAACCACCATGAGCTTCAGTTGGAATGACACCTGAGTGTATGCTTTACGCACTTCGTGTGCCATCTCTGGCACAAGCTCGTGGAAGTTTGTCATCGGCTTGTTGATGTCAACTTCATGGGCCCAATCTCGCTTCTGAACGTTGGCGCGGCGCAGCTGTCTGCGTGTTGTTCGTACGGGATTTAACTGGCTCCTCTGCAGAAACGAGAAAATATTAGATACGAACGCTTCAAATGACAAGATGCCTTACACTTGTGGGAAGCAGCTCATCGATCTCGGATGTGCCTGGTCCGAAACCAATATTTCCTTCCGCGTCTTCGTCTATTGGCTCGTAAGCACGTGCACTCTGTAGCATTATCAAGATAAATCGGAGCACGTATCCAAAAAGAGCGCACCAGATCCTGCTCTTCAGGCGCTCTGGCGCGGGACGCAAAGCTGAGACCGAGGAAATCAGGATCTGCCTCATCTGCGACTTCACCGGGTAGTCGAAGACCACGCGACAAACCCGGTGCGCGGGTGCGCAACTGCGACGAGCCTTCGACGAAGTCCAGCTCCTCAACTGGTTTCCTGAGAACATCGAGACCGCCCGGTAGGAAGGGGATATAGCTGGACTTCCCCCTAACGAAACTGCGGCTGGGCGCGGGCGCTCGGTCGAGAGCAGTAGACGTCAAGCCGGTGGCTACGCGAGGGTTGGCAACCTAGGTGACGAGGTTAATCTCGATGCACAGCACGCGTTATCGTGTCGCTGACCTCAGTGTAGTCAGTTACACGGCCTTGGAGCCCGGTTCGAACGAAGGCTAGAGAGGTAGGCGGAGGCGATGGCTCGAATTTGAGCAGCGAGGGGATGGACAGCTTTGTTTCCCAGTGTCTGGCAGGTCTGTGAGCACGAATAGAAAATATTAGGGCACACTTACAGCTGGTATTTCGGCAGCCAATGATCGGGGAGACGAGGCCGTGGAAGGAGCAGGTTCCGCTCAATCTGGTCGTGAACCTGCTCCTTGGTTGGAAGATTGGCGAGCCTCAGATGAGCGAGCAGCTCGTCGGCGTCGCTCCCGGACGGGATGCAGATCTTGTGAATCAGTTTTGGTTCAATCATCGTTTCGAGTGCTCCACTGCGCGATTCGGCGGCGTGAGCAAACGCGGATGTGGGCGGAGACCGACAGAGGACGACTGCGGGCGCTTGAAGCTCGGAAGTATTGACGCGCGCGTCTGCCAGACACGTGGGAGGCTGTAGCCTATGGTGCCCCACAGTAGCGCCAACACTGCATATACCCTCATCAGCAAAACGGGGGATTTGAAGACAATGCGTTGCAGTGCGTGATCAACGGCCGTGTTGCATGGTAAGTAATCACAAGACATATCACGTATTACAGGGTGGTAGCCGTAGACGGCCATCGGTCGTCTGGCATGGCAATCTACCGCCTGCTAGACGCCGGTTGGTCGGACAATTGTCTTCTCCCGCCGCGCATTGTAATACATGAGGGAGCCGATGGCAATACACGAGGGAGACAATGGCAATACCTGGCTGCACGCATTGTAGTTGTCCGACCATACCCAAGGGGCAACATGGTAATCTGATGCAATGATTTTAGACGGTTGTCATAGGCTGCCATGTAAGATCGCATTTTGTAGCACATGCAGTGGACGATTGAGACGTGCAGTAACTATTTAAACGAAGCTATCAAATCACGACATATATAATCGAATACTACTGGAGATATAACGTTGCGGAAACGCGGAAAAATCCCTCATTTTGAAGATACATCTGTAAGACGAGACACGATGAGCCAGTGTTGCCGTGGAGGCAAGCACATAGTACAGCACACACCATTCAATCCCCGAGCTCCTCGCCCGACCCATCTCCGGAAGGCTCCTCAATGTCGCAGATCCGATCGCCCATGATCGGGGGATGGTCTGCACGCCCCTCGTGCCCATTCCCAAAAAACTCCCTGACGTATAAGTCAGTTGAGGTCTCGACGAGCAGTGAGCCCACGCGTGACGCAACAAAGCAAAACTCACTTGATCCATCGACGCCACAGATTCACGGTCTAGTCGGGCTTCTCCCGTGTGCGTTGGAGTGAACGGGCCCTTGACATACTCGTTAACATCCCAGTCCCCATCGGCGCAGCTCCAGCTGGGCTCGGAAGCGAACCTGATGGATTATGTGTCAGAAGACGCCACACGAAGTGGCGGAGGAGCTCACCAGCGTGGCTGCAGCGATGACGGAGTACAGCGTGAGGCTGTCAGCGTCCTGTTGGTCATCTCCACGACAGACTTCTGGTCCGGCTACTTCCGAGTGAGCAACCTGCCGGCATCGCTGTGGATGCAACATTGAACATGAGGTTTGAACGAGTTGGTTGTGAACCAGTGCGCACCTGATCACATTCTCTAAACTGCCCGCCCGATGTGTGGTGGTACTCGTGTTCTGAGTCGGTGTTGCGCACGCAGTCTGTGAGAGGTGGGGAAAGTCATGAGGTATGAGGGAATAGGAAGCGGGATGTAGTGATCGCACCATGAGTGTGCCTCTTACATACCCGACTCTGAGGAGAGTGGCACTGGGAGTCTGATGATGGCGGTTGTGGTGAGCGTTCAGTAGACGCGCAGCGCGTGCCCACGCCCGCGACTTATTGTCTGCGCGGGCGCCAAACACGCCTGATCTCGAGTACGACGAACAAGACGGCGACCGCGTGCTTCTCCACCACCCCCCGCCATCTCTCTACTTTTAACACTACCCCAACGACTTAAGGAATCTGTGCCTGCCTGGCGTGAGACGGCGCTTCTGGGCGCGTTGTTCGGAATCAGCAGAGCGCGCTGCGTGCAGCCTCCGACAGTGTCCTCGGGGCAGCTCAACCGGTGTTCCTCCCATTCCAGACGACATGACTTGTTGCGTCGCCTCCTGGTGTGTATTTGCAGAGGGTCGGGATGTAACTCGGTGCAATCATCTCCCACGCACCGGGGCATTGTACGCGCAATTGCCAGGTAAGCTGTTTTATCTGCAACGGGCGTTCTTGGATTTGTAGTCCCCCCTTCCGCTTCTCCCCCCGCCTGGCTACCACCGTTCGAGCTTCGCCCTGAGACTTGGGCTGAGGATCCGTGCGGTTGTTTGCGTGCCGTGCGGCCGCGCGCGGTGCGTCTCGTACCATGATGGGCTACAGCTGCACCTCGACCCGTCTGCGCGCCGGCCCGGCCACTCCACCAACACACTCGCCCCCCACCTCTCCCAGGGACAGATCCCCCTTCCTCTAGCTTGCTCCTCCCCGCATTCCGTAGTACTCCATTGACGCTTCTAGGTATTTCCGAGTTGCCCCGCATTTCCCGCTTTGCCCCGTTCCCGCTCCGTCTGTCTCAGGTATACGATATCTCAGCCTATAGCTACTCGGTACGTTCAAGTTCCTGCCACCCACCACCTACACCTGTCTCGCTACCATCTCTCGTGACCACGAGGCCGCTGCGGCCTCTACCTTACACACTCTTGTCCTCCTCTCGGCGTTCGTTTAGACCATTCTAGTGCCTCATTACCTCCGAACCAGTATGCCTGTCCTCCGTCTGTGCGGACCTCGTTAACGCGGTTGGTACGCCTCGTACTCACTGTTCATGTATTTAGTCTAGTAATATCCGCGCTCCGTATCTACAGTTCCCACCCCCTCTCCAGCCTCAGTGTGTCACGCGCGTGTTACTCAGTTAGTCCGCCGTACATCTGCCGCCGCCGCCCTCCACACGTCAGCCAAGTCTCGCCGTCTTCCATCTACTGTAGCCTCCGCATCGCCTCTGTCTCGTCCCGCCGCCTCTCGCACCTTCTCAGCCTTCATCCGACATCGATTCCTCCCGCTCCAGCACCTCCTTCGCCTTCAACCTCCACGCGTGCGCTCCGTTCTCCGCATCAGGCCGACTCCCTGTAGTGCAAGCTCGACGGCTTCGCACGCGATTCCTCACTCCCCTAAGTTTGCGTGCCTCCCGGGTTCGCGAGCAGTGTACACTACATATGCCCACATGTATTCCCATCCCACCATACATTACCATGCATGTCAAGCCCTCGCCTTACAGGCGTTGGTTTATCTTCTATGTACCATGCTCTGCAAGCAATAGTAAAACATACAATTGATTGCCATGTATTACCATCAGCCGTCTAGCAGACAAAAGACGGCATGTCCTTATCAGGAAGCGCCAAGCGCGGTCAGACGCCGCGATGTGTGACAAGAAGATACGCCCTTTGCTGATGCTGTCTCCGTACATGAACTCGCCGTGAGTGCCCAGCCTCTCGTAGAGTGTCGAGCCTGCGCTGTGCTGGTATTGATGTGCTGTGAGAGGCGCGTCGGCCATTGCACAGCGCAGGGACACAGAACCGCACCCGCAGCGCATCTGTCCGATTTGCGCGCACTCCCGTGCTAGCCTGTGATGCCCTGGGGTATATTGTCCACAAAGACTGACCAATCCCGTCTTCAGACTCTGCGGTATGGAACCCCGGCATCATCCCCTCACCACATGCACTTCCTTCCGAGGACGGAAGGACCACCGCCCGGACTCTGTCACCCGACCTGGATCCAGTACAGCTCCTGATCGAAGCGACACCAGACTGCGAGCTCAAGTATAACACGCATTGTCTCCACAGCCCACGTAGAGCTGCTCCCTCTTCCCACCACTGCTCCGTCATTCGCGCCGATGAGTGACTGGACTGTCAACATCGACGACTCGAGCTCCGTCATCAACTACTCTCCTTACGGTATGTCATGTGCGCCACGTTTAGCATCCCCAGCTCATTTGGCACAGGGATGGCGGTCTGGGAGTTCACTTCAGCACAGGCTGGCAGGCGTGGTACTCCGCATTCCCGGGAGGAGCTCCCCAACACGGGCAGTCTCCGGCTGGACAATCAGAGCACATAACAGCACTGCCCGGTGCTTCTTTCGACTTCAAATTTTATGGTACGCCTGTCCCGCCCACCGAAGCGGTTCTCCTTTCATGCTCGGCTCCAGGAACGACCGTCGTTCTTTACGGCTCTGCCAATTGCTCGTACACTGTCGCCGTAGACGGGGATTCACGCTCGTTGGATCCTTCACAGGGACCAGAGCTGTTCCATTCCGGCACCATGTCCCAGCAAACCCATACCGTCACCGTCACTGTCGGCGATGCTTCGAGTTCGAGCATGTTCGCTTTCGACGGTGCAAACATCACCCGTTCGCACCTGGACCAAGACGGGTATGTGTCACCGACCCCGCATGTTTTCCTGCGCAAACTGATTCTTCCCAAGCCCTGATGGCCCCGAGACAACCGTGATCCAGAACACAAACACTACTTTTCTGAATTACGTTGGGCCGTGGACCTTGGAAAACACCGACGGAACGATCAACATTCCAAGCATAGCGCATCCGGCGCCTTATCACAAAGTAGTAAATGGGACCCCAAGTATGTCGTTCTCTTTCCGAGGAACCGGTCTTGCGATCAATGGCACACGGAACGACGGAGCATGGAAATTTGCTGTGGTATGTTATGCCTGTCCAGATCGCTTGCGTCATCTCACAAACGGGACTCCAGAGTGTAGATGGCACCAGCTCCACCTTCAACAGCAGCACAGAGTGGTTTATACCCGACGCACTTTTGTACTACCAAGACGGACTCGATGCGCAACAAGTCCACAACGTCACCCTAACTCCTGTTGTCGGCAACGGCTTCCAGTTCTGGCTAAACACCGTCACCCTCTTCAACGTCCAAAATGCCTCGTCTACCAACCCCAGCAACACCTCCAGCCCCGGAAGCAACCCGGGGGGCCCCGATAACAGCGGCAGCGACACCTCCAAGTCCCACACCGGCACCATCGTCGGCGCTGTGGTGGGGAGTGTCGCAGGTCTCGCGCTCGTCGCCGCGCTTCTCTTTTTCTGGCTCCGCGGGCACCGCGCTCGGACCGAGCGCGCGCAGAAAGGCCACTGGATGACGCCCTTCCCCGCGACCACCTCGTCCCCACCCCCACCTGCGATGTCCGCGGCGCCCGACGGCGCCCCCTCCACCCCCCTAACGGCGACGACGGCGCGCGTGCCGTATACAGGCGGGCGGCCGTCGAAGCTCGCCGCGGAGCAGGCGTACGCCGCGAACCCGCGGCCGAGCGCGGCCACTGCGCCTGGAACCTCGCCGGCCTCGCCCGGTGCGCCGTCAGCCTCAGGGTCGCAGCCCTCCGGGAGCGCGTACAGCGCGTCGGGGTCGCAGGTGGGGAACCCATCGCAAGCGCGGCACGTGCGCGAGCATTCGAGCCAAGGCGCGCAGTCCGAGCCGAGCACGGCGGCGGTGGAGCGGCTCGTGGAGGTGATCATAAACCGCATCGAACGCACGGAGCAGAACCGGTCCGTCAGCCGGCACGGGAGTCGGTCCAACCTCGGTGGGGGCGAGCTGGGGAGCGACGTCCACCCCGACTTCCCACCGCCGGAGTACTCTGCGTGATGGTTGCGGAACGTCGATGATGGTAGATTGTTGCTTGCTTATACATTTGTTGTCTGACTAAGCTAGCCCTTCGCATACTGTAACACCCATTCTGTTTTCTTTCGTTCCCTTCTTCTCATTTGTAGCTTCATAATGAAAGCTCCCACATTGCCTCGACAGCCCAGAGAGCGATTATAGTCGATTTCGGCTATTCATCAATTTGTGCACTCACCGGTTAAGCGCCAATGTCCTCAATTCGACCACTACCGCCTCAAGTTCTAGCCTAGTCACTTCGTCGACAGTAACGACAGCCATGCCACCCACACCACGAATTCTTCCACCGGAGCTGATGTTGCCCATCTTGGAGCTAGCATGTATCGATGGAGGATACACAGGCTCGTCACTTGCCCTCACATCCCATGAAATGCGCGAACTATCCAGACCATCCCGCTTCCACTCCGTCCAGCTCTCGCTCACCTTCTCGCGCACCAAACTCGCGCTGCTCCTCCGCGCCTTCGAAGCACAACTCGCCTACTCCGCGGCAACCGGGAGCCCCGCCCCTCGGATCCGCCACCTGCACGTCGCCGCGGCCTGCGCAAACCCCAGCCGGCCCTCCTCCAACGAGGTGCGAGACTACAAAGAGCAACTGGAAGCGCTCTTCACCCTCGCCGCCCCGCACCTGCACACGCTGTCGCTCGCCGGCGCCCCCGCCGCCGTGGGTAGCCTCCGCGCCTGGCCGCTCCCCGCCGCGCTCGGGACGACGACCGCGTTCCCGCACCTCCGCGAGCTCACCGTCGTCGGCGAGACCAAGCTCTCCTTCACGCCGCGGATCACCAGGCGGGACGACGCGCCCGCCGCCGCCGATGCTGAGTTCGCGCCCCTCCCCCGCCTCACGCACCTCCACGTCCCGGGTTACAACGGCACGGCGGACCTGGCGGCCTGGGCGCGGCGCGCGCCGGGGGTGACGCACCTGCGCGTGTCCGAGGTAGACAGGAGCGCGTCGTACGCGCTGTGCCCGGCCATGTGCGCGATGCTCGGTGCTGGTGAGTATCCCAGGGGTGGGGGTAGGGTGCGCCGGCGCTGACGCTGTCGCAGGGCCCAGCTCTTTTGCGGACTGGAGGCGGAACGCGGGCGCGGCGCCCGTGTTCGCCCACCTGCGCGCGTTCCTCCTGCAGCCGAGCGCGAGGGGGATCGGGTGGCTCCGCGGGCCCGGGTGTGGGTTCGGGTCGGACTCCATGGGCATAGAGCGCGAGTTCGGGGAGGAGCTGCAAGATATGCACGCGAGGGCCTCCCGCTCTTGGTGTTTGGTTCCATCCCGGCCGTACTCGAGGGGACCCAACGGCCAAGAATATATCCTCGACGAAGTGTTACGTGCTTGGAGGGAGCGGCTGGAGGGTGGACCCGGGTTCTGGAAGACTGAGACGTCGTGGTGGTCCCGGGGTGAGGAGGGCCGGGTGGCATGATCGTGAGTGTGTTGACATTATATGTTGTTCTCGACTGCTCTGATATGTACGGTGAAATGTTGTATCCGCTCGCACTTTCATAGGCGCGCGAACCGTACAGGCGCTGGAAGCCATCGCTCTCTACGCCCGGACATCATCCCTTACCATAGTCGGGTCTGTAGGTTCTGTGCCGAGGGGCGGGTGGAAACAGAGCGCCATCTCTTACTGAGATGTGCGAATGAGGGTCTGGCGGAGAGAAGGGAGGCTATTTTGGAGGAGGTGCAGAGTGCGTACCCGGGTATCCATCACCTGTGGACAATTGCGACGTCCTGGGAGGGCGACATGCGCTTCTTGGCGGCCTGGATCAAAGATCCTGACGCGGTAGCACTGCTGGCCGACTTGACTAGGCACACTTTCCTGCTCTGTGATGACCCATCAGTATCCTAGTAGTATAGTAAGACATCACGCCTTTCTCTCTTTACATGTGCTCGTGCGGCCACCCGTCGGACGGCGGGACACCCACAGCATGAGTTCGGGCGCCGGCGCGCGACTGGGCTTGTCTAAGTGGGGTTCCGGGGTATCTCCCTCTAGGGGAGACGCTGAACCGCTCTCTCTCTCTCTCTCTCTCTCTCTCTCTACCATGCTATGTGCCGATCTTGAACTAGCTCGTTTGCGCGGAGTGGTATATCAATATCAACGAAATTCCTCGACGCACTGGGATGTAGATCGGCCTTACTGGGAGCTGGGCTCATTCCGCATACAGGGGAGATAGGAAATAACGCAGTCCACGCAGCACAAAGGATCAATACGACATGGTCGCATTCTCACCACTTCGTACGTCATCATCGACAATGGTCAAGTGCAAGTGATTCCATTCTAGAGACATACTTAGCTGTACAGGACCTGTACAACCCCCCGTTTCGCTAGACTCCCGCCCCTGTTCGCCTCTGCTTCGCCGTGCTTCTAAGATATCTTCGCGGGAAACCCGGAGGCCAGCAGCGCGCGTGTGTTTATATATCATACCCCTGCATGGCGTCTGCCGCGACTCGTGAGCTCGGTTTGCCTCTCGCTCTCGAGCTACTTCACAATCCCCGAGCTCCGCCGCCGCCACCAACCCGCTCGTCTCATGTCCCCGCTTTGCGCAGAAACGCAGTTTCCCGGACGTTCTTCCGCCCCGTACCGAACTTCCGCTGATTCCATGACCAACGTTCTCTCGGCCACCGTTGTATCCCCGAGGGTCGCCGCCGGGGCCAGGAGCAGCGCGTCTGGCAACCGGTTTCACCAGACCCAACGCCCTCCAGCCTGCTGCGTACCAAGTGCCCGCTTGAAAGGCTCGACCGTCCCGCCAGGTGCTGCAGGCTTTATCCGGTCAGGCCCGAGCGGAACATCCACACCAGGCCGCGGCCGAGCGTATGTCTTGGAGATCTGCTTGGAGACCCGTCGGGAGAATCCTCCGAGCCTGTCGCCGCCCCGGCGTGCGCGGCCGCCTTGTGGCGACCTCGAGCACGCTCCAGCAGGGCGGATTCTTACCTCCGCCGGTGGCGCCGCCGCCGCCCACGGCGTTTCTGCGTTTAAATGAAGCGGCAGGGCCCAAGCTGCCTCAGGAGGCGCCGATCCCGGCCACTCGACTTGATTTGCTCCCGGCGCTCTGCGCTCTGCGCGTGCGACCCCCCGCGATCGGGGCCACGCCGACCGCCAGCCTCCAGGCCGCCTGCACGGTGCACCCCAACTTCCAAGTAGTGACAGGCCTCGTCCTCGTCGCGTGCGCGAGCGGCGGATCCGTCCATACCCCGACTGCAGGGGGCTCCGGAGTCCAGACGGCGCACGGGTGGGGTCTCCGCTCGCCCCGGGGTTACCGGTTACCGCCGGGCGCTCCACCAATCAGACGTTTTCTCTCTGCTTTGCGCTTGATTTGGCGCGCGGGGTGGCCGGTGGTCCCTGTCGATGAACGGCGTTTTGGCGTCGCGGAGGGGACATGCCACTCTCTAGACTCTGGGCCCAAGGCTGGTGTGCACCTGGGCACAAAAGGGCCGGACGTACGCCGAGGGCCACCACGTTCACGACGCGCGGCGTGCCCCGTCGGCGAACACCAGCTCCCTCCATCAACCGGCCGCCAGGGCTGCGCTCAATGACGTTGAGACCCAGGGTCTGCGTGGGTGAGTGGCTCGATCGTCAATTCGCCGTCGCCAAGCCGACTGCAGAGACACGGTGTCGTGCAAGTCAGGTGCTTCAACGCGACCTTATGCCCGACCGCCCTGCGTAACGCGAGTACTGGTGGTTTGCGGACCCGAAACGCACTAGAACTACAGAGCCTTTCGACGACCCGTTCAGCGACCGTTGCGTGCGCAAGGTTCACTGCAGATCAACAACAACAACACAAGTTCGCCGAGAGGCCAGAGCGGGCCACCGCACGTGTGCGTCTGTACGCATACATCCACTCATCCAGACGACGTTCGCAGATCGCGAGATGGCGCCGTGCCCTAGCCTGATTACGCACCGCTAGGTTAAGCAGCCACGCTAGCCCGTACCTGACCCCGGGGTGCAGGGTTGGATGGTCGCGGTCGCTGATCGGGCTTCGAGCGCGACAGGCGGCGCCCGCGAGTGGACGACCATCGGCGGCGGAAGCACGCCTCGGAGCGTGTATCATTTACATAGCATCAACGACGACAGCGACAGCGGGCACAGAAAGCATGCGTGTACGTAATTATAGTCTACACAGGGCGCGGATGAATGGGAGTATGAGCGTGAGCGAAGTACATGAGTGCGAGCGGGAAGAAGATTAGGCGCGGCCGCGTCGGCGGCGGCGGGGGTCTGTACCGTATGCTATATTGAGATGAGAGCAGGCCCTCCCGGTAGCGAAAGGGGAGTGAGAGGGGGTGAAGGGGGGGCCGGAGCTACTGCGCTTTCCGTCGGGCGTACACATTCTGAACGCGGATGTAGGTGTGTGCCTTGGCCTCGAGGAGCTCACGCTCGGCGTCGGCCTCGATCTCAGCAACGAGATCGGGGTTCAGGTCGCTGCTGAGAAGCAGCGGCCGACCGGACTTCAAGAACGCCTGAGCACAACAGCGGCGGCCGTGTCAGCGTGAACTCTAGATAGGTGCGAGAAGGAGAGCGCACCAGTATGTCGTCACGCATCATAGCGCCCGTGCGATTATGGCGGAGAGCTTCGGGGGTTGTGCCCCTCGCCCAGGGACATGTGGGGAACCAGAATTCGCGGTAGACGACGTCCTCGAGAGACGGGTGGGCCGTGATCCAGCGCTGGAGGTGGTTGGCGGCGTCAGGCTCGCCACCGCGCTGTTCGACGGCGACGTTGACAAGGTTCATCCAGCGGGCGAGCGCGGCAGGCTCCTTTGGGCCGCCGTGGGCGGGGAGGATGGGGCGGTGTTTGGAGTCGTATACGCGGAAGTCGAACTCGATGAGGTGGATGAGGCCGCGCGGTCTGAGCGTCTGCGTCATTTCGTCGATCAGGCCGTTGTAGTCGCGGATCTGAGATTGCCGTAAGCGAGCGGCCAAATGCGGACGGCCGGAGATGCGAGGAGCAGATCCGCCTGCCGCTTCTCAGGCGGGATCGGACCCGCCCCGAGCAGAGTACGTACCCCGGACGAGACGAGCCGCGCGTGGGCGACGTCAAAGGAGTCGTAGAAGTGCTGCAGGCCGAGGTTGATGTCGTCCACCTCGCTCCTGCCAAGCAGTCAGTCACCGGGCGCGGCCGCCGGGCACGAGGACGCGGCCCACCTGCAATTGGGAGGCATGTTGCTGCAGAAGCGGCCGCCACCATCAGCGACGGCAGAGGACGAGCCTCGGTCCGCACTCACACGTTTTGCATGGGAACAAGGTCGACTGCGACCGCGCTGCAGTGTGGGAAGTCCTTTGCGACGTCCAGGATCCTGCCGGGTCGGGCAGGTTAGGCACCAGTCCAAGACCGAGGAGATATCACGCACCAACTCCCACTTCCACAACCCAGATCCACCACTGCCTTCGGTCTCCCATCGTCTGCTAGCACCTCCGGTAATGGTTGGGCATACCTGCCCATGACCTCCGAGAACATGACGTGCTGCAGGTCTGCGCACGGGGAGCGAATCGTAAGCAGCAGTGGGCGCCGGGAGTGAGAGAAGCACGGACCGAGACGCTCGAACTCTTCATCATCGGCGGGGAGACGGTAGACGTCCGAGTAGTTGTTGATACCGCGGCCGTACTCGTGGCGATATGATGCGGCACGAAGGAGCTTGTTACGGAGTACATGGAGGGGGCGGGGGACGCGGACCGCATTTCCCAGTCATGAGATGTGGCCGTGGTAGAGACGGATCGAGCACCGTTCATGCAAGAGGACGCGACAGAGCAGGAGTCGTCGTCCATCGAAAAGTCGTCATCGTCGTATTCGGTGGAGTGGCGGGACATGTGGGATGGATGGCGTGCATGAACGCAGAGTGGCGGGGCAGACGGACGGGGGAAGGCTGGTCGGTGAGCATCGCAGGGTCGGGTTTTATAGAGCAGGATTGCGGCGGAGGACATGGACAAGAACCGAACTCCGCGTCACTCGGGTTCGCACGTGCGGCCTCCCGCACGCCGGATCTGCATCTCCGTTCCCCGATGGGTGGCGCCCGGCCGGCCGCGGACGGCGAGCCGCGTGCGGTCCCCTGGCTGCCCCATCCTGCCCGCCACCGCCTCGGCGTCGGCCCAGCCAGCGCCGAATGCAGCGCGCCTTCCGCCTCCCGCCTCCGCCCAACCGACGCGGGAGACGCAGTGGGCGGCGCCTCCTTTGATCCCGGTCCGCGCTCTCGCCCGAACTAGCAGGCCGCTCACTGCGGTCTTGCCTCCTGTCACGCTCCCGGTCCCAAGTTGGCCCACCCCTCTCTCTCTCGCCGGTGCTCCGCTCACCCTCCATCGCTCTAGCTACCGTTGACCCGCTGCGCGCGCACATCCGCTCACCACCCACTCCCGCTGCCCACGCACAGCCGCCACTCTCGTATTCCACCGTTCCTGCGTCTGTCGGCGGAACTCGGACATGTGCCCGCCTCGTGTGCTCCACACCACCTCCTAGCACGCTCCCCGGCCAGCACAGAAGTACCCGCGTCACCACCAACCCACCGATGCGGAACGCGCCAGTGTCTGTGAATTTCCAACAGACGCCCTTGTGCTGGTCACAACATGCTCGTCTCCAGCATCCAGCTGTTCCCCTCGCCCGACAACCAATTGACAGAATGACCTTATCACTTTCCTATAATCCAATCGCCGAGGTATCTTCGCGACAGCCCCCTCTAGACAAGAAGTCCCGATGCCCGTCTCTCCTCCCCCTCTTCTCGAACCTCCACCGACGTTCCTGGCACCTGCGCTCATAACCATTCTCTCATCCCGCTGCGCCCTGTTTCCTCCGCTCGCACGCCCCCACCAGCAGCCCTATCGGCGTTCGCCTCTCCGATCGCCCGGCCTTGCGCAGCGACAACTGGCCGAGAGATCTTCCAGCGTCCCCTCCGCCGACTAGGTTTTCCTCTGCCAGGATCGCAGGCGGACGCCGCGCGCCAACTGCAGATGCCTCGCCTCGTCCTTCGCCGCGACACGTTCGACCCGCAAGCGCACACCGGCGAGCCCCAGGTTTGAGTACGAGTGTACCGCTCAGGGCTTTCGCCGTGCTCCGCCTGCCGCACATGCGCACCGGTTCCAGCACGAGGTCCGCCACCGCGGCCGCGAGTCCACCGTGTACACGCCCAAGACCATCCACCTCCTCCCTTGCGGTCGGTGCAACCTGTTCGGACCTCTCGACGTGCACGCCAACACCCCCCGCACGTCATCCGACTGCGCCTTGCGGCCGCCCTTCATGTCCGCCGCGCTTGGCGGGCGGCCCTGCGAAGACGACGACACACCGACGCGCTCCTCTCGTACGAGTTTGGGCCTCGGAGCACGCTCGGCGGAGCGCACGCCTTCCCACCCGCTTGCGCGTTCTCATCAATAGAGCGCACGTATTCGGCCGCACGCGACGCCCGCGCTGCACTTTGCTGTTCGCAATCATGCACTCAACTCGAATCCCGACACGTCATCTGCCCCTCGCGCCAGCTTGCGACCCATCATCACGGTCGAAGGGCCTACACGAAGGAAAAGCGACCACGCGCCCGAAGCCGCGCGTACCTGGGCCCTCGCCTTCTCTGCGGACATAGGGCCCGCAGGCTCCCCGCCGAGCCTGATCGCAGGGCTTGAAGACGAACAGAGCCCGCTGCGTGCACTTTGGGGGTCGCACTCGGGGAACCTGCCTTCCACGGGTCTCCTGGCGCGCACCGCCCTCCAACCTCGCTCGCGCCCTGTCGGTGCCCTCTGCAGGATCTATATCCGTATGAATAGCCCAGTGCCGAGATTCAGCCCGACTCTCCTCCCACCCTCCTCCCTCTCTCCGCCTCCACAGTAGCATGCGCACCCGTCCCCCATCCTCCACGCGCTCGCTTCCCAGGCTCATCGTCAACTCCCATCTCGCTATTCGTGACACCCGCGGGGACCCCCGCCGCCTCACTCGGCAGCACGACGGGACCTGAGGCGTGCGCGCCCGTTTTCCCCACTCGTCGCGAACCCGCCCCGCGCGCGTGCGAGCCCCGATCTAGCGTTCAGGCCTTCAGAGCTTCAGGCGCGGCACAGCATGCGCCACGGCCGGCGGAGAACGCAAGTTCCCACCGCCTGTTTTGCGCGGGCGTCGGTCCGAGCCTCCCGCGGGGCGTGTTGCGCTCGTCAGCCCCGTCAGGGTCCGACGACCCGATGATCCCATGGCGGTTGCTGCCAGGCGTCCGCCGTACGGCGGCCGCGCCTCCAGCTCTCGGCCGCGCACTGAGGCAGAACTCGAGCCCGGGCTAAAGGTTGAATGCTCTGTTCGGCCGGGCTCGCGCGGGCGTGTCGTTCAAGTGAGTGCGCGGTTCTCGGGCGACGCTCTCTCGCTGATTCAGTTTCTGCGGTCGCGGCGGGTTCACACCCTGCGCGCACGGACGTCGCGCACCCAGTCGGAGTTCGACATCGGATTCGCCATCGGGGATACGGATCGAATCTGGTGTCTGTCGTCTTTGCTTCCGGACCGGCGGAGCTAAGTGTGTGCGCACCGCGCAGCGCGAACGACGAGCGGGAGGCTCTCATGCAGATGTTGCGCTCGAGCGTCTTGTCCTGATGTATGTTCTGCCGCCTGCAGCGTGCACACCGCTAATACAGTGTGAGGTGCGCTGACCTTTTCCCGTAGAGTTCAGCACATGTCGAGCGTATATAGCAACAGCCTTCAAAGCAGATATGATTACCCCTCGAACGCCTTCCCTGCAGCTTGGCGAGCACTCTCAAGATGGACGGCGCCGGCGTGGCTGGTGCGTTCGCGCGTGATCCGGCGGCCCACAGTGTCGGGAGCAAACAGCAAGTGGCCACTTCCATTCCAAAGTTCGCAGCCCGCGAGCCCGTGCGTTTTCCCGCCAGCTCTCGTCAACCTCGAGCGCCGCGGTGCCTCTGCTGTACTCAACAGGGATCACGACATCCGGCTACTTGGCAACGGGCGTTTGGCTGGTAACCGGGACCCCACGGCGGGACCCATGGCTGTCACGCTGAGACTCGCTCGTGAAGCCTCTTAACCAAATCCGCGACGCTCGGGCGCGGCTCAGCTCGTCCCCAGTGAGGTGACTGTGCGCCTGTGGGAGTGAGCGCGCAGTCACCGCTAGCGCTGGCCAAGGGCTCCCTTTAGGTACATGCTGATGGTGGGCCTGCGATCCCCCGGTGGCGTCAGTAGTGGCTGGAGAGCACGCTAACACCGTCGCGGAAGCACTGAGGCGAGGGTCTGGGCCACCCGCACTCTTCAAGTGGACGGCGTGCACTCAGTGGCCGGTCGACCACGTCATGCGCAGGCGGCGCTGGGTGCCACCCCGAACGCAGCGGATCCTGGTGCGGGTTGTCCAACCATCACGGAGTGTCTAGTCAGGTACGACGGCGATTGGATCTCTTGGACGAGGTGATCTCGCAGCTGAAGCACCGGATAAGGATAGATGAGTCACTCCGAGTGTCTCATCTGTAGACGCTTGGAAGCTCTTCTCGAAGAATGGATTATGGAGGTGCGGTCGGAATTTGGATCTCGCTCATGTCTTGGCTCTGAGAGCCTTGTCACTGCGACTTCAGGCTTTGTGTTCTCGGACCATGCGTCTGTCTCGCAGCACTCACCACGGTCCTCCTTCACTAGCTTGCATATATCGGACACAACGATCCGCAACGAGAGTTCGGTCAAAGCGGCGTATACAATCACGGCGCCGCGTTTCGTGGTCTGTCTTTATATCAGCGTTGCAAATACTCGGTGGCTTTCTCAGGTGAGTGCCGCTAGGCCGCCTCGTGCACTTATGACATACCCTTGCATGCGTCTGTTTGAGCGAACGGATATTTCAGGACTCCGGAGCCTCACTTTGGTGTTGGTGCGAGAATCATCCAGTGCGCTGCAGTCGCATGAAGTTTGCTATGTAACCTTGACGTCTCGAAACGTCACGGTACACGACGGGAAGCCACGGTATGTGCTGACACGTCGCTTGAGCGGTCGAGAAAATGGTAGGGATCGGTGACACTGGGCACGGTATCGCAGTGAACCCCACTGCACGAGGCCCGGCAGCAGCTGATATCTCATCCAAAGCCCTCTTCCCAGACCCGGTGGTCTTGCGGAAGGTCGATATAGACAAAAGGAGACACTAGGCCACAGCTTGAAACAGGCATCAGGGGCGAGATCAAGACTGAGTAAGCGCCTGAGACCTATCCCCAGTGGGAGAGATAGACTCGTTGCCGACGCTAGTCGGCGCGATGTCGGGCTCTTTTCTCCCTTGCCTCGCCGCGCACTCGCATCTGCTCTCGCACCCCTCGCCTGCGCCCCTGGGCCCGCGCCGGTGATTATTCTGCCACCCGCCGCTTCCCACTCTCGGTACGACGTGCGAGCCCCGCCTAGCCCAGTCGCCGCCCATCGCCCACAATCCTCGAGACTGCACTAGCGGCCTCGATGTCACATGTGCGCCACTTCGGACTTCGGTCTCGCGTCATCGCGTCATCTCCCATTTGTATGCTCACCTCCGGCGTCTTCCCCCCGTACTAAAGCACCGGGCGGACTCGATCCCACCGTTCCCCGGCTTCTTCCCCTCGGCCAACATGGGCAACTCCTCCTCGCGGTACACCAAGAACCCGGCCTCGTTCGCCACCTCCTTCCTCCCACAGTCCAGCAGCGTCGTCCCCGACTCCGAGAGCAGCACCTGGAAGTCCTACGACTACATCATCGTCGGCGGCGGTGAGTAACGCACTCTGTCAACGCGGCCCGCTCGGGGCGCTGCAGGGCTGACGGTCGCCCCAGGGACTGCCGGGTGCATTCTCGCCTCGCGGCTGTCGGAGGACCCGCAGGTGTCCGTCCTGCTCGTCGAAGCGGGCGAGAGGTGCGTGCGCGCTGATGCAGATGCCTCGGCCCGGACCCCGCTGATGGGCTCTCCCACAGTCATGAAGGGAACCTGTACTCGCGCATCCCCCTCGCGTTCCTGCGGCTGCTCAAGACCCCGGCGGACTGGAACTATCAAACGACGTGCGTTCCTGATCCGGCCCTGGGCTGGTAGCCGCTTGGTCTCGTTCGGTCTTAATGAAATCACGCAGCCCGCAGCGGACCCTCGATGGACGGGTGGTGAGTTGGCCGCGTGGGCGGATACTGGGGGGGACCAGGTGAGTCTGGGTTGCGTTCAGTGGGGCTTCTGTGGCTCAGGCTTGCCTCTCAGCTCTATCAATGCGATGATATACCATCGCGCCGACCCACGCGGTACGTGAGAACACGATTGTCGCCGCTAGACGTTTACCTAATAACGAAAGGACAGACTTCGATTCATGGGAGCGCAAGGGCATCAAAGGCTGGGGCTACGGTGTCCTCAAGGAGTATGCACGCTCCCGCGACACTCTCCAATTCGCTGCTGAAGGGCGCACTTTCCATTCAGATATTTTGATCGGGTAGATAAGAGTGGACTGAAAGTGAAGCCGCAGGCTGAGCTCGCGGTAAGCTGCGATGAGCTCGTCGGTTCCGTTTCGAAGGTGACATCAGAGCCGCCTTTCAGGGCGCAAGCTCGGCAGCAGTCGCGGCTGCCGTCAACCTCGGTCTTCCCCTCAACAAGTACGTCGAGCTGATCTCCGACTGCAGCGACCTTTGTCCTAATATCAGAGATAGGGAGTTCGAAGATGCGGAAAGTACCGCGGGTGCGGGTGCTTTCCCTGCCATGATTGACGCAAGCCAGCAACGTACGGCGTTTCTCGCCGTATCCTGACGGCAAGTTCTCACCGTGAATGCTCACAGGAAGTTCTGCGGCCACCGCTTACCTCACCCACGAGGTCCTCAAGCGACGGAACTTGACGGTGGCCGTGGCTGTCTTCACAGAACGTGTCCTCTTTACCACAGAAGCGGACGGCACGGCACGAGCAGTCGGCATCCAGGTCTCCTCCGGCCCTTCCGCCGCCAAGTTCGCCGCGGCGGCGAAGCGTGAAGTCATTGTATGCGGTGGCGTAGTGGCCTCCCCCCATATCCTCCAACTTTCCGGCATTGGTCCTGCCTCCGTCTTGCAGCAGCATCAGGTCCCTGTCGTCTGCGAATTACCACATGTGGGACGCAACCTGGCGGATGTGAGTCATTTCATCGGCGGCTTGCATGCTTCTAAATGCTGACTGTTCGCGACTTCGGAAGCATTACTCGGGTGGCTCCCTCGTGCTCCGCGCACGCCCGAACACGACGCTCGACAAGTACACACAGAACCCGTTGATGGGGACTGCCGCGCTCCTGCAGTGGATGTTCACCGGCAAGGGTGTGATGACGCAGCTCGGCGCCCAAGTCGCCATCTTCACGCGCTTGACAACGAGAGGTAGGCCCATTTTCTGCCACACGTTCAGATATGCTGACGGTCTGTTCTGTGAAGCCTACCCTTCGGCCCGTCACCGGGACCGTGAACGATAACTCATCGCACCAGGCGCGCCTGACCTTGAGATTCTCGTGTTCCCCGTGGCTGTCACGAAGCACGGGAATAGTGTACCACCACTGGGAAACAACGGTATCTCGGTGGTATGTCTAACTCCCTACCGTTGTGTATGGGAGGTTTTGCTCACGCGACGTCAACCCGCTCTAGGGATCGATTCTGCTCAAGCCTCAAGCAAGGGTTCCGTCGAACTCCGCTCCAACAGCGTGTACGACCCCCCAGTCGTTGACCCCAAGTCAGTCTCCGCGTGTCTTCGTGCGCCTCCCCTTGTACTAAGCGCCACGTCTCGCAGCTACTTCGGCGACGAGAGCGACATGAACGCGATCATCAAGGCGACGCGCCTCATCCTGCGCCTCGCGCGCACCTCCCACTCTCCGAAGTGCTCGACGTCCGCACGCTCGCGTCGCGCCCAGACGACGCGAACTGGTTCTGGCCCGGAGACGCGGACCCGGACGCGATCTCAGACGACGAGATCCGGCGGTTCGTCCGCGAGCGCGGGCAGTCCGCATGGCACCCGGTGAGCCCCCTCTCGCTCCCCAAGTGCTCTAGTCGAACAGCCAAGCTGATGCGTGGCGGTCGGTAGCTGTGTTCGGCGCGGATGGGTGTCGACGCGACGGACAGCGTCGTGGACGCGGCGCTGCGCGTGCACGGCGTGCGCGGACTTCGCGTCTGCGACGGCTCTGTCTTCCCTGACCAGGTCTCGGCCACCCCGTCGTGCCCATCATGGCCGTCGCAGAGCGCGCCGCCGATCTGATCCGCGGTGCGCGGGTCTAGGGCGGCAGGACGACTTTCACGACCTCACGACCACTCCAGCACGCATCGCACGCTCGCTATCGATCGTCACATTTGTTGTACTTTACATGCTGTACCCTGTTGTACCTGCTAGCCACGTACGAACCCAGCAAGATGCTCACGACACACGCACGCCTCCGCCATCCCATGTTCCGGCAGCAATTGTACACTATAACTTACAACTGCCTCACAACGCATGCTACCTGCCCTCATCCCTCACCTGCGTGCGGCGTGCCTTCCCACCCTCCGATCCAGCATCCGCCATACTACCGCTTCTCAAGGCGCTTCTTCAACGCATCAAATTCAGCTCGTACCCCTCTTCCTTGCTCTTCGGGGAGGCCGGCGGCGGTGCGACCTTCGCGGCGGCGGCGGTCGCCTTCTGTTGCGCATCCGCCCTCTCCTTTTCCCTAGGTACCGCTGCCGTGGTCGTCCACAGCTTGGGTGTGCGTTCGCCGGCGCTCCGCGCCTCCGCTGTGATCGTGTGTGCGCGTCCTCTTCCACCTTCTCCGTCGCCACTGCGGGCTCCTGTGGGGCGTGGAGCGTGGGGCGTGTGTACGTGAGCGGAGATCAGGGTACTCACGAGGACGGGAGGTACGCGCGTGCGAGCGGAGAAACCGAGAAATCTTTGTACCCTCGGGACGAGGCCCACCTTCACGCCGCCCTCGGGGCTGTCACCGTCGGCCCTGGTCAGGGACCGGTCGACGTCGTAGCCCTTGGCGATTTCAGCGAGGTACGCGTCGCGAACGAGTGGGCGCCACGGACGGGGTGGCGATGGGTGGGCGGCGAGCGCGGTCACCAGCATATAGGTGTGGATGTGCTGGAACGGCGTGCATGCGCAAGTCGCGGCGAGCGCGCAGAGCGTTTGGGCCTGTTGATCAGATTCAAGCTTGAGCAATGTGGGCGCCGAAACGAGTCACAAGGGAACACACCTCGCACCGGGCACCCTCAGCTTGTGAGCTCGGCGCCGTCCTTCTCGGCTTCGCCGGCTTGCATCACGCAGTCCACCCCACCAACGGCCGACGACAAGATGGAGACCGCGTCCGTCGTACCTGCAAGAGGCGAGAAGAAGGATACGACTGTGAAGAACAGGACGTGCACCATTTGGCGCGCCTCGCGTCGTCTACCATTAGCTGCCTACTACCTCGCTGTGCTTTTGGGAAGGCAACACATCTTTAATTATGGGCTCTAGAGGAAGCCTTCCGGTGTGCGAATGACGGGTGAATTGTGGAATGCGGTAATGTATGTAGTGGGCCTAGAGATAGAGATTGGCTGCGAATACTTGAAGCGGCAAACAGGTATTAGCACGAGTCTTTGCCAACGTGAGTCTAGCAAGATGGACGACAACAGACGGGGATGGGATGGATGAAGGGGATGAAAGGGTAGGTGCGGACAAGAGGCCGGTCAGTGCAGTAACAGTTTTCGTGCCCGAGAGAGGACCTACAAAATGTCAGTGGGGAACTACCGTCTCAAGGAGAGGAATCTAGAGGCCGTCTTCGGGGTACTCGAAATCCAACGTCGCGATGTCGCCAGCCAGCGTCTGCTGACTCATCCTCGCCCCAACGTCGACGTTTGGCAGTCCTCTCACTCACCAACCATGGCTCAAAACAAAGTACGTCGATGCGAGTCTTTTTGCCCAGTCTCTGCGTCTGCTGGATACCTTCAATCAGCCAGCCTTCTCGTTGTTTTCTACTTTGACCCTCACTGGGAGCCACATACCCAAACCCATCACCCTTTCAAGAGTAGAGTCGTTCCCTGCCCGCAGGTACAATCTCGGTGAGGGGTGCTTCGAGACTCTGTCCGGGGTATGGAAAGCCGCCTACGTACCAAAAAATCGAGGCCACCTCGCTCTCGAGCTCGGGGACCGTCTTGGGAGCGGCCGTTCTGGTTGGGTGTACAAGGCAGAGGTCGTTTCCGTTCAACCACCCGAAGGCCAAAACGCACATCCTATCCTGTGCCCCACCAAATCCGCGCTCTGCATCAAGATAGCTCGACCGAATCGATGCCGAACGCTCGCTCGGGAGGCATGGATTTACGAGCGCCTCCCCGAACCGCATAGCTAGTTGCAAGGCGTCATGACCCCACGAATATTTGGTTTCGAATTCACCACCACCCTACCCCCAAACCCCGCCGCGCGTCCCCCGTGGTATCGACACCACGATTACGGAGCTTCTCTGCAGTCCAGTTATCCCTCCTCTGAAGAAGAGACTTCGCCTATGCCATCCGATGGCGATCCCACCCGCGACGACGATCTCCCGGATGATGAACACACCCCCGATGACGACCCCTTGGACTATGAACCCAAAGAGAGTGACGGTGAATTTCAAGGGTCGGACGCCCGAGAGCTTTCCGAGTGGCTTCATTGGATATCCAGACCCCGACGCGCCGCTGCTTTCTGTCGACTCCTGCTCATGTCGCGAGGAGGACCAGCCTACTCTGTCGCGGAGGACGACCATGACGTCACATCCGCTATTCCATGCTCCAGCAGTAATCGTACACTATAACTTACACCTGCCTAGCAACGTATGCTATGTGTCATCATCCCTGACCTGTGTGTGGCATGCCCTCCATCATCCGCCACTACCGCTTCTTCAGTGCCTCAAAGCGTTTCGTCAACGCGTCGAACTCGTCCTCCTCTTCTTTGTTCTTCGGGGGGTCCGGCGGGGGCGCGAACTTCGCCGCAGCCGCGGCCGCCTTCTGCTGCGCCTCCGCCCTCTCCTTCTCCTTCCCGTTGCCGTCATCGTCCACGGGCACCTCGGGCAGCTTAGGCGTGCGTGCGCCCGCGCTCCGCGCCTCCGCTGCGATCGCGTCTGCGCTCGGCGGCTTCTGCGCGTCCTCCTTCTCCTTCTCCGTCGCCACTGCGGGTTCCTGTGGGGCGTGGGACGTGCGTGCGTGAGCGGTTGAGCCGACGCGTGCTGGGGACCCAAGGTCTGGGTACGAGGGCGAGAGGTACGCGCGCGCGGAGAAACTGAGAAATCTTTGTGCGAGGCTCACCTTCACGCCGCCCTCGGGGTCATCACCGTCGGCCCTGGCCGGGGACCAGTCGACGCCGTACCCTTGGCGATTTCGGAGAGGTACGCGTCGACGAGCGCCGTGGACGGGGTGGCGATGTCTAGCTTGCGCGCGACCTGGGTGGGCGGCGAGCGCAGTCAGCACAGGTACTATGGACGTACCGGAACGGCGTGTATGTGCAAGTCGCGAGCGCGCCGAGCGCAACCGGTGCGGGCGTGACATGGAAGGCGCGCCCGCATGCCGCAGAGGCCGCGGACACAGACAGGGGGAGGAATAATTGGGAGGAACGCGCTGGGGCGGAGACGAAAAAGCAAGACACACCCGATCGCTCACACAGCCGTCACGGTTCTCGATCACGGCGAGCGCAAAGTCGCGGCCGAACTTGTGCATGAGGATGTCACGCAAGACATGGAGCTCTGTGTGGCAAAGATGCGGGCTCAGTGGGTGCGCAGATGAGGCCGCGCGCGGCGTACCTTTGAGCTCGGTCCGTGGGGCGGCGAAGATGATAGCGCAGACGCCTTCACTGACACCTGGATCGGGCTCTCTTGTGCTGTGCGCAGCGGTGCGAAAGATAGCCAAAGTTGGAGGACCCGAGGATGATGTCAGAGCGGGGCAGTTGAGCAGATGGATTGCATGGAAATGAACGGATGCGGGCGGATGCTGCTCACCTCTGGTCAAGCAGACCGAAACGCGCAATGAGGAGCTCGCAGTAGAGTTCGAGAAGCTCAAGAAGCTCGACGTATATGTCCTCATTGATTACTGAGACACAGACCGAGTTCGTATGGAGGTTTAGTGCGGATCGTGGATGGGACTCACTGTTCTCTGTTTTAATCCTCGCCGTCTCCAGCCGCCCTTTCTCGAGCAGCAGCGCAATGTCTCTCCGAGATGCCTTAGCTTGTGCTAGCTTCTTCTCTTGGAGTGTTCGTAGCCTCTGTACGCCTAACCTGACAATGCGACGTTGAGACTGCGCCTGCAGCCACGGTGAAGACGATAATACCGAAGTTGGACCTTGATCAGATTGCTTAAGAAATGTGGGCGCCGAGACGAGTCACAAGGAAACATACCTTGGCCTTGGCAGCGTTCCATGGTGCCATGACGCGCTAGATGGTTGGTATCACAGACGGAGGTATCGGGAGACGAGGTCGAGGATGGGAGCTGGAGTAGTCGGAACGAAGCCGAATGTCCTCTCTCGATAAGATCAGATTTCCGCGGGCCGGGCCGGTGGCTTGGAGTACAGCCTCCATGGAACCTAATAGTAAGGGAATTGACTACGTTGGGGTAGATAATACCGAAAAGCGCAGTGAGCAGCGTAGCTTATTTGCGGAAGAGAGCGAGTGGTGACCAGGGTCTGAATGGGATCAATGGATGTGCGAGGAGTGGTAACCATGCAACTGCAAGCATCGACATTCTTAAGTTCTCAACAACTGCCATGTGCTTCTGAGTCAAGTCGAGTGATGGCCCACGTCAGGACTCAGGGAGGTCATGGACCTCCAGGCAAACATCACACTTGAGAGGTGCCATCAAATGGAACGATTGAAGCATTCGCCCGCGCCCTGGCCGCTAAGTATCGCCTATGTGCCGCGTGCGGCGAAGAGCCCGCGGAGGCAGGACGCTGGCCACGACGTCCGCTCTGGCAGTCTGGGATCGGGCGCACTGCGATCGTGGGCAGGACGCTGACATGGCCGCGCTCGATCACGATGGTGATGGTCACCGTGCTCGTGCGTGTGGCGGAGGATTGTGGCCGGGCCGGTGATGGCAATTTGGTTGGAAGTGGATGTATCTTGCGCGCCCAGAGCCCGCGGACCCGCCCTGTACCCACGCTCGCTCTCTCGTCTCTCCTGCTTACCTGCTCGCAACGCACCTGATCTCGCCGCGCGAGCATGGCTGTCCAGGTCCTTCACCACAACAAGCGCAGAGCCGGGCTCCGCCCTCGTCTCTGGATCGACCCGAACCCATCCACTGCCGACTCGAGCTCCCTCTCCACTCCCGCCTCTCCTTTTCCCCGGACCCGTCTTCCACTCTGGCGGCCTCTGCGGAAACCGCCACCCCGACGTCTTCAGCTGAGCTGTTTTACGTCTTATGCCTCTACGACTACGACGCCGAGGACTCCGACCAGCTCTCCTTCCGTCGGAATGATATCCTCGATGTCGTCAAGAAGGAGGACACAGTACGTCACCATCCTGTCCCACTTTGTCGCGCGTCCCGCCCATCTTGACCGCAATTTCATAGGGCTGGTGGGCGGCCATTCACTTGGACGATGACCGCGTCGGGTGGATCCCGAGTGCTTTCGTAGAACCGATCTCGGACACACTCGCGGATAAACTGAGAAGCAGGGATACAAACGTTCAAATATACCAGGCAGAGAATGACGACGCTTTCCACGGCTCGCCCGATTCTCAGCTGACCGACCCCTTTATCGTTACTCCGGAGGATGGAAACAAAGATTACGAGTGGATGCCTGTGGTCAGTGGAGACAAGGTACGTTCGGACGCCTTTTCTCTTGCGTCCTCGCACCCCACGAACAAACCGATCATCGTCCCCTACCGGGCTCGACCGCATATATGGCGCACATAGCTAGATGAGGTCATGTCCAGACGAAGGGCGCGAGTGTTCAATGTTGGATTGGTGTACGCTGTTCACAAGTTCTAGCACTGACTACGTTCCTTTGGTCCCCATTATACAGCTCGCAGAGGATTCGAGTCTACCTTCAGGGGTGGGAACCACATTCAGTCCACTGGTCCCTCCACCGGAAGGCATTGAAGCAGCCTTCCTAGAGCTCGAAGAAATGCTCGCTTCGCCAACAGAGCTTATCACGTCGCGCATGAAACGGCGCTCCCGCCCCAAACCTCTCGACTCGCCTGCCCTAGACGAGGGTGAACAGGTGATCACGCTCCCTCCTGCGCCCTCTGAAGAAATGCCGATCACTCCGCGGACGCCAGGGTCCGCGGGAGGTCGTCGCCGTAGTCTGTCTCTACCCACTGGGGATGCACCGCCCTCTGACCACCAGAGATCCCGTTCAGAATCCGCCAAGCCTCCAACTAGACGCCATCTCCGGCGCCGACCCCTCCTGATCGATGACCAGTCGTCGCTGAACCGTCTTACTACCCTGTTCGAGGCCCATAATATCGAAGAGCTAGACCACCTTATCGCAAGTCCAGTTGTGGCTGAATCTTTCGACGCATTCACTCGCACGAACAAGACTGCGCGCGACAAGGTCTTGCAAATCACTGGGGACAATGACGCCCAGGCCTTCCATGACGCGCAAATCGTTCAGGGAACATGGTACCTCCGCCCCCATTACGGGGAAGAGGAGATCATGCTCCAGCCTAACGGGAGTGTAACTGCAGGCACTCTTCGCGCTCTGGTTGAGCGCCTTACGTTCGAATTTCCAAGTGAGGTTTTTCTTTTGGGCAAACCGATTCCGACACTTACGCGTCTCAAGAACCCATACAGGGAGTTCGATATCGGCAGGCGTTCTTGATGACCCACAAGTCATTCAGTGCTGCCGAGGAGGTCCTCGATCTTCTCATCATGCAGTTCAACATTGAGCCTCCATCTGGGCTCAGTCCCCATGAGATGGACCAATGGACAGAAAGAAGGCAGCGCCCGAATCGTCGCCGCGTCCTCACCGTGCTTCAGAGCTGGACGGATGACTTTGGTTTACTCCAGGACGATCACCATTTGGCCCCACGGATCGTTAACTTCGTCTCTTCCGTCGACGGCCCCCCACAACTCAAGAAGGCGGCCCAGGACGTCCTCAAGTCCCTCGAACGATTTGTGAGTATCCGCACCATTATGCTTCCTGATCAGCCTGGTTGACAAATCGACAGATATCTGTCATTCCTGCCACTCCACATTCCGCGGCAAATGGGAAGCACAAGAAGAACAAGGCTCCCAAGGCCGAACTCCTCAAGATGGACCCGCAGCAGCTCGCAGAACACTTGTGCATGCTTGAACAACGGCTGTACAGCAAGATTCGCCCCCAGGAGTGCATGGACTGGGTGCGGGCGCCGCGAGGCCCGAGAGTGAAGAACCTTGCTGCGTTCAGCGCCTTCCAAGAGAAGCTCGGCCCGTGGGTGAAGATGAGCATTCTCAACTTCGAACCCTTGGGAAAGCGTGCGGAAATGATCGACTTCTGGGTGAAGGTGGCGGAGGTGAGTGTCTGCACCGTGTGCCATCTGTTCATTCCCTAGGTCCCCTAGTAGCAATCTTACTGACGTGTGTTCTCGTGCGCAGAAATGCAAGGCGCTGAATAATTACGCCTCCCTTCACGCTGTCGTCGCCGCGCTTTCAAGTCCAGTCATAGCCCGGCTACACTTCACATGGGCGCACGTCAAGAGGCGCGCTCAGCTCGAGCAGCTCGCCAAGTACCACGACCCAGCAGGGAATTTGTCCTCCTACCGCCTCTGGCAACGGTCCGCCGACGGGCCCTGCATCCCGCACATCGCAATGCACCTCACGGACATGCAAGCAGTGCAAGATCAGCTTCCAGACGACGTCCGCGTCTCCGCTGCGGTCTCTCCCCTCGGCACTACCTCGTCCCTCATCCACTTCGCCAAGCGTGAGAAGTGGTGGGAGGCTCTCGACGCCATCCACCGACACCAGGCGCGCCCCTACGCGTTGGCGGAGGACGCGGTGCTGGCTGCGCTCATCGACACGAACCTCCTCGCGTTCGGGGACGTCGAACAGAACGTGTTCTGGACCAAGAGCCAGGAAATCCAGCAGGCGGAGATGCTCCACGCCGACATCCGCAAAGGCCTCGAGCTCGCCGGCTTCTGAACGCGCTGCGCCAGGCCGCGCTCCCTCGGTCGGGGGTATTTATTGCATCTCTATCCGCACGACTATATATTGGGACTCTCGCTGCTAGGATATCTCGTATACGGGCTGGCGTCCCGACCTCATCACTCTCACCCTCCTTCTCACTACTGAGCCTGAGGCTGCCTCGCTACTCCTAACCATCTGTACAACTCGCTTCATTACACACGCATCTCGTCCCCCCGTCGCTCCTTCTTGTCTGTACTTTCCTAATTGCTCTATGCTCTGTAATCGGTCGCGCACGTACTACACAGCGGACCGCCGGTACTTTCGCATACATTTCGCGCGGCCGGGGTCGCTGCAGGCGTGTCGCTGGTGATATGTTGGGTCATACATCCGAAATAAGCCAAAGCCGCTTAGGGCTGCTTTTGCTACCATCGACCGCACGATCCGGGATCAGCATCTTACCAGGGGCACCGTTGGTGGTGTTACTTCGATACGACATACGTGGCACTCTGGGCGGACGCCCACACGAGAGCTTTCCGAGAGGAAGTATGTATGTCCGCAAGACGCAAGTCCATATATAACAGCGCGAAAGTGTGGATGGTAATAATAGAGTACAAAGTAGAGCGTGAATGTGACGAAGAGGAAACAAGCCTGTATGAGTAAGGGGCCCTCGAGCTGTAGCCTCATACCATGGGCGGACAGCTAGGAATTAGAGGGTGATGGTGCCGGGGCGAGGGATGTCGATGAATGACGAGCCAAGAACAGCCGGAGACACTCAGCAGTTGCACGCCTCGTTCTGACCCTGGCCCGCAGCCTGCTTGTTGAGGTCGACTCCTGTCCTGCCTGCGGCACCGGGGCGCGCACCACTCCGCGCGGACGGTGCTGCGGTGAGCGGCAGCTTCTTCGCTGATCATGCACACACAGCATGAGCGGCGGCACAGTTGGACTAGAACAGAGAACGAAGGGCGCACCGATAGCAGTGAAGATGTCAGCCACGCCTTCACCAGACTTGGCACTAGTCTCGCCCCACATGAGACCCTCCTCCTCGGCGTACTTCTTCGCCTCCTCTTCTGTAACCTGGCGTCGCGCGGACAAGTCGAGCTTGTTGCCGCAGAGGGCGATGACGATGTTGGGGTCTGCTTGTCGCTGGAGCTCGCGGATCCAGGCCTTCGCCTTCTCTAACGACGTCGACTGGGTGATGTCGTAGACGACAACGGCGCAGTTGGCGTTACGGTAGTACATGGGGGCCTTTCGAGACGGTCGTTGTCAGGTAGAGGCGATATCTGGGAGCGGAGAGGACATACGAGGGACTGAGGCTGAGATTAGTACGATACACTTCATGAAGATACGGACATTCGTACCTTGTATCGCTCCTGGCCTGCGGTATCCCTTCCGTGTGACTTAAGTTGCTGTGCCCATACGCACACATACAGACAGACGCACCATATCTCGAACTTTACCGTCGTCTGGTCTTCGAGGGTGACGGTTTGTGTGAGGAAGGCAGCTGCGAGGCTGTCAGCCGACTAGCAAGGTAGACGGCGCAGCATGCATACCGCCAATAGTGCTCTCCCGGTAGTCGTCGAACTGGTCCTTCACGAAACGGAGGACGAGACTAGTAGAATAGCCGGGCTCAGAGCGGGGATGACAGCACAGTAGAATTCCCGATACCATACCTGGACTTGCCGACGGCAGATTCGCCTGAAGAGGGGGAGGGAGAGGTCAGCGAGGTCGAGGGAAGCGTGCGAGGAACGGACCGAGGAGAACGAGCTTGAACTGGAACTGTTTGGACATGGTGGGCGTGGTGGAGGAGGGGAGGCTATCGAGCGCAGCGTCTGACGCGCCTGAGCTGAGCCGGCTTCGGGTGGGTCCATCCAGGCGCCCGCCCCTTGTGAACTTTCCCACGCGTCCTTTCCCCCATGTCGCCAAAAATTGATGTCTCGCCCTTCGTCCCGACCGTCATCTCCAGCCCCCCTTCGTCGTCTCGCTCGCCCGCTGCCGTCCTGAGATTCCCCCGCCATCCTGCGATATCTCTCGTCTTTCGCCAGCTTACACGTGTAACAAGCCTCGTGAACTACGTCATCGCACACCCCGTCGCCCTGCTGTCTCGCCCCTCGTCGTTAAGCGCACGCAATCTCGCCCAGAGTCCGAACAGTCTCCGTGAAGCTCCTTGAAGCCCGTTGAGAACATGAACCGACATCACCCGTACGGCGCTTCCTATGAAGGAGGAGGGCCCAGGAGAGGCGGCCCTCCCGGCAATTTCGGCCCTGGGCCCGACAGATCTCACTACTCGGACAGAGGTGGTGGTGGCCCTCGTGGACGTGGCTTCGGCCGTGGCCGCGGACGCGGCGGTGGTCAGGGTCACTTCGGTGGTGGTGGGGCGGGCTACAACCACAGAAATGCGGGTCCGTATGACCAGGGTCCCCCGCAAGGTGACACGGGAGATTACAACAGCTACTACGAGTCCGGTCCGCCGCCTCCTCCACCGCCTTCATACTACCAGCAGAACGGCAACTACGACGGCCCTCCAGGCCCCGGGCAGTACAATCCAGACCCCCCTGGCTATGACCAGGGTGGCTACGGCTATGAAGGTGCGCTTAAGAGTCTTTGAGTCCTTTGAGGTCGTGAAGTGTTATCTGCCGAGAACTTGTCGCAACGATGGTGTGAGGCTTTCGAACCTTCAGTACGCCTTATCGTGAAACTAAGCTCATGGGCGACACACACCGTGACCTCGGCAAAGATGGGCCAACACTATCTTCGTCGTGATCTGGGACATACTGATCTATTGGCCGCCCTCGGCCAAGATCTTGGTGCGTAGGCAATGATGGCCAGACGCTTCCAGTCAAGGATGATTACCTGCGTCGCTTTCTTGGGAGACCGTCTACTCGGAGTTTTCGTTGTCATGGTGGTTCGGTCTCTGAGCGCTGCATTCTCACTTAAATCCATTCGATAGATGGCCCAGACCAGAGCTATGGTCAGGGTGCTTTCAGTAGTAACCGTCCATTCAAACAGCGCCCTCCGCGCCGCGAGCGAGAAGACAAAGCGCACGATTCAATCATTGAAGAACGCATTCAGAGGGAGAGACCTTGTCGCACGCTTTTTATTCGTAACATCAAGGCGAGTCCAACGTGCCTGATGTCAATCCGCCTCCTGGGCTGATGATAGATGATTTACATCTCTAGTATGAGACCAGCAGCGACGATGTGAGACGTCTCTTCGAAGAGCATGGAGAAATTAAGACCTTCTTCGACCTTATCGGGAACCGCGGTATGGTGTTCGTGACATTTGTGAGTCCGGAAGTCATGCTAGTGATCGCCTCTCATACTCATCGGGCCTGCAGTATGATATCCGTGCGGCAGAGAGAGCCAGAGATAGACTGCAGGGATCTGAAATTAGTGGCCGACCTGTAAGCAAATTCCAAACCAACCCTTCACCTCTTTTACTGGAGCTTGTTCGTAGATCGATGTTCATTATTCTCTCCCTCGGGACGACAATGGCAAAGGCGCAGATAGGCAGAGAGACCAAGTGAGTTCCATTCCTGGCTTTGTTTTGACGTTGTGTACCGACCTGGTTGGTAGGATCTACAAGGCAATCTGCTCGTAACTCTCCGCGATTCGGCGACGAATCAGCCTATTGATGAGAACGAAGTGCGTCGGAAGTTCCAGCAGTTAGGCGAAGTCAAGAGTGTAAGACGGGTCATGGAGCGTGCCGAGTAAGTTCCTTGTCTGCTCAAAACTTACATATGCTAAGCAAAAGTACCACAGTCAATGCTACATCGAGTATTTCGATACAAGGGTGAATGAACATTGCGAAGGGTGTATTCGGTGTGACTGATAACATGTGCAGATCTGTGAAGATGCGCATAATCGACTTCGTCACCAAGGCCTCCAAGACGGGATCATGGAGATTGCATACGCTTCTCCAACTGACGACCCTCGGTCCTCTTCGCCTCGGTAAGAATGTCCCATGAACGTCCCCTTTATCGATCTTATGGTCTTTCAGACGCGACCCATTTGCACATAACGAATGGGACGAAATGCCCATGCGCGGTGGCGGCGGCGGCGGCGGTGGTGGTGGTGGCGGCCGCCGTGGGCGTGGTCGTGGGAGTCGTTGGAGAGGCGGAGGTGCTGGAGGTGGTGGTGGTGGTGGTGGTGGTGGAGGGTACGGCGGAGGCAACGACTGGGATGATCGCCGCAATTTCCGCGACAACAATCGGGGCCCCCAGGATGAGTTTGGTCGGACCCAGCGTAGTGGTGAGTTCACCAACCACAGGGGAGGACAGGGTGGTTATGGTGGTGGTCCTCCTGGTAATATGGGTCCTGGCTATGGTGGCCCAGCCGGAGGTTATAATCAGCCGCCGCCTTCTATACCATCTGCTGAGGTATATTAACCGCAAACTGCACCTGATCAAGAGTCTGACATCTCCCCCAGGCTGCAGATGAGCGCGAGCGGCTTGAACAAGCCAAGAAAGTGCAACAACTCCTCGCCGCTCTCAAACAACCTCAGAGCAATCCTCCACCTCCTCCCGGGCCACCAACTCTCACGCATGCTACACACATTTCACCGCCACCCCCGAACATGCAGCCTTACTACGGCCAACCACCCATGCCACCACATCAGCCTGCCCCCTACACCACCGCTCATGCGACCCCTCCCCCTCCACCGAACCCATATCCGCCTCCTGGGGTGCCGTCGATGGCAGGCCTCCCCCCCAGCATCCTAGCGTTGCTTCAGCAAGGAGGGCAGCCTCAGCCACCTCAACCTGGTGCTCCACCTATGCCGCCGTACAGCATGCCGCCCGCATCAGCGAGTGCTCAAACTCTTGGTGCCCCTGCAACGAACGGTGGGCATGCCGGTTACCAGCAATTGATGGCTTACTTGGTATGTAACTTCTTTGTGCTCATATTGAAGTGGCTCTAACGGTAGCATCATGACATGTAGCAAAAGCGGTAGACAAAACATTTACTTTATTCCTTGTTAAAGACTGTCGATCTCGTTTTGTTGTTCAATCCGTATGTAGTATCTGTCCCGTAGACACGCCTTTCTCGTACGTTATCTTGTTCTCTCATGTCTTTATTGCTCAATGTGAAGGTACGTATATGCTACGTACTCACGCTACTTCCGCCACCTCTGCCCGTACGTGTTTCCGTGACGGACGTCCCAGCTTGACGCCTGTAAGGTGGGCTTATGGAGTCAGGCGATCATAATAAGGGAGACTGTAGCCTAACTTTATCAGAGCTGTGTAATGGGCTGTAATCTTTGCGCGCCTTCCAAGCTCGCCACCGTTTCGTGATGCCATGTTGAACCTCACCAACCTGCGCACCCTCTTGTCCAAGGTTCTCGACCTCCCCGCGCTCCACACTGTCGCCCTCTTCACACCCGAAGGCGAGCTCGTATGCTATGAATCAGGGCCAAGTAGGACGAAGGACCGCGTGCGCGTCATCGTGGGCCTGAGCACGGAGATATGGCAGGAGACTAGGGACCACGAGCAGGTCGGGATGGTGGACTCTGAGGTGCGTGCATCAACTCGCATGGGACGCGTACGTGCGCTGACGAGACCAGATGGGTCACTTGCTCGTCGTGCCCGTGGAACGGCCGGGAGCGGCCTCAGCCGTCGCGCGGGCGAAGGAGAAGGAGAAGGAGAAAGTCGATGACAAGGAGGAAGAGCCTCCGCTACTCCTCCTCGCGCTCAACGCGGACGCGAGCGTGCCCTGGGAAGAGCTCGAGCTCAAGGTATGTTCGCTCCTGTTCTGCGCTTGCGCCCCGTCGCTGAGCCCGCGTGCAGGCCAGGACGCTGGTCCAGCACCTGCGCCGGCCGGCGGAGCTGCTGCAAAAAGCCCTACCGCTCAAGAGGCACGTCGTCACGAGCCCGCGGCGCGCAGACGGGACGGCGCGGTGACCTGCGCCCTTGGGCGGTGTACTTCGTTGACGTACGTGCCTGTCCATCCAAGGCCAGGTTCGCGCAGCGGAGGATATAGCTGAGAACATAGGCCCATCAGAGAAATCTTCTCGTCTTCTTCTAGTCGCTGAGGCCCCCGCTGGGGCGGGGTAGAGCGGGCCCCGGCCATGGCGTGCGAGCAGGTGCTGCGAGTCAACTTGCTGCGCGGAACGAGTACTCTCACCCTTGCCATGGGGGGATGATGACGCATGTGGCGCGTCAGCCTTACGAGTTGTAGACACTTGGTTTGTAGACGAGTAGTATTTCTTCTGTACACTATGTTACGCGGTAATCCAGCTGAACTTGGGATAATGCGCGTGCGAGATGCAGAACATCGAGAAAGAAATAGGCAAGGACGTCATAGGGACCGGAGGCGGCGGATATGGACGCCGGTAGCTGAGACAAGCGCCCTGCCTCTCCGTCTTTCCGCGACCTCCTTCGCCTCGGGCCCACCGTCCTTCCCGACCCGTCCTTCCGTCCCCAACGCCTCCGGAAGCGTCCTTGCTGGCCATGCGACGCTGTGCTTTTTCTCGAGTGCGCCTACAGCCGCCTGCGCCCTCCGTCGCGTCGGTCACGCGGCCACGGACGCACAGAAATTACAGCGTTCACGCACAACAACAGAAAATGGCTCCTTCCACACCTCCCCAGCCGCTCAAGACGAATGATGCGTACTTTAAACCCCCGCATATACCGACTTCGCCTTCGCGTACAGACCCGTACAAGCTCGTCGCGCCAGAGTTGAAGTACCTTCGCGAAACCCTCCTCGATCTCCTCGGCTCGTCACACCCTTCCCTCACGGAGATCGCGAAGTACTATTTCCTTCACCCGTCAAAACAACTTCGGCCGCTCCTCGTCCTACTATTCTCCCAGGCTACGAACGGGCTCGGCGGTGGCTGGCACGTCAAGAAGTGGGCAGCGGAATGCGAGGGTGCCGGCGGGCGAACAGAAGAGCTGGACCGTCCACTAACGCGTCCCGACGTGCTCAACGACTGGAACCCATCCATGCCGGACCACACCGCTTCCTTCTCAACGTCCTTCGCATTGCACCCTCCTCGGCCTCCAGCGGTGCCGCCGTGCCCGCCCCCAGACCTAGCACAACTAGCCGGCGCGACCCCCACGGTCGCATCCCCACTCACGCTGTTGCCAACGCAGGTGCGGCTCGCGCAAATCGTGGAGATGATCCACGTCGCTAGCCTGCTGCACGACGATGTGGTGGACAAGTCGCCTCTGCGACGGGGCGCGCCTTCCGCACCGGTCGCGTTCGGAAACAAGCTCACCGTGCTCGCGGGCGACTTCCTCCTCGGGCGGACGAGCGCCGCGCTCTCGCGGCTTGGGGAGAACGAGGTTGTAGAGCTCATCGCGAGCGTCATCGCGAACCTGGTCGAAGGCGAGATCCTGCAGCTGAAGGCGGTCCACGCGGAGGAGCTTGGTATCACCGGCCTGTCGCCAACCGTGGGGCAAGACAGCTGGAACATCTACCTTCAGAAGACTTACCTCAAGACGGCTAGCTTGATGGCTAAGGGAGCGCGTGCGGCGGTCGTGCTGGGTGGATGCAAGGACGGGGAGATTTGGAAGGAGGCTGCATATGCTTATGGCCGCAATCTGGGCATTGCCTTCCAGGTGAGTTCCGTCAACCTCATACTCATACCTGCCATCACGGTGACTGATGTCTGGCCAGCTCGTGGACGACATCTTGGACTATGAGGCCGGGGAGGCGACTCTCGGTAAGCCCGGAGGAGCCGACCTTCAGCTCGGGCTTGCCACTGGGCCCGCATTGTTCGCCTGGGAAGAACATCCGGAGATGGGCCCCCTTATAAAGCGCAAGTTCGAGCAGCCAGGAGACGTTGAGCTAGTAAGTGGCGCTGATCTACGCACCGATGCCCCATCTCACTTGCTCTTTCGCAGGCACGGGATCTTGTGCGGAGGTCCTCTGGAGTCGAGCGCACACGAGAGCTCGCGCTAGCGCATGCGGACAAGGCACGGGAGGTGCTGGGGGTGCTGCCCGAGAGCGAGGCGAAGGACGCACTGATCGGCTTGACGGAGAGGGTGGTGAAACGGACGTCGTGACGGCTGGCGCTGGCTCCTACTTATGTTCATACTAATCACATGCCCATATAGACGGTCCCCCCTCTGCTGCTGCCCCTATTAATGAATGCTCCTGCACGGAGCCCATAGAAAAGGAAGTGTGACTCCCGTGACGCGCTGTCGGGGGTCCCTGAATGCCTTCACACCGTATACTGCTCGCTCAAGAACGCGAGCAGACGCGTTTCTCGTCCTCCTCCCATCCCCCCCTCGTCCTCCCACTCTCCTCTTTACCAACACTTCATGATGCATGTCTCCCATCTCAGCAGCGATACCCTCGTCCCGACCAAGCGTCCCACTGAGACCGCCATCTTGCCTTACCAGCCAACCGAGTCGTTCAAGCAACCCCGGCTGCAGGACATCCCTCCCCTACCCGCATACAACAACACCCGAAGACGTGTCAACCCTGACAGCCTCGCTGTTCGACTAGGCCCGGAGCTCGTCGCGGAGCTGCAAAGCTTCATCAGACCTGGTGCGGTCGAGATGCCTTCCTTCGCGATCCGGCAGGATATACAACAGCGCTACAACGTCGACCGCCGGCACATCTACGACTGGTTTCACAGCAAGGGTCTGCGCGTCACCAAGGAAGACAAGCGCGCGACCGTCGAGCAGAAAACCGATGCTATGCGCATGCACGTGAGTTGTCTTGAGTGTGTCGCTGGCTAGATGCGCTCATACACAGCATATTATGCCTTAGCGACGGATGCGCCGATCTGGCATTGCACCTCCTCCCACCAAAGCTCGTTCGAGCAAGGGTGTTGCCAAAATTGCTCCCACGTCACACACGCCGACGGAACAAAATCCTTCGACCGGCTCTCCATTGATCCAACCTACCGTACTCGTTGACGACTGCCTCTCAAAAGCTTGGATAGCGGGCCCCTTGTGTCTTTCGTATCCTGTCTCCGCAGTTTACGACGCACCAACCCGGCCCCCCCTCGGCAACACTCGAATCTTCTGCGACCCCCTGATCGACTGCATATCTCCTCTGCGTGAAGATGTACCACTCGATCCCTCTCAACGTCTGTCCTACTATGAGGCTTTGTCTCGGGCTTTGGGTCCTGCTGATGGAATTCAAGAATGCGTCGGGACTTACAGCGCGTACATGGAAGAGCAGACCAAGATTTACTACGAACGGGTCCTGTTCCCTTACAGCACATCTCCACCTCTCTGCGCTGCGATACCTGTCTCTGCTTCGTCGCCTCCTGGTTCAGAACCTGGATACTTCAGCTCCCCAGAGTCAGCCTCATTCTCCGAAGGACTTCCCACCGGCTACTCTTCAGACTGTCTGACGGACTCCACCCGATCTGGCTTCGACGACGAGACTACACTCGCTCTGGAACTCGGCGACATCATCCATAGCCCTTCCGACACCCCCGCCGCGACCCCGAGACAGAGGACGGTCACCTTCGTGCCTTCGCAAGCGGACTCAGCGACGTCTACCTCGTTCATGCGGTCTTCATTGCCCGTCGCTCCGTTCAACACGTCTTCGAGTTCCTTAGCGGGTGCGCTCGGCGACGCGCCTCCTTCAATCTGCGGCAGTGAAGACGCCAGGCGAAAGTGGACCCGTCCACGGGTGGGGAGGGCGCGTGCGTATTCGGCGGGAGGTGGTATGTGACACCATCGGTACGTTCTACGACGAGGCTTCTGGTCCTACTAGGCGTTTATCCTCGCACACTTGCAGCCCTGTGCGTGCGTTTCATCCGCACCCGGCAAGCTATCGACGAGTTTGCACGCCCCAGACGCCTTCGCCATGTATCTGAGTCCACTCTCAGGTAGTTCCGTCCCGTCGCGGTTTCGTTCCACTCCCTCGTTCTACATACTCTCTGTCCGCGCCCATTGTCACTCCTCAATCGTCCCCTTTCTCCGTCTTCGTCTCGACTCTCATTGTTTAACTTAACTCACTGCTTCGAAGGCGCCGTTCAGTGAACCATTCCACTCCTTTACATCGTACATTGCGTCACCTTATCATGTTTGAATGAACCACGTTGTCTTCAGACTCTGATTGCAAACGTTCTCCAAATCCTCCCATGGCGCACTACCTCCGGCGCATGTGCACCACTCCCGTTCTCCCACCGGGCCGACTCGAAACCCATACAGTCATTTCCGCCTCGACGCAGAGATAGCGGACCATTGTGTTCCTCGAGAAAGCGCGTGTTGCATTGTGCGGTCCTAGTAATATCGGCGGAACCGCAGGAAGCCTTTGGGACGGTGGCATGTGTCTTGCGGCGGCCCGCACCCGTACATTGTCTGGAACGGCGATACACTACATATGCATTGTGTCGCGCGCGCAGCACTGGCGTTGTCGCACCGGCCGGCGCTATACATGTACTGGTAGGAAGTAGTTGTCTGATGTTCTACCCAACCTCGTGGCGCCGTTGAATCCCCGTCCCGACCCCCGCCATCGACAAACAAACAGCCCCACGCTGATGACCATCGCCCCCGTCCTCGACGTCATCCATGGCGAGCCGGAGGGGCCGGAACCGCCGCTCGTCTGACCGACCTTCGGGCGACCGCTGCTCGTGCTCGTCGCGAATTCGAAAACGTCGAAATCAGCGGGCCGCGGACGGCGACGGCGTCCGCCTCGTGCACGGATGCCGCAGATCGCGCGACGCGATAGCGGTCTGGGCGCGCGGTCCCCTGGAAGCTTCCCGAGCTCGAGTTCGAGTTGGGGGGGCGATAACGGGGGCGCGTGTCGCTCCCGGCTGGCAGCGGTGACGGCGCGGATGAGCGAATGAGCGACGGGGCGTACGGCATGCTCTCGGCAGGGTGTTGGGACGGCCAGGGTGCCGAGACGTCGGGAAAGAGGGGAGGAGGGGGAGGAGGCTTGGGTTTGGGATGCGTCGAGCGTGCTGCTGCTGCTGCTGTAGGCGGTTGACATCTGGGGAACAAGGGAGGCGCACACGAAACCGCAGAAGGCGCGGGTGAGAGCAGAACTTTGTGCGCGGCGGCCGTCTTTGGGGTGCAGTCACATATGCGTGAGGTATGGAAGTAGGAAGGCGTTTGGAGGAGCGCGTGTGCGGGGAGGAGCGAGAAGAGATGCACCCTGGCGAACGCGGAGAGGGGCCACCAGTGTTTGAACCAGTCCGAGGCGAGCATCGTAGGTCATGGTGCTCTGCCGCCCTGGCATCTCCAGGAGGAGCGCGGGTGGAGATGTGCGAAAACCCGCAGCGACATCGCTTCGAGCTGATCCAGACCGTTCGTTGACTTCGAGGCGTGCAACACTAGACCTGCGGTGGTTTGACCCAAAGAAAGACGTGCGGCGGTAGCAGCTGCGGCGCGGTCGCGTGCGTGCTGCATGGTCGCTCTCCTGCGTCCTCTTCTCCTCTCGTCCACAGCGTCGGGCCACATATCCGTCCACGGTCCTAATGAACGCCAACCACGCCCCTGGTACCCATCGATCGTCATACCACCCCGCACGAAGCGCGGACGGCGTCCTGGACATGGACGGATGGCAGGCGCGCGGTCCGCCCCTCGCGGAGGAGGCAGGGGGTGATGGCGTTGAGATAGTGGCCGTAGAGGGCTGAACGTTGAACGCGAACGTTCAGATGGAAGGTGGTCGCCGTAGCGCTCTTGGCCATGGACCAGGGCCGCCAAACGAGTCCGCCGCAAAGTGCGAGGGCCGCGCCCCGCGCACCGAACGCCCACGGAGGCACGGCGGCACGCGTCGAGCACTGCTCCCGCGGCACCCGTCGCGGGCACGCGCTCGGTATCGATGATCGCGCCATCGCGCCGATTCTCCCTCGTCCTGCGCGCGCGCGGGGCCAGATGGGAGATGGGGAGATGGAGGAGATGGGATTGCCGTTGTGGACGCGGGTCGCCGTAGATGCGCGCGCGCCACGTTCCGCGGGCCATCGTGGCGAACCAGGGTGCCTGGTGCGCCTTGCGGTGGCCACCCCCTCGCGCGCGCACCCGACGGCCGAGGCGATGTGTCGGCTTGAGCGTTGGCGAGGTGGGCGGGTGGGCGGCGGAGGACCGTCGGGCGCCGCAACGTCCGCGGTGGGCCCGAGGTTTTGCGAGCGTCCGCGCGCGGTCACGGGACGGGTGTGGGGACGGCGTTCAGTAATCTGTTCCGGATCGGGCGGGGGTGCCCTGCGGGGGTGCGGATCCTGAAGGTTCGTGCGCGTCGGCTGACCGCCTGAGCGCGGGGAGCGTTCGCGGCCGCTGGCTGGTTTCGGCTGTTCGGCCACAGGGTCTATGGGGGCATGTGGGAGGCACGGGGAGGTGGGGTTTACGAGAGGTGTGATCATTGTGAAGGAGGTGGGGGAGAGCTAGAGCTAGAGCCGGCGGGTAAGTGCCGTCCGCGATCGAGAGCACGGCAGCATTGTGGGGGAGGGGTGCGGTTGCTGCTGAGCCCCTGGTTTGGCAAACATGCCCCAAGGGAAGCAGAAGACCACGACGAAGACGAAGGCGAAGTCGCATGCGGTAGATCTCTCGCGTTCGCCTCTGTCCGTGTGGTCGCTGCGGCTATGGAGTGCACATGGGGCTGACCGTCGCGGGAGGGGCCGCGCCAACGCGGGCTCGAGAGCGGCGTGCTGCAGCGAAGTTGTGGGGAACTGAATGATTCGAGGGTCCGCGCGAGGCTGCGTCCGTGCGGGGTCGCTTGACCGCGGAACGACGCCTCGCGGGCGCGTCTGCTCGCTTGTGCTGCGTGAAGAGTCAGCCCAGGCTCCCCGCGACGTCTCAGCGACTCGTCCAAAGGCCTGCATGACGTTCCTGGTCCTTCCCCGGGGTTACAGAGAGCCGTGTGCACCTCTGCTGACGTACCCCACCATCACGTACCGGGTCGTTGACACGATCGGTCTCGGCCTCGTCTTCTTGGTACCACGCACGGCTGATCGTACGCGAGTACTTGGAAGGGCCCGCCGTACGCTCGGTGCCCACCAACTGAGATCCCAGCGCTATGCGTTACCCAGCATCCCTCCTACGTTCGCCGCGGCCCCGGGGAGAAGGGACGTCGCACTCAGGGTACGGCGTTCCCTCCCTCAGGACCAATGGCGCCCAAGAACGAGCAGACACCACCGCCACTTGTGGCAGGCGATCGGTGGAGGACGACAGGACCCTCACGGGGTTGCGACATTGTATTGCGTCGTGCGTGGTTCGCGGGCTTCGTTCCCAGCGGATCTTGCGTGGAGCCGTAAGCTGGCGCTCCGACGCGATCTTGCCGCGGCCCGGTGAGCGGGGAGGGGTGCGGCGGCGCAGGCGGCGCGTCGTGCATAACTTGGAGCCACGATGCAGCGGCCGTGGGCCGACCGAGACCCTGCCGTACAAGGTGAGAGGGGAAGCGGGGTCAGCAGGATTCGCGGTGGTGCTCGCCGAGACGTCTAGAGTGGCCGGGCTTGGTGGTGCATCTGAACCAGAAGAATTTACGCCACGTACTCGGACGTAAAACGCTTGTAAGGCGTTCTTTCGCTGAGCAGCCCGGCGTTCAGTACATTTGTCAATGGACGACGGTCCCCAGGTCGTCCGGGAATCTGCGCAGACGAGGTCCCGACGCTCGAAAACGGGGCTGCGGCCGAAAGGGTGACGCACGATATTACCTCTGCGCAGTGCGCACTGTCGCCGATCTGTTTCAGGGTTGCAGAAAGTCGCCCACAGATAAGCATGCGAGTGGCAAGGCGGTGGATGTTTGGACATCCAGCTTGTCCTTGTCGCGGCCGCTCCAGCTCTGTGCTTCCGTCCTGGCAAATACCCGGATTCCGGGGACGGAGCAGTCGACGCATGGCATCAACCAGAAGCCTGTAGCTGGATGGACGACGTCAGCCCGGGGGCTCCCCAGAGCGCAGACGAGACCGGATTCGGATGACGTACTCGTGTCGAGGTTGTCCATCCCACCGCGCTAGCGCGGCCCCGGCGCGATATCGAGGGCAAGGTGCAACCGACGGTGCGCAGGCGGCCGCGTCAGCGCGGCCAAGAGCCAGTGCCACCCTGCGCGCGAGCGGACATGATTCATGAAAGGGGGGGCGCTGCCGCCGCGCTCGACGCGGATCGCAAAGGACTAGCGGGACACGCGGCGCGCGCGATCCCACGCGGCCCTCGAAGCTGGCGGTTCTCGTGTGGGATCTGAGCCAGATACGAACGCCACGAGCACCCGTCCCCGGGGAAGCGGGAGGTAGAGGGAGGCAGCAGCAGCGGCGCGTCGTCGGGCGACCGCAGACGCGGCCTCGTGTCGGGCGAGCGGGTGGGGGCGTGGGGCGGGCGCAGGTTGGAGGGGGCGCGGCGTGGCGCGAGAGCCCGGCTTTTTCGCTGCGGTGCGCACTGCGCAGGCGTTGTGGAGCACATCGCGTCACCGGCACGTGCCTGGTCGCAGCCTCCCCATCCCAGCCGCGCCACAAAGGCAGGAGGGCTCCCTCGCCCACTAGCTTTCCGGCGAGCGCGGGGAAGCGGTTGCGGTGATCGGAGCTAAGCAGGTTGCCATCCGTCTGAATTACTTGGTGGTCAGGGCGCGCACTGGAGGGGAAGGTCGCGCTGCAGTGCTCGAGAGGGAGGGGCCCTGGCCGCGGGAGGATACGCGAGGAGGCTCAGAAAAGGCAGGGGCGTTGCCATTGACCGGTTTACGACACGCTGGAACCGGGCCCGTATGTCGCGAGGACGGACGGACACCTCGAGTACGTCTAGTGGACGCTGTGGTGGGGTACTCTTGCGTGTGCGGCCCCTCAGCGCGCAGCAAGCTCCGAGACTTGACTCGTCCTGGCGGTGCACCCCTGCGCATCGGTTTCAGAGAAAGTTAGCGCAGGTTTGCTCGGAGCGTCCACAGGAGTCTGACTGGGAGATGAATGAAGGGACGAGGGTGAGGACGAGAAGAGAGTTCAGACGGGCTGGTGCAGCGATAAGGCGCGCCACAGAGAGATGCTTCCCAAGTCCGAGGACATCATCCATCTATCGGCTTGCGTACCGCCGTCGAACAGAACACACACGACCACGCACACGCTCCTCCCCCATCGTCTTCTCCCGTGCCGCAATGGGCCCGAGCCTGCCATGGCGGCGATGACGTGCGAGAGCGCACCCCCAAGTCTGGCCAACTCGATCTATTGCGGCACGAGAATCGGCCCAGAAACTCATAGCGGCGCACACACACCGGGTGGCGGTCCCGCTCGGCGCGGGCGCGCGCGGAAATGAGCCCATCGACCGAGCTCGCGGAGGAGGCGATGTGCGACCCTCGCCGCCCAGCTCCTACCCGTCTGGGAGTGTGGGCGTCCGCGCGAGCGCAGGGAACTGGTGCCGACGCGCGAACGTGGAGACGGGGCAGCGAGAATGCGGCCGTCGCCGTGCGGCGTGTATGGCGAGCAGGCCGGATGGGGCGACAGACGTTGAGGACGCTTCGGGAGCGGGAGCAGGTGGGAGTCGCCGCATTCGGGGGCGCGGACGCTGGGGAAAGCTTCCCGCAAAGCCAAAATCTACGTTCGATCCGAGCTGAGCGCAACGGCGGCGGACGCAGGGCAGAGGGCGAGACTGCCGTACAGGCTCAAAGGCAGTCTGGGCGGTGTGCCAGAAGGACTGTGCGGGCGAACGGCGGGGACAGTGCTTTGGATTTCTGGAGTACTTGGCTGCGACATGGCAGGGGCGCCAATTATAGAAGCCGGGCCTGGTCCCGGACTGGAGGCGTATCGGACGACGGAAAAGAGAACGACGATCTTCGTGGTCTGGATAGCGTTGCAGACGCGGCAGGCGGGGGCTCGTCGGCCAGATCCCCAGAGGGCTCGCGTGAGACTCGGAGGATCGGCAGATGGGCGCGAGGGGGCAGAGGCGCATGTGCTGCTGCTCGATTGTGGCGCACGGCGCACGGCAAAATGCGACGAGGAGGGAGGGCAGCGCGCGAGGGATGAACGCAAGCCGATGCAGCGATGTCGACGAGGAGAGAGCTGTGACGGGCGACAGGCCGTGGGGGGAAAGTGGACTGAAGAGCAGGCGGGGGAGAGCTAAGTGCAGAAAGGCGGGCTGAGGGGGCACGCTGCAGGATATGTGTGGTGATGGGCGTGATGGAGGGCGGGTGGAAGGCGAGGGGCTGTGCCACAACGGACGATTGTTTGGCTCGTGCGGTAATCGCCATCGGGACGGGCAGAGGGGACGGCCGGGAGACGCCGCCTCGTGGCCTCGCCATCCTCCATATCTCGACCCCCGTCCGAGCCGACACCCACTTTCCCACCAACGCGAGCCTCCCAGTGCGTATAAGCCCCCTTCCGCCCTCACCGTCCCCTTCTCTGACCTCCCGTGCTCCTCGCACTCCAGCGCCCGCCATGTACATGGACCGTGGCCGCTCGAGAGACATCTCTCCCATCGCCTTCGCCCGCCCTGCCCGCCAGCACGGCACCTACACCTCCCCCGCCCTCGTCCAGAGGCAAGCCACCATCCACCTCTATGCGCCCCTGCCGCCAGCCTGTTCCAAATACACCCCTGCCATCGAACCACCTGTGGACGCACGCGACCACCTAAACCACCTCCCGTCCCCCGTCCCGTCCTCCTCACGCCTCCCACCCTCCCCTCAGCCAGACCACTCCTCGCTGTCCACCTCCCCCTCCGACACTCTTCCTCGCACCCACTCCTCCAACAGTGTCTTCTCCGATTCCTCCGAGCCAACCCCCCTCGAGCCACTCACCCCACCCGATGACAGCTCATACCAGCTCGACCGCCCGTTGGAATACTACGACTCCCCACCTTCTCCTCCTCGCACCCTCCAGGACCAGATGCAGAACGCCTACGCCCTCGACAACATGCTCCTCGCCAAGAAGCTTCTCCTCAAGCTTCAGGGCATCGACGTCTCGGGCGACGACGACCCCCGCATCGCCGCCGTCCGTGACGAAGACTTCTCTTCCTCCTTCGTTCCCGAAGGCGGTCTCCGGCTCGACGCCGAGACCGAGGCGCGCATAGAGGCCGCCGAGCGCCGCGCGCTCGAGGCCCAGAAACGTCGCGAGCGCGAGGCCCGTCTGCGCCAATGCGAACGCATCTGGGAGAATTCCGCACGACGTCACCGCGGCGACAAGGAGCGCTCCGCGCGCGCGAAGGAGGACGCCGACCGTGCGCGACGCGACGCGCAGCGGAGGGAGAAGGAGGCGGAGCGCGACCGGGCGAGGCGCGCGGAGGCGGCGCGGGCTGCGCGGAGCAGTGGGCAGTTGCGGATCGCGCGCGGCCAGACCCGTCAGCTCGTGTGCTATGACGGGCTCAGGAACGCGGACTCGCGGATTCTCAAGGCCACGCCGGCGGCGGACCGCGCGGGAGATAACGGTCAGCAGCAGCACTTCCTCTACGACATCATGCCGTCCCCACCCTCGCGCACCGCCTCTCTCGCGTCCTACTCTCCGCCCACCAGCCGCTCCCCGACGGACAAGGACAATCTGACGATGCAGCGGATGCAGCGGGAGTTGGCAGCCAAGCATGCGAAGGCCATCTCCCGATCGGTCGCGTTCACGGACATGCTCGTGGCCATGCATGGGCCCCTCTTCCCTGACGACGTCGACACGCCGGTCTTTACTCGCCATGGGGCCCATCAGAACGAGCTGCTAGCCGTCCTACTGCATCCACCCGAGAAGAGCATCGAGAAGGGCAAGTGTCGTATCCAGGAGAGTCCGAAGAGGGTCGCGACGGCGAAGAAGACAGCTATCTCTCGCATTGTCAGGTCCTCTACCCTCGACTCGGTCGAGTCGGACGCGAGTACGTCTTCCATCACTCCCTCCTCGGCCTCCACCGCTACTCGCTCGGGGTCATGGTTCTCCTTCGGGAGTAAGAGCTCTATCCGCTCGACCTCGACGGTGTTGACGACGCCTTCCTCCTCGCCCGTCGCTCCCACGAAGCCTCCAGCTATTCTTGGCATGCCCTTCTCCGCCTCCCCTCCGTCAGACTGCCCTCTCGTACGCAGAGCGTCTTCCAAGCCTCCGATGGCTCCCACCATTCCTGCGGTGGACCATCCATTAGCCCTCCCGGTGCCACTTGAACTCAAGTCGAAGGAGCACCTTGCTGTTGGTCGTGGTCGCCCCCTCACTCGGCGCTCGGACGTGCCACCATCCACCGATGAGCATGGAACAGGCTCGTCCACGCTCGTTCACCGAGTCAGTCGTTCGGTGTCCAGCATCCTTGACATGGCTGCTCAATTCCAGCGTGCGTACGTCAAGGCGACCATGTTCTCCGCCGGTGTCGATCTCTACGGCAGCTCCTCTTCCGGCTCACGCTCCTTCTCCCGCTCCCGCTCCCCGATATACGCCAGTGGGGCCGGCACCTCGCGTTCGCACAGACGAAACGGCCTGAAACCTGATGGCTTCCGCGCTACGTCCGTCGACGTGAATACTTTCGCCCCACTCGACATGTACCACGAGGATGAGTCGATGCAATACCAACGCACACTCATTCCGCTCTGCCCGCCCTCTTCCGACACACTTCCCGCGCACGAGCGCGTCTTCCCCATTCCTCCCCCGCTTCCCCGCTCGCCCTTCCGGCCGCAGTTCGCTCCGGGTATGCGTCTGTCGCGCATGCGTCCCGTGGCGAACCCGGTGCTGCTCAGGCTCCAGGCGCTCCACAATACCTGCCAGCAGAGCGCCATCGCCTGGCAGCGCGGACGGGAGGGCTCGCTCGCGGCGGGCAAGGAGAAGATGGTCGGGGTCGCTTGGGAGGGCATCGGGAGGAGCAGCCTCGGGTGGGAGGTCAGTTCCGCTCCTCGCACCAGCCGGACTCCGCGTTGGTGCTAGGTGCGGATCAGGTATCCCTCCTTAGGTCGCCCCGTCTCACGTTCAGTCTACCCACTGTCGTTCCTCAGCTGTCTCACCTGCGCTTTGCTCTCTGATCCTGCTCTCACCACGCTTTTCACGGACTTCATTTCCTCACGACTTGTTACTCATACCACGCTTTACGTCGTCCATGAGCCCACCCTAGTTCCTCCGCTTCCGCTTCCAACATCCCCAACCCATCTCTGCCGCTAATTATTGCCAACCCTGAGCCGCTTCTTCTCGTATTCTCATTCCTACAGAGCCGTCGCAGCGGGGCACTGTACTTGTGGCAGTCTCCTGGTGGTCTAGAGTCTTCGCTGCGGCGCGCCCACGTACGCTTAGGGTCCCTTCTCCGATAATGCGTCTCCCTCCCTCTTTCTCTCCCTCTCGCTCCGTTCCCTAATGCTCACGGCTTCGCCCGCCTAGTCATTTGCACTGTATCATGCCCACGTTCCACTTCGCTGTACATATCAGTAGACATGCACACGCAGGGCGCTGTGTGCGTTGTTGTACCATCACGCTCTCCTTGCACCCACATCTCCCTCCCGTTCCCCCACGTCGATCCGACATACCCCGCCCGGATGATATCACTTCATGCCCTTCGATGTACCTAGTTGCACGCTATGACGAAACGACTTATGCCTAATTGCGAGTGACTGTCGGCCTCAAGACGTTGCGTTGCGTGCGTTCCAAGCCTCAAGCCTCGTGTGGCTCTGGCGAGACATAAGAATGCCCCCGGCGAAAAATGTCATCAAAAGTGGTATGCATGCACATGTACGGACAAACGAACTTCATCCTACGGCGAGTCCGACCTCGAGTCTCGCCCCCCCCTCCAGTCTACCAAGTCCGCTCGCCACCAGCCGGCGGCGGCTGGCCCTGCCCCGCCGCACCGTCCCAAGGCTCGCCCCGCCCCGCCCGCCGCTGAACATCGGCGCCGTCCGCCGCCCAAACATCCCCGGCCGCCTCCCCGGTGCCCCGCGCATGCCGCCCGGGCCTGCACCCCCGCCCGCGCCGGCGAGCTGCATGAGGCTGCCCCCCGGGACGCCGACGCCCTGCTGCATCTGCATCTGCTGCTGGTGCTGCATTTGCTGCTGGTGCGCCTGCTGCTGCATTTGTTGTTGTTGTTGCTGCTTGCTGCTGCTGGTGTTGCTGCTGCATATGGAACTGCATCTGGAACTGCTGCGCTTGCGGCCCCTGCGGGCCCTGCTGCTGGTACTGCTGCTGCTGCTGCCCATCCCCATACCCATCCCCATACCCATCTGCGGCTGGTCGAACACGGGCACGGGCCCGCGCTGCCCGGGGCTCCCCGCACGGTACCCGCCCCCGCCCCCACCCGCAGCCGAGCCCGCCGCGCGACGGAACGCCGCCGCGCCCGCCGCGTACCCGTACGAGTGCGCGTAGGAGAGCGTGAGCGCGGCGTCGCGCGCCTCGTCCGCGAGCCAGCCGTTGGCGCGGGCGGCGGCGGCGTCGACGCCGAGCGCGGCGCGGAGGCGCGCGTTCGCGGCGGCCAGGCGCGCGATCTCGGCCTCGCGCTCCGTCGCCCAGTCCGCGCGCGCGCCGAGGAGGGCGTCGAGCTCGGCGAGGGTGGGCACGGCGGCGGGGAGGGCCAGTGCGGGAGGCGCGGGGTCGTGGTGCGGGTGTTGGGAGAGCGGGGGTGGGTTGGAGGGGTCGTAGGGTTGTGAAGGGGATGGGGGGTGTGTGGGCTCGCCGGCGAGGGAGAGGAGTAGGGCGCGGAGGGACTGGGCGAGGCGGTGGAGGGAGAGGGTGGTGGTGGTGTTGGTGGAGAGGTCGTTTTGGGCGAGGGATGCGTCGAGGTTTTGGACGAGGGCCTCGTAGTGGCGGGTCACGGTCAGTTCGTGCTGCTGGGCCGCAAACTGGGGTACGCCGTGAGGACGAGAGGGAGGGGAGGGGGGCGCAGGCCACGTACTGCGTGATTGCGAAACTTGGACATGACGTTCTCCATGGTCTCCTCGTACTCCTTCAGCAGCAGGGAGAGCTGCTTGTTTTCCTGCAGCAGCGTGTGGTTCTCGATGATGATGTGCGCATTATGTCGCTCGAGCTCAGACTCGAAGACCTCTGGGAGGAGGCATGCCCAGTGAGCACGCCTGGACAGATGGAACGGACTGAGTGGCTGCGCACCTTTCGAGATGTCCACATTGACTCTCCGCAACGAGCACCCGCTAGCCACGCTTTCCGCGTCAGCCTAAAGGACTCTACATGCATGAGCAGCCGTGCAGACGAACGCGGGTAGATCGTGCTCACTTTGAGGGCGTGCGCCTGAGCAGCGAGATTCGCGGCCAGCTTCTGGTTGAGCGCATTTTGGTCGGAGAGCTCGTGGAGGATCTGCCACGCCCGTATGAGGTCGGCGTCCATGTCGTGGTACATGGCGTACGAGTCCGCGTAGACAGCCAGGATGGATAGCGGGGATCGTGGGCCTCACGATGTCCGGGATTACCGCGCCCTTGGCAGAGTCGCGCGTCGAGGTGTGCCCCGCATCGTGTCCTTCCAGGTGTCTGGGGTCCGTATGTCACGCATCACGCACCACGAGAGCTGCGCTCGGAGGCGGCCCGGTGGCGTGACCTCGCGACCAACGGACGTCATGGATGTCCGTGTCGACTCTGCAACCCCTCTTGCCTAAGCTGACCTACATCGTCTCGTAAAATGCAAAGGGGTTGTGTTATCAACAGAGAAAGCTGTGCGATAGCTCAGGGCGTCCACGAAAACATCGCATCTGCCCGTTATGCCAAGAACCACCACCGAACGAACGAACGAGAATCTGTTGCACCGCGTCCTCAACTGCGTGCGGAATGACTATGATCTTCATCACACATGCACCATATAGAGTGAATCCCTTCCTTCTACTTAACACAAACGTTGTTTGGGTGTGATAGGAGGCACGTGACTTGGCGCCCGAAGCATTGCAATCTCATCAGATTTTAGCGAAGCCCGATCTAAGCTTACTCAATGACTCAATGCACTTCGACGGCACCTATAACAAGCCACGTAACCATGTCCTTGAGGACAAGCAACGAGGAGGACCTGTACATAAGCTGGACACCTTGCTCATGTATGTGTAGATGCGATCACACTATTCGCCCTAAATGTCAATGTCGTGCTACATGGCTAGAGCCTTGGCTGCGGTGGGCATAGCCGTCTCTATTTTAATCGACCGCCGTAACAACCCACAAAACATGTTCGTGCAGAGGCGCATAGACCAGAAACGTAGGCCAAGAAGGAGTGCGAGTGTTGTTGTGCCAACTTGAATGCCAACTTGAGCAACCGTCAGAAGGTGATGGAAGAGGCCGTTCCTTAGCGGGGCCGTGCGTGATGTGCCCCGGCGTCTAGAGGGACAACGGTGCGCTTCTTGGCCACTCCGAAATTCTTGACTCTCTACGCCCATCTCCTCGCTCCTTCCTCCTCGTAACCCGTCTCTCTAACGTACAGCTCTCTCGTCTTTAACTCCTTTCGCCCCCTCCACCCGCCGCTCGCACAGCAACAACACGCCCCTTCTCCCGCTGGCCATCCCCCCACACACATCACCACCCCATCTCGTGTGCTCAAATGGCTGCTGCTCTCTCTCAGCTCTCCGCTTGCGTCACTCGCATCCTCTCCCTCACCGGCTTCCCCAAGGAGCTCAAAACGAGGGACATCCAAGCCGCCTTCTCCGAATGGGATACCGTCAGCGGCGGTTTCAAGATCAAGTGGATTAACGATACTAGTCTCCTGATTGTCTTTAATGACGCTACCGTCGGTGCGTGTCTGCGTCCCCAGCCTCCACAACTGGCCTTCGACGTCTGCCTGCGCCGCTGATCCTCGCCCACTGCCAATCTTACAGCCAAGCGGGCATATCTCCACGCGCTCGCCTTCCCTCCTTCCATCTTCACCTCCCCCAACACCTCGACCACCGCGACCATCAAGCCCTACGACGGGCCCGATGCCCAGGAAGTGATCCAGTCGGTGAACAGCCGCACGCACAACAACGCTCGGGGCCACGCCGCCCGCGCCTCCGTCTCGCACGCCCGCGGCGTGTCCGTGAGCCACTCCTACAACCGCACCGCGAACAACTCGGGCGCGGCGAGCACGACGATCCAGACGAACGGCCTGCTCGACCAGACCGGCGCCCCCGTTAGCGCCCGGGACCGAGACCAGCCGTCGCCGACGCTGCCCAGCCTGCCGTCGCACCCGACGCTCAACGCGCTCATCTCGTCCTCCCTCTCCACCGACGTCTCCCCGATCGACCCCACCGCGGCGGACCCGGCGGTGCTCGCGGCGCAGCCGGAGCACGGCGCGCCGCGCATCGGGGACCCGGGCAAGAGGATGCTCGGCGCGGCGCTGGGCGTGCGGCACCCAGGGCTGGGCCCGCGGGTCATCAACGGCGCAGCGAACCCGGAGGTGCAGCGGCCCATGGCGGGCATGGTCGGCAGCGAGTGAACGCGCGAGGCGCGGGCCTCAAGGGGCGGAGGAGGAGCAAGACGGTCGACGAAAGACGAAAGACGACGGAGATATTGGACGAGAGGAGGAGAGGAACCGGCGTGCATCCTGAGGTGGAGGTCATGTTCTCGATATTATGCTGCCTGTCTGTGATGTTCTCTTAGTTTGTAATCGTGCAGCGCTCCCTTGTCCGGCTTTACTCTCCCTCGCTCTTCCCCCTCTCGCCGTGCGTCGCTCTCGGCAGCCATGACGAAGCTGGTAGGCGCCCACGGGGCCACCGCCGACACTCGCCGACACCGTGAGTGGCCTGTAGCGCTTGTCATCCATTCGACTACCTAGGGACCCTTCCCGTAGTCCTCCTGTAGTTCTAACAAAATCCTAGCTGGATGGCTTCTCTCGCTCCATACGCTGCGTGTGCGGCTCCAGCGGGCTTCCATATGCGGTAAGAGGCCGGTCTGTTGTCTTGTGACCACCAGGTGGGGAGAAGGGCGCAAGGGCAAGGGTCTGCCCCGAACGACGACGACGACAAGGGATCAGCATGCCATCGGGCGCGGCAGAGCAGCTCAAAGCGCAAGGGAACGCCCTCCACCAGAACGGCGACTACCCGCGGCCCGATCGAAGTACTCCGAAGCGATCAGCCTCGACCCCGCGAACGCGATCTTGTACGCGAATCGCGCGGCGACATACATCGCCCTCAAACAGTGCGTCCTCCGTCCCTCTCTCTCGTGCTGTCGACACCGTATTCACTGCCGGGGTGCGCAGGTACGTGGATGCAGCGAAGGACGCGCTAAAGGTGCATGAAGAGAGTTCTGGCGTCGCACGAGGCTCACCGGCTGTGCCACGCTGCGTTACAGGCCGCACAGCTCGATCCGACGTACGGAAAGGCATGGGCGCGATACGCAAAGTCGTGTCATGTACGTTTCGTTCCTGTGCTGTCTGCGCTGTGCTCAATTCGTATGTGTTTTAGGAGCTACATCTGTACGACAGGAGCAAGGAGGCGTGGACGAAGGCGCTGGGGTGTCTCCCAGCAGAGCCTTCGACACAATCAGAGCTCCAACTCAAGTCGCAGTACGAAGAGGGGCGCGAGCTCGCCGAGGCGGAGCTCAAGGCGACCGAGAAGTACACGTCCTCGGAACCCAGCACGGAGAAGCTGCCGTGGCTCAGAGCCCTCGAGTTCGAAGACGTCCTCACGGCGAACAACGTCCTCAACACCTGCGTACGTTCCCCCCGCTCCCTCGGCTGCTCCCTCGCGGTATTGAGACGGGCGTTTACAGGCGTGGCCGCTTATGAACGCATACAAAGTCAGTAGAGTATAGTCGCCGGCGCAGTTGTGACGCTCCAGGCCGTGATCCCTGTGCCCTAATTGACACTGACCCGCGCAAACAGGACTTCTCCGAAGGCCTGGAGTACCTCAAGAAGCTCACGAAGACGGACAAGGGCATCGAGGGCGATCTGAACGTGAGCCGCACCCGCATCCTTGTGCATCCCCGTGCACTGCGCTGACCTTTGCCCGCGCAGACGCTCCAGCGCATCGTCGGCGGCACCCTGCGGGATCAGCGCGTCTTCCACGCGGAGAGCACGGCAGAAGCGCAGGGGTGGCTCGAACGGCTCGAGCTGCAGGGTGCGTCCTGTCCTGCGCCAGGGCCGCGGATCCGATCTCACGGCGTCCGGCGTGCAGTGCAGTTCGAGCTCGCCGCGTTCGGCGGGTGGCCGCAGGGCGACGCGGGTGCGGTCAAGGCCGCGGCCGCGGCGCTGCTGGAGGAGAAGGGCTGGAAGGCTATGCGCGTCGCTGTGGGCGCGACGGTGCGGTGCGCATCCTTCGCTTGTCAGCGTGCCGTGCACGAGCGACGCGCTGACGGTCGGCGCAGGGCGTGGTTTCTCCGCGCGTGGTTCCTTACGCGCGGCGGGAAGGGGCTAGGGGTCCCTCTGCAGATGTACGCGGACATCGTCGACGTGCTCGAGTGGGGCATACAGCTCGCGGCGGAGCGCGCGATTGCGCCGGGAGAGCGCGGGGGTGTGTTCCACAAGACGTACGTGCGCGCGATCCGGCGGCTGCGGATGGAGACGTACTTGAAGGTGCGTGTCACGTTTCGTCGCTCCTTCGGTGCTGCGGCGCTGAATGGAGATCCGGATAGGCGCTGCGCAACGAAGGAGACGACGACGGGGAGAAGGGGAAGTACAGTGTCGAGGAGCTGATCGACATGGCGAACTCGATGGTCGACGAGACCACGAAGAACGTGCCCAAGGACGGCGAGGAAGACGGGCCCATAGACAAAGGCTCCTGGTACTCGTTCCACGTCTATCCGGTGGCCGACGCGCATGCGTGAGCAGTCTTCTTGGCATTCTTGATTGCCTCAGTCAACTCACACTCGTATCCGGATTCTCCACACATCGAACAGCACGCTCGGGGCGATGTGGATGCAACAGGGTCTGAACGCGGTGCGAAGCGGCAACACCGACGAAGCCGGGAAGATGCTCGCGGCGGCGGCCAAGTTCTACAGGCAGGCGGCGGAGATGTACCCCCCGGATGACGAGGAGTCTCCATGTAAGCTCCTCAGTTCCCCTTCCCGTTGCGGTGCTCTCACTCACACTCTATCTAACTTGCTCGACCTTGCACGCACGCGGTCGCCCTTCCAGTCTTCCTCAAGATTGCGTTCGAGGCGGAGTGGCACCGGGGCCGGCCGCTCGCGGAGGCCCTGCAGTTGAGCGAGCGCGTGCGGCGCGCGCTGCCCGGGGTCGCGCGCATCTGGGGCGGGCACTCGCCCGCGGGGCTCCCCGCGCACCTCAAGCAGCTCTTCGCGTGGGAGGCGGCCGCGTACGTGGGCCTCATCGAGGGGGCGTACACCATGGACACTGCCGCGGTGAGCGCTCGCTCTCGTCCGAATCGCCTGCTCCGAGCCCTAACCGTTCTATCACACACAGTCGGACATCCCGATCGCTGAACGGCCGGTTGAGTTGTGAAACATGCAAGCCCGGGAGCGAAAGCGTGTGGCCCATCTCGCAGCAACGGGCCAGGGATCAACCAACTCAGCCCCGCCCAACCCCCAGCGGCGCGCGTCCGCGCAACAGCATCTGTTCTTGTTATGAATGCGCTTCCTCCTTCTTTCCCATGACACAGTTTGATCTTCGGTCAAATGACCGCGACCAGTACCTGCGTTCTTCAGCACGCCCTCTCCGGATCTTCCGCACTCTATTCTGCGCCCTGTGGCAATCTCGAATGTTGACACATCACCGTTGTGCTATCACTGTTGTACGAATACACGCCGCCCTCGCTTCTCCGCATCCACGCGCATCGCACGCACAGACCCACGGGACGACGTCTCTCAGCGTCATGGGTGCGTATCTGGCAGCGGCCCCGCCACGCGAGTATCGCAATCGTCCGGAATGTGTACGCTCTCAGCTTCCCTGCACGGCCACGACAGCGGTGCGCCCACCCCGCTCCACTCATCTCCGGCATTTGGTGGGAGACCCCGACGAGCTTCGTGCGTTCGGTGGCGTGCACCTCTGGCACGACAGGGTATCCGGATATCCAGACTCTGGCCAGAGCGTGCGCTCGTCCCTCCGTCCCGGCGCTGCGGAGTTTGTTCGCGGGGTTCCGTCACATCGACGCGGGCAGAGCGCTGGGGTTCGGGCTGCCCAGCGCGATCATCCGTTGGAACGTTGCGGTCGTGTTGTGGGCGAGACCGCCGTCCCAGTCCCACATGTCCCGTACGTCCTCGGGTGCTGCGCAAGTGTCATCAAACGCACGGGCGAGGCTGCTCCCGTAGATGCGGTGTGGCGCCTTCCCAGCAGGAGACAAGCGACTGCACATATCGGCAGTTGATATATGGCAGCGGTACACTAGTGCGGTGTATATACAGCACGCGCGCCGTTCGCTGCAGAGGGCTCCGTGTGCGTTCGGACGCGTCCATGATGCATTGATGCGGGGGTGCCGTGCGTGCTCCCGTAGGTGCGCCGCGGTCGGGCGTGCACAGAGCCGTGCAGTGGCACTGCGCGCCGGGGGCCGCTGGAATCGGAATGAGGAGACCCTCGCGCGAGGTTGCGTTCGCGCGCCGATGCGGCGCACAGAAGCACAGGGTGACAGAGGATGACTGGTGCTTCGGTGGGTGGGCCGAGTGATCTGGAGAACTGAAGGCGCGAGTCGGCGTCAGGGCGGGGGACGTGAATGAATGTACACGGGTCCACGCCAGGTTCGAACGTAGCGCGGTGGGTATGTATGCGGAAGAACAGGGCACCGTTTTTGAGTTCGGATTTTGCGAGGAGAACAAGATGGTGAGCGACGGAGGGGAGCTGCAGTTACGAGAGGTGCAGCACGCGGCTTCCGGCATCGCTGAGAGCCATCTCCATCTGGCCGCCCAGATTGGACAGAGAGATGGAGGGACCGCGCCCGGCTGGACGACAGCTGACGACGGTCGATTGAACGGCGGACGGCGCCGTGCCTGTCGCGGATGCCGGGCGACCCCAGCGTGGGATCCCGCGCGGGTCTGCGCACCAAGTTCGCGCTTTTACGAATCGTCGGGCTCCGCGCAGTGTCTGCGTGCGCTGCAGATCGTTGAGCGTGAACCTTGGTACAATCGAGCATGCGAAACGTACGTGGCATCGAGAACGGGCCTACAATCCGGACGAATTTCGCCTGGGTCGACAATGCATTAGTACGTGTTCACGGAGACACGAGACATGAGAAGTGCCATAAGACGAGTCTGCTCAAAGCTGGGGTGCCGGACAAGACCACCGAGCTAATAAACAGTGAACACGCCCGCCCCATATCGATTTCTTGCCTCACGTCCACCGGGGGCTGCCCTCAAGTCCTAGCGACTCGATCCAAACTCTGACGTTTCCTGTGGCGGGGTGCAGGTTCTCCACCTCCGGCTCCCGGTCTTCCCGAGGGTGGCTGATGGCGAGGATGATGAAATACGGGCCGTCCTTGTCCTCAAGTATATCGTTGACGTCGACGTGGCAATGGCAAAACCCTATACAGCTCGCTCTGGCGTCCCCTGCAGCTTGAAAGATGGAATTTAGGATCCTCATATCGGAGCCGGGTCGAGAGTTCTTCGGGAAATAGTCGCGGTTGGATGATTCGACAGCATAACCGTAGATGGCGTGGACGTTGTGCAGGTCGGATAGGACAGGGGGTATTTCACCTCCAATGCTTCGATAGTGTCGAAATCAGCAGATCGAACAGCAAGTATGACATGATACACACGGTTTCCTTTCTCCGTCGGCCATTTAAACAAAAAATGGGGCCAAATGAGTTGGTCGAAACGGAGGGGGGAGCCACAAGGTGTTAATGACGCTGTCACATGAGCGCTTCGATGCGGACTCGTCCTCTTTTAGGCTTCCCTGTACGCCGTGAGATGCCTGAGACCTCCAGGGACCTCGTATGGAACACAATTGGGAGTGGCGGCTGCGGGTCCTGGATGCGCCGATTGAGTGCTGTCCGCACTGCCACGTTCGGCTAGCACCTCGCAGGGTTCGAACTTCGGTGTTCAGACGAGCAGCGCCCGGAGAGAAAAACTTCCTGACGGGTGCGGGGATGCGCAGCGTTTGGTGGCAAGCCCGGTCGTGTTCTGGGACGGCGCCGCGAGGCTCGCACTTCCGTACAAGCCAGACAGCCGTCGCCCGGTCGACCGCGGGGGGTTCCGTCTCGGAGAAGGGAACCGGCGGAGTCTGGGTGCGAACAATATTACGAGTAAGTTCTGGATAGCGCGGTCCACATGAATCAGTCGGACGTACGTACGTGGTCTGGTCTCGGAGATGGGAGGCGGTTCGCCGCAGGCGGGAGGGTTGTGTCATGAACGCAGAAACAGATGAAAGACCGATGTGGGCCGGGCGCGCGGTGGCTTCCCTGAGTGCCTCACGCCGCGGAGGATATATGGGGGCCCCAGAACGCGAGCGATAGCCGGGAGGACGTCAGGCGTGGACAGCTTGCAGGCGTCCGTGTTCGGAATCCGGAGTGCCTGCAGCTGTACACTGGCCCGAAGCGGACACGTGGCGGCGACGCAGCGCGGGCCTTGTGATGTTTCCTGTCGAGCCAAAAACACAAAGAGGGGAGCGAAGAGGGTTGGAAGAAGCCTGGCTTCCGATCATGGGCGGCCCTCGCGACTGGGCCCGTGCGCCCATTTGGAGAGAGAGCTTGCCGGTCTCGGAGCGATCGCTCGGCGCACATGGACATTCCCATCCGGTCCTCGTCGAGTGTTGTCTGGAGCTCGGCAGGGCGGATAATGGCGAACGACGACGGAGTGATCGTTGTGTCTGGCAAACTTGCCTCAGAGTGGCGTGGTGGCCGCGCGCGCGCGGACAATGGAAGGCCGAGTTCGAGCGGCCCGGGGGCCACCCGACCACGGATCGGCGCCATCCTGCCCACACGGCCACTCTCAAGAGCTCTAGCTGCAGGTCTCGCCGCCCTTTACGACGCACGCCCGCAAACGAAGCCCGCGCCCACGGCGACGCGATACGGCGACAGGGGCCGCCTGTGACTCGGTGGTGTCTCAAGATCTCTCTGCCGACAGAAGCACGACTCCGAGCTCGGCCATCCGCAGCCGCGGTCGACGGTACCTCTCGGGCTTTCGCTGACGACGAGCCACGTACTCTGTTCGCGCGATGCCGTCGACGACCGCGGACGTCGGGATAGAGTGCAGCCGCCCGTGCCGCGCGCTGCGCATCTGGGCGGTGAACCTCCGGGTTTGCGACTCGTCCTGCGCGGCGGCCGGATATCAGACAGTCAGACAGAGAAGGCTGTCCCACGCCCGTGCTCGAGTCGAGCTGAGAGCAGGAGGGGTGCATCAGTGATGGAGTTGTGTCGCAGACTGATTCCGGCGTGCGCTGTGTGGGACGGCGCAGAAGAGCGAACAGGAACGAACGCTACGGATGATGGGCGCGGTGGAAGGTGGCGGGCGTTACGACACCGGGCAACGCGTCCTGCGAAGCCGGGGTGGATGTGCAGCGGAGAGGCTCGTGCGAGGCAGGCGGGGGAGATTGGGGGGGCGGAGGCTATCATGGCGAACGGGATGGCGAGTACTCGGAGAAGCGGGCAGTAATTGGTTTCCGGTGCGCGGTTGTGGTCCGCCCCCCCAAATCGGGCGCGACTTGGAACAGTCTTGGAACGCTTCTCGCTTGCGGTCTCTCACCGATCTCACAGCTTCCGTCCGCTCGAATCCTTCAAATATCCCTGCTCGAGCCCGCCCATCGCCCCTCCGTCTCCCGTCTGCCCCAGCCATGCCCCCGCCCACGACCCGCCCCGCGCCGCTCGAGTTCGCCCTGCCGCCGTCGAAGCGTGCAAAGACCTTCCACCCCTACCTCCAGCACCCCCGCCGCAGCGCCGGCCGGCCAATCGCCCTTTGCTGCCCCGCAGGCGTGCGCCCTTTGACCAGCCGGCTCCCAAACGGAGCCTGGGTCGGCGCAGGGTCCGATCCCGAGGTGAGCCGCCAAGGCCTGTTTTCGCCTTTCATTGTGCACAATGCGCATGCATCGTCGCCCTCTGGCCTCTGGCCTCGTGCCTGCACCTGGCCGAGCCCGTCTTTGTCCGCCTCCCATTGTATCCTCCGTCATTTACCGTTCCCCCGGGCTGATCGCCCCCGATCCGGCACACAGACGCCCGTGTCCTGCCAAACGCGTCTGCTTGCGACCTCGCTCCCCGCGCATCATCGATGTCGCCCGCAAGTCGCCCACAGCCCCTCCGCCGCGATCGCCTTTGGCCTGCCTACCGCGCTCCCCGCCCACGCCGCCACTTGTGCCCATGGCTATATACATCCCGCCCTTGCCGCCCTTCCTCCCCCGACTGCACATCCCTTCCTCCCCCCATACCACCAAATGGCCTTCCACTTCGGCCCGGACCCACTCCGCTCCGCCATCCACACGCTCCCCGCTGACATGGGTGGCGTTCCCGCCAAGCCCCCCTTCGACTCCGACTTTCCCGACTTTCTCTACGACTTTGATATCAATGGTCAGCTGGATCTCCCTCTTGCCCAATCCTCTCTCACCGATAGCTCGTGCGATGCAGATTTCACCTCGGACATGATGGCCTCCAGCGCCTTCTTCGAGGCCGAGGACCAGCTCGCCAGCTGGGACTTCACGTCTGGTCCCATCTCCGCGAACCCCTCGTCGCCCATCTCGCGCTCCGCGTCTCGTTCCAGCTGCGGATCCGCCTCGTTCGACACGGACAGCTCGTCCCCCTACCCCGAAGACTATCCCACGCCGTCATCTGACAGCACGGTTACGACCCCCACGCCGAACGAACCCGTCGTCGGATTGGCCTCCGCCCTCCACCCTGCGTCGTTCCGCCACGACTTCGCATTCACTTTGGAGCCGAAGCCGAAAGACCACTTCACGCACGCGCTCTCTTACGTCCCAGGATCCGCGCCGCTCTCTCCGAGTGGTTTCTCGTTCGACTTCGGTTCCTTCACTCAGCAGCTCTCGCCGCCACTCTACCCCTTCGCCGCCCCCGTTGCCCCCACCTTCGTCGACGCGCGTCGACACAGCGAGCCCGCGACGCTCGGCTCTGCCCAGCTCCCGTTCCTCGTGCCCGCGCACCAAGAGGTGCCGGCGCCATCGCCAACCGCCGTCGCCGCCACGCGTCCGATCGCAGATCAACCCCGTCCCGTGTCGACGGCAGCCCGTTCCGCACTCGCACACGCATCTGCACCTCAGCCCACATCGTTCGCTCCCTCGGCGCTGACGCTGGTCCTGCCACCGCCGCCATCGATTGCGCCGCATCAGACGCAATTGCTGGAGATCAAGAGCCCACGGCCCGTGCGGGGCTTCAAGCCGCCCATCCTGCTCTCGGCGATGCACTACGACCCCAAAGATTTTGTGCGTCGGAGGTCGGAGCCGATCCTGCCCCTGCGGGAGCTCGACGTCGTGAGTCATCTCGCGCTGGACGCGGCGGCGGAGGAGGAGGAAGAGGAGGCGGAGACGATGGAGGTCGAGGAGGAGCTCGCGTGCAAGGAGGAGGAGGTCGAAGAAGAGTTGCCGATGTTCGTCGACAACAGCGACGCTGGCCTCGACTCGTGGATGAGCCTCGAGCAGGACGGGTCGCTGTTCGACTCGAACTTCTCGTGGTACAAGTCTGAAGAGCTGCAGCTGCCGGCGCTGGCGCTCCCCTCAGAGCAGCACCCGTTCAACGACGTGCTGGAATGGAACTACGGCGTCGCCGCCGCGGAGATGTCGGCCGTGCCGCGTCTCGGCTGGGGCGCTTAGTTTTTTTTCCGTTTGGATCGGACAAGGTTCGGTTTTCGTTCGTCTGTACATGTGCAGGCCTGCGCTGCGCACGCCCACTCGTTAAGCCTCGCATCGCCGTCGACGGGAGTCGGCGGCCTCTGTAGCATCTACACACACGTATTTCTCGCTCTTTCGCGCACATACCATCTCCTTTGGCCGTCGGGGCCGTCCGTGTTGGGGCCCAGACCCTCTGTAGCTATACACACTCTCCTTCGTTCTCGCTCATCTCTGTATAGATCTGCGCAAGGTATATATTGGGTATCATAATAGCATATGTCATCCGTAATTCCCTTCTCTACTGCAGCACGCCTACGCAGCCAGGATCGAGAGTCTGCGCGCGCAGGGAGCACAGGGGGCCTAGAACAACTGCGGGGCAGGGGCGCGCCACCGATCGCGTTGCGGGGCTTGAGCAGATCGTAATCTCGGGAGAGGGGCGCGCTCCCGTGTTTCCGCCCCGCCGGCTCCGGCTATCTCTCCCCAGCCGGGCCGGGAGAGGCGCCCGGACGGCGCCCGCCTGCTACCCCCGCACTCAGCCGCGGGGCTCCGCGTCACCCTTTCCACTGCAACCACCTTGGCCCTCCTCGGGTCAAGTCCTCTCATGTCCGCGTCGCCCCGCCTGCATATGCACCGTTATCCTGCACACACCCTGCACAGCTAGCGGCTCTTGCACCTGCGGTACCCGCCCCCCATCGTCACCACCGACGAGACCGAAGGAACGGACTGCGCACACTTGTTTCCGACCATGCTGAAGCGCCTCTCCCACGCGGCGACGAGGACGCTGCTCCGCGCCGTCGAGGCCCACGGGCCGTCGGAGGACGGGCGGAGCGAGGTGGTGAGTCGGCCGTGCTCGTGCGTGTCAAAGTCACAGGAGAGCGCTGAGCGGCGTCGCCGGCAGAGCCTGAGCGTCGAGGAGCTGTGCTTGCTGCCCCGGCTGGCGTGGCACGGCGTCGCGGACGCGTGCGCCCGGACGGTCGCGCCTGTGTACGGCGCGCTGCGGGACGACATGGAGGCCGTCACGCGGCTGTTTGCCGAGCTCGAGGGCGCGGCGGGCGAACAGGAGGGGGCGGAGGCGGACGAGACGGAGACGGAGGTGGAGGCGGAGGTAGAAGAGGCCTCCGAGGTGCACACGGTACGTACACCTCCGAGGCGTCTTGGGTGCGTACGTACGTGGCCCCTGACGTCGACGCCTCCGCAGCCTGCAGAAGAGCGGGGCTGCTTCGACGAGCCCTGCGGCCTAAAACGGACGGCCAGCACCGGCAACCTGACGGCGTTGCCGTTGCGACCCCAGCGGCCCCGACGGCGGTCGTCCCAGTCTCCCAGGGTGAGCACTCTCCCGACGGCCTCTACGTCTCGTCGTCGTCGCACTCACCACCCTCACTCCCATTCCCAGAGCCCAAGCCCCGGGCTCCCCTCGAACCCCGACGTCCCGCTCGTGATCACGAACGCGGACCCGGCCGTGCCCACGATCGTCGTGACGCCGTGCCCGTCCCTGCCGCCGTCGGGCGCGTGCCTCGTCCCGTACCAGGACGCGGCGTTCGGCGCGCGCCTGCCCGTGCCCGCGCACCCGGTGCTCAACGACGTCTTCCCGCCGCTCGTCCGCCCCCCGCGCGGGCCGCTGCTCGTCGAGCGCTGGCGGTACGAGCGCGGGCACTGGCGCGCGCAGCTGCCGCCCGTGCACGAGCAGATGCGCAGGGGCATGTTCTCGCGGCCGCTGTCGACCCGGCGCGCGCGTGCTGCGGCGACGGGGCGGGAGACGAGAAGGCGGGGGCGGCGCCGCGCGGGCGGGTGGTGTATTCGCGGGGCAGCCCGAGGGAGGGATAAAATGTGTGAGTTGGAGGGAGGTTCGTCGTGCCCGCGGCACGTTTGGTTTCCTTAGAGTCTGTCGTTTGGTTATCGTGGATGGAGGATGTGCGGGCTGCGTCGGTTGCCAGGTATGCTATGCGTTCTGTATTCTTGTACATGTCGTTATATTCGTTCTGTAGCCCGTCACCGCGTCGCTGGTGCCAGCGGACGCGTGCGGTAATCTCCAATGCTATCTAGTGTCTGTCGACATCAGAGACACATGCGGCGGGGGAAGATGCGAACGTGGCACAGCAGTCGAGGACTTGGTTGGGGGAATCCGCGCGTGCCTTAGACGCACGTGGGGACAGCTGTATGCGGTGACCTCACCGCGCCCTGGCCCCTGCAGCAGACGCCGTCCCACCACGTATTCCTGCCCATGCCCTGCGCTCGCCGCCGTGCTCTACTCCGAACCTCCCACTCGCCCTAGCCGTCCGCATCGACGCCGTCGTATGCTCTCCATATATCGCTGAACGGAACCGCCGGCCTCCCCGCTCCACTCCACCCACGCGCACCTCATCGATGTCGCTCAAGGCGCTCTTTTACGCATACATCCTCGGCGGGCTCACCCTCCTCCCGCTCGCCGTCCTTGCCGCCGTCTTCTACACCGTCTACACCTCCGTCCCTGTCGGCGACGCGGACCCCGACAAGCTCCGGAAGCGCGAGCTGCAGCTGCGGTCCCAGAAGGAGCACGCTGACGCCGACGCCGAGTCCTCCTCACCCTCTCCACCCGCCTCCGCCTCTCCCTCAGATAACGACAACGCCCTCGAGACGAACGACGCGCCGCGCCCGCGCCGGGGCTGGCTGACCGTGCGGCGCACGTTCGAGGAGCCGCCCACAGAGGGCTCGTACGTCGAGCTCGTCAGGGGCTTCCTCGACGGCCGCTCGAAGGACCCGCGGCGGGCGCGGCCGAAGGACGCGTGGTTCGCGGCGCTCAAGGGCACGGTGCTCTACCTGTACGAGGACGAGGGGATGGGCGAGTGCGGGGCCGCGGTCGACCTCGCGGCGCATCGGGTGGGGGTGCACCCCGAGGGCCTGCCGGACGGGGAGCTGTTCGCGAAGCGGAACGCGATCTGTTTGCGGCCGAGGGCGGACGGGGAGGACGGGGAGCGGTCGGAGGGGAGCGGGAACGGGAGAGGGAGCGGGAAAGAGGGGATGCCGAGCGTGACGAGGGAGATGCGGCTGGGGGGCGACGACGACGAAGAGGAACGAGACGTGGAGCAGACGAGGCGGGAGGAGGCGCGGGCGCGGGCGCAGCGGCGGACGTGACGGCGCCGTGGTTCATCTTCGTCCGCTCCGCGGTCGAGATGGAGGACTGGTACCTCGCGCTCGTGCACGCGAGCCGCGAGCCCGCGCACCGGCCGACGCTCGCGCCGCTCCGCGCCGTGTACCGCGCGGAGGACATGGCGCACCTCGTCGCGACGCTCGACGAGCAGCCGGACGTGATCCCGATGCGGTGGCTGAACGCGCTGCTCGGGCGCGTGTTCTTCAGCTACTACCGGACAGCGAAGCTCGAGGAGTACATCATCGGCCGGCTGATGAAGAAGATATCGAAGGTGAAGCGGCCCGGGTTCCTCACCGACATCAACGTGCGCGACGTGAGCGTGGGCGACCGCGCGCCGACGTTCAGCAAGCCGATGCTCAAGGAGCTCACGAAGGAGGGCGACGCCGCGCTCGAGGTCCACGTCGCGTACAAGGGCCAGGTGCGCATCACGGTCGAGGCGACGGCGACGATCAACCTGGGGGCGTTCGCGGGGAACAAGGTGTACAACGTCAAGCTCGTGCTTGCGCTCGTCCTCCGCGAGATCGAGGGCAACCTGCTCATCAAGGTCAAGCGGCCGCCTTCGAGCCGTATCTGGTACGCGTTCACCCAGGAACCGCACGTCGTCCTGGACGTGGAGCCCGTCGTCAGCGACAGGCAGATCACCTGGAGTATGATCCTCAATACCGTGCAGTCCAAGTTGAAGGAAGTGGTGCGTGTCTATTCATGTCAAAGTGTCGTTTTGACTCTCGTGTGCTGTTGGCTCACGACGTTTGACAGATCCTGGAGTCTGTGGTGCTTCCCAACATGGACGACATATCGTTCTTCGACAGCGAGGAGTACGCGAACCGTGGTGGTATCTGGGCCGACGCATATCGTCGTGAACGAGCGCCAACGCTTGCTGGAGAGCCTACAGGACCACCACCGGAGGAGGCGTCAAGGGTAGACACTGGAGAACCTGGATTTCCTCCGATGCAGCGCTCCCATTCTGCCAACGAAACCAGCGGGACGTCACCCCCGGACGGCGCACCAATGGTTCGAGCAACGACAGTTGAAATCGCCGGGTCTTCAGGCTCAAGCTCCTCAGCTAAACGTCGAACATGGTTTGGAAGTGCGCAAGACGCCGACACGTCCACTCCTTCCGATACACCTGTCCCAGACGAACCCGTTTCAAGGGGTAGGAGTCTCGGACCGGAGGTCACAAACAGGCCTGCAAGCGTTCCGAACTCTAGGGCCCTTGAGGAGCCGGAGGAGTCCGCCGTTCTACCATCGGACGAGGTCCCAGAGTCCCAGTATCTGTCAGCCCGCAACTCTACCCGTCGCGCTTCCTCTTCCTCCCAGCATTTCCGCTCCAACTCTTCACGTTCCACCTCCGTTTCGTCGTCTCGCGCAGGTGACGTCTCCGACGACGCACCGGACGCCCAGACTGCGACTTACCGGCCCAAGAGCCCTGCCGCTAATGGTGGCTCCTCACGTCAGACCCCGACCAGTCCCAGCGGGTTCTTCCAGACGCTCAAGACTCGTGCGGCGGACAAGCAGGCGCTAAGCAACACTGCGAAGGAAGCGATGCGCAAATGGGGCGTCAACTGGAGCAACTTCCGACGGGAGTCTATCAGCGGCGGGTCTGCCGGGGCCCTGTCCGGAGACGACGTTCCCGATGGCGGGCACGGGGACCAGTCCCGGGCGGACGGGCGGGCGCCCGGCGCGGCGTGCGTCCTTCGTACGCCGAGGTTCGTGCGGCGGTGGAAGAACGGCGCGAGCGAGAGCGTCCGCCGCTGCAAGAGACGTCGTGGAGCAACCAGCTTGCGATGGAACCTGTCCCCGTCCCCAATGGGAAAGGCAAAGCCAGGGCGGAGAGCGTGCCGCCAGCCAACGCACCGCTCCCTGCACCCCCTGCGCTCGATGACCCTGCCAGTGCGAAACAGACCGCGGCGGCCCCGCGCGCAGAATCACCCGTACCTCTGGAGAGAACGGAGTCGCAGGCGTCGGCATCTTCGCAGCACAGCAAACCAGCACCAATCGCGAACGTCGAGCCAGAAGCGCTGGAGCGGCCTGCGACGACCATCCACACTCAACCGCTGCCACCGAAGACGATGATGATCCCGGGAATCCACGCGAAGAATCGCGGCGAGGTGATGTCCATGGGCTACGCACCCCCACCGCCAGCGCCACCACAGGACACGAAGAAGGCGCCGTTGCAGCTGCAAAACATGTACAGTCGTCTGTGGAAGGCGCCAGCTAATGGTGCACCGCCCCAACATGAGGACGCTGCCCCCGTGTCTCAGACTGGGTTCGCAGGGCATGACCAGGACTCGATACCCGTTCCGTCGTCCTCTGCGGAGGCGAGCGGCGGTCGTGGAGAGATCCCAGCACTCCCACCAGCCGCTCTGCAAGCGCAGCTACCGACCCTACCGCAACCGGCACGCGTGCCGCCGCCGCTCCCGCCGCGCGCAAATTCGACACACGCGCTGCTCGCAAAGCCGGAGATTTCGCGTCCGTCAGAAGCCTCGGTCGGGCAGGGGGATGCTCAGTCTGTGTCGCTTGCGTCGGCCGCGCTGCAGTCGATCGTGGTCAAGGACCGGGTGAAGCGTGCATCGCTCACGTCGTCGACGCCGCCCGCTGGTATCTCGCCGTTGACCCCACCGCTCGCGCAAGGCGAAGACGCATCGGACTCAAGTACGAATGTACCTGTGTCCACGAACATGTCGGAGTCGCCTATGTCGAACACGCCCACCCCGTCGTCGCCGCCGAGCCCCCCACCGGGATCAGGAGCGTCGACGATGCCTCCCATTGGCCGGGGACCGCCCCCCGCGCTGCCGCCGCGCCGGCTACGGACAGCGACTTAGGTTCTTGCGTCGTCACTCTCATTGTCGAGATGGTCATTCGTCGAGTTGTTGGCATCATTATCCCCACCTCTCCTCGTCATAGCTTCGTCCTTACAGATCTCAACACTCACTTCCTACGTCGTCGACCTGGATTGTACATCACGATACTTCTCGTTAGCTATCTCCATCTTGCATCTTGCTGCTGTATCAACGTTTCCTCTGCCTCTGGAGCCGCATCGCCTTATATCGTCTCACCTCAATCGCATCCTTTTTATTTGATCCTGGACGCTAGTGTCACAATTTCATCTGCGCCCCGCCGACGGGCATGCGCACCCGTCTCGGATGCCGCGCATGTACGTGATCTCATGAGTGAGTTGGAGGACCGTCTTCACGCCGTCACGCCTCGTGTGCGGGGAGTACTCACGCCGGGCGTGGTGGTTGACGTGATCGAGCATCTTCGGGGTGCGTCGCGACGAGCACGACGTACGGACGATCGGTTCGCCGCAGTCGCCCATTCGCGATGGGAGGCATGCGAGAGCTCGCGCAATCTTCCTTCTTTCGCTGTCCACTTTGCGGTCGTCGCGCGCGAGCGGATTCCTATTTCTCCGTGGTCGGGGGCAGACGCACCCCCGGGCCGGAAGGTGCGAACGCCACGATCAAGGTTCTCGACGGGTTAGACTACGTCGGCGCTACATCGTGATTATCGGGCCCGGGCGCCTGGGCGTGTGGTTTGGGCCTTGGCCCTGGGACGGAGCCGCCGGTTTGTGCGTCCGGCCGGAGAGAATGATTGACAGCCTGGATCAGGTTCGCGGGGCCGCGAGGCTCTTGCGCGCACTCCTGCTCTCCCAACCTCAGAATACGAGCCTGCGCGACAGTGGCGCGAGGACGGGCTTGGGGCGCGCAGAAGACGGATCGATTGCGAGGATCGGGGCGAAGCATGACAAGCATGACACAGCGGCGCGCGCGCGGCTGCAGCCTCGACGATCGCGACTCTCTCGCGAGGGGGTGGGGGCGAAGGGCAGTCGCCATGGGAACGCGCGCCTCGCTCCGTGCGCGACGGAAACAGCTCCCCCCTCTCGCGCCCCGGCGTCGGCGTGCGCGGGCCAACGCCAGTGCGCGGGCCGATGGGGGCGCAGGCCAGTGCGCGGGCGCATCGATGCCGTGGGCAGGCCACGCCGTATGCGGATGCGATATAGAGCGCACCGCGCCCCCGCGCGCCCCCACCCTCTGGCACCTGCGCACCTCGTCTCCCGCGCGCCCGCGTACTCGTCCACTTCGCCTTCCACCTCGCCCCGTGCACCCTGCGCACGCCCCCGGGTCTCACCCTCCGTTTGGGCCGCTCCGCCTTCACACCGCCGCGCCCCCTGGCCCTTCCCTCTCCCGCATACCCCGCGCGCTGCCCACCGCATACCCACACGCTAGCCGGCACCGTCTAAAAGGTCTCGCGCGCGCCGTGCCTTGCACACTCCAACTTGAAGCCCCGCCTCCCTCTTTTCTCGTCTTTGCGTCGGGGGCACACGCACTTTGGTCCCTCCCTACCCCCACCACGATCGGCTCCGACGAGACACGATCGGGCGAGCTTCCCCGCACACAGCACGGACCCACACGACGCCCGACGCCCGACGCCCACAGGCCTGTCACGACGCGTCCTGGAACGCTGCCTAAACCCGCCTGGTGCAAGCCCGGTCCAATTCCAAGCGTCAAGGCCTCAAGTCTCGAGTCTTTTCACGAACCACGACGGCACCCCGATGACCGACAAAGCGCCGAACGCAGCCGTGCTCGAGGAGCTCCTCAACCTCGCCGACGTCCCCGGCCCGGGGAGGAAGAGGCGGTTCATCGTCGAGCCGCAGGTGCTGAACGCCGCGTTCGAGAGCGACGGGGGCGCGGCCGGTGCAGGTGCGTACCTCGATATCTCCGGCGCGCTTCCCGCGAGCCACGTTATGCACGTGAGGCACGCCATTGAGCGGCGGTCGTCGCCTGAGTTGCGCTTCGCGGATGCCGCGGCGTCGCAAGGCGTGTCGGGCGAACGAGCGTGCATACAGCCGTACATTCTGTTGCGTATTCTCTGGCGCCGATCACCGTATGTCGGCATGCGCGGTTGTGTGCTGGAAACTCGCATCAGGAATTGCGCGTTCGACGTGTGCCGGCCTTTTCTTCCCCACCAATCACATAGGTTGCCGGGGGTGGGCTGAGCGTACACCGACGAGTGGTGCACGGCTGGTCGGGCACCTAAGACAAGCCTGTTCTCAATTCAGCCTGCATGAGGATGTATTCACTTCGCGTTGCAGATCAAATAGACGGCGTTTACGTACGCGCCTGTTCTTGCTACGTGTCTCTCCAGTGAACGCCGCACGGTGTGGATGAGCCAACACCCCAAACGGCTCATAGCATGAGCGACAATACCGCACTTCCCCATCTGCTTCTGTGCCAACCGCTTGCAGCGCGAACCAACCGCTAACTTTTACGTCCTCGTTTCGCCGCAGGCCATTTCTCTCAGCCTCAGAGCCCCGTCGGCCTCCCTCCCCCACCACGCCCGAACACACACAGAGCGCGCCCGACGCGCTCGACTCCAAACTCTCCAGCCACGAGCGGCGAGCACCCCGTCCCGCAGCTCGCCTCGTTCGTCGCGGGCTCCCTGCCCGGCTCCCCGCTCTCGTCCCCGCCCACGAACTCGCCGGAGACGCCGGGCGCCTCGGACAACGCCTTCGTGCGGCCGTCGCCGCGCCTCTCGCACATTCTGCGCGGGGACATGACGGGCCTCGCGCCCCTCCGCCGCAAGTCGATGCTCGACGACGCGGACGAGACGTACGCCACGGCGCGTTCGCGACGGGGCCACCACGACCGCTTCGGAGAAGAGGACGACGACGGCAGGCTGTCTGCTGTATACGCGTCCGCGTCCACGTCCGGGCACGTCCCGCCGTGGATCGCGCGCCAGGCCCCCAGGCTCGATCCCCGCGCGTTCGTCGCGACGGACGGGGAGCGCGTCGGCGGCGTCGGCGGGTCGCGCCACTGGCCAGACAACGCGTTGGACGGCGAGCTCGGGGCGTTCAGGTTCCACGGCTCGCAGCCGTCGTCGCCAGACACGCCGGTGGCTGAGGGCGCGGCGCGCGGGCAGCGCAACAAGGTCCTGACGGGCCTGCAGAAGATCACGAAGCTCGGGGGCAAGGGCAAGAGCCAGCCGAGCGCGGTCCCCGAGGAGGGTGCGGCGCTGCCCGCACGGCGGATGAGCGACGTCGCGCTGAGGGAGGGCAGGCGGACGCTGAAGAAGGGCGGCTCTGGGAGCGAGGACCTGTCGGGGTCGATGTCGTCGCGGTACCGACGGCTGGTCGGGGGCGTGAGGACGGCGGGGGAGCTGATGAAGCCGATCCCATCTGTGGGCGGGAGCGTGCCCAGCTCGCCGGTGTCGTCTGGGTCGAAGGGGAAAGGTGCGCAGTTTCAATAGCTGCCGGCGCGGGTCGCTGACGGTGGATTTCATCGTGTTGTGTGTCGCAGGCGTGGTGGCGGGCGCGCAGGGGACGCTCACCAGGGGCGGAGAGCGACCGCCATCAGCAGGCGCGGCGGTCGCACCGGGGCGCGAGCTCGGACTGTCGCAAGTCGGGGCTCGACCGAGTCCAATCACGGTCCAGCACAGATCATCACGCCCCCGCCGTTCCCACGGGCGCCAGCCGTCCGACATGTCCTCCTCCTCCCTCGAGCCGCGCTTCAGCTCCTCCTTCCCCTCCGCCTCGGACGACCCTCCTCCAGAACCCCGCGTCTCGATCTCGTCTACCATACCGGCCTCGACCGCTAATAGCCACTCCTTCGACCTCTTCCCCCCGCCCCGCACACGACCCCCTATGAATTTCAGCCCCGACCGCGAGTCGTTCATCGACCTCGCCTCGCCCACGTACTCGCCCCGCGGCGCCGAGTTTGGGTACGTCGGAATGCCCCCGGCCGCGCCGGGGGACAAGCCCCTGCCTCCCATCGCGAGCAGGGAGTCGAGCCACGGCAAGTCCTCGTCTTCCGGCTCCGGCTCGAAGTCCCCCGCTCCGGCCCCGCGTCGTCGTCGAACAAGCCCCGACTGGAGCGTCTCGTTGCGCCGACCGGGTACGACAAGCCGCCGATCCCGACGACGCCGAAGCCGGACTTTGGGACGCGGCGGACGAGCAAGGCGTCGCCGACGCTGGGCAGCCGCCGCATCTGCACGCGGACGAGGTGGACGGGCCGACGTTCGCGTCCTCGAACGCGCTCTCGACGCAGGAGCGGGCGGACAGGGTGCGGACGACGCGGAAGCTGGCGCAGGTGTTCGGGCAGCCGCCGGGGACGTCCGTCTCGCCTGTCACGGGGGACGAGTATGACGTCGTGCTGCCTCCGGGCTGCCTTCCCCTCCCTCGCCCGCTCGCGCTCAATTTGAATCCCCGCCGGAAGCAGCACCGCCCCGCCCCCTCCGTCCCGGGCGGCGAGTCCGACGTCGCGCCCGCCGCCCGCCGGCACTCGGCGCCCCTGTCCCCGGACGACGTCGCGTTCTTCGGCCCCGCCCGGTCCTCCCTCGACTCCCGCCTCTCCGCCGACTCGCACCCGTCCACCGCCGTCGTCCATGTCGGCGAGCGCGAGGGCCCGCCCGACAACGTTACCGCCAGCTCTGCCGCGGGCCACTCGTGGCGCAGCGTCCGCTCTGCCGCCGCACCGGGCTCCCCGCTTTCCTTCATCGACCTCTCAGACGAGGAGGGCGGTGACATGGACTTGGACGAGACCCGGCGGCCCGGGCGGAGACGTGCGCCGTCGCCGTCCGCCGCGTCGCTCGCCGAGATGGAGCTCGCCGAGGACGAGCGCCGTCGAAAGCGTGAAAAGCTCGCGAAGCTCCATCGTTACCTTGGCTCCCGCGTCCCCCCTCACCTCGTCCTCGGTCCCCTCGACGAGGGCACCCCGCTCCCCCCTCCCGCTCCCTCCTTCCCCGACGACGGCGACGGCACCACCGACGTCCACAGAGCCAAGATGAGGCGCCGTAGATCCTCCTCCGCTGCCGAGTTCTCCCGCACCTGGTCCGACGACATCGACCGCCTCAAGGAGGACCTCAATGAGCGCGAGAAGGCGATCAACGTCCGCCGCGCCGTCAAGATGGAGAAGGTGCGTTGAGCACCCGCGTGTGTGCTAGCCCCTCTTGCTGAACGGGTGCGTCTTCCATGCCTACAGATGTTCGGCGTCGCCCCGCCCCAGACCCTGTACCACACCCGCGCTCCCACCGCACCGAGCCCTGGCTGGCGGACCCCCGTTCCGCGCTCGCCAGCGACGCCTCCGTTCCGCTTCGTCGCCCCTGGGTCATCGTCGAATGTCAAGAGTAAGGATTCAAAACGTCCGGGCACCGGCGATTCTTCACAGCCTCTCATCAACGACGCAGATAACTTCCTCAAACCCAACCTTTCTTCCGTGTACATGCACTATCGCCACTCTCTCAACTCTCTCAACGACATCATCGACCGGGTGAGTGCTCTCCGTCTTGACTTCCCGTGCGTGGTGCTCAGACCTGCTTGCAGGACGATAAGGAGTCCCTCGCCGAGCTGCACGACTACATCACCGGCACCGACCCTTACCCGGTGGGTTCGGAGTACGACTTCCAGTTCGCGAACGTCCCGCCCCGACCAACGCCGCCTCCATCAGCGGCGCCCCGCAGATCTCGCCCGAGCTCTTCGAGGAGTTCTCGGTCTCGAGCCCGACGACCTCGAAGGCGGACCGCCGCCGCTCGCTACCGTCGCGCATGTCCGTCGCCTCGTTTTCGTCCGACATTGGCGCCATGCTCCTCCCCACCCCCATGGAGGGCTCCTTCGAGGGCAAGCAGACGTTCCAGCAGCGCCGCCGGCGCGCGGCGAAGCTGGGCAAGTTCTTCGGCGTGGACTACAAGGACCTCATGAACGAGATCCTCGAGAGCATCGAGAAGGGCGTCGAGGAGGAGCGCGGCAAGGGCACGTTGAAGCCCGACGAGGTCCAGGTGCGCCATATCCCGTGCCCCTCTCACTCCTACACGCGTGCTCACACACCTGAACTCTTCCCAGGACCTGCAACAAAAACTATCGAAGCTGAAGTCGAAGCGCAACAGCCTTACGTCTACTTCCACCACTGCCTCATGAGCGACCCCCTTCCCGACCGTGTACATGTACATCACTATCATCATCTCTCACGACTCTCATGGGACTCGTTGCTTCGTTCGGACGTTGTGCCTCCCCCACCTGTGTGTACATATTATATGGTCTGTTAATGGTCGCGCCGCGGACAGCGCTGCGCGCCCGCGCGCACATGCAGCGTTGCATGCCTATGTCTACTATCCTGTACATTATAATATATGAATTCCACACGAGCGAACGCGGCAATGGAATAAACAACGAAAGCAACATCCCGACCGCTAGCAAGTGTCTGTACCTGTCCCAAACTAAGTATAGTATGCAGCACCGTGTACGCCCCGGGATCAGAGTACGACAAGATCGCCCTGGCAGCAGTGGCACCAGAAGATGTGCGACTCGTCCATGAAGACGGGCCGCTTGTGGCTAATGCTATGACCGTTGTGCGCGTGTTGGTGAGTGTGATCGTGCGAGTGCGGCGCCTCGTCCACTTCGGGAGGCTCAACCACCACAGGGAGTCCGGAAACCTTCCGCCGCGGCGAGCTTGTCGCTCCTGCACGCGGCGGGTGCGCAGACGCGGCGAGCTCGCTGTCGATGCGCGCCTTGAGCATGCTGAGGCTGACCTTGCGCTTGTGGCGCGCCTCGGGCGAGAGGCCCTCGAACGCGGCGAGCGTCGCCGGGGGTGGGGGCGACGCCGTGCGCGCGGGGCGTCCGGACCCGATAGACGCCCTGCGGAGCTCGTTCTGCCGGCTCGACGTGCGCCTGGGGAGCGCGAGCGGCTGGGCGCGGACCTCCGCGAGCTCGCCCTCGAGCGCGGCGGCGCGCCGCTGGTGGGCGTGCATCTTCGCCTCGGCGTCGTACACGGCGGACTCGAGCGCGCGCACCTTGGAGTGCGCGGCGGAGAGCTCGAGCGCGTGCTGCTGGCGGAGCGCGCTGAGCATCTCGTCGTCGAGCGAGGGGCCCGCACCGGGCCCGGCGGTGGGCGAGGCGACGATGTCGCGGAGGCGCTCGAGCTCCGCGTCCTTCTGCGCCGCGTCCGCGCGGAGGGCTTCGGCGTCGGCCTGCGCGCGGGCGAGGAACTCGGACGCCTCCGCCTGCGCGTCGGCCTGCTCCGCGAGCTCGGCGCGGAGCGCGGCGAGCTGCTTCGCCTGCGCCTGCGCGTCCGCGGAGAGCCGGCGGAGCTCGTCCTCGCGCGCCACGACGGCCGCGCGGAGCTTCGTGCGGTCGCCCTCTGCGTCCCCGCCGGTTTGCGGGCGGCAGTGAGCTCGGCCTGAAGATCGGAGTAGGCCTGCTGGAGCTCGGACGAGTCCTTCTGGAGCGCGGCGCGCTCGGCGTCCAGCGCCGCCTGGAGGTTGTCACGCTCCCGCTGGACCGCAGCCATCTCGTCCTTGGCGTCCTCGATGGTGCCCTCGAGGTGCGCGATGATGGCGTCGCGGTTGGCGACCGTCTTCTCGAGGCTGTCCATACGCTCAGACAGGCGCAGCTTTTCGTCCGTGAGCTCGACGATCTTGGGCCGCATCTCGTCCAGGGAGCGCATGAGACCGATGCCCTCCGTCTGGAGCTCCTTCTGCATCCGCTCCGCGTCTTCTGCGCGCGCGGTCGACGCCTTGAGCTCTGCCTGGGTCTGCTTCAGCTGGCGTGCGCCCGCGGTAACGTCCGCAGCAAGCGCAGCGAGCTTTTGCTCGAGCCCGGCGACGATGTGCTTGTGGCCCTCGACTTCCGTCTGCAGCGCAGTGCGTTCGCCGAGGAGGCTGTCGCGCTCCGCAATCACCGGCGAGAGCTGCTCCTGGACGGCGGCGTGCTGGCGCTCGACCTCCGCATGTCGTGCCTGCCAATCCGCTTCGGCAGCCGTCTTCTTCTGCAGATGATTATCGAGAGTTTCGCGATCGCGTTGGAGTGCATCGTGAGCCTGTTCGTCACGCTCGTCAACGGTGATTGATGATCGGTGGCTGGAGAAGGCTCACCTGGCGCAACTTCGAGAGCTGGAACTCGACTTCGTCCGCGCGATCCTGGTGTTCTTGAGGGTTTCTTCGAGGCGCTCCGCGCGGTCGTCGCTTTCAATCTGTTCTTCGAGTTCTCGTGCACGCCGACGGTATTCGTCGGCCTGGACCTCCAGTTCGTTGAGTGAGGCGTTGAGATGCTGTATTTCGCGTTCCTGCATGATCGTCAAGTGATTGAGCTTCGGCCGCCTGTGATGGGTGACGTATGTGGACGGACCTGATCCCTCGACTTCTCGGTGAGCTCACGTTCGGACTCGGACAGTGAGGCGATAGTCGATGCAGATGCTTCCGTGTCAGTTTCTAACTGTGATACCCGGACCTGGAGTTCGCGCTCTTCGACAACTCGTCCTGGAGACGCTTCTCGGCCTCTTCGAGAGCTAGAGACACGTTTGAAAAGAAGTTTCTCATAAGCAACCACCCTTCACTCACCGCTCTCGGTGTACTCAAGTCTCTCGACAGCAGAGGTGAGAGAAGCCTTTTCCGAGACCAGCAGAGAGATGGTCTGCTGCTGCTGTTCGACCTGTTCGGTGTACTCGTGCAAAGCCTGGTCCAACGACTGGACTTGTTCCTGAAGCTTTGTTGAGTTCTGCTGCTCCGATTGTAGCGCTTGACGCGTCACTAAAGAGAAGTCAGACCATGGTCATAGCATATATTCACGATGCACGTACACGACAAACTTGAATGCAGTTCAGTCAAATTCTCCCCAAGCGAGACGCGTTCCGCCTCCAGAGACTCGATGACCTGCAGCTGCTGATGGACTTGCTGCGACAACCGTTCTGCTTCCGTCTGCATATTCCTCATGGCATTTTGGAGCTCCTGGCCTCTTGAGCGTTCCACCTGGACATACTTCTCAAGTTCGCCACTCTTGGCGCGTTCCGCGTTCAAAAA